CCTGAAATTAAATACTTTCGTTTGACGGCAGGGCAGAAGGGCTATGGCTATGGCTATGCAACTGCCACAAAAGGCGACAAATTCCCCCTTTTTTTCCATGTGTCTTCTGCTGCGCTGCTCATTTTGTTGTTGTTGTCTTTAATCAGCGACGCGGCTGTTGCTTTGATCAACATCTGTGCCCATCCCATCTGAACAAGGTGCTGCTGCTGCTCCGTTCCTCCCTACCTGAGCGGAGGCCAAGGCAAGGTGTGACAAGTCAGCGGATTTGCGTGTTGCTTCTTGCGAAATATTTAAAATGCAAGATTATCGCCCAAACAACAACAAAAAAGGCTGCACTCAATCCTGCTTAATCCTCCCCTGTATCCTATCCTTCCCTCATCCAAACGGACTTCTACCTTTATTTGATCTTGCCGTGCGCTCGACTAATTAGCAGGGGGAAAGAGACAGAGAGAGACGCGAGAGAATCGAAAACAATTTCGATTAAAGCAAAATTCACCGACAACTAATTCAATCCAAGCCAATCATAATCGCGCAATCATAATTACAACAATCTTCCAAATGAAGCATCCCCGAGAGCGAGACCTAACGGACGCAAACAAAGCCTGGACCCGACCAGGGGAACTGACTTCTATTGCTGCTGCCTCTTCTGCATCTGCCACAGCAGCAGTAACAGCAGCAGCAACAGCACTAACAATGTCGACAACAGGTTGCCGCTGCCTGAAGTGCTTTGTGGCCCAGACAAACGTTAAGATTGTAATAACCATGTTAAAAGCAATTTACGTTTAAAGTGCTACCGTGATACGCCGCCGATGCGTTTCTTGATTAAGAACTGGCGAGGACTGGCCGGCAGTGGCCACCAGACAGGAGTGTAGCATCCATAGCAGAAGTTGAAGCTGGGAGCTGGAATCTCGCATTTATTTGGCGGCAAAAGCGGTTCTGTTCTCTCCGTTTCGTCTTTGGGAACGAACTTTCCTTTCATATTCACAGTCCACTTAACACGCGCGTCGCACAATGTGCCTCAAACACACAAATGAGCATCAGAGAGGAAGAGAAGAAGAGCCTCTGCGCATGCGTTGCTGCTGCTGCTGATGCTGCTGCTGCTGCTGCCCCAACGGTGGCGACGGGCAACCTCAGAAAATGTGTGCTGTCGGCCCGCTTTGATGTTGGGAATGGCGTGTGCCCCAATGCAGAGATTTTCGCTTTGTTGTTTCGCCGACGCCGACTTTGACTTCGACTCCGACAACAACATCATCGCCATGCAACAGCAATTTGCCGCCAAGTGAACCGCAAGAGCAACAGCAGCCAGAGCAAGAGTAAAAGCAAGAGCAGCGTGGAGCGTGGAGCGTGCGGCGTGCGGCGTGCGGCGTGAGAGAGTGCCGTGCCGCCAGAAAGTTGTTGCCCCTTGGCCAGTCGCCGCCGACGAGATGCTGCTGCTGGACGAGTGAAAAAAAATGTTCCAGCCATCTCTTGCGGCATTTGAGAGGAAACCAGGTTTGGCTACGTTATGGAAACAAAAATATGGCAAGGATATTAAAATAAAACGCTCAACAAATAAGCATCCATAAATAAACAAATAAATGAGAATTTATGCGAATAAATATAATTAAATAAAAGGCAGTTTCCAGCAATAAAACACAAGCTGAATTATCTAATAATTTTGCAATTTAGTTTATTCTTTTGAATTTTTGAATGTGTAAAACTGATGAAATATTTAAAGGAAAATAACTGCAAACAATTTCAAATTTCTCTGCAGCAGATTTGCCTGTGATTTCCCCACCCAAAACTATGAAACTATGGATGCCTGCCCGAAATCACTGACCTCCATCAATCGAGAGAGCAATGCAATTATGATCAATCGTTTCCCGATGAAATTAGAGATGGCCGCGGTTTGTCTGTGGCTGTGTCTGCTGCTGCTGCTGGTGCTGTTGCTGTGGCTGGTTGGGCTGGATGATTGGCATTCGTTGATTGGCGATTGCTGCGTGATGCTGTTAGCTGTTGGCTCTGGCTGCGTCTGCTGTCTGCAGAAGCACCTGTTGCACATTTTCCACAGTGCTTCTGCCCTCCCCGTCCCTGCACGCAGCTCCTATTTCTTGCGGTTGCTTTTTGCGAATGGTAGCAACAGTTGCGTTAAGCGGCGTATCCTTGGGTCGCAGGATCAAAGGACGTGACCGGTGACGGGGATGAGCAGATAATAAAGTTGTGCATTAAATGAAATTTTAATTGCTTATCGGCGGCGAGTGATCCGGGAGCAGCCTGGAGTAGCAGCAGCCCATCTGTTGGGATTAGAGCGGTGGCCGTGCCCGTGGCCGTGGCCGCCGCCTCTATTGATGTCAAGCGATGTGTCGGCGCTTTGAAGATTATGCCCAAAGTTATGAGGCTGGCTCCGTTTTTCCAGGTGCTCCGAGCGGAGACGATCCGATCCGTTTCGAGCCTAGTTGCTGCCTGCCGCTGCCGCTGCCGCAGAGCATGCGAAATTATATGGCTCGGTGGCAGAGAGCGCGGGAGAGCGAGAGAGAGCCTCTGACAGAGGCAGCTTTAACTACGCAGTGGCTGTGCTGTCGCTTCTTCCTCATCAACATCATCATCATCTGATTCAGGCTCATCATCATCGGCAGGCAGAGGCATCAGCTGGCGCTGCTGCTGCTTGCTGCTTGCTATGTGGCTGTGGCTGTGGCTGCATGCGGCAAAAGATGAAACGTGGCGGCAACACTTTGATGCGGCCAAGATCAAAGCTGCCGATTGTTTACATAATAGTGGCCTTTGAAACGGAACAATAGAATGCCAGGATCAAAAGAGACACCGACCCGGTTCGCCCGGTTAGTGCGCTTAAGCGAAATGAATGTCCATGTCCGTCCTCCCATGATCTGTTTTTCTGGCTACACATATATCCCCGGACCCGATCCCAGCCACAGCCCCATCTCCATTTCCATTTCCAGTAAAAGTAGCACTCGATCGTCGTGGCAAGATCATCAACATCATCATCGCCAGGCAGCATCATCATATCATTATGCTGCAGTTGGAGGAGAATTTCTTCTGGTGATTCCGCTCCTGCTTCAGCTTTTGCTCCTCCTGCTGATTGCGCGTCAAATGTTTATGGCATTCATCGCGTGCTGGCGGCGTTTTAATTGCCACCAACGGCACCAGCGCCTAGGCCAGCCTGGCCACACTGCGTATGAGCAATGTCGAGCATCAATAATCTCCAGAGAGAGAGAGAGAGAGCAGGACAGAGAGGAAGAAAGAGAGGTCCAACCTGGCCGTTGTCGCATAATAATTGCGTGTACTTAATGCATAAATATGGCACTGAAACGGAGTCGGAACCGGAGTCGGCTCCTTTCTATTTGCCACTTTCATGTGTGCCGCCACCGAGCTGGCGCAGTCGCTCTCCGGGCATCATTTGTTGCTCTGCCTCCTCTTTTAGGCCTACAATTTCTATTGAGGGAGGCTAGGGGAAGGGGATGGGGCTGGGGCTGGGGCTTGGGCTGGGGCTACAGCTAAAATCAATTTGGTCAGTGATAAAATTTGTGCAAAAGCGAAGCAATTTTATGCCTTCGCCGTCTGAGGACCGAACGGATTGGATCGTAAAAGTATCTCGAAGTATTTCGGGGCCAAACGGCAAATATCAAAAGCCCAAAAAGAATCTTTAATGATCTGTCATTAATTGAGTTTCGTATATAGAAATGGAAATGAAAAAGCGTGGCAAGGGCCCAGGCCCCATACCCCTACCCAGGCCCAGAAACTCGCAAAAGGAAGAAGCTAAATGATTTCTCTTGTGAATCTCTTTTTTCTCCTCTGCAAAAACCGTTGGTGTGTTTTTTTTTTTAGATTTACAATTAGATAAAAGTCGTTGGCTGCTGTCTGCTGGCTGGCTGGCTACTTTATTGAGATTTTATGTCTTTAAGCCGGCCCACATCTACAATCCACAATCCACAGCATATCAGAGATTCCCAGGGCCATATCAAAAATGGCTTCGTTTCCCAGAAATGCCGACAACCATAAAACACAGAATGAGGCAGCATAAAAAACAAAAACAATCCACAATAAAAGTACAGTAAATATCGGGATTATAAGCCCAGAGTAGGCGCATATGCAAATAAATTATATTATTTATTTATTTTCTCAGTATTTCAAAGACTTTCCCACCAAACATCCTTCGCTGTGGTCCAATGCGGAATTTACTAAGGAATATCCCAACGATAATTAAAAATAAATGCAATTTGTCGCTTGAAACATGAATGCCTCATAGCTGATATCTACTGTACTGTGGGGTACCTGCAAATCTCGAGGCGATTCATGGCGATGAGCGAATTATGAGAGCATAAAACGAGTGTGTGCATTCATTCCCGATTGCAATTACACTAAATTAGCATTAACATAAGGGAAAAACCGCCAAAAAATGAAAAAAACAAAAGACTTAGGACATGAACTCTCCGCAGAGATAAGGACAGGGAGAAGGAGGATCAGAAAGAGAGAGAGAGAGAGAGAGAGACAGAGACGGGGTAAGAGCGAAAGAGGATCAGTTGGAGAGAGGAAGAGTGAAGACCAGAAGCGCATTCCATTTCGGCTTTCGATTAAGCAGATCAAAGGGGACGGTACGGTCCGGGATGGTTAATACGGTTATTAACAAGTAGCCGCAGTCGCAGTCGACGTCTACGTCGACGTCGTCGTCGACTTCAAAGCGCTGCTTCTGCAGCTGCTGTTCCACGATGCTCCTCTCTGCTGCTGCTGCTGCTTGCTGCTTCTCCTCTTCTCATTATTCTCTCAAATCGCTCTACTTCTCTCTCTCTCTCGCTCTCTCGCACACAGTGAAGACAGAGAAAGAGAGTGCGCGCGTCGCTGCTGTGCTCTGCTCTGCTTGCGCGCTGCTCGCGCGCTCTTACCAGCGACGACTGCGCAAGGTAAGAGCCAACTCCGAGCACGATCCATTTTTGAATTGAATTTTTGACTTCGAGCCGAGCGGACGTTCTGAGCGCGTGTGTCGTGGCCGATCGAAGTTCTACTGTACGCACCCCATCCACAAATCAAAGGAAATAATACATTTTTTGTTTCAATAAAGAAATTAAAAATCAATCAATTTACAACAAGTTTTAAAGTGCAAAACAACAACAACAACAAAAAAGAAACAAATTAAATTAAATAATAAATATTGTCCCCAAATGCAACCGAATACCATGCAGCGACCCAAAAAGTGCTCTAAACTGTGCTGAAAAGCGACAACCAACAACAACAACAACGAGTAATATTTACCGCAAAAAAATATCATAAATCCTATGTGAAATCGTATCGAGAAATGGCAGCCGAACAAATTGCTAAACTGGCTAAAATGGCTCATTCAAATTCATTGAAAGCTACCAGTAAATGGATTAAACCCAACCAGAGTCGCACAGAACCCCAGCAGGTGAGTTATCCCCCGCCGAAAACAAAAAATAGTGGAGGGGCAAAGAAATACAGAAGCCCAGAAATGAAATATATTAAGAGGAATCTCAAACCCAATACCAATCCCCCATCCCCGTTCTTGTGGAATATCAAAAGCAGCCGCTAAAGCCGAAAAACCCCCCCGAAAAATACAGTAGCACGTCAATTAAAATTAATAGCTTCCGACTTAGGTCTTGGGTCTTCTTGGGTCGTGGGTCTTGGGGCCCGAATTGAAAACTGAAAACGAAACCAAAATCGAAAACCCACTCCTCTACAGCTTTATTTGGGACATTAGCATACATTCGGATGAAATCAATTTGAAAATCCTTTGCAAGGGCATTAAAAAACGAGCTTAAAAATTTGCCTGAGTCCGCAAAAAAAAAAACAAAACAAACCAAACCAAAAAAAAAACAGAGCGCACCGCAAAAGCAGAAAAAGGAAAAATAACAGAGGGAAGAAAAACAAAAAGACCGACAACAAAAAATGAGCGGGGAATGGGTCTTTAAGTGTAGCTAACCGAAAACCCTCATCAGCAACAACAACAACAACAACAGCAGCAACAACAAAGTGCAGGCCGCTTTCGTGCGCCCCACTTCGCTTGAAGTTGGGGCAGAGAGGAGTACGAGAATACGAGTCCAGATCCACAACCGCATCCACATCCAACCACTCCACTCCACTCCAATCCACAACCGTAGTAGCTACTGTTTTCAAAGTTAAGATCAATGAGTGCGACGATGCCTTGGGTTTTTGTAGTTGGCCCAAACCCGAATAGGAGCCCGAACCCGAATCCGAACTGGTACTGGCCTGGTCTTGGTCTCTGGCTCTGGCCCGATCTTGGTCTCTCCGAGCTGCTTTGCAACATGCCGCAAACACACACGAGAGTCGGCAAGTCGGAGCGGCAAAGTACAAAGCCAAAAACGGCACGGGTTTAGCGCGCTCGGAGTAAAAAGCGATCAGCAGCCAGCGGCCAGCGGCAGACGTGCGCACATCCACACAGATACGGGCCAACAAACGCACACAGCTAAAGATACAGATACAGAGATCAGGCCCGGTCTAATAACGCTGCCTCTTCTGCTGTTGCTGTTGCTGTTGCTGCTGCTGCTGCTGCTGCGGCACTGGCTATACGTTTTGGCGGCTTCGCTTTTGTTGTTGCCGCCGCTGGCTTGCGGCTTCATTTGAGGCTGCTTCCGAATTACCAGCTCCTCTGCCTCTGTCTCTGCCACTGCCATTCCAGCAATGCAGTAGCAGCAGCGTACAAAAGCAACAGCAACAGCCGCAGTAGTAGCTGCCACCACGTTATTTCCCTACCATAAAAAGTATTAAATTGCTGCAAACAGGTGTATTTTAATGCCCCGCAGGCAGTATGATGCAGCAGACAGGAGCAAGGAGACAGGGCGAGCGGTGCGAAGCATTGGGATTGGTGTTGGGGTTTCGGGAACTGCAATTATACGCGGCTAGGTAGGCCAGGGTTTGCTTGGCTTTTTGTTTTCTAAAGCTTCGCCGCAGGCAATTCGATAATGCTCGATTCAGGTCAATTCTGTGAAACATATCAATTTAACTTTAGCTAGGAAATAATGTGAGAAGAACTTCCTACAACGATATACATTTACACGTATGTATCAGGATAATTTATTTACAATTGGAAAGTAAACCACAATTATTTCTAGGAACTTTAAAGAGTTCTTCTTCGTCTTAAAACAACTAAAACGTGGCCCTTAACTTGCTATTGGTAGTTTCTAGTTATATTTCAAATAGGTGACACAATCATCCACTCATATTACTATAATTATTGAATGTATAGTAAATATAAGAATCAGATTCATAGTTCCTCAGCATCTCCTGCTTCTGGTTCTGCTTCTGCTCCTGCTACATCTTGATCATTTTTCACATAGCTCTTCTTGTTTTTTGTTTATTTTGTATTCGATCTGTTTGATGTTGTTGTAGATGATTATTATTATTTTGTTTTTGTTTTGGGGATCGCATTCTCTGTCATAATAATTCTGGAATTTCAAGCGCGCAACCCGAAGCCCAAAGCCGAAAGCCGGCAAACAACAGAGAGCGGCCATCCAATGCCGACGCAAGCAAATCAAACAATAAGTCAACAATAACAACTCCAACCACAACAACAACAACTACACGTGCAACGAGAGCAACAATAACGACAACGGAAGTTTATTTATGCCCTGGTCCGATATTTATTTAAGCGTATTCCGATAAGCCCTCCACGGGAGAGTGTAACCATATCGTTTTCCTCTATACATATGTACATATGTATGTGGGTGTGGGTGTTGTTGCGGTTGTTATTGTTGCAAGTTTAGAGCCACTTTGTGGATACACGCCGGCACGGTTTTTCTTTGGTTTCAGACAAGGTCATTATTGATTACGATGGGGATTTATGTGGAGATTATCCCGAGAAAGTACTCTACCAAAAATAGAATATAAAAGTATTCCTCTTAGACGCCATCGACACACACACACACATTCGATCTGTTTGCAACCCAAATCCACCCACAGACACTCACTCATTCTCAAACGCGATCCAAATTTCATATTAATTAGTAGCACACACAGACACAGACAGCAACACACTTAAGTGCTGCCGCCGCAATCAAATGGAATCAAATCAAATCAATTCCAGTCGCAACGGGCTGTTTGGCTTTGCTTGATTTTTAATAAATGAATTACGAGGGGGAAAAAACGAGTGAAAAATAAGGAACGCTTAGCGCCACCTTGTCGCTACGACTGCTACGGACAGCGAGAGCGACTGCGGCAGCGGCTATGTATTTGCAGCAATTAATAAAAACTGACAATATAATCGGCGCGACAAGTAGTTGGCTGCCAGCCAGCCCCCAGACAGTTCGGGCCGAGAGACCAGAGAAAGAAAGAGCGAGCGAGCTCCTCCTTTGTCGGCATCGCTCCAGCAGCAGCAGCAACAGCGACAGCGGCAGCGGCAGGAGGAGCGACAGAGTGGAGAGAGGTGGACAGGGCTGGACAGGGTACAAGCCAAAAGCAAAATATTAATAAGCAGTGCCCCGCAATTAATAGCGCAACTTAAGACTCTATATAGGGTAATTAAGCGGCGCTTGTGAACATTTTTCCTTTGGCAACGCCGCCGCCTTGCCGCTCGGTGCCGCCGGTTTTTGTTTTTGTTTCTGTTTTTTTTCTTCTCAGGTAAACAGCAAGTGCAACGTACGAGTATCTGTATCTATGTCTCTTGAGCGTGCGTGTGTCTGTCTGTCTGTCTTTGAGTGTGTTTACTCAAACGTAAATCCGCGCACGCACACGTGAAATCTTTTTATTTGTATCTCCATCTTTTTGGTTTTGGTTTTAGTTTTGGTTTGGGTTTTGGTGGGTCATTGTGGCTCTCGTAGTGTAGTCAGTCAGTCGTTGGCGCAGTTGAACTAATCAACAATGGAAACTACTCATCTAATGTCGGAGAGCGGCAGCGGGGCCCGGGCTCTTGTCAATTTTCGTTGTTTGGCGGCAAACATCACACGGGACGACGGGCCACAAGACGGAGAAACGGACGGACGCGGCGGAAGACATTTAAACCTGTTGTAAGAATGGAAGAGGAGAGAGAGAGATATACTCGTATTTAGGGAAGATAGAACACGAGGGTTTGATGCAGGAAAGGTGGTGGAAAAAAAGTAAGCCCAGGAAGCAAAATAAGTTTGTTAACATCCAGAAAGAAATGCCAAAGCTGCAAATACTCAGGTAGAGCCATGCCATAAGGTAGTTGCTGGCATATGGGATATACTCTTCTCATTTTTCATATTTTCACCAAATTGCAATCCAATTAAATGCTTCGATTAAAGCAAAGTAAAAGTGCCCTTATGTGCCATCAAGATTATGCATAAATAACCAAACCAAACAAAACCAATCCAATTCAATCCTTAGTTATGATGTTCATAGTCAAATCGAAATGAAATTAATTGAAATATCAGATATTCCAATCACAGCATTAACATAATGCTACTCGTATATGCATATTTTTTAAATATATAACTTTAATATAATCCAGATTTATGTGAACATCGGATTCGAATCTCGGAACGGGAACCCGCTTGGCGGGTCTAAATATAGAAATCCAATCCTCCAGAGTTTGGCGAATATTTTAGAGTCTCCAATGGGCTAGGCTACCGTTATGCGACTTCTTGGGTTACTTGGTTACTTTGTAGGCCTCTAAACTCTCCCCTCTCCCCACTACCCCCACTATGAGTGTGTGTGTGTATGTCATTTGCATTTTCGTCTGCAAATTGTCGCTGCTTGCGGCAGCAGAGGGCGGCGAAACATCAAAAGCCTATATAAACATTGATTGAAGATTTCTTTACGATTTCTGAATGGTTATTTATGCGGAGGCAAGACCGTAGACAGACCAGACCCAGGCCAAAACCAAAACCAAAACCAAACCAAATTGACAGACTGACACACTGAGACACTAAAATTGTTGCTGCTTGTTGTTGTTGCTGTTGTTTGTGTTGTCGGCAAAATGCTGTTTGTTGTTGTATTATTAACAAATTGCTGGAAAATAGCTAAACGGAAAACAAAGGGGGGAACGGGTTGGGGGTAACCAGAATGAGCGAAAACAACAAAACAAATCGCCGGATAGACCGTTTGATTGATGTGTGTATCTGTGTGTGTGTGTGTGTGTGCTGTGCCTATGCCCCAGCCAAAGCGACCAAAAACCGACCTTAAGTTCAAAGCCAAGAACGGTCCGACGTCGACGTCGCAGCTAACGCTGACGCAAACGCAGAAGCAGACGCTGGCGTTGCAGTCGCTGGTGATTACCACGCGTCAGCGGCCATGACAATGTGAAAATGAAATTTGTTTGACTGGCACTGGCACTGGCCCACGGGGCGTATGATTAACAGCAATTTCTTGCCATGTTTGACTAAATACTTTGCCGTGCTTGAGGTTTGTTGTTGTTGATGGTAATACTACCTGGCAATTGTAGAAGCCCAAAGGGGTATGCTGGGCCACAGCAAAGCGTCGCCTAATCCGTAATAGTTACCCCTAGCAGCCACTGCAAATGTTGTTTAATTTATATTAAAAGAATAATTCTCTTCTGATTAAGAGTTAATGGATCTGTCCAGCCATGTTTTAGGATTCAATTTAAATAAGTTTTTTATGTTGCTTTTGATTCCTTATTTGAAATACTCCTATTGAAATATGTTTAGCGGGTATTGGCATAGTCGGGCATATCCATTATAACGTTCTTTCTCTACGAAGCCAACAACAAACAAAACACAGAGGGGGGGGGAAGGGGGTGAGTGGTGAGCGGTAAAGGGGGGTAAAGAAATAACACAACGAAACGGAACGACAACGAAACGAAATGCGGCAAAAATTTCTTTGATCTTTATCGCAAAGCTTCTTGCTCGCATTTTGATCAAAGCAAGTTTTTCCGCCAAAAACAACAGAGGCCTAGAGAGAGAGAGATGGAGGCAAAGGAGAGAGAGAGATGTGTGTTTGTGTGTGTATTAGTTATCAACTTAAATCTAACCATTTATTTCCTCTCTCCCGCCCTCTGGCAGAAAACAACAACACCGAATAGGCATCTCTGCCTGCTTCTGCTGGTCGCGCTCTGTCCGCTGCCAGACGCCAATGCCAATGCCAGCAGCAACATCGGCGGCAACAGCGGTGGCAGCCTGGAAACCTTTGCCGTGGCCAGCTCCGCCAGCTCCAGCCTGGACAAGGATCACGAGCAGGCAGTGCGCCAGAGAACACGCCCAGCCATGGAGACCAGCATGAACATGATCCAGCGTAACTACATGGTGATGCACCCAGCGGGTGCCAGCCACCACACGGCGGATCACAGCCGCTCCCTCAAGCGGGCCGCCCTGACCAACTCGAGCATCACCTGCAACGATGGCACCCATGCGGGCTTCTACCTGCGCAAGCAGCCCAGCTCCAAGAAGTGGATCGTCTTCCTCGAGGGCGGCTGGCATTGCTTCGATGTGAGGTCGTGCCGTGCCCGTTGGCTGAGACTGCGCCACCTCATGACCTCCTCCCAGTGGCCAGAGACGAGAGATGGTGAGTCCAGAAGGAGAGAGAACGAAACCCACAGCTGATCTAATCCCATTCCTTGGGTCCTTTCCCTCTTTCAGTTGGTGGCATTCTGTCGCCCCATGCCGAGGAGAATCCCTACTGGCACAATGCCAACCACGTGCTCATTCCGTACTGCAGCAGCGACTCGTGGTCGGGCACACGGATGGAGCCGGACACCAGCGACAGGGAGAACAGTTGGCGCTTCATGGGTGCCCTGTTCCTGCGCCAAGTCATTGCCGACCTCATCCCACTGGGCCTGGGTCGTGTGCCGGGCGGAGAGCTGCTTCTGGTTGGCTCCTCCGCCGGCGGCCTGGGGGTGATGCTGAATCTGGACCGCATTCGGGACTTTCTGGTCAATGAGCGCCAGCTGCAGGTCACGGTGCGGGGAGTGAGCGATTCGGGGTGGTTTCTCGACCGCGAGCCCTACACACCATCGGCGGTGGCCTCCAGCGAGTCAGTGCGTCAGGGCTGGAAGCTGTGGCAAGGCCTGCTGCCCGAGGACTGCACCAAGGCACATCCCACGGAGCCCTGGCGCTGCTACTTCGGCTACCGGCTGTATCCCACCCTGAAGAGTAAGTCACCCGTGCATCCCCCATCCAGAGAATCCTCCTAATCCCATTTGTCTCTCTCCTGCAGCCCCGCTCTTCGTCTTCCAGTGGCTCTTCGACGAGGCACAGATGCGGGCGGACAACGTGGGGGCTCCGGTGACGCCCCAGCAGTGGAACTACATCCACGAGATGGGCGGCGCCCTGCGCTCCTCCCTGGACAACGTCAGTGCAGTGTTCGCACCGAGCTGCATCGGCCATGCGGTGCTCTCGAAGAGGGATTGGGTCAACATTAAGATCGACGACATCTCTCTGCCTTCCGCCCTGCGCTGCTGGGAGCACTCGACGCGACGCAAGCGCAACGAAAAGCTGAAACGCTCCACGGAAGCCTCCACGGCCGTCGGCCAGAATCCGCATTCCAACAACCAAAGACACCAGCGGCACCGCCAGCGCCAGCAGCGACAGAAGCAGAAGCAGAACAATGTGGCACAGACGACGCAGCAGCAGCAGCAGCAGCCCCGGAAGCACAATCACCTGAGCAAGGAGCAGAGGGAGGAGCGCAAGCGGCTGCGCCAAGAGCAGCGACAGAGGCGCAAGCAACGCCGCCGGCAGCAACACAAACAGCAGGCAACAGCTGCTGCAGCGGGCAGGGGGGCAGCAGAGAGCAAGAACAACAACAAGCCGAAGAGCAACGCCAGCGATATGCACAAGCAGCGACGCCGCCAGCCACCACTGACGCCGGAACAGCGCCAGGAGCAACGCCAGCGACGCCGCAAGGCCCAGCAGCAGCAGCAGCAGCAGATGCAACACGAGCAACCTGCCGCAGGGGGAACTGGCAACGGGGCAGATGCATTGGGAGAGTCCCAGAAGCGGCGATCCTCGAACAACGCCTCCTCGTCGGGCACCAAGTCGAAGAAGCGTCAAAGGGTACCCCGAGTGCCGGAGAAGTGTGGCCTCCGGCTGCTGGAGCGCTGCTCCTGGCCGCAGTGCAACCATTCCTGCCCCACACTGACCAATCCGCTGACGGGCGAGGAGATGCGCTTCCTGGAGCTGCTCACCTCGTTCGGCCTAGACATTGAGGCGGTGGCAGCGGCACTCGGAGTCGATATGCACACCCTCAACAACATGGAGCGGACGGAGCTGGTCAATCTGCTTACCCAGCAGGTGAGCTGAGCTGAGCGAAGCATCGCGAATGGGAAACAAGTATGTCCCTGTAAATAGTAGTAGGTCTGTACATATATGTAGATATATATATATATATAGGTAGAGCCGCTTTGTACATACCACACCATACCACAAAACAAAACATCCAAAAACAAAACAAAAAAAAACCATCCCCAAACCACATTTAAGCGGAGCTAAACTCCAATTCCTAGAACACACCAAGAAACCAAGAAAAAGACATGCGCAAGTGCCCAGTAATTAAGCAGAATTTATTTATATTGTATACTATACCCTCCCCCCAACTCGAACTGCAAACTCTACGCGTACATTCACATTCACACACACCACACACACAACACTCATATTTATTCATTCGCATTCACACAACCCACAAGAGCACGAGCCGAAGGAAAACGAAGGAAAATCTGCGTAACGAGAAACTAAACACAAAATGCAACCACAAGACTGTTTTATGTTTTTTTTTTATATAATATATATAGCGATAAATACAGATACTATACATAATATATGCATGTAGGGTTACACATATGCTAAAGGATAATTCATTGTTTATGTAATTTATTTGATAATTTTATTGCCTGCCTGCCTACCTGCCCTAGAGGATGGTACTTTATTTTTGTGTGTGCGTCGACTGTCCAGACTGTGTTTCAGTTCGTTTTTGTTTTTTTTTTATTTTTTTTTTTTTGCATCAGTTTTCACCTACCTCAGGTTCAGTAAGAATGAAATTGAATTGATAGACAGCTGCCTTTAAAGTTTTAACATAAATAAACACACAAATATATGAATCATTGCGTACCTGTGCAACGACAAATCAAATCAAATACAAATAAATACCTACGAGTAAAATACCTTACTTACTTAATAATGCACGCATTCCGTTCAAACTAATGTTACTTAAACTTACATTAAATGAAAAATACATACATACATACGAAAAGCAGCTAGAGCAACAAGCGAAGCGAAGTGAACAAATCGAATATATAAAAATAGAAATAATTTAAACAATGTTTGTACAGAATTTATAGATTTACATAAACGTAAACGGAAAACACCACAAAAATAAACACTAAACAAATTAATATTAATTCCTCCCCCCACACCCCTAGTGATATAAGCTCCCCCCTCTGTACAGATCTGGTTGAAGTTTAGCCTTAAGAATTGTTGTACTTAAACCTTTTGATAATTTTATACCATGTCTACCACGAAGTGAAGTAGTGTCCAAAGCGCTAATTGATTTGTTACAACATTAGAGCTCTTGTTCACAACGCTTAAATGAATCACTGACCCATCAAGATGAAAACACTTGAGCAGGATAATCATTCAAACGACAGCCACAATAAACAAGCGAAATAATTGTATCAATTAAATGGTTTAATCTTTGGGGTGTTTGTTACAGTAAAAACAGAATCGATCGAATGGATACGCAACCTCATTCACACTTGCTTGCCCCTGGTCACCATCGCATTCCATATCCGTCAAGAATTTGTTGAACTTTGTCCAAATTGGCCGGAACTGTCGTGGTACCAATCATGGTCCAGATCCAGATTCCCACCGTTCTGGAGAACAGTGTCTTTCACTCCCAATAGGGGTCAGACTGTTGAGCAGTCTTTTTGAAATCTGAAATGCTTTACTGCCAGCAAATCGGTCCTATATAAGCCCCCGACAACCCGACAACAGTTCAAATCGAAAATTCGACGCGATTCTTTTGAGAATGAATGTAATTCTGGTTATAGCTTTTCTGGCCCACACTTCTGCCCAGGATAGCTGCCGTCGACGTAGTGGCCATTTATCCCGAAACATGTTCCAAAATAAACTAAAAAAAAATACAAAAAATAACACAAAAAGTTTACTTGGTTCATTAAACGACCAGCAGGAAAGAGGTTAGTTAGTTATTCGATGCAACTCGATACTACTCGTACTAGCAAAAAATAAAATACAATTGATTGACACCCACTTGAATCCACCCACTTAAATCGAGCAAATTTTGACACCCGCGGAAGTGAAATCCTGGATTCCCGCCGATCACATCAGACCACTTTCTCAAAGAATCTGTATTGCAAAAATCAGTTTGAACTGTTTAAAGCTCCAGGAAACTCCACAGAGTTCCGGCCTCAAAATAATATAATTATTTGAAGTATAATTTTTAAACTAAATTATTTATTCACGCTTTTAGCAGCACCTTCGACTAGATTCACCTTCGACATGCTGTCTCGCATGCCTGCTTGTTGCACCACCGGTTCGCATTACCCGCACACCCCTTGTAGTCCATTTGAGTGCACGTTTTGTTTAGTCCGTTATAGTGCCACATGGCGCCGTTGGCATTCTTTTTGCACTTCCGTTTGCTGTTGTTTCCGTGATCCTTCACTCCATCGCATTTTGGGGTAGCTAAACAGACACAAGAGAAGAGAGAAATGAAATAAGCCTGAGGAGCCATCAAGAGAAGATCCATCCACCTACGTGGCTTTCCCTTGCACCTTTGGGTGGCGCCCAGAACCACCACCAAACACATCGCCAGTAAAAGGCCCACGATGAACAGAGTGGAAGTGCGCATTGTCGGAGGGAGCGGGAGCGAAAGCGGGAGTGGGAGCTCTAGTATCTGGATATTCCGATTATAGAATAAAGGCTCAATGCTTCTGCTGTGGGTCTTTATAAAGCTCAGTTTCGAAAATTCAGACATTGTTCTCAGCAACTCTGTTCATGCTAAAAATCTGTTTTAAAATCCGCCATTCACTTCAATGCACACGTGTTTCGATATAGCTCGGGAACAATATTATTTCGGACATTGTATCTAAAAATAAGTAGAATAATTGTAGGCTGCAAAGGGAAGATTTTAAATGGTGTCGTGCGTGTGCTTCTTTTATGAGTTGGACATTTTTGGGCCAAAAAGCTTTACCGAGTAAACTTTATAAAAAAAATAATTCAGGACTTGCTTCAGAGGTGTAGGCTGCTATGTATACCAGTATAACCCTAAATGTGATGCAAGTATTTGTTTCGTTGATATTTGGAGCAGATCACAGTACAATAGAATTATTCAGACTGTTGTGTTATGTTTTTGACTACCGAAAAGCTTTAATAAGCTGCGAATTAGTCCTATATAAGCCGAAATTCGCTCGATCCAACAGTTCAAAGCAAACATTCGACCCAAGTCTTTTGAGAATGAAGCTCATTTTGGTTTTGGCTTGTCTGGCCCTTTATGTGGCCCACACCGCTGCCCAGGACAACTGTATTGGACGTCCCGGTAAGTGAAAATCATTTAATTTTCGAACAGGATATTATTTGAATTTTTGTTCTGTAGTGTTCCAGGTATGCAATGGCGGCAGGGATGAAGGCAACAACCGCCATTGGTCGTGTCCAGCAAGATTCATGCCGGAAATGTGGTGGTACAACGAGCGCGCCAGGGACTGCCATAAAACGAGGTATTTGGGCTGTGGCGGCAACAACAACCGCTACTGCTCCCTCGACAGTTGTCGCAGGAAGTGCCGCCGCCGCTAAAAGTTTCCTCTGATCCTGTGTCTCAAGAAAGATTTTGATAATAAATAAACATAAGCTCGTAAACGCCACTGTTTGTGCATGAATGCCAACACTATTAATTATATTAATTGCGTTTAAGTAAACACAGCGATGCGTTGGGTAAAAAAAAGAAGAACAAAGCAAGCAATGGATATAGAGGGCCCTTCATCCACAGAGGCTGTCTTACCTTAGCGATGTTTGATTACTTCTTTGACTTTTGGTTGACAAATGACCTCCCAGAAAAGTAGACCATTAATTAATGGGTAAACATTTTAATTTCCTTGACTGCGAAACACTGAAAGACTCCCAGATTTTTCTGGGACTATTTTTGGCGCTACTTTTGCATCGTATTTATGTACACATGTAAATGTGTGTCGCGTGTTGTTAATATCAAGAACGATCTACCCTATTGTATTGCATTATTCAGATTGTTGTGAAGATGTTTTTGATGAGCTACCGAAAAGTTATAATCAGCTACGCTTTGCTCCTATATATAAAGCCTGCATTGCGTTCGATTAAACAGTTCAAATCGAATACCATCCGATATGATTCCATTGAGAGTGAAATTCATTTGGATTTTCGCTAGCATGGCTCTATTTGTGGCCCACACCACTAATGCCCAGACGTACTGCCCTGGGCGTCCCGGTTAGTAGAGTTGATGTTAGATCTTTAACGCTTACAGGATACTATGTTGTTTCTGTAGGCATACAGTTATGCAAAGGCGCCATCGATGAAGGCAACAACAATCGTCCGGCGTGTCATGACAGAGCCATGCGAGAAATGTGGTGGTACAATGTTCGCATCAATGACTGCCAAAAGATGAGGTTTCTGGGCTGTAACGGCAACAACAATCGCTACTGTTCCCTCGGCAGCTGTCGCAGCAGGTGCAAACGGCCCTAGAAGTGTGAGCCATGATGATGACTGAGCAATAATAAATATTAAAGCTTGAGCATATAGAAGGTAACATATTCTTCGATTTTTTTTTTCCCTGCCCATAATTATATTCTTAAACTAAGAGCCGTAATTAAATTCATTAACAGATGTTTCTGTTGGGGCTAGTTAGATCGAGGAATTAGGAATTAGTAGAATCTCCGTGGGACTCCACTCCTTTTGACCTTAATCTGAAGAACCTTACTCTGAATATCCCGGTACGCAGAGTTTAAGCTCTCTAAACGAAAATTTGCATTTGAATATAAAACGTATTTCCAATGAAATTTATTTTCGGAGACACCAGATTTCTTGCAAATAATACCAAAAAAAAAAACGGGTATTTCTGGCACAAAAAAAAACCAACAAATTTGTTTTTTACAACACTGGATCAGTGCTATTATCAACAGCACCGTTTACAACATATATTTACTTTACGGGATATTTTGACGTCGAAATCGGGTTCAAAGTATATTTACGGAATATCGATATATTTAATTAAGCTGCAATCTATTTTTAAGGTATATTAAAGTACTTTTCGAAATGACCGCCAAACTCATTATTGAAAGGAAATTGGGTATACATCGACTGGGTGAAGAAACATCGATTAAAACATCAATGCTTTTAAATTATTGGGAAAACATCGATGTTCTATGGATCCGAAAATACGCAAGCTATATTTTATTACAAACGAAAACATCGATGTTTTCAAAGCAAACATCTGCCAAATCGGTTCAAAGCGAATCGGTAATGAAACGGGTAGCAAAGTATCATGGTGGCAGCCCGCAACTACGAATTGTACGAGTCTGGCAACGCCACAAAAGGACGTCACATTCGTTTAATGTTGTTTTCGTTTGAACCCTTTTATGTAACCAATGCAATAAAAAAGACTTCTGAAAACTTGCCAATCTTGTAGAAAATTTATGTATCTATCGGATAAAATTCTTCGTTCTGGGCTGAGAGTCCCAGCTAGCTAGTAATATTAAACCGAACATCAAAATCGAGGAATATCAACGTTGAATGTTTTGAAAAATACAATCAATACTATCGTGATAGTATCGGGCTCAAAAAATTATTAAAAAACCATTGAAACCTTTTAGGAACTTGTCCATTGTAAAAATTAGATTCCACCTGTCGATTTGTTTACAAATGTGTCTTTGTATTTTATAGCAGCCAATCCAAACATTTCAATAGGGCAACGACTGTAGCTCGATACTATCGATAGTTCCCTCTTTGGTTTGACACCTCTACAGCACGTAACTTTTGGCAAACAATTCAAGAAATTTTTGAATAAAATGATAATACTGAATAGATGCTCACCCATCAGGCAGATCCTGCGGCGCTGTCACAGCGAAGGTGGGTAATACGAACATGTTTGACTGGCATCAACCAATAGTATCGCGTGCGTTTGATTTTAGTGGCAGCAAGTGTCTGCAGCAAGGTCAGAAGCCCCTTGACTGCTTTTTTGGGAAATGGCCGGATTCGGAGCAGCAAGAGTTTGTGCAACACATGCGCATCATTCCGGACTTTATCAGCGAATCGGAGGAGCAACAGCTGCACGAAGAGGTCGAGCCGTACATGAACCGACTGCGCTATGAGTTCGACCACTGGGACGACGTGAGTTCACCCAAAAACACCAGCAGTGTGGCTCGCAGCTTAAGTATTTCTATCTTGCAGGCCATCCACGGGTTCAGGGAGACTGAGCGCAAGAAGTGGTATCCACAGAACCGCGATGTCCTAGAGCGAGTGCGCCAGGTGGCCTTTGACGGGGCTATAATGCCATACGTTCATGTGCTGGATCTTGCCGCTGACGGTGTTATCAAGCCGCATGTGGACAGCACCAGGGTAAGTTTAAGCAATGTTCATGCCGAGCCACTGCACAAGCAAATCCAACGTCATTCAAATTTACAGTACTGCGGCACCACCATCTCGGGCATCAGCCTGCTCAGCGACTGCGTAATGCGTCTCGTGCGCACAGATGCCCAGAAGTACCAGCAGCCCAGCACGGAGAGTGCGCCGGAAGCCAAGAGCCCAGACTCCGATGCAGTATATGGCCATCGGCGTTTTCCAGAGGCATTTCTTGAAGATGGATTCTACGCAGATCTGCTACTCCCAAGGCGCTCGCTCTACATAATGTGCCACACGGCTCGCTACAATTTCACCCATGAGATACTGGCGAAGGAGCACTCTGCGTTTCTCGGCACACCCATACCAAAGGCACGTCGGATATCTATCATTTGCCGCAACGATCCATGATGAGGACCGCCCTACATGAGTACTCTATGCGGAAACGCTTCCCTTCCTACTTTTATTGAAGCGTTCAGATACATATATCCATCTATATATCCGTTGAGGTCTCCATATAGAAATAATTTCGTTTTTCTTCAAGAGCCTAGTCTAGTCGCTTCTAATGTTAGTTGTACATATGATTATTACCCATTTTAGTTATTGATTATGACATGAAAGTTACAATCGACCGTGTGTATATAAGAAAATATAATTTGATTTCAAAGATACACCTATATGTGGAACACTGAGTCCGTTGGCCCTAATAGATTTGCTATTTGTAAGCTATAATGTTGATGCCATTAGGTGCTGCCAAAGAGCGTGTCTCAATATTTCGAAAGTAGAGTTTATTCATTTTTAGTCACTGCATGACAATGGACACTATCGATTGGGTACCTGCCCAAGCATTCCTCTTAATGATATCAATTAAGCATAGATTTGTAGGGTATTTTCTAAATTTTATGGTTTTCCCATCCATCGAGTATATCTCCATATATACTGAAAAGTATAATTTTTTACGGTTAACTTATTTAATATATTTTCTTAACGAAATTAATGCAGAGAGGGCTGCTACGCTTTAGACGCCTGACAAAGAACAACATAAGCGGGCTCTATTCATGAATACTTTTATCCAAAGCAGGGAGAAATTTTTGGGTTTAATCCCTTGTGTGCGATGAAAAACCAAAACCTTTGGTGACAGCTGTAAAACGATAAGTGAAAGGTGTATTGGTGCGGCCTTTGTTCGCAGGAAGATGGTCTGCAACTGCTTCTGCGGAAACATATTGGCCAGCCTGAGACAGGACACTACCGAATTTCATAAACAATGGGAGTTACGTAAAAGTGTGTGTAAAATCCCTATCTAAGACAAGCGAAAATACCCGACAGACTCGTGACCAGCATTCACTTTCATTCCCGTGCAATTTTCGCAAACATATCTAACAGTGAGTCAACAAAGGTGCATACCGACACGATAGGGTCCCAGGTAGGGGACAATGGACTCGCTGTCATACATACAAATTTAATTTAGAGCGCACACAGGACGCATACAACTGGGTCCAACACAGAAGTCCTGCGGTGCTTTGTCCTGTGCCCAGGCGATAAGCATCTGCAGCGCCGCTGTCCAAGTGTCCTTCTGAAGCGCTTCCATCCAAAAAAGTCGTTTAAAAGGCATGACTCTGCGGGGACACGGCGAACCTAATGGCCCACCGTGAGTGCAAATACCGTCACCAAAAGTGCTTTAGTGATAAATCGCGGAGGTGAGCTGAATGATTTGAAGCTAGGAATAGCGATGTACTACTGCTACTACTACTACTTGGAGTAAAACTTCGCTTTTCCCCACACTATATGCCACATTTGTAAATTATATAGAACACAGTTGGTCTTCCCAAAAGATGCCCCCTATATTATTACCTGAAAAATTAGTTTCTATCACACCAGTAGAAATCCACTGATAAAACAAAACCGAGAGGGAACGTTGTGAGTCGCTTCGATACCCGCGACTTTACTTTTATACCTGTACTCAGTCCGTATATATGTATGTGAGCTTATGATTTATGTGGAGTTTTTAAATATTTTATCTGTTTACATTTTGTTGCTACATCTACAATGTAGATTCTACATCTCCTCCGCCAAAGGGCGCACGAGGCAGAGTGTGTGAGCGAGAGAGAGAGAATGAGTAGCGGATGCTTCGCAAATTAATTTCTTCATTCTGGCTATAATAATGATCCGATCTAATGCAGATTCGACCATCTGGTAGATATGGTAATTTTCTACGTTACTGCGTTCTTCGTTTTCTCGTATCCTCCTTTTGAAAGGATATTTTAACATGACCGTGAACACCCACAAAAGCTCGCCTAGAAATTGAGTTTCATCCTAAAAGATTCACGTTTTTCCATGTCCAACTTGATCTCTATCTCTACGAAATTATTCAGTTTAGTGATACCGAGAATATAAATCACCCAATAAAGAGAGGTCCTACAAATTAGAAAATATTGTAAAAAATGTATTCATGAATTGGATAAGACTATATGTTTAGTGCTGAGAGTCCCAGCTTGCTGGTAATATTAAACCGTACTTCAAGATCGAGAAATATAATTTCTGATCGTGAACATGGTGCGATTAACCCATTGTCGACCAGTGGGTATTTTAATACTCACGAATACTTTTCAAAAGGACCGCCAAACTCCATTTAGCGCACAAAAAAAACCGAAATTTTTCGCTCCCAAATCATGGTGGTTCTTCAGGTAAGGTATACAAAAGTACATACGCATAAAAGAAACTTGGTTACCCAGCAAAAATGACGTCACATTTCGTACACACTTACGTTTTATGCTTTGGCCATTTTTGTTTGAACCTTTTTATATAAACAATGCAATAAAAAGGACTCCTGAAACTAGTCAATCTTGTAGAAAATTGATGTATCTATCGGATAAAATTACTTGTTTAGGGCTGTGAGGGCTGCCTAGCTAGTATTATTGAACTGAATATCAAAATCTTGGAATATGATTTCAATCAATACAAATGAACGTTATCCCATTGTCGCCCAGGGGGGTATTTAATATTTCCACCATATTTATGTGAACTTAACATATTTTACGCATTACTGGGGAAAGATATCGGTGGTCATTTTTGTTTTGTAAGTAAATGGTGCTACAAGGAGCCTTCACAAACAGTATTATTTTCCGCGGTTTAACAAAGGGTGCTCAACTTTTTAAATAGAGGGGTGTAAGTGGGTTAAGTCTCGTTTGATTTTTTTTTATCGTTATCGGGAACAGGGACCGGGAAAAAATCAAACAAAAGCATAAGTACAATTTTTGACGGCGTCGGAGCCAAACGTGAAGTCAGTGCGAGCGAGCGTTGTTTAGAAATCTAGAAAATAAATTATTCGAGCGCTGGCGAGACGCAGATGTGTTGTAAAAATTGATAGTCAAATGAATTCTGCGTAAATTGTGTAAACTTTGAGTGTATTTGTGCTGCCTTCCAGCGTCAGGTTTTGACGATAAAATTTGCCTTTGAGTAAATGTAAATGTGTGCGCTGAGCATAGCCGTGCGTATGTGTTGGTGCGAGCGTCGAGCATAAGAAAGCGAGACGACGACAAGCCGAAGCGACGCTTAATAAAAATCGCAGCTGAAGCGAACAAGATAAAGAGAGAAACGCGCAGTCACAATTTTTAGAGCAAGGAAGCTGAATTAGACGCAAAAATGGCCAGTTTCCAAATACTGCACGACCTGAACAACAAGGAGAATCCGGCCAAAACTGGTCCGGCTGCTCTAAAGGAAAAGAATATGGGTGCCGCCAAGCAGCCGCTGGCCGTGATCGGCGGTGGCAAGGAAAAGATTGCACTTGGCCCCCGCACCAATTTCGCTGTGCTTAATTCCAACAACAATCATGGAAATGTTCAGCGTGCTCATCCAGCGCCATTGGGGAAAGCGGTAAGTCCCGAACAGCACAGTTATTTCCATTCCAGTCTGTCCTTTTTGTTGTTGTTGTTTGTGCTCTGCGCATTCTAATGCAGCTGCTGTCTCGTTGACAGAGCGTGTTGGTGGTGGGATCTTTCTGTGCATGTGTGCGTGTGTGTGTGTTTTTTTTGTGTAAGCTGCCTGCTTTCCTTGCAAAGGGAGCGCCTCGATCCCCTGGGTATGATAGCGCGGTGGTTGTTCTCTGTCTGTGCATCTCTCTCTCGCAACGCTATGCGCGATTAGGTTGCATGTGCCCACTCCTTCCACTCGGGAGATAACCTCTGCTAATTGTTCGCGCCTAACCTAAAACTAACCTAGAAATTGCACATCCATGTAATTGCAAGACTTTGCGCGCCTTTTTGAAAGAGAATGCATAGAGATAGAGAGAGGATGAAAATGCAATTACATCGCACACTAATACACTCTCGCACGCTGTGGGAAGCCAGCCAAAGGCGCGCACAGCGGCAGCGTGAGACGTAACAGGATTATTCCAACGAAAGGAAACGAGCGAGAGTGCTGCAATTGGTGCACTGTTGCTGTAATCGTTACCCCCTTCTTACACAGTCTGCGACAAATTAACGATTGTATGTGCATGTTACGTTACAGCAATTCTTCCGCGACGTAAGGAACATCAATACGGACGAAAACACTGACTACGCTGGCCTGGCCGTCAAGAAATCGAACGTTGTGCCCGTGGTGGAGCAGTTTAAGACATTCTCGGTGTATGAGGACAACATCGACACACAGGTGGTGCCGACGGGCGCCGTCAAGGGCCAGTCCTCTGCCGCCGACAAGGAGAATCTGTACGACGCCAAGTAGTGAGTATCCCCCCAGACTCTTTTTCCCCTTTCCCTAACACAAGCCGTCCCTCAACCTTCCGTACAGCAACGCGGTGCCCAAGGAGTTCTCCATACAGCACGAATATGACCTCGAGGGGACGCCCATGTCCGTCACTGACGTCATGTCGCCCATGTCTGTGGATCGTTCGATCATCGAGGTCGGCAGCGCCACTGACGACGGCCCGGCCCAGGGCACACAATGTGGAGCTGCCCCCGGTGTCCGGGCCAAGGAGCTGCCGCCACGCAACGATCGCCAGCGATTCTTCGAGGTGGTGCAGTACCAGATGGACATCTTAAAGAACTTCCACGAGAGCGAGGTAAGTCCAGGGTCGGAGAGCAGCGCACATTGGGGGTGCAACGTAATACAAAGATATTTCCTTAAAGATAAGAAAAACTGTCATCTGTAGGAAATCTCCCCCGTGAGTGCCTTGGTTTCCCTGTTATTAGTTACCCCCCTCCCTGTGCTCTTGCTCACATGTGTTGTGTCTGTGTGTGTGTGCACGCAGGCGCAGAGAAAGACACGGACTGCACCCTGATGAGCGGTTGCTGTTGCTTCACGCGTCGCTGCCCTGCCTCTAAGAGTATTGTCTTCCAAAGATCTCCGTCACATGCCCATGAAGCGGGAAATGCGCGCTTGCCCCGCGTCCTTTGTTTCTTTCATTTTTTGACTCTGCTTCTGTTTTTTTCCCCCTGCCATTTTATGCCCTGCACAAGAAAATGTCCGTAGGGAACAGGCAGAGCACCCCATAAAGACTATCATTGCTATCTGAAAACGCTAAGATATCGGGGAACTTGAGAGTAATATCAGCAATCTTTCTCTCAGATTGCGGATACATTCCATCTGCTGAACTCCAATTAGATTAGATTAGATTCCATATAGTTAAAATTGAATACAGTCCCAATCAGTCCCAAACTAAAGCTGGTTGATATTTTCTGCCGTAGGAATGTATTTGAATTTCTAACAAGACAGTCCCAACGAACGATTGATCCAACGGTGTATTACATTTTAAACTGATACAAATTTAATGGTGGTTACTGGTGTCCTGGACGCGACTGGGAAGCCTTCCCAGGATTTCTGCAGTGCTGCAACGGGGACTGGGGCGACTTCCTAATCGAGTCCGTGACACGGAGAAAGATCGGACTACTTGGAACGTTTATGTGTGAATATAAACTAGCGGGAATTCTTGTTGAACTGATCGTAGAAGTCGTCGAAGACAGCATTGTTGAGCTGCTCGAGCGAGTGCTTGCGCTGTTCGTCCTGCTCCACCGCCAGCTTGGCATTGGCACGCATGAGATCATCGAACTGGTCCTTGCGACGGCGGTCTACCTCGATCTGCTTGAGCATTAGAGTGCGATCCATGTTGATGGCGTACTGCTCCCACTGCTTGTCCATGAGCTGTGCCTCTGTCTTGCGCTGGGCCGCCTCCAGTAGCTGCTGTTCCTGGCCCTTGCGGAAGGTCAGAAGCTCCTCGGGCGTCATGCCGCGGTACATGAAGGCGATCTTCTTGTTGGGATCGGTGCGCGACTGGGCGACGTCTGGGTTCTCCGTGAGCATGTCGCTGGACAGCATGTTGTATATCTCGGCCATATCGTCCTCGTACTTCTCCCGCTTGGCCTGGTCGCGTCCCACCTGCTTCTGCGTGGCCAGATTGACGTTGAACTCGCGCACCTTCTGGATGATGTGGTTGCGCATCACATGCTCCGACTTGGCCATCTCCTCCAGATGCTTGTCGCGGCAGCTTATGTTCTCCATCAGCATGTTGTCCGCCTGGCGACGTGCCGCTTCCGCCTGCTTGCGCTCCAGCACCTGCTGGTCCAGCCAGGCGCGTTGCTGCTCCCGCTGCCGCACCTTACGGTCGTTGTTGTAGAGATCCTCGCCGGAGAAGATCTGGGCACTGGAGACGCCCAGCGTGATGTCGTCGTCGGCGATACGCATGGGCTTTGCCTTCTTCAGATAGTTTGGGTCGTTCAGATCGAATTCGCGGCGCTGCTCCTTACGCTGGTACCGGCATCGGTAGTAGTTCAGGTCAGAGTTGGCGACGCGCGTCTGCATGTCCAGCTCCTTCTCCTTGGCCGCGATCAGGCGCTTTTGCAGCTGCTCCTGCTCCTCGTACCGCTTGTCGCATTCCAGCTGCACGCTCCGCTGCTTGTTCTTCTCCAGGATCTGACGCTCCAGAGTCTCGAGGTCCAGCTGCATAGTAATCGGAGTACGTGGAGGAGGAGTCAAAAAAAAGCCTGCCCTCCGACCCCAAGACTCACCCCGTACAGACGCTGCTTGGCGTTGAAAATGCGCTTCTTGCGCTCCTCCTCGTACTGCTCGCGCTTCTGCAGCTTCATGGCCTCGTCGAGGTCCCCCTTTGTGCAGATACCCAGTTTCAGAGTCATCCTGTGGCTGCTTCAAACACAATTACAATATACTCTTGAAAAATACTCTTGAAAGATTTTTTTTCAATCTGAAAGTGTGTCTCTCTCTCACTGAAAGCAAATATTTGCCTCTGATTCGGAGTTGAGTTTGTTTGCCCGGTTGCCGGGTGTTCCGCTTCTAAGTTTCTTAGTTTGTTTATCGTTTGACGCCTCCCTCACTCCCATGATTACCCCCTCCCACTCCCTGAAAAATACCATAGAAACTCGTTATATTTCGTGTAGAGAAATGCAGATTCTTTTCCAATCTTTGCCTTTACCATCACTGGGTTCCGCCTGGCGCTTGACGTGTCCAATAATCGTTAAAGCGACCATTAAATAAACACCTAATGTACATACATACCCAGGTAGTACCCTGTATGGGCTTTTTTTTGCAAATGATTCCCCCGTCTCGGTGGGATTTGGAATGCCCCTCACGTACCACACGAAATAACCAATAAACAAATATAAATTAGTAAATTCGATTCTCATGGCAGAGGGAGTGGAGTTGTTTGAGTTTTCTGGGTACCCAAAACGATTTGGTCATGCGTGAAATACCCCTTGGACATATGCTAGCTTCAAGGGTATATTGGAATCCTAGGTATATTGGTAAAATATTAATAAAAAGGCAAAAGATGGGGGAAACCCAACCATAAATGCACATCTTTCAAGCTCTTCTGTGAATGTGCCGCCGAATCTTTCAAATATTCATTGTTGATTTTCATTTTAATATTGGGAATCTTCATGGGTAGCAGGGTAAACACGAGATTCTTAGAATTATGTACCCGGTTTTGCTCTTCTCATTGCACACTTTTTGCACAATTATTTAGTTATTTTGTTTGCCAAACTAATCGGTCGTAATTTTTAGAAAAAACGTCGCCCCAAGCGCGAGTACATGCGCAAGCAGAAGGACATCAACTACAATATGCGCTCGATCCTGGTCGATTGGCTGGTGGAGGTGTCGGAGGAGTATAAACTGGACACGGAGACCCTCTACCTATCGGTCTCCTACCTTGACCGCTTCCTCAGCCAGATGGCAGTGGTGCGTCCAAAGCTGCAATTGGTTGGCACTGCCGCCATGTACATTGCCTCGTAAGTAAAGTGGCACCAGAATTGGCCCTGATGTGCTCATGTGCATTTCTCACCTTTATGCAACTACTTTTATGCAGGAAATACGAGGAGATCTATCCACCAGATGTGGGTGAGTTTGTCTTCCTCACCGACGACAGCTACACCAAGTCGCAAGTGCTGCGCATGGAGCAGGTCATTCTGAAGACGCTCTCCTTCGATCTGTGCACCCCAACGGCCTATGTGTTTGTCAACACGTACGCTGTGATGTGCGACATGCCCGAGAAGCTGAAGAGTCTGACTCTGGTGGGTCTTTTATATAGGATCAATATTCTTAATACATTTCTAATCTCTGACTTTTGTCTTGTCTCGCTTCGCAGTTCCTGTGCGAGCTGGCGCTTATGCAGGGAGAACCGTACTTGGAGCACTTGCCGTCACTGACGTCGGCCGCTGCGCTCGCCATGTCGCGTCACATACTCGGCATGGAGATTTGGACTCCGCATCTAGAGGAAATCACTACCTACAAACTAGAGGACTTGAAGACTGTGGCGCTCGAGCTGTGCCAAACGCACAATACGTCCAAGGAGCTCAACACCCAGGCCATACGGGAAAAATACAATAGAGAAAAGTAAGTAGCAAATGATCCTGTCGGAGATTTGGATTTCTTGATCCTAATTACGATATTCCATTGTCACACAGGTACAAGAAGGTAGCTTCCATCGAGACAATCGAGCTGAATGAGAAAGATTTTGATCAGCTATTGCAGGGCTACATTGCCAAGCAGAAACAGGAGGAGGCGGCTATCAATTCCAAATCGGAAGTTAATTTGTTTTATAAGTTTTAAGTTTAGTGTTCCATGTATTATTTGTAGTTTTAGACCTAATTGTATTTAACTGAGAAATTGATGGGAGTCGGAGAGAACAAAAAGAAAGAAGAAAAGACAGCGGAGATCATCTACAGCACGTGGCGGATCGGCAAGCTCCCGTAACATGTACTGGACAATTTTATATGCCTCGCCATATAAGAGATTAGTCACCTCTACAGCAAACCACCAACACCTCCTACTGTCCACGGTGAGGGCCTGCTTTGCCGCCACACCACGCCAAGGGAGATCAGAAGAAGCTGCAGCAGTTTTTAGGAAAACTAACCAATGCAAAAATAGCGATGAAAACAACAATCAAGTCCAAAAACTCTACTCCATTGGATACTAAATATTTTACTGTTTGAGTTCTTTAATATGTTCGCCATGTATTTCCTTTTTTTTGTTTTTGATAAAAGTGTCACATGAATGTATTAAATGTGTCTTTTACCATAATCGTACGCACTAACAGCCAGCTTCAGAAATTATATTACATATTTATATACGTACTAACTAGTTAGGCTATAAATGTTCTGTGAACCACGCAACAATTGTAACAAATACACACATCCAAATTACACCAGACACTTAATAGGTTTTACTTTACCTTAGCACATCACAACACAAAACCACAGAACCATTCAATAACAACCCAGAACTTAAGCTTCAGGACCCAACGAGCCCATGGAACCCAACGACGCTTGGAAAGTATTTGAACCAATCGTTAATTAGCTGTGGTGGCTTAGCGATACAATTAGATACATATAGTACGATCTACTAACCCCTCAAATGTAACTTGATAATAGCATTGCTGCTAGCGGTCGCCTCGCAAGCTTCATATTCCATAAAAACGTATTGTACTCAATAAAATTGTGAAAGTAATGCACAAGAAATAGATTTTGGTCTTATATTGAAAAAAAATTAAAGATACCTCTATGTTCACTTTGGAGCAACTTTTGTGGCACTGCACCGTATTAAAGGAGTTGGGAAACTTAAGAGGATAAATTCATGAATACTCTCATTCAAAACAGATTTTATCTTGATACAATTACAAACGAAAACACAGCCGAAATCGCCGATTCTTAGTTTTGTTTTCTCCGCGTGAAATCGATTCGGATTCGATGGGGCATTGCGCAAATATACTCAAATGTAAAATGCAAATGAAAGTCGAAAGGTTCAGCGACAACAAATTGTTCACGCACACGTGAAAATGCAAATGGAGATGTTTCCTTTTTGTTAACACTGATTTTTATTCACAAATAATAAAAAAGAGCTACAACAATTAGCACGGGTGGTGGGTGTTACATGTTAGACATTTGCTTTGGGTCCATCGATCGCATCGATCCCGACTTCTGGGACCATTGGCGCATGGATGCAGGATTCGATGAGGTGGTGGTTAGGCAAACATGTTGACATGGAAAATGACAAAACCGAAATGCAAATTCTTTCTCCAACGCAATTTAATCCAGGAATTTTGGCAGGAAGGCCCCCAAGGAAGCTGGGCGCTCACCTCTAGTAGGCGAATCGGGTGTCCGGGTGGAAGTTGAGCTTGTCCAGCGCTGGGTTGCAGGCAAAGTTGATCATGGGTGGCGGGCCACAGAGCAGCACGATGGTGTCGTCGCTGGCCGGCAGCAGATGTCCGGCGATCATGTCCTCGTTGATGAAGCCCACACTAAAGCCCCAGCCTGTGCGGGAGTAGAGAGAGCATCGGGAAGGGGTTAGCCACGGGCTGTCTACAGACTACTGCGCGTAGTCTATCCCTCTGGCAATTGTGAAACGAAAGCAAAAACTCTTTGACGGGGCAATATATGCTAGATGGAGCTGGTCTTAATAGCTAAACCGCTGCTCCGCTCGATGCCCCAGGCGCTCCAGACCCGGTATGCACGTGTAGTTAACCATGGGCGGGGGACCGCACAGCAGGCACAACGTGTCGCCGTCGGGCGGATAGAGATGCTTCTCCATCATCTCGTCGTTCACGTGTCCGGTGTTGTAGGACCAGGCTATGAACCGGGCGTTGGCCGTTCGCGGCATCCGTTTGAGAGCAGCATGTGGCAAGGCAGATACAAAATTCTTAACATAATAGATGACTTAGACATGGCTCGCTTGTGTGTGTTTCAATGTTTCAATGGTGCGTCCGATGCGTATGAGAAGACTGAATGCGAATGAGGCTAACTATGGCTGAACTGAAGGCTCTCTGTGATAACATTGCTTGATACATCACAAAAAGTGATATTGGTTATTGCTGGATCTTTTTTGAGGCGATAAACGGCTGATATTGAACCAAGAGGTAGAAGGTGTCTAAAACTCGCGATTAACAAGAGGATCTTACAACCATTATGAAAGGAAAAACTGGCCTCGTGTGGGTGAGAGTAGTGAGAGAAACAATATAAATGGGGAAAAACTCAACATGAAACGATCAAATGCGATGTGTGATATGTCCGGAGTGTACCCCAACTGCAGCTTACCTTCGGCTGCCTTGTCCACGGTGTACCAGACCTTGAATTGGTCGGGATGCTTCTGGGCCAGTTCGTCGAGCTCACCGCGCAGTAGAATATCCTTTTCGCTCTGTGAAAGATTAGAAAGATTAGGAGAGCCGACTGGCGTGGCGGGGGTGGGTCACTTACCTGATTGGCAAACAGCAGAGCCATTTCGGTCTTGTCCTTGTCGTTGCGCTTCAGCACTTCTCGGACCAGCTGCAGCATGGGAGTGATGCCTGTGCCGCCGGCAATCATGTTGACCCGCTTGGCGGTCACGTGCTTGGGTGGGTCCTTGCGCAGCTTCTTGATGGAGAAGGTGCCATTGCCGAGGTACTGCAGGCGGCCGGACGGTCCGCGGAACGAGATCTTGTCACCCAGCTCCAGCTGTTCCAGATGCTGGGTCATCTTGCCGCCACCGGGGAACTTGGGATGTGTGTCCTTGAAGTATACCTTGACCACCAGATCGACATAGCCCACGTCCTCGTCGGACGAGATGGGCGTGTAGGGACGGATGACCAGCTCATTGTCAATGGTCGCAATCAGGTGAATGTGCTGGCCCACGGGCAGGCCCAGAACGTGCTGCTTGGAGGGCAGGCCAAAGCGAAAGCGACGCGTGTCGGCGCTAAGCACCTCCTTCTCGACCAGCGGCAGCAGATACTTGTCATTGGGGTCCACCAGGGTGCGGAGGCGGGCAGTGCGATTTGGCTCCCGGCGCGGCTTCGTAGACTTCTTGTTCAGGAAATAGTGGACGATCAGAGCGCCGGCTACGACGGCTACCACGCCCACGGCGATCGGGACAAACTGCAAGAATAGGGAAAACATACATAATTGACTTGTCGAATAAGCAAAGATAACAAGATATCAATGATGACTGCTTCTGTACATACACATGTACATAGTACAGTACGTACATATGAATGCACGTGCGAGTGTTCATGTCCACTCTGAGATTGTGCGGACGCTTATGACACACTCAATGGTGGGATAATGTCTGTTTGTATTAGCTATTTTGAATCGACTGATTAGCGGGGCTGAGTCAAGGTCAAGAGGGAAGATGGAAACTACCGCTTACGTCTGCCGCGATAAGAAAAACAAAAGGTGAAATCTTGACTCGCATGTCGAACCATTTTCGACCTGCGACCGCAACGCAACAGCTGATTGAGGTTACTTTACTGGTTTAACCCCACTGCTCGCACTTCGATCGCTCCACTAGCCACTACCGACCTTGGGGCTCTCGGGCCGGCCTAAAACTAACTGCGTTGCACACTTTAGGGTTAGTGAGTAGTTCGGCTATGACGTCACAGCCACCTTATATCAACTTACATCAAAATCCGTCATGGTTCCCACACTTGTTTAATGCAAATTTTGTTTCTTTTTTTTCAATTTCTAATTTGACTTGCAAGCGAAAACGTTTGAACGACGACGAAAACGCGTGCGGCCGAGCACTGAAATTTGAATGAAGTCGTCGCGTGTAGCTTTGCACGGCTTTACCTCTCAATCTCACTCTACCCCTCTATGAAATGAGGACAAGTCACCGCGATTCATTTTTGATTAGAATACAAATCGGCTATATGATAAAGTTGCCCGAATCGAGCGCAATTAGGCCAGGTCAGATTATTTAGTGGACATGTGTGCAATCACAAACCAAATACGAGGCAGAAATCTTCATTGACGACAAATAATGGTCATGCCACTTTGCAGTATCTGTACTGTACACTACGATAGTACGAGAGCAAGAGAGCGAGTCTGAAAGAGAGAGAGACAGGAGAGCACAAAAGATAGTAAAGTACAAAGTTAGACAAAATCCGTTTTTATTGATTAAGAGCGCAAAGCTCTCTTTGTTGCGGTGGGCGTGCAGAGAGTGAGTGCTAGCCTCGAACAGCTGATTGGCCTTGGCATTGCATTGCACCGGCTTTGTACTGAAAATTTCTTTTAGAGAGAGAGGGGAGGCTAATGGGGTTTACATCCCAGAGTGTACGGCGTGACACTTGCCTGCGAAGCGTATCTGCTTGGAAAAACACGACGAGGATTGGGTGGCTATGTCCCCACCACCAGGCACCAGTCTGAGGCGCCTACTATATAGCATCTCTATAAATAGCGGCGCGACGTCACTTGTTAGAAATCTACACTAATGCAAACGACTAAGCATTTGTCCCGAGAATAGGAATGAAGTGCTGGTGCGGGTGTGTGCTTGACAATTATGAAATTCCGACCACTTGGAACAGGAGTTATGTAAAGCGATGCTGGGCTGCAGCTCGTGTCGTAACTTACGTTGCTCTCGATGAGACGGGCCATGTCCAGGCGTTAGACACGACACTGTCTTCAAATGGGCTCCGGCTTGACAGTCGCAGTGGCTGGTGGGAAAATCAATGGGTCACCAGTCTTGGATAAATTATATAATTCGAAATTTGCACTGATGCCGTCGCCGGCGTAGGAGCGCTAATACAAGGCGCAGCCACTAACGGCGTACTATCGAAGGCAGTGTTTTGTTTGCACGCGCTCTTTATGTCTGCACTGCACTCCGTTCTCTCTGAGAGCGGGCGACCGTGCTCTTCTTTGTGTCAAACACAGCTGGAGTAGCGCTGCAGCTGAAAGAGATTTGTGATAAAGCGAGCTTCTTCAATTACCAATAAGTAAAATATTCACCTTATCAATGGACTGTCACCGGGCCGGGGTCGAAGTAGGCTGATTTGTGTAATACTTTAAATCAAAACAATCCCAGCCAGCTGCAGCTCGAGTTCAATTTTGATAAGTGTTGCCACATCTCAGAAAAAGGTAAGTCGAGCCTGGCGAGTATCAATAGTATCGCTAAGGTATCGACTATCGAAAATCCTTACCGCTGTGAAGTATCGATCGATGCCGCTGTACTTGCTAGTGATGGAAAAGATGGTGGCATATGATATTTTTTTTATCACAGCAGGGCTGCTTTGAAAAAAAGTTGGCGGCAAAATGGATATATAGCATAGTTGTGTTGTTTATCTTGCAGTATAATTTGGACTTGAAGAATAAACCACTTCTATTAAATTCAAATTAAACTGAAAAATGGAATACATGCAAATACGTTTTAGAGATGTCACTATTGCATATCTGCCGGAAGTCTGGTCACACTAATATGACCCAATGCAACTTTGCGACTCTGGGAGACGCCGATAATTTAAACTTTTGCAACTGTAGCGGTCTAACGGGACGCACTGATCCCAAAATTGTTGAAACAATGGATTTTGTTACTGTCATTTCCACGGGTGGCAGTGTTGAGGTGAGTGCAGGCATCGTGCAGTAATATCCCCTCCAGAAGATTACCAAACCATTTTCCGAGTATAGTATGTAGTGCGGGAATACGCCACTGCCTTTATGGGAGCCATCTTCGCGGATCCCCACAACTGGCATGCGAAGGTGTCGCATCAGTTTGTGGGCCAGTGCTTCCACGTGCTGGGACTGAAGTTCAACGTGAGTGTGAAGGAGTTCCGCAAAACGCAGGATCATCCGTATCGCAACGACAACCCCAACTACATATTCGATGCTGTGCCCTTTGTGATGACTGCCGTGGAATCTTTTCTGGAGAAGCTGCCCACTCTATTGGCCTGCCATGCGAAGAGTTTGGAGCCGGATAGGAGCAAGTCAAAGACACCTGCTGCCAAGCGCTTCGACGAGCTGACTGACCCAGTTTCCTGCTACCTAAAAGTGGTGCTTACATGGACGAAAGTGGTGCATTACATATGCACCTCAATGCAGCTGAACCCCTGCGCAGGTGATAAGTACCTCTGCGAGCCAGTGGCCAGAATGTGTATGTGCTTCTCCCCCCGAACCCCGAATAAGTGCTAACTAATTGAAAAATGATCTACCGTAGCATTCAGCATACTCTGCGGGCTGTCCAAGCTGCTGCCCACATACAACGACGAGTTTGGAGGCTTTAAGCATATTTGCCTCACGCTCACCATTGACGCACGCTATGGGCTATTGTGAGTGAGCACTGAGACGCGTACCGATTGTGATAAAAAAATACCCTTGTGTGATTTGCAGCTACCAGGCGACTAGTCAACATATACTAAAACCCATGCTGGACATGTTTCGGGAGCACTTTGGGACATTCTGCAGCGTGGAGAACTCTGCGCTAGACTTTGTCTACTGTGCTCTGGCTGTTGTGGTAAGCCCTGAACCAATCATTCACAGCAATCATTCGTGAATGAAATCGTAATTTTAGATGGAGGATGAAGATAGCTACATCATGACCTACGAGTTCCTGGAAAGTATGCTCAAGCAGTTTGCCCAGGACCAGCAGCGTGATCGAAGTGGCAATCTGTATCTACGTCTGTTTACCAATGAGCTGATCACTGATAGGTTTCTGGCCCTACACTTTGAGGTTTTGAAGTCGAGTAAATCCAAAGCCCTGCTTATGGCCACGCTCCTGTACATACGGACGCTCCAGCGGTAAGCAGCAGAGGCGTAATAGCCGTAAAAGCCGATTCCTCATTCTTTAACCGATCCGTCCGGATGGTTTTCCAGACACATTGTCAGTGCTGAACGGTTTCCAACGAGGTTCCACGAAATTATCCTGGAGCTGTTGCTTCGCCTGCCACAAGCTTTGACCATGGTTTGGTCCATGGCAGCGAAGCTCTATGTGGAATTGGCCCAGCGCCTGTACAATGAGAGGGAAATAGTTATGCACATCTTGGAGACGTACGTCAAGTGTCAGTACAGCCCTCGCCGAAATCCCAGCTTTGCGCAGTTCAGGGCCCAACTGACACGCTACCTAAAGACGATAATGGAGCATTTTCCAGCAGTGCGGCGGTTCGAGGTCTACACGTTTGTGCTCACTTCCCAGCAAGTGCGCATCGAACTGAGCGTCATAGCCGCACAATCCGTATGCGTGCTCTTTGACCTCTATTGGCTTGAATATTCCACCTCGGAGGAAGCTCGTAAAGAGGTACACGAACTTCTGCGTACTTGGCCGTATCTCATTTCGTCGTCAACCCACCAAAGTGTCACCCGACCTGTGCTCTACAGTGTCTACAGCGCCGTAGATTTTATGGCTGTGGCTTCAAATAATGTCGAGGTTTGTGCCCTAGGAACTCTAAAAAATATTGCTGAAGACCAACTACATAAATACATATATTATTGTACATTGCATAGCTGCTGCTGACACTGGAGACATTCTGCCTGGATAAGTTTCTACACGATGAAACGCTAAGCGATTCGGAATTCAGCGGCCTCTACACAAATCTATCCCGCTCCGTGGAGGCAACTGGCAACAGGCAGACACACATAACCGCCGCAGGGTCTGTGCAATATCAGCACGCTCAGCTGCAGGCTCAGATGAGTGCCAGTGACCTGGGGGCTGCACAGAGGAAGGAACTGCTGGAAGCCTATGCCCAGTGCCTGCGTCGCTTGCACGCCCTTCTTAGGGCCAACAAGCTAAGCGGGGACCGTCTGGCTGAAATGGTGGACTGCTTAGTAGTCAATCTGCTGGAAAGACCACAGCAGAACGACAACCTGAGTAAGCGTGACATGTTCTAGAAGTGCCGTGTTAATCACAGACTGTTTTGTAGGTATCTTTGGCTCCGAAAGCTTGGCCTTCATGCTCATCATGCTGCACAAGGAGCACAAGGATGTGATCGGCCTGGCCCAGCAGTTACGTGACTTCTGCGTTTATGAGCTCTCGAACCCCACACAGGAGAGCTTTCAGCGAACCAAGTTTATGTTCTGCTCCGTTGTCATCCTGCACATTGGCTTGAGGAATAGTTTTCCTCTAGACGCTCCAACATACGACGCACTCCTTATGAGTCTGACAGTCACTCCGTCGGGATCGCAGCCAAGTTGCGATCAGCTCACCCAGAGTTATATTCAAGAGAAGCACTTGCTGTTTCGTCAAATGCTCGCTTGCGATCAGGTCGCGTTGCCCAACAACCGAATTTGGAAAGCTCTGTTGCAGTACAATGTGGTGGGAACTGCCTCGCAAGTCCTTCGGCCAGAGCTTGATTTACTAGTCGGCGTTCTGATAGAGCACCGCATTCTCTGCTATGTCCACTGTCTGTCGGTAATCCAGCTGCGCTTCGGCAACGAAGCCAATGTCAATAAACGGATGGCCGCTACGCTGAATGCCCATCTGCGGCTTATTGAGGGCCATGCCTCCGCCGTAGACGCTTGGCTTCTGCGTTGGACTGTTTTCAATGGTTCGCTGAATCTCTTGATTAAAAAAATGGGCACTGTAAGATTGGAGGCAGCCAATGTCCAAGGGAATCGCTTGCTGCCGCTGCAGCATCTGCAACTGATTGTGGCCAATATGCGTCTGAAAGAAGCGCATTTCCAGAAAATGTAGGTCCAGAAGATTTTCCAAATGATATTTTAAACTAAATGGATCGTTAATTTCTTTACAGCGCTCGCTCGATTTGCAGCTTAAAAGAAGCGGCAGCTGGGCCCAAGGAGAGAGCAGAAATCGACAGTTTCATAAATCAGATCAGTGCGTTCAAATATCGCTGCGAGGATGAGCACGCGGAGGCATCAATTAGTGCAGATTTTGAGGGAAAACTGATGTCAGTGCCGCCTGGTCCCATGACCTTATGGCAATGCAAGGCCATGGATAATTTGGATTTCTTAAACTCTTTTGGTTCCCGTTTGGGTTGATTAACATCTTAAAGTCAGTGTTTAGTTTCGTTTAGTTTTGTATAATAGTGTATTCTCACATTATCCATAATTATCTCGTATGTTTAATTTAGGCCAAATAAGGTCATAAGTTCAGCAAGGTCCACACTGTCCGTTTGCTTAAAATGCATTAGCTTGTTGTACACGAAGGACAGGCGTTCGGGATTGTCGGTCTCAGAAATTAAATGTTTAAGAACCTTAAAATATTTAAATTGTTTAGCAAGGAAGTAAAATTCATTTAGGAATAGGTTATACGCACCTCAAGAAAAATTTCGATAGCAGATTCAGGAGCAGGTGTCGATGTACTCGTAGCTAAAAATATAGCGTCGTGGACTTGGGTTTGATTACCATGTAAATCCAACAGCAAACTTAACATTTTAATTATAGCTGCGTTGCTGTTTTCAAGAGTGGTCTGGTCCAATGCCCAGAAATGAGGCCCAGTGGCAAAATAGGTGATGGAATCATTCAAAAATTGAAACTTTAGTGAAAATTTGCAAAGAGTGACCTCACACTCTATGCCAGTGGTCTTAATTTCAAATACTGGCATGCCTTTAGCAGAGTTCTCCGCCATAAAGACACTGAGGGTGTACGTCTTGCTGCTCGCACAATTCATCTGACCAATACGGGCAAGAGCTCTTTTTAAATCGTCATTAAACAGGGATATTATCAAATAGGGAATAACATATCCGCTTCGTACAACTGGATGTTGTACATCTGCCTTCAGGTCGTAAACCGATGCGTCTTTGTCTTGGAGTACTTTAATACGATTAATATTGAACGGCATTTTTAGAAAAAGCACTGGATAATGATACGGGTGATTGATACCTGGGACAGTGTAAAAACGTACGATATTCGGATATACATATGTATGGTCGAAAAGAATGTAAAGCTTACTCGTTTTTATAAAATCAATTAGAGTGCCCTGGAAAATAGAGTTTATGTCGTGGAATGCTTGAACTATTTTCTGAACAATCTCTTCAGTATCCTTGGAGATTATAGTCGGAGTTGGCGAATCGAATTGTGGTATTTTTTCCATTAATTTATCAAAAGCCTCGTTGAATTTAAGCGACATCTTGACGATTTTTCCAGCTCTGACTTGTTTCGGGGAATTCACAGACGTCTACGGCTGCACTTGCCACTTCAGAGATGGGATGTTTGATTCTTTCAAAAATATCGGCCAGCATAGCCGAACTGCCAGATTCACGTTTTGCTAATCGCACAAAAATACTGACATTTAAATCCGAAAAAAAATAGTGTTGACTTGTTGACAAAATTAGTTCCGTTAATGATGTATTTATTATCCGTATCAATATTTTCGCCAGTCTGCAAAACTATATCCTAGAAATATATTGTCAACAAAAAATATTTATCGATATATTGGTCAACATATATTTAACATCGCCCTCTCAAAATTTTCACTCTTTTCAGAGGTGAAGAGAGCGTTTTCGTGGTGACTTTTCGTGGTGTGAGCAACATGTATCTTGCGTTCCCGTAAGATGCATTTGATTTGTATGGGAAAAATTTCAGCAACATGGGAAATGAAGAGGCAGCATTGTTGTGCAACTTTGGCACGGGCTGAGCAACCATCTGCATACCTTGGGAAAATGGATATTATGGACTTGAGATATTGTTTGTAGTTTCAGGCTCCAATTAATGAAGGTCACTACTCAGTCTCTCTTCTAAAGAAATTAACAAAGTTTTGCAGCTCACGGGTTCCAATAATAGTTATCAGAACCGGGATAAATGTATTTATAAAACACAAACATGTGCATATATAGGTAAAAAACATGTCAATCTAGGATAAAAATAAATAATGTTTCAATGGAGCTTGGAACAACAAATTTAACATAAATTAAAAGAAATAAGGTATACCAAAGTACATACGCATAGAAGAAACTTGGTTGACCAGCAACACTGACGAAACATTTAGTCAAAATTTACGTTTTATACTTTGGCCGCTTTTGTTTTAACCTTATTATGTAAAAAAATCCAATGAAAAAGTGAAACCAACATTCCTGACAAAATTCATTGGGTTGGATAAAATTATTTGTTCAGGGAGAGGGCCAACTAGCTAGTAATATTAAACCGAATATCAAATTCGAGGAATATCAACGTTGAATGTTTTGAAAAAACAATCGATACCGTGGTATCGGGCTCAAAAATATTAAAAAACCATTGAAACCTTTTAGGAACTTGTCCATTGTAAAAATTAGATGCCACCTGTCGATTGGTTTACAAATGTGTCTTCGTATTTTATAGCAGCCAATCCCTGTAGCTCGATACTATCATGATAGTCGCAAAACCGTCGATAGTAGAGGCTAGCAGTAAAATATCGATACTATCGATAGTGCCCTCGATGGTTTGACACTTCTACCCATCGCTCGTTCTTTCGTAAACCGGACGTTCCGACGTGCAGACATGGCGTAAGTTACACAAAATAAATCTTTAAAAATACTGGGCATCCCTAATGTTTTTGACATGGTTTAACTGTAATTCGTTAAATAGTGGTACGATAACAATGCAATGCATACTATTTTATGCATTTGGCAATCAGAAACCAGCTTTTTAGACCATTTTCCATGTCCATATCAGTTTGGAAATGATTGCAAAATTAAATGTGATTTTGTGCTATGGGCGCAGCTACTAATGTGAGCTGCACTCAATTGCACAATGCCTCGACAGTTAAACAAGGAATAGACTACTTTTTGTATGATACGTTTTGTGGATATTTTCGCTAATAATTTACTTTGTGTTGCAGATCGAAAGTTTCGCGTGACACGCTCTATGAGGGCGTCAGTGGAATTCTGGAGAATTCGCTGAAGAAGAAGCGTGGCTTCCTCGAGACGGTGGAGTTGCAAATCGGCCTCAAGAACTACGATCCCCAGAAGGACAAGCGTTTCTCCGGCACTGTCAAGTACGTTGGCTAAAATACCTGCGCCAGTGAGTACGTCTGCTCCCCGCGAGTAGTGTGCCACAGCGTCAGGAAGTCGATCATGTGGCAACACATCTCGGCGGACCTGCACTCAGGGTCTTAAAAACAAATTGAGTAGGTTTCCAGCAATGGAAACCGACCCCTATAGTTATTTTAATGAAAACAGGCTTGCTCACCCGTGGGCTTTGTAAGTTTTCTGCGTTCCCAACATACCCCCCTAGTTAGAGCCTAGCGTCTGTGAAATGTGAGTGGTATATTGATGAATCTTTTCGTTTGTTTTTGATCTGCAGGTTGAAGCACATCCCACGTCCCAAGATGAAGGTGTGCATCCTTGGCGATCAGCAGCATTGCGATGAGGCCAAGGCTAATGGCGTTGAGTTCATGGATGCCGAAGCCCTGAAGAAGCTGAACAAGAACAAGAAACTTGTGAAGAAGCTGGCCAAGTCTTACGACGCGTTCCTGGCTTCCGAGTCGCTCATCAAGCAGATCCCACGTCTGCTGGGTCCCGGTTTGAACAAGGCCGGAAAGTTCCCTGCCCTGCTGTCGCATCAGGAGTCGATGATTGGCAAGATCGAGGAGGTCAAGTCCACCATCAAGTTCCAGATGAAGAAGGTTCTGTGTCTGTCGGTCGCCGTCGGACACGTTGGCATGAAGAGCGATGAGCTTGCCCAGAACGTCAACCTGTCGATCAATTTCCTGGTCTCGCTGTTGAAGAAGAACTGGCAGAATGTGCGCTCGCTGCACATCAAGTCCTCCATGGGCCCACCCCAGCGTCTCTACTAGATGTCTATAATTTTTAACATCCGATAATAAATGAGGAATTACATTTTGCTAAATGTATCTTAACTAAATTTCTTTATATTGCAATAATACGGTATTTTGTTTGGGAAGTTAGATTTCAGTGGAACTGATGGTTCGCGCCAGAAAATCACGTACACGCAAACCTTTCTCCGTCTCCCCTTCGACGTCTTCGCAGCAATCTGGCAGTGGGTCTGATTTAAACTTGGAGACGTCCACTGCGTTGCCCCATTCCAGCATGTGCGGCTCGCTTATCTGCTCCAGCAGATTGTGCAGGACTGCAGCAGCCGTAATAATGCAGGAGGCCGTCTGGAAGCGGATGTCCAGCGGCTGGATGAAAAAGTGCCAACGCGACATCAGACGGTGCAGTGCACAGTCGCTCAACTCCTGCAGACGTTCCGCCACTTCGTTGAAGTCGTGCTCGTGCGGAGCAATCGGATCCGCATAGCGCTGGAGTAGCCATCGACGCAGCGGATAATTTTGTTGAGGCGGAACCAAGACAAATGGGGAAATCAGGCGTCCATTTATGGGTATCTGAGGCAGATCCGTAAGTCGGTTTGGCGCTTTGGAGAACAGTGGCATCATCGAGGCCCTGCTTCCGTTGCCTAGCCGCAGTTCGCGAAAGAGCATACGATCGTCCAGTAAAAACTCCATGCGCATTACCGATTGACCAGCATAGTTTAGGGGGCCGCTATTGGCTCGTATCGGGATGGAGCACACGCCCAGGATACCAACGAGGGCCGCAGGCATGTTGCTTTCTTTCTGGAAACCGACCATGACGTTGCCGCAGTCCGGCTCGGATTGTGGCAATTTGCGTAGAGCCTTTCCCAGGGTGGACATGACGGCGTTGCAGAAGAGTTTCAGGCACTTGATTGTTCTTAGCCGGGGTACGGAAAACAGATTCGATATGATCGAGATGCGCTCGCCGCTGGCCAGATAGTAGAGCGCCAAGGCAACGCATTTGTCCAGGGAAATTTCGAGAGAGCTTCCGCTACACTGCCCCCCCTTGCGCATTGCTGGTGTCAGCTGCCGGCACAGCGCCTTGAAGGTGCTCCGGGTTATGTGCAGTTTGTTTAGGAACTCTTCATCGCTCAGCTCCGGGAATATGTCCTCATAGACGATCTGATTGTCTGTTATGTTGGTCTGTTGTATATTGTCGTTGGCATCGCTCTCCTCGGACTCCTCATCTTCCAGGCTAGCACGTTTGAGGCGCAACATGGCATACATCTGCATATAGTTGGATTGCATTTCGACCATCTGCTGCATGAAAAACGAACGCAGATGCCTATACCGGCGCCTGCTCCGCTGCTGGGACCGACGTCTATGTGTAATCACAGTAAGTTGCACGTGCTGTATGTGCAGCCATAAGAGCCTGGCGATCCTTTCCTTGCGATTCCGCCAATCATCATCCTTGTTTTGGTTCTTTTTAGTCTCCACCAGTTTGGCCAGGGCATTGCTTAAATTGCTGTTGATTAATTCCAGTTCTTTCTCCATTTTGTTGTAGTGTCTTTGTTTTTATTTTATTAGTGATGGTCAAGAGCGTAATATAAGTATCGCTGCTCGTATATATACGACTCAAATCAAAGCCCTGTTTGAATATAATTTGAATCGTATAGAATTCTGATTCAGATTAATCACTCGAGGGGTGAAAAACAACACATTTTGGTATAATTTAACGACATAAGAATGGCTATTTAGCGAATCGTGGGTGCAGAAAGCAGCTATCGATACTTTGTAAATATCGATGTATGAAATAGCAGAACAGCGATGAACTTGAAAGTGTTGGTCCGTTTCGAAATATGATTTAATATAATTTACTACCAAAAGCTAACATGAATGAAACTATAGATGAAGAGCTGTTTACTGCTAACATCAGACCCTCGACCGCATCAACGCCAATGGGCAACACTCTCCCACGCTTGCACAATAGCTTGATTCAACACGCAATCGGCCTGTGCCGGCTTCTATATATACAGGATGTTGCTGCCTGGAGGGAGTGGTCCACGGATATGGCCGAGTTTCAAGATCTCACACCACATGAAGCGTGCGCTAAGTTTCGACACGAGGTTCTGCCTATTGTGAACACCTACCAATTGTCGCTGAGGGTCAGAAAGCGCCTGAGGCTGCTGGATCTGCATCCGTGCTTTCGTCGCATCGAACAGGGATATCAGTACGAGCCAGATTGTGAGCTAGCCACGTGCTTCGTACTGCAAGCGAATCGGGATTTTCGCCTGGTCAGCGCGTTACGAACGGTAAATAGAGGCTCGGCTTTGAGGGAAGATATGAATTAATTGGCATTTTATTCACATTCAATCCACTCCCAGTCTAGAGACTTCGACCAAGCCTCCCACACTGTGCTCATTAACGACGAGGCAATTGAGCAGAAAGTCTGTGTTGGCTACAACTTCAAGGTCTCGCCGGAGACTGCCAGCCTGTTCTCGGTCATGGTCTCCACTAATTTGGAATTATCGATTGGTCAGATGCACGATTTGGCCGAGATCCATCGTCGCTTGCGGCGCGCAAAGCAATCCTTTGAGGACACCGCCAAACTCTTGCCATTCCGCAGGAGTATAAACTATTTGGTCTATAATATGGGTATATATGTCAATCTAAAAACGAAAATATGTGAAGCAATTAATAGAAACTATGATTAATAGACAGATTAGACATTAAGGATTTGTTTTTTTTTAAGAAATACTGAAGAGACTTAAGACGTAATATATTATTGTACATATTTATAAATTCTAAAATGTCTCATCGATTAGTTGCTTTGTCTAGCTGCCATTTTTACGGGTAAATGAGAACTGGAATCCAAGTCCATCAAAATTGGGTGACTTCTTTGCAACGACAACTGCACGATTGCTATTCACGTCAAAGTCGTCGGGCATGGTAGATCCACAGAGTGTTTGCACTAGTCCCTCGCTTGCATCCGGCAAAACCTTGTAGAATTTAATATTATCCAGATTACAATTGGTCTCCGTGCCCATGTTGAAGTCTGGAAAATACAAAAATAGCAATAAAAAAAAGTCAGAAACCAACTGACATGGCGCCTACCCGTGAAACTGATCCTCAGGATGCTGCCTGCTGGCACTGATATACGCCAAGTGCACAGCGAGTGATTCCGATTGTCGTAGGGGGGATTGGCCAAGTTGCCAAAGTCATCGCCCAAAGAGATGTCGCCACCACAGCCGTTGGGAAATTCGTTACTGGTGGAGTAGTAGAACAATCGCAGAGAAGCAACGCCCGCGCTCGCAATGCGAAGCTGATTGGACGTCGTGAATCTCAATGTGGGGCTCGACAAGAATCTGGTCGCGTGGAGGACTGGCCTATTGGTGTTCAGGTCGCTTATCTATGTTGTGGGAAGGCACAGCTTTAGATGGTTTGGTTTTGACGACTGCTGGCGCAACTACTCACGTTCAGATACTTTAGGCTAGACTCCATATCGAATAACAGAAACAGCAGGTTCAGAGTCACACTGTAGCCATCGGGCACTCGAATGTCCACGCTGCAGTTGGCCAAACCGTAGTCTTGGATGGATTCGCTCAGCTGCGTATAGTTGCGACCACAAGCTGAAATTTTCACAATATTTAGGTCCAATTTCCCCAAGTAAAAGTACAAATTTTGCTTACGTTTATTCTGCCTGACTATCACTTCAAACCCAGTGGAGTCTGTCAGCTCTTCGCTATGGAATGTTAGTTGGAAATTCGAGTTATCAGGCGACGACAATCTCTTGAAGGTATTGTTCAACTGGCCGCATAAATAGTGCGGCGTCTGCAATTGTTTGCAATGTTTAACATTTTCAATAAACTTTGTTCCCACGATATTCAACTTACCCACGTTTCGGATATAAGCAGGTAGTCCACGCATTTACCCGTCAGCTGGGACACTTCCCTTAAATTGAGCCACCGTATCTCGACTTCCGTCTGCACCGCTGATTGAATCGTCCAAGTGCAGTGAACGCTTCCCTCAACGCTTTTCCTCGTGCTGTTGTCCCCTGGGATGGCCAGTTTGATGCTCTGCAGGAAAAGTCAATTACAATTATAGAATCCATTCAAATCAAGTCCCTAGGACAAGCTCACCCACCTCGTTTGAACGCAGTTGATATTCGGTCTCTCCACAGATTGTACGTTCCATTTGCAGAATCAATTCGAAGCTCACGTTTTGCGCCTCGTTGGAGGTGCCGCTCAGCTTGATCGCCAGGTCTGAATAGGAGCTGAAGAGCTTTGTACGATTGCCGGCCAGGTCATAGTACTTGCCGAGGCTTTGGCTCTGAGCGGCGGCGCTGTCAATAATCTCCAGGTAGGAGCCCAGATAGGAACCAGACGGCTGGAACTGTCTCAGCTGCACGGACAGCCGATGTCCAGGCGGGGCGCTGGCCTTGAACATGCACAGCAGCTGCTCGGAGGCAGTCACCTTGTAGTTACGCATGAGGCTCATCCGGGGCAGATCAGCGTCCAGAGCAATGCGCTCGTTACAGTTGGGGGTGAATCGCACAGCGGCCAGGAAGCCCCGAAAACTGTTCGATCCATCCGAGTGGGAGACAATTAGCGCCTCGTTGCTGTCCACCATAATGGTAGGTGGCTGCGTGGTCAAGTTACCGCACAGACGGGCCACGCGCTGTTCAATGTTCGGCACCATGCTGCCGCCCTTGTAGACCGCCAGGTAATCGTATCGACAGTTCCGGCTCTCCTCCAGATCAAAGTACTTGAACACCAGAACGATGGCGTGCTGGGGTGGCGCCGTCACACGCCATTCGCAGTGCCTATTGTGGGCATACGACCGCACATCCCCATCGAGCTGCGGCGGACGCAGAGAGAAGGGTGCGCTGTAGTTTCCGCCGCAGCCCAGCAGCTGGTACTCCAGCTTAAACTGTCGCAATGTGGGCGAAATGTACTGCAGACGGAGCTCCTTGTAGCCATTTACCTCGAAGTCCGGGCAGAACTTCTCCCCGGACTGCTCCTCTTCCCCAGAGCTGGAGCTGTAGCTCGAGCCTGGGCTGTAGACCTTAAAGAAGGACCTGTTGCAGGCGTATGCAGTCCAAGGGCGGCGCCCCACACTTGTCACGCTGGCCACCAACTGCTCCTGGCTGTCCGTTAGGATCACGTAGCTGCAGTTGAGCAGCAAACTGAACGATGCCTGCCAGCTGGGATTGCGACGGGTCTGCAGCTCCGCGGAGGCACGCACTGTGACGTCGCAACTGGGGGAGACTGTAAAGCTGAAGCCGTCGCCGGTGACGTTGCCATTGGTGCGAAATACCACTCGCATGCGGAACGCCTCAACTTTCAGTGGTGTAGGCAGCTGTCGGCCGCATAGGTTGGCCACCTCGGTCCAAACTGCCGCCGGCTCCTGGCTGTCATTGCTCTGCTGCACACTCAGCCGATCATTGGTGCAGTTCGGGGACGTTTCAATGAAGAACCGCCCTTGGAACTTCAGCAAGAGGGACAGTTCCGTATTGGTGCTAAACTCCCATATGAGCTCCATGTTGTTCTTGTAGTCCGTCCCATTGATCGTTATGGGCGCCGTGGTCCTCTGGTCGACGCGTATCACACTCCCTGGCAAAGGGTTTGCTCGTCGCTTGGTCTCCAGCCGGAACCAACTGCGACCAGGTCGGTGCTGTTCTGTATGGTAAACCACCTTGGACTGGACCTTACCCAGCCGCGTGCTGTTCATCGTCATGCCGCGGCAGAGGCGCCCCAACAGTGCGCGACCCGCAAAGATCACAATGTACTCGCGGTCGCAGCTATCGCTGAGGCTCACGTTTCCCTCGAGCGCATAGCCACTGCTGCCCTCCAGCGTCCACACGCACTCCAGCGCCCCATACTCCTCGCCGATGGTTGCCATTAGCTGCGGTGACTCTATGGTGAGGCCTTCGTCTACCTGCAGTTGACCGCCACAGTTGTGGCGGCGATAGGTGGCCCGAAAGCGCCTCAGTTTGACATTTTTGCTCTGGCTCAGGGAGATTCGTCCGGGCGTGGATGGCATTGAGACGTAGGTATTGGTGACATTCGTGGACATGTAATTGACAAAGCGGAAGCCTTCGTCTCTGAACACTACCGAGGGACCGGCACGGCTCCAGTACACATACTCCACCACTCTGAAGGTGAGTGTGGATCCGCTGAGGCCCGCATAGTTGATGGTGCAGTAGTAGACAGGCAGCTGGCTGAGACTTTGGATGGAGAGAGCACCGGCTGACTGGTCTCCAATGTCTGGCGGGCACTGTGACGGTTGGCTGGAGCTGTAGCGGGCACGCAGCGGTATGGTGGTCAGATCCAGTTGGGTAGTGATGATGCTGACCAGCATTATGTTGTCGCTGGACTCGATGATGCCGCTGCCATTGTATGCATCAATCCGGAAATCGGTGATCTTTGTGAGCTGATTGAAATCGTTGTAGAATGCAAACTGCGGTTGAATCTCACTCCTCCTCCAGCTGCAAAATATACAACGATATTTAAGTTGATATTCAATTAAATTACACATTATTATACGTGATTGATTATGAATGGAATTGTAATTATGTGTGGGAGGATCGCTGTAGGACTTTAAATAAATCCTAAAAATGTCGGTATTTTTTCTCGCTCACTCTTCGTTTGATTTACTGCTCGAGACACAGCTGAGCCCACAGTAGCTGTATGCAAGAATAAGCGCGCACTCACCCCCTAGTTTCATTACGAATGACCACACGTATATCGGCTAGATTGAGGAACTCGAGACGTACGGTCTGGCCTTTGGGCACAGTGATTTTCCAGCGGCAGACTCTCAGCCAGGAGGACTGAGCGGACGGCGCATTGGCTGGAATCTCAAGAGTGCCAGAGGCGGCATTCATCTCGCGGGAGCATGTGCCGGTTATCCGGTCGTAGCGAATCTTGAAGCCGCGATAGCTGTTCACATTGCTGACCGCTATGAAGCGGATTCCCAACTCGTTGATGTTGAGGGTCACGTCCGGTGGGTGGGATCCGCCGTCCAGTACCAGTAGAGGGGTCTGCTGACCAGACACATCGGCTAGGTCCACGAATTCGAGTCGATCGCTGTTGTTCTGCCCCTTCTCCGGGCTGTACGGCAGATGCAGATCGCTGATGTTGAGCCGGATGTACGAACCACGCGGCAGCTTGATGCTGTACTCGCAGACAGCCGGTTTCGGGTAGCCGCCCAGGGCCGGATAATTCACGGAGCTGATGAATCCCATGGCGGCAGTGGACAGACCGCCACAGGCACTCAGCGATACGTTCAGCCGAAAGCCGGCGTGCGGCTCGTCTAGTTGCGTCTGATAGTGCACCATGAGAACATTGCCTGAGCTGCGCAACGTCGTTGGGGGCCGTCGGCAGGTGTGTAGGAGTCTGCGCGCCAGTGTGGTGGAGCCATCGAAGAGCTCCACGGTCTCCTTCTCGCATTGGCGCAGACTCAGATCGAATAAACGGTCGTCGAAGGTGGCCGCAATGACCTCGCCGGGCGGCGCCAGCACCAGCCAAGTGCACTCCGCATGGGGATGCGGCAGATAGGGATAGCCCGGCGTCGTAATGCTGTACGTGCTGGCCAGTCGTGTCAGCTGGATCTCGCCGTCGCATTCGCTGTACTCACGGTACGTGAGGTTCCAGTAGTTGTGCTCCGGATTGATTGATCGCGGCGGCACCACGTATTTGATGTACGCATGGGAGCCGCTGGTGCGATACGAGCCTTTGTCCAAGCTCATCTGGTTGCAGAACTTGCCGTCCTGAAAGAAGGGCGACCTGTCGTCCAGGCCATCGTAGATGAGTCCGTAGACGGGGCACGTAACGTTGACGGCTGTGCGGGCGGCATAGGCTATGCTAATCTCTATTTTTCGGCCCGGTCGCACTTCGATGTGCCACTCGCAATTCCTGCCCATGGCCAGCCCGGCTCGTATTTGTGCGTCCAAAATGGTAGCCACGGGAGCCGTCATATTCGAGCCACATGTCGCACGCACAATGGCCCTGAAGCCGCGTCCATTGATGGATGCATCGCTCTTGAACTGCAGCCTCAGATGCGGAGTGCCATGCAATCGCTGGATGAGTGGCCCGCCCTTGCTGCCATTGCAGATGCGCAGCTCATTGGTCCAGTGGCTCAGATCGCTGGAGCTCTGGATGTTCAGGTAGTCGACCAAGCAATCGGTGTACACCTCCAGATCGACCTCATAGAGGTCCGCGTAGGTATGCTGGGTGGGATCCTCGGCCCTGACAGTCCACTGGCAGTTCAGGTTGGGCGCATAGCCGTTCGGGTAACCAGGGGATTTCACCATCAAACGCGCACTGGCGGACACCGTAAACTCCTTGTTGCACTCGTCGTTCTGCACGGTTCTGTTGCCCTTAACCAGGTCACTGCTGAGCACACGCCACTTCAATCGGAATGCATTAAAGTCTGTGTTGAGTGTCCTCAAATAGAGAACATTGCTGCTGGAGATGAACTGCCAGGGCGAGGCTTCAATGCTCACCTCCAACGCCGAGTCATCGAAGCCATCGAACAGCTACAAAAGACAGATGGAGGAATACAAGAGATTTAATGGACTGTGGGGAATGTGCGGGTAATGTCCTGGGTGCCCAGGGCTCACCTGTAGGCCACCTATGTACTCCTCAAAGTTCAGGGCCACAACCACATTGCGCCTCACAAAAATGCGCCAACTGAAGGGCTGCTCGTCAGCGCGCACTGCGAGGATGGGCGGCGACTCGATCGTACCATTGGTCTCCCACTTGATTTCATTGTCGTGCACTGCCGAGAAGTGAAAGTTAGTCGGGACAGGGCTGGGGACTTTGACTCCTCCACTCACCGTAGCTCCAGTGCAGCTTGAAACCGTCGGCGCTGTTGCCGGGCACGCTGCGGAATTTGATCCACAGCTGCGATTGTATAACCAGCGGCTGTTCGGGCATCTTGCGGTCGCAGTAGAGCCCCAGCAGACGTTCGTCGACGCCTGCACGCAGCTCGAGAAAGTCCTCGTTGCAGTGCTCGGAGGGCACAATGTTCAGTGAATCGAATGTGACCGCCAGGGAGTTTCCGGCATTAACGCCGATGCGCCACAGGCACTCAACGTTCGCCGGATAGCTGTCCGGATAGTTGGGAGAGCTCAGGCTGCCGCGGACGGAGCTGATATTGCCGCCGCAAGTGTTCTCCAGGCTGCTGAACTGCGCCACCAGAGCGATCCCATTGGCCAGGACACGGACATTGCTGGCAGGCACCACCAGATTGGCCGGATGCTCGTTGCACAGGCTGTAGAGCACCACCTGGTCATCGTCGTTGAGCAGCTGCAGTCCCTCCCTGGTCGTGCAGTTCTTCGCTGCAGTTTTGGGGCAACCGGGACACTCCAGCTGGTTGATGCTCAGGCTCAGCTTGGTGCCCTCCGGCGCCACCACCAGCCAGTTGCAGTCCTCGTCCAGTCGCGACCTCAGATAGCCCACGCCGGCCGACAGCGTGCCGCCGCATTGGCGCTCAAAGTGAAGGGCAAATCTGCCCCAGCTTCCCGGCTGCGCCCTGAACTGCACTCGCACTCGCTGGCCGTGGACCAGGCGTATCAGTGGCTGCTGCTCGCCACAGGCCCGCTCCAGGAAAATCTCCGCATTGTCCGCATCCACCTTGGTCAGTTCCACAAAGGAGTCCGAGCAATTGGCAGAACTGGTGAGGTTGAACTGCTCGAATCGCAACCGGATGCCATAGCTTTCCGGTACCTAGAAACACAAAAAGAATTACTCTTCGCTCTTGGCGAATGCAGCACTTGGTGGGGCGGGGCGACCTACCTCCACTATCCAAAGGCAATCCACCTCCGAGGAGTAGTTGAGGGGAGCGAGACCCTCCTCGATTGTGTTGGCATCATAGAAGCCTGGCGAGGCAATGACCCCACTGCTGGCACGCACAGAGCCGCCGCAACTGGCTGGTACTTGGGCGTACGTGGCCTTGAAATATTTCCTTGCCACCGATGCGCTGCTCTGGAAGCGCACGTGCAGTACGTTGCCCGGCGAGGTGAATGTCTGCGTGGAGGTCTCCGACTGACAGCTGCGGTAGAGCACGCGGCCATCCGGCGTAGAGACTGTTATCAAATCCTGGAGGCACTCTCGCTGGGGCGGATCGATATACAGCTCCTGCAGCAGCAATCGTATTTGCTTGCCCTCCGGCGCACTGATGACCCAATCGCAGGACAGATCGACGCTGAATGGGGCATTGGGCGAGCCAAAGGTACCACCCAATTCCTGGAGATGTTCACCGCAGCCAATGCGCTTGTACTCGGCGCGAAAGCCCCGTGCCTGCATCTCGCTGTCGCTGCTGAATTTGAGCAGCAGACGATTGCCCTTACTGGTGATGGGAGCCACGCCCTCGTTGCTGCATAGTCGCCGTTCCTCCAGCAGCTGGTCGTCCTTCATGTCACTGAGCATCACATAGTCAAAGTCACAGCTACCAGGCTCGTACTGCTCCACCGAGAGATGCGAAAAGACCAGATGGATGTGATTCCGCCTACCGTCGGCGCGTATATCCCACTCACAGGACATGAAGGGCGGATAGTTATCCGGGAAGTTGGGCGACTCAATGGCCCCCTGGAGGTTCTCCAGGCGCACCCTGCAGTCCGTTGCATAGTTCAGCACAAAGCTGGTGCCGTCGGGCGACTCGTCACCCACATCGTAGCGCACGAGCACGCGATTAGTGCTGGAGTTGAGCACAAAACTGCTTGTCTCATTGCAGCGCAGTGGCAGTGCACGACTGCTCGTGGTGGGTCCATCAAAAATGGTTAGATGTCCGCTGCATAGGTTATCTTCGCGGCTCTCGATCTGCAGTGTTACCTGCGAGCCCTCGGCCACAACAATCTGCCAGTCACAGGCCAAGGCGCCAAGGTTTCCTGCCATTGAGTGCGGCGAGTGTATGGATCCCTTCGGAGAGTTGAGCTTGCCGCCACATCCTTCGCCAACCTGCTGCCAGTTGAGTAGGAATCCACTCTCCTCCACGCTGCTGTCAGAGCTGAAGCTAACGAACAGCGCGTTGCCAAACGAGGGCAATCGGGGGGGTATCTGTGTGCCACAGTATCTGCCAATCAGTGGAGACTGGGCCGAGTCGCCATTCCTGCAGAACGAAACGATTCGAGGAGCTTTCGTCAGCGTCAGCCAAGTGAACTCTCGCTGCGATCTCACCTGATCTCCAAATAGTCGCTGTGGCACTCACGGCCCATAACCTCCAGACTGAAGTTCGAGACAACCAGCTCAAGGCGCTGGCCGAGCGGTGCTCGAATGATCCATTCACAGTTCTGCGATGCGCCATATGGTCGCGGCCAGTTCGGTGACTTGATTACGCCGTAGCGTTGAGTGGAACGCACTTTGCAATCTGGATAAAAGTATAATTAAGTTTAAAAACAGGAGACGTTAAGAGTGCTCTAATTCTACAAGTAAAAATCTAGTTATTGTTCGGTAATTGCAGTGCTCACTGTACAAGCAACAGGCCTTTCGTTCTAGGCATCGAAGCTGCTCTCGCGCTCTAGGCTCTCTCTTTCCCTGTATCTCTTGCGCTCTTTCTAAGATCCGATTGAATTCGGCTGGACTCTGCATTATCTAAGAATTAATGAAATCAAATGAATTACCACTTTCCACATGTTTGTAAGTGATCATCACTAATGTCATGGGCCGTTCTTTTCTAAAGACCAAGGTCAAGGGATCAGCATCAAAGGTTTCCTCAAAATTCGATTCATAGCTGCAAAAAACCAGAAAAAAAAGAATATTCGAATATTTGAAATTAATTACATGAGATTGGGATTTTACCTGTTTAGAAGCAATCCAGGATTGGTGCTATTATCATACACGGAAAATTGCCCGTTCTCGTTCTCGAGAATCTGGAATACGCTGATTAATTTCCGGCCCGGCTCATCGAATATCCACTGACAGAAGGGCTCTGTGATATGTGCCAATACACGCTTCCTGTCTGTTTGAGTCCAATAACCTCCGCAGCCCGTATATGAAAAGCTGTAGTCAACAACCAAGCCACGGCCACTGCTGGATCCATGGAATACCATTGTCGCCTGGTTGGTATGTGCCATCAGCACGAGATCTCCAACCGTCTTGTGTATGCGGCGCTTCTCATCTCTCGACAGATAAACCTGTAAAGGGATGTTGGTCATACTGTGGTCATGCTGTACAACAAATCGCACCTACGTCTAAATAATTGGTTTGATTTCCATCATCAGTGGCATTCGAGTCGGCGCCTAGCGATAGGTCTTTGATGATAAGCTTCACGAGCGTGTTCAATGGCCCAACTATCTTGTATGTGCAGGTCATATCATCCAGATAGGAGTGCGGATAGTTGGGCGTTCTGATGGTGCCCAAAATGCCTCCGAAATTTCCACTGCACACTGCATAATAAATATTTAGTTCAGCATTGATTAAATGTATATCTTTATGATGGATTACCTCTGCTGTAGCTCAGCTCGAAGCTCTTTTCCAGCTTCAGCCCATTCAGGGCATATTCGTAGCGCACGAGCACTACGTTGCCGCTGGAGATCAGCGGCTCAAGTTCGCTGGCCTCGGGCTGTCCGCAGAGACGTCGCATCAGGGGCGACTCATCGGTACGTCCGTTGAAGATCTCGATCTTCTGCAATCGACAATCCCCGGAGAGCAGCAGGTTAACGTGTTCGAATTCCAGCTTGATTTGTGTACCACTTGGCTGCTCGATTAGATATAGGCAAACCTCTGCATCAATGTGGCCACTGATACGGCCGTGCGACTCCATGTAGTGGCCACCGCAGCCCGGCTGGCCGGGCACCACCTCGTAGTGCAGCTGGAATGAGCTGTCGGCGCGCAGCGCAGCCGTGTGGAGGTCGATCTGCAGGCTGTTGGATGAGCTGTAAAGCGGTGCCGGCTGTGACGACGCGCAGCTCTTCAGCATTTCCCGATCAGAGTCGTACACGGTCAGGTAGCTGCCGTTCAGTCCCTGGCTACAGTAAGGGTCAGCAGATGCTCCGCCAATGCCCAGCGTTATGTCGTAGAACCGCAACAGCAGACGAGTGCCGTAGGGGGCTGTCAGCTGCCAGCGACAGTCTAGGCCGGCTCGCGCCTTGCCAGGATAGCCGGGGGAGCGCAGTATGCCAGTCTGGCCTAATGTCAGCTTGGCCAACGTGTCGCCACAGGAGAAGGGTAGGGAGCTCCAGACGAGGTGAAAGCCGCTCCCTTGCGTAGCATTGTCGGAGCGGAACCAAAAGAACACCTGCTCCTGGGTGGAGACAATGCTTTTGTTGCCCAGCTGACTGCCGCAGAATCTGCCGATGAGCTTGTACGCCAACGATGGACCGTCGTGCAACTGTAGGAAGTCGGCGGAACAGTCGGTGCTTTCCTGCAGATCGAATTGTGTGAAGGTTATGTTGAGCACATGACCTGGAGGCGTGCGTATGATGAAGGGACACCGCTCGTCGGGCTGGTAGTCACCGTCAGCGCTGTTGGGTGGAAAATGGAGCTGGCCCGTGGGTCCTCGCAGAGTGGATCCGCAGTAAAAGCGCTGGTTGGAGCAACGCGTGCCAGTGTAGCCGGCGGGACAGTTGCATTGGTACTGCTCGCCCGGCAGAAGACGACAGGTGCCGCCGTTCAGACAAGGACTGGGGTGGCAGGCGTCCGAATCCGTTTCGTTGCACAAGACTCCTTTGTATCCCGGCTGGCAAATGCATGTGCTGCCGCGTCCAATGTGGACGCAGGTGGCGTTGTTCTGGCACAGATGCTGGTAGCATGTGTCGCGGGTGGAGTCTTTTGTGCATCCGTCCGCGCCGTAGCCGTGACCGTAGCTGCCCAGTGGACAGGTACAGACGACCGTGCCAGAGATGTACTCGCATTTCGCCTCTGCATGACAAATTCGTTCGCCATCACATGAGTTCGACTCGGTAGCCATGCAGCTGCTTCCGTCGCCTGTCCAGCCCACTGGACAACGGCCACACAAATGGGAGCCCTCGGTATTGATGCAGGTTACATGCGGTTGCAGGCTGCAGCCGCCGTTTGTCACGGTGCACTCGTCTATGTCGCGGCAGAACCGGCCGTCTCCGGTGTAGCCCGGCGGACAGGAGCCACATCGATAGCTGCCTGGCAGATTGATGCACTCGTTGTGGCAGGGATTCACGCTGGGCGCGCACTCATCCACGTCACGGGTGCAGGGGCTAGCGCTAGCTGTCGTGACATTAGTGTCGGCCCAGGTCCAGCCCTGATCACAGACACACACGTAGCCGGCGGGGGAGCTGACCGAGTGAACGCACGTGCCATGTTCTCCGCACATTTCGCTCGAATCGCCGGCAAGGCATTTATTCTGGCGCAGTCGGCAATGGGTGCCAGAGTATCCATTGCGGCAAACGCAACTAAAATTTGGTTCATGTATAAACAAATCATCGACGTCTGAGACTCTACTTACCGAAAACTTCCAGGCGTGTTTATGCATCGGCCATTGTTCACGCAGGCAGCCAGATCGGTTCCAGCCAAATCGAAGCATTCGTTAACATCATCCTCGCAGGTGGGGCCCTACAACCAAAACAAATATCATGGTGGATCCGATCCGACTGTAAAAGTCTATTCGAATAACAATAATTGTACAATAAAGCATCTTTGCAGATCTAACGGGACAAAAGTTACTAATTTACCAACACTGCACGTACTGCAGTGATAGCGGGAGGCTGGCACGTATACAATTATTATGTATGTATGTATGTATGTATGTGTACACACATACAAAAACATGCCGCCTTGCAAAGCCAATTTGTAATTGATCAGTTACTTATTTTTTTTTTTATTTCGTTACTTAATTGAATGACTAAATTGTGAGAATCCGCGGCATTATTTAAAGTGAATCTAGAAATCAACTTGAAATGGTTTTGTCTCCTTGAAATGATCAATGGAGTCCTCCGCCAGGTAATCCACGCGCGTAAGGTCATGCACTAAAATCTGTATGTTCATTTAAACATGTGATTCTATACTCTGCTGGCATAAGGTGACTTGCGAGCATCACATGAATATGAATCCGCCCCCATTCGATGACACAGAGACGCCCCCGTGGATGTACTCACTTGCCAGCCAGCAGCACAATCACATTGGAAGGCCTTGTATTCGTCGTAGCAGGTACCTCCGTTCTGACATGGGCTCGACTGGCACTCGTCCTTGGCCAGAAAGACTTGTATTCTCGCCAGCGTAGTCGAGACACGCTCTATCCGCTGTAGTTGCCGGCGCAGGACCCGCTGGTTAAGCCCGCTACGCCGCGTGTTGTTACGCATGTTGAAGAAGCGCTTTTCCAATCGAGTGAGACTGCGCTGTACCACACGGAACTGGTCCTTCTGCACGTCCACCGACAATGGCTCACGTCGGGCCGCAACCTGTCGAGCAGTGACCACCTGTAGGCGTCGCTGGAGAAGCGGAAGCACATCCACATCGTTGACCATCACCGTGGCAGCCTCGCCCATAAGTCGAAAAGTCACATTCTGATCTGGGGCTGCCTTCAGGAGCAGGTTGCCGTTCTCCTGCCTTGTGATCACTGCCCGTTCTTCCCGTTCATCTGAAGATGCTTCCAGCTCCAGGAAAAAAACGCACAACACCAGCAAACACAATATATTCAGCGTATTAGAACGCATTTTCACTCATTTTCACAGATGCTGGATAGGAGGATATATGCACTGATTGATTGGTGGATAGAATACACGTAGAACACGGGAAACAATTTCAACTATACGCGGAACGAAATGCACGGGATACTGGTGCTAGATGAAGTTGCGGCTCTCAATTTATAGATGTTCCACAAGGGAAAGGGGGCGTTTACGATACTCATAGTGATACCAGATAAACCTTTTAAATATCAATATCAAGTAGACATACATTTGTATATGAGTATGCGCCTGTGCCTGTTATCTCAATGCTGCACTTGTTAATATTTGAAGCCCAGTCTCCTGGAAAAAAAACGTCTGTTCACCAGGAAATCTGCTCATTTCGGACCTTTAGTCCTAAATGAAACTTAAATGGACAAATAATTAAGCAAAGTAGTTTCTGTAAAACATCTTAGATGTTTTAGATGTAAGATGTACGATGTAAGAAATTTGCATTTGATGTGGTCACATCCTATCACATTTCCATTTGCTAATATGGTCATCAATATTTTAGGGGTTCTATGGTGTAATGGTTAGCACTCTGGACTTTGAATCCAGCGATCCGAGTTCAAATCTCGGTAGAACCTGACCGACAGTCAAAATTTTATTTACATTTTAAATGTTTCCACCTTTACTGAGTAGCTGCATATTTCCCACATATTTTGGATGTTTTCTCTTAAATATTTTGGAGAAATATTATACATAAAGCTCTACTAAGCCAAAGTTTATGAAATTATGATGTATCTTCCCACAAAATTCATTTATTCAGCCTTATCAGCGCTTGGCACTCTAAGTATTGAGAGCAGATTATTTAATCTGGGAAATTAGTTTCAATTCAGACGAAAGTAAAGCCTAATAGGGTCTGGCCTTGGCAATAATTTGCAAAATATTTGATTCATTCATTTAACATAAGTGAGTACAGACATACAAGTATCTATGTATCTCTCCTATGTAGAACCGACACCATGGCAACCATATTGAGCGTAAATTAAATCAATTGAATTATAGTAAAGGCAGACTGCTATACACGCATACAGTACATGTGTGTATGGGGGTATTCAGCTATTTATAAATACATTGAAAACAAAAATCAGCTGCTAGGCTGCTGCAGTGCGAGCCCCCAAACACGGGTAAGGGGCTGGGCTGCTTGCGTTGTTGGGGCTTTCGCTCTGGCTGCTGCTGTGTGCACGTCGCTCAGTAAAGTGCCAGACGTCGTACGGATCTGGACACCAGCCAGCCAGCTAGTCAGTCTCCTCTATAAAAAGACAACTTTGTCGCACACAGCAAAAAACCAAAGAAAAGCGACGTTATGTCCACTTTCTCGAAAATATTTCTCTTCAGGGGAGGTAAGCTGTCAATATATGTATGTAGTATATATGTATGTACATAAAATATGCACGATTATATATATGACTTAAGAAAAATATAGTTGAGTTGCAATAAATTGTATTATATGCGAACATATTTATGTATATTCGCTATCTGTTAATCGACAATATTGAGATTACACTTTCAATCAAATTGGTTTCCCAAAGGCCAAAGAAAACGAGGTTTGTTCCCTTTAAAAGACCCAATTAATTGTGATTTTGTAGGCAATTGTGACCCATCGATTGTGAACCAATCCAGAAACACGAAGAACTCATTTAGTTCAAGACAAATTCGTATTTCAATCAGATAGATTGATGCTGAATATAAATGCACGCAAAAACCCAATTCTTGATTCATACAGAAATTAATATTGTTCTAATACTTTTTCCCGATATTGAACAGCAGGCAGACGTCCCTATAGCGCCGCTGCACAGACACAGCTGCGCGAAATACTTGGCTCCCAGCTGGCTGGAATCAAGGAGGCGGGCACATTCAAGGCTGAGCGGATCATCACGTCGTCGCAGAGCACCCAGATCACAGTGCAGGGCAGCGAGAAGCGCATACTAAACTTCTGTGCCAACAATTATCTCGGACTGGCGGTAAGTTCTTCCATGATAATGATAATATGGCATTCCCCCATCTAAGACTAATTCTGATGCTGGCAGAACAACCCAGAGATTGTGGAGTACAGCCGAAAGTTGTTGGAGAAGTACGGAGCCGGCCTGAGCTCGGTTCGCTTCATCTGCGGCACTCAGGACATCCACAAGCAGCTGGAGCAAAAGATTGCCCAGTTCCATGGGCGTGAGGACACCATTCTCTATGCCTCGTGCTTCGATGCCAATGCTGGTATTTTCGAGGCGATACTCACGCCGGAGGACGCTGTCTTCTCAGATGAACTGAACCATGCATCGATCATTGACGGCATTCGCCTGTGCAAGGCCAAGAAGCAGCGATACAAGCACCGTGACCTGGCCGATCTGGAACTGCAGCTGCGGGAGAGCGACGGACGTCTAAAGTTGATTGCCACCGATGGGGTCTTCTCGATGGACGGGAATATAGCACCGTTGGCGAGGATTGTCGAGCTGGCCAAGAAGTACAATGCCTTGGTCTTCGTGGACGAGTGCCATGCCACTGGCTTCTTTGGCGCCACCGGGCGCGGCACCGAGGAGTACGACAATGTCATGGGCGAGGTGGACATCATTAACTCGACGCTGGGCAAGGCTTTGGGCGGCGCCTCTGGGGGCTACACCACCGGGCCCTCGGAGCTCATCTCCTTTTTGCGCCAAAAGTCCCGGCCGTATCTGTTCTCCAACAGCCTGCCCCCTGCCGTCGTGGCTGTGGGCCTCAAGGTTATGGACATGCTTCTCGCCTCCAGCGAACTGACGCAGCGCGTCCAGAGCAACACGCATCGCTTCCGGACAGCAATGACCAAGGCTGGCTTCACCATAGCCGGCGAGAATCATCCCATTTGTCCCGTGATGCTGGGCGATGCTCGGCTCGCATCCAAGTTTGCCGATGAGATGCTAAGTAAGTCCATGAACGCTCAGATATCTGTCTCTCTTCTCTGCGCTTATTCCTATTCCAATTTCCAGCTCGTGGCATCTATGTGATTGGATTCAGCTATCCGGTGGTGCCCCAGGGCAAGGCACGGATTCGCGTGCAAATCTCCGCTGCCCATACAGAGGCTGAAATCGATCAGGCCATTGATGCCTTCATAGAGGTCGGTCGCTCTCTTAAGGTGATCCAGTAGGACGACAGTATCCAAATGTTGTCTTGCATCTTGCATTTAAACGAAGGAAACTGCATTGCATTTATCTAAAGAATTAAATAAATATTAAATTGTAATTAATTTGCGATGATTAGAGGAGATCAGGGATCCGCGCGTAACAAGCTTCGTCTTGGTCCTAATATAAACACGCACTTCCTTGAACGTTGTCTAAATTCGACGATAAGGGGTACCTTCATAGAGGTTAATCCGATATTAATATACAAAAAAAACCTGTAATATATCAGTGTTTATGGTGTGGCTTTATTTGGTTCGTATTGGTACGATTAACTAAGGATCCTTTACTAAGTAAACGATAAACTGTTGCAGCTGAACTTAAGCGTAGATTGCACGATAAATGGATAAATGAATGACTGGCCGGGGAGCCAGTAAATGCAGGCGCCAAGAAAACGCCGCAAACTAAAGCGAGATACAGAGTGAGCCACATGCATGGCTCACCAAATATGTGTATAAATAATTCAGTAACAAATAATAATAAGAGTCGTTAACAAACAAGACAAAACAAAAAAAAAAAACAACAATCAATTAAGGAAAGCGTTGACCCTGCACTGCACTGCTGGCATCAGCCGACTAAAATACAACAGTACCTGTGAGTCTTGTGGGGGTGTTGCGGAGGCTTCAGACAAAAAGGAAACTTTTTCAAAGCGCTTGTGCGAAATGTGAGAAGGAAATGTAAAGATTGGGCTAGGCGTATTGCGTTGACGTTACCGTCCTTGTGTGACTATGAAATACTTTGGTTAGTGTGGTTTTTGCGTATGAGTTTGGTTAGATTCGAGTCGTGGGGCGCGTGGCGCACGTCTGGATTACTTGTTGACGAGGCCGCGTGCCTTTGGGTAAGCCGAAGCCGGCTTTTTAGCGGGAATACGACCCGTGGGCGGACGTCGGTTGGAGTCGAGAGTCGTTGCGGCACTGGGCAGACCACGGCTGGACTTTATGTTGCGTACATTGGGCATTGGCACACTGCTGACAGTGCTAGCGGCCAGCGATCCAGCACCAGAGCCGGATACTCCGCCGCCATTGGCGCTGGAGTTGGCATTGATGATGTTCTCGAGGCGACTGCGCAGCGAGTTGGTGTGTGAGTCCACAATATCGATGTCGTCGCCGCCCGTTTGCATGGCCTGGGCCAGCACCGCCTGCAGCGAGGCGGACACCTTGGGCGTGCGATACTCCTGGGTGGTACGGCAGGGCATCTCCAGCTCGTAGCTGACTATGTTCTCGCTCTTGAAGCGCAGAGAGCTGGGCGCATTAGATTTGGCCTCCTGCAGCGCATGCTCGGACGTGGGCCGTCGACGTTGTGGATGGGAAACGGGGCGCCTGTTACCTTGCCTTCCATCTGCGCCGGACGACGGCAGTGGCAGAGGAAGCGAGGAAAACTTCCACTCCTCCTGCTCCTCGTCGTACTTGGCCTGCGTGTAGAGGCGCTGCTTCACCTCGACGGGCACAAAGTTGTCAATGATGAGCAGCTGGCGCTTCAGCTCCTTGACGAGCTCATTCTGGGCCATCTCCAGCTCACGCAGGTCCTGGTTGTGGTCGTGCTTGCAGTCATTGAGCTCCTGCTGCAGTGCCAGATACTTGGCATAGCACTTGGAGAGCTTGCGCTTCTTCAGCTCCACCTCCTGCTCCAGCGAGACGTTGCGCTCACGTATTTCCAGGGTGTTCTCCTCCTGCAGCTCCAGCTGTTGTTGGATCTCGATCTCTCGCTTCTTGCGCTCCGCAATCTCCACCAGCTTCTTCTCCAGCTCGATCTGACGCTCGCTGTAGGTGTCCAGCAGGTTCTTGCCGCCACGCACCAGCTGTCCCTCCAGCTCGGCGAGTTTAGCCGCCAGCTTGGCATTCTCGACACGCTCCCGCTCCAGCTCTTCATTGGACTTGGCCACCTCGGCCTCATTTTCCTTGTCCGACTCGGATTCTGCACCATCGCCATCGCTGTCCCGGTTCTCATCCGGCTGCAGTTCCGCAGTTGAGGCCTGCATTGCACTGCCCATCAGGTCCTGTGATTGGGGCTCCTTTTTGGGTTTCCTGACGCGCTGCTTCTTGATTGTTCCCTGCTTCTCGCTGCGCTGCTGCTGTTGCGGCGCAATCAGACGCTTCAGGCGCTCGATCTCCTCCTGGTACTCCTTCAGCTTGGCATCCTGCGGATCCTCGTTCTTGATCGGCTGGTTCTGTATGGACTTGGCCCGCGAGGCATACCGCAGCGTGGTCAGTGTCTCATTGTAGTTATAGTTCGAGGGCCCAATGTTGGCAATCATAATCGTCTTTGAGTTGCCGCCCAGCGAGTCCTGCAGCAGACGCGTCAGCTTCGAGTCGCGGTACGGCACATGGGGCGAGCTCTCGGCCAGAGCCGAGATCACGTTGCCCAGCGAGGAGAGGGCCAGATTGATTTTGCTCGCCTCCTTCAGCCGCTCGGCTGATGCGCCCGTCTTCGACTGTCGCTCGCTGCCAGCCAAATCGATCAGATTCAGCTTGCCCACCTTAATGGTGTTCGTCTCCGTGTCGCACATCTCGATCTTGATCATGAAAATGGCATGTGAGCTATGTACCATGGGGAAATCAAATTACATTACAGTTAGTTCGGTAACAGGTCCCAGAAGGTCACAAAACTCACCGAGAACTGTGCTCGTTCATGTTGGTGAATCCCACGGTGCGATTCTTGTTGCCCACCTTCATGACACGGATCATATCATCGACGCTCTTGCAGTTGATGGCATGCAGATTGGGCACATATACGCCGGAGCCGCGTTCTCGCACCTCCAAGTGCTTCGAGTTGGGCTTCAGCAGATCGCGCAGCTCCTCCATGTAGATTTCCAGGTAGGAGACATCCACCAGAAACTGAAAGTTCTCCGTGCGGTTGATGTGCAGCCAGATCTGCTCAAATGTGCGTGGAATGATGCCCATCAGATCGTCGTTGCCGCGCACTCCCTCCATGGTGAAGGTCTTGCCGGTGCCGGTCTGGCCGTAGGCGAATATGCAGCCATTGAAGCCCTCCAGGACCGAGCTAACCAGGGGAAAGACCACCTCGTGGTAGAGGGTCGTCTGCGAGGCGCTGGCATCGTAGGCGGCGTCGTAGGTGAAGACCTTTCGCTGCTCCTTGTTGGCGTCCACCACATTCTGCAGCTCCACCACGCCCCTGTTCGGATAGACATTGACCACTTCCGGGGAGCCCTCGGTGCGTTCGCGATTGCTCATGGGTCGGCATCGCACCACCACCTGGACGCACTCGTTGGGTGTTGTCTGGCTGCTGGCGGTGCCAGGGCGCCTACTCTTGGCACTCATAACCGCAGCTGTTGTGTTGTGTTTTGTGCTCTCGTGTGACTAAGGCAGCCTTGCCTCTACCTCTCCCTCTCCACGCACTCTAGCCAGAAGTGGAAGCAGTCACTGGGGCGACGACGGAAAAACAAATGACGAATAAAATCAATAATTCAATTCTGAAGCAAACCTTTGAGGCACCCCAATAACTTGGTCTCTTGAGACTGGCTCAAAGCGTAGCTTCCTTATGGTAATGGTAGCAATGGACTGAAAATATTTTTTCAACCAATTTTTAATTACCTGTTATTTTTTAAGCCAATTACTTCACCTTGAATACGTTTTTTTTCTGTTTCAGCTGCTGCGGCCTACAGGCGATTACGATATTAAGCAGGTATCGATGGTACAGTATCGATAAGATATGTTAAAATGTATTCGATAGTTTTCAAACGGTTGAATAAATAATTAATTTTATTTCTTTTTATTGGAATTTGATTTGTTGGAAGAACCGGTGTTGGCACCGCGCTTGCGTTTATTGAGGGGATTACGCGGATCGTAGGCATCGTACCAATCGTCGCCCTTGCTGTTCGCATCTTTGGCCAGCACGGGCGCTGTACTGTTGAAATTTAAGGTATGCGCTAGCCAGTCGTCTCCAACTATTTCCTTCTCCACTGTTCCGTTGTCAAAGTCCTTTGGTTCCTCACACGCATCCGCGTCGTCGTCGTCAGAGCCCTCTTTGTGCTTCAATCCGGCCACTTTGGTGCGGAATTTTGCCAACAGCTTAAGTGTGAATTCCTCCCTGATAGAGTGAATAAAGAATGAAACGATGGCAAAAATATAACTAGAACTGATCACACCTGGACTGTCCTTTGGGTTGCAGCTTCCCCTTTGCCGTGTATATCTCCTTCGACTCAATGAAGTCGTTGATATAATGATTTTCGCTGCCACCCTTAATGTGGGACTCCTTTGTAGCCTTCTCCGGGCCACTGGCCAGCTTATCCATGCGGATCTTATCCATCTGATATTGCTTTTTCAGAGAAGCGATTTCCTCGCGAATCTTGGATCTGCAAAGGTAAATTGATTTGAGGGTAACCAATGTACTTATGTATGTATATATTGATGAGTCGTACTTTTCCTTGGAGAGTTTAAGTCTTTGTTCTTGCTCTCGGGTCATTAGCACGTCCTCCTCCTCCTCTGGGTCACTCTCCACAACGACAGTCTTCGTAGTCTTCTGGGGCCGTGCGTCTGATGTCTTCGAGAGCTTCTTTTTGATGAGATCGGAGAAATTGCCAGTGGAAGACTTCTTGGCCTTGCCACTCTCTTCATCGTCATTCGGCAAGGGCTCCTCGCTATCCGCCCGCTCTTGTTTCGGCACTTGAATTGGTTCCTTGCTAAGCTTCGGATCATCTGCGACGTCGTGCAGTGATTTGGCCTTTCCAGCGTTCTGCTTAACGAACACGTTGGTCTCTACCTCGTCGCCCTCGGCCTCTTCACCAAACGAAAGCAGCCCAAAGTTTCTGCAATAAATAACAATAATAATGCAAATCATTAGCAAATCAACAGAAAAGAAACAGCTTGCACACTCACTTTACGCCCTGTCGTTGTTTCTTGGTTTTTTTGCCCTTCTCTGCTTTGGAGATTGCGCGCGGCACAATATCCTCGAAGGGATTGGTGAGTACCTCGGTGGACAGAATGCGATGGGCGTGCATCGGTCGCTCCTGGTGGTCCACTATGCCATCCTCCAGCTTCAGCATGTTGTAGATTGTGTCGCCCGTGACCTTGCCGAAGAGTGTGTTCTTGCTCTGCAGCTCCGGAGTCTCTGCAAACGTGAAAAAGAACTGCGAGGCATTGTCATCTTTGCCCGAGTTGGCCATTCCCACCAAGCCGCGACGCGTGTACCGCAGTCTCGAATGAAATTCGTCCTTGAACGGCTGCCCGTAAACGGACTCGCCTCCGGTTCCATCGCCATTGGGGTCGCCGCCCTGCACTATGAATCCTTTAACCAGGCGATGAAAGACAGTATTGTTGTAATAATTTTCCAAACAAAGTTGCACAAAATTGCGGCACGCCTTCGGACACTCTCTGGCCCAGAGCTCGATGTCGATGTCGCCAACTGTGGTCTTCAACAGAACCTTGCCCGACGTGGGCGGCTCCTGGATGTAAATATTGCTCATTATTGAAGGTAAATTTTTAAATTAAAGCAAAACAAAGAGGGACATCTAACAATAAAAAAAAGTCTGTTTTTGTTCCTAGCGATGTGAGCATATCAGTGGGAGAATATATCGATGTTTTTGTGCGATAATTATCGTGAGATGTGTTTCTAGGCAACCGTTTTGCTTTTGATTTTCGTAATTGTTTTTGGAAATAATTAAGTTGAGAGATAATATCTGAGTGAATTAAGAATGAATTTTAACGACGACCCATTGGCGGACCTGCTAAGTGACAACAGCTTGGACAACGACAACTTCTTTGAGACACCAGCTGGTGTTGGCCACAAGAAACCGCCGAAAATCGCCAAAGCTAAAGGAAAACTGGAAGATCTCTTTGGCATACAAGAGGAAACGGAGGCGGACGTACAAAGCCCCGCCACGTCTGGCCAGGGCAACAAGGGCAAACCCACTGCCACGAGCACTCCGCGCATCGTCAAACAGAAGCCTTCCCTCTCCCTCGACGACGACGCTGGCGATGATGACTTGGGCTTTGATCCCAAGCGACCCAAAAGTGGAGGCACGAAGAAGAGTCTGTTTGATGACCTGCTGGCCGTCGCCGAGCCCAAAAAGAACATATTCGATGAGATACTGAGCGGCGGTGGCGATGCCGCAAAGCGTCCGGCCACTGCGAAGCCGTCCATATCCCGCCAGTCGACAGACACCACTACGGAAAACTCGCAGGCGCGGCCCAAGACCTCCACTGGGCGGCGCAGCTCCGCGCAATCGGCCACTGTCAATGCGGATCCTCTGGGGCTGTTCGGCAGGGACACGAATGCCACCGTTTCGGGCATGTCCACGCCGGTGTCCAAGAAGCGGGGAACGACAGCAGACTGGCTGGGCTTGGAAGCCGCGGCAGCATCCGTGGCAGCTGTGGAACAGGAGCGACCATCCACACCAACGCCCAATGTTCAGCATCAGCAGCAGCCTGCCAAGGAAGCTCCTGCTGAAGCAACAGCGGCAGCTCACAAGAACACTGCAGACATCCTGCGAATGCCTGACCCCGACGAGCCGGAGCAGTACCTGTCGTCAGAGCTACCTCTGGCCCCAATAGCTGCTGTCAATCCGGCCACACAGAGCATCCTCTTGCTGAACAGCCTGAACCTGGAAACGGGCTCCAAATTCAATGCACTGCAGCAGCAGGAGGGCCAGCTGGTTATCGCAGCGCAAATGAAGAGCCAGGAGCGAACATTGATGGAGATGCAGCGACGACAGGAGGCACAGGACCGCAAGTTCCAGACTCTCATTCAACAGCAACTGCAGCGCCAGCAGCAGATGGAGGAGCACATCAAGGGGCAGCAGGAGCGCATCAGCATGCACATCCAGTTGTTGATGGCTCAGCCCGCGCATGTTCAGCCGCTAGAGGGGCTGCCTCCTGTCCCAAAGCCAGCGCTGGATAAACAAGAGACGGAACAGAAAACAGCAAGCATGGAGGAGCACAAGGAGCAAGATCTGATGCAGCAGCTCCAACTAGAGACGGAATCCAAACGAAATCTGCTGGAGAAGCTGCGCCTGGAGGAGCTGGTGGCCAACATGAAGGTCAACTACGAGCAGGAAATCGAAATGATCGAGTCCTCATACAAGTAAGTAACCGATTGTTGCCCTGTTGCCCGTTCTAATGGTTCCAACTGGTTGCAGGAAGCAGCTAAAAGTATTAGAGGAGCACTTGGCCGCCGTCGAGGAGCGACTGAAGACGGACAACAGCGACTTGCGGCAGCACTTTGTCGACAAACTGGAGCAACAGAAGGCCGACTATGTCGAGCAGATGTCCACGCTGCGGCAGGATCACGAGGATGAGGTGCGAAAGCTACGCAACTCCCACGAAATGGACATCGAGGGCATACGGCAGGCCAAGCTGGTGGAACTGTCGGCGGTGCAGGACCATGGCAACTACTTGGAAACGCTTCGCCTTGCCTCGAGCAACCTGCAGGAACTGCGCGACGGGATGAGCAACGGCCAGGACAGGGAACGATTGCTGGATGCTCGCGAACGGCGCTTGGCCGACCAGGAGCGTCGCCTGAAGATGAACGAGGAAACGGCCGACGAGGAGCAGCGACGACTCATGGAGCTGGTGGGCACGCTGGAGTTGCAGCTGGACCGCCTCTCCAAGGACTCGGCGGAGGAGAACTGGCAGCTGCGACAGCGCATGGCCAGTCTGGACGCAGAGCGCAAGAGTCTCGAGCGCGAGAAGCAGTTCCACAGAGAGCAAATGGAGCGCGACGAGAAGCGAGTCGAGGAGCTGAAGACCATCCAGCTGGCGGATACGGAGCGCCTGCACCTGGAACTGCAGCAGGAGCGCACCCAACTGGCCGTGGAGCGGCAGCAGCTGGAGATGAAGCACAAACTGCATGATAATGGCGGCAACCTCGACCAGGATCGTCTAGAGGTGGAGGCTCAGCTAAAGGTGGCCCGGGAGGCCATCAGGCGTGCGGACCAGGAGCGGGATCGCTGCCACAAGCTGCAACGCGAGGTGGAGGCACGCAAGCGCCTTCTTGCTGATAGGGAGAACGATCTAAACATCAAGGAGGATGAGATGGCGCAGTCCACGACTGCATACCGCATGGCCACCAGTCGATCCCAGATGGCAGAGCAGAAGGCACGCGAGGCGGATCAACTGCTGCAGGCAAAGTTGCAGTTGCTGGGCAAGCGGCATCACGAACTGAGCGAAAAGGAGGCGCAGTTGTCCCAGGAGCGTATGCTCCTCGCCCAGGACCGCATTGCGATGCACAACCTGAAGAAGCAGATCCTCCGCAGCAGATGTGCCCTCTGCAAGATGGGTTCGGAGAGCGCCGAGTTGGCCCTTCGTATTGACCGGAAATCGAAAAATCCGACCAACATGGATCTTCATCTGCCCCCCATGCCGCTCAGCAATGCCGAATTCATGCTCAAAATGGAACCTGGCGAGGCACAGAGCGACATTGTCGACCGAATGTTGGACGAAAACATTAAAGCCTCCTATCGTAGGATGTACAACGTGTCGGGTTCAGTAGACGATGCTGATTATGCCGACTTGGCAGGTGGCCTCGACGACGATTCCAAGGTGGCCATGGATAACGGCAAACTGATGGATCCGGAACTGGAAGCCTTGCTATCGAAATTCAATCACGGATTCGCACCTTGATCCGTATATCTGAAGAAATTTAAATTAATTAATAATAATAAACAGTATATTAATAATTGAGTTTATTTTGTACTTTTGAAATTTAAATTGAAGCCAACTATAACTACGATATATATTGCATTCATCGTTATCGAGTATCGCTTTATTTGCGGTTGTTGCATTCCGTTTTGGTTTTTTTCCGTGTTATTTTGTGTTTTTTGCCCCGAGCGAGGCAACAACAAATGTGTGTTTTTATGTCATTTAATAATAATGTAACTAATATGTTCTAGTGCAAGTATATACGTGTAATTAAAGTGCAAGTTAATCAGTATTCTCGCGTATTACGCTTACGTTTTGTATGTCATTCCGTTTTTTGTGTGTTCGTGTTCGTGTGTGTACGTACGCCTTTCGTATTCGTTTTGTATTTAGTAAGTAGGTGTGTGGGAGACAACTTCACCTTAATTCAGCGTCAGCGTATACGTGAAGCAATGAAATAAACCATTGCAAATAACAAGAGAAGCACCTCAATCGCTCCTGTGTACTTGAAACTTCCAGGAGGGCGGCATTATATTGTCCGGAATAAGTGAAGTAACAACCGAAAATTTCAGTAGAGGTGACACCTAAAAAATCAAGTAAGCATAAATGGAGAAAAAATGCCGAATTGTATGTGAAAATGTTAATACTTATGTACGCGTTGTGTATATGCATACACTCCATTATCATATTCTCTCTTGCTCCGTCTCTTTTACTCCCTTCGTTATGTTCAATGTCGTGTGTGTGTGTTTTGTATGTGCTTGTGTGGGTCAACTAGTTTTATTATTCGCATAACTATTGCTCTATATTTTGCCGCTCTTCACAAAAAGAAGAAGCAGCCCAATTTATTTTGTATCAATTAATTTGTCTGCTGCCAATTTGCTAACCTGTGCATGCATATTGATTTAGCACCTTAACCTTTGCCGCCGCCGTAACTGAAGGTTTTCCTTTTTGCGTCTCTTGCCGGTTGCTGTTTTCTCTTATCTTCTGCTCCTTCGCGTTTCGCATTCAACGGTGCATGTGTGTGTGAATACGTTCAGCATCTGTGTTTATGCTGAACAGCTGTTCGTTCCGTCGTCTTATGTACAGTGGGTCAAAAGAGTACTGAGGCCGATCGGGATACTTAAAAAAATAAATTGGGCCAAAAGCGCGAGCCTTTAAATTTTTAATATACAGAACAAATGGCCTTTAAATATGTAATATAGCAACAAATGGAGTTTATAACATCGTAATAAGAAGCCAGAAAAATACTTTTTTCACCCGCTGTGCGAATATTGTGTGAATGAGGGGAAGAAGTCTTGCTACTGCACATCACAAAACAATCTCTATGAAATAGAGCATTCATTCACACAATTTATGATTGTGTATGTATGTATGTATATTTCCGTTTGATCTGGTTCAACCGCTTTTGATGAATGGTAATCGCAAAATTTGTTTTATATACGAGTATATTAGAGTAAACATTCATACATATGTATATGTGCATTTAGGAGATTTGTGCTTACTTATCATAATCATATTTACTTCGCAAGAACATAAAACTATTTCGTATTATTTGTACATTCCCGTCTTCCCGAATCTTTTCATATGATAATAAATGATGACATAAATATTAGATTATTTACCAGTTGGGATAGGGTGACGATCGCTGTATGGTTATAGATAATGGAAATCACTTAAAAGTGTATTGTTAATATTAGTTATAGATTCATATTTCGGCACATGTTCTTCTGCCAATTTGAACATCTGTTCCTCTAATCTATTTAGTAGTAAAATGAAATTTTTGAATGTTTTTAATCAATTGCTTCTAAGTTTATCAACACTTGCAATCAATTTGGTAAATGACGTACTGTTTCTGCGACTGGTTCAAGTGAATCATTCTCCCTTTTCCTATCATTCCCTTTTGTCTATTCGCTATGCATACCCGATAGACACCTGCCTTTTCCCGGCCAGTCGGTACACTTGTTCCTCAATATGGCCTCGCCTGAAACATACAACGACCTGCACCTTTACAGGGCATAATCACTTTTATCATACAATTTCGTTATCGCGCCAAGCGGGCAGAATGGCAGATAAGAGAAACAAAGCACACGATAGTCAGTAAAGTTCGGCAAAGCAGAGAGTATAGCATTTTTGGACAAGCCAAGTAGAAAATTAAAAGAAAAACAAAATTCCAAGTAGCCTCATTCTGTTGTTTTTTCCAGAATAAAACTCGGGACGACTGACGCTGCTGCTGTGAGGATAATATGTCAAACCAGGGCCAGACCGACTACGACAGACAGTTCCAGGATGACTTGGCCAAGGCGACAGCACTGAGCTTGGAGCAGCAGGCCCTCGACGACTACAGGCGAAATAAAAAGTACGGCACTGGCTACCATTCGGGGGTACCCAGCGGCGTCGCTGCGCGGGATTACTATGCCCAGCAGCGTAGTCAGAGCGTCACCCAGCGCCGACACTCGGAGGTGCATACGACGGCAGCCGCGGCCAGCAATGTGGAACGTTCTCGCACTCCGCCGGCGCAGGTATCCGCCAATGACCTCATCTGCTTTGCGAGTCCCACTAGCAAGCAGCCCGAGAGCGGTACCACCTTCGAGAGGCTGATCGAGGATCTGCAGCGGATGCAGCCACCCAATCCGCACTCGCAGGCGCTGGTGCCAGTGGGGCAGGCAGCTGCTGCGGTGCCTGCGCAATACGGCTACCCCCAGCCACAGCCCTTGCCGCATCATCAGGCTCAGACCCAACCGCCGCCGTATGGAATCGTGGGAACAGCTGGCGGCATGCAACTGGTGCCGTATCAGAACGCGTCTCAGGCACAACAGCGGCCACTGAGCAACGAGGAGCTGCAGAGGCTCTACAGCATGCCCAACCAGATGGCCGTGCAGCCGGTGCAGGCGGTGCCCACCGCTTACCTCTATTATCCCGGAGCTGTTGTAGCGCCCTACACGGCTCCCATAGTGCCTGGCTCGGCAGCATTTATGCCGCCGCAGTATCCACAGTCGCATGGCTTCGGTTTTGGGCCTGTGTACGCGGGAGCGAGCACCCACATGGATTTGGGGCGTCCGCAGTCCACGCCAGTCCCCACAGCGACCAGCATTAGCAGCCACCATCCGTCCAGTAATCCTGTCGCTCACGAGGCCAATGGCGTGAACATTCAGCCCCGACGCCAAGTGCCTTTGGGTGCCAGCGCCAGTACCAGCAACAGCATCAGCTCCAACGGTCAACCGCAGCCTCCCAAACGCACTGGTAACGATTTGATAGACCTCAACCAAGAGGACTAGTATGTATCATCGCCTATCGGCTACAAATAGTTTTACCCCAACAATAGACTCTCCTCTGCTTTTGCAGCTCCCGTGTGAGTGTACTGGAGGCATTCGATCCCCTGCTAAATGAGAACACTGGTAAGCCCATCCACGACAATTATTAACCAGACATTAAATCCACCCAATCTCCTGGTAACTGCAATCCCATAAGAGACTACTGAGACTGAACTGCTCGTAAAGTGTGATTTTAAGGTTCTCCAGTTCGATTTTTACAGCCTGATAGGTGATACTAATTTGATGGGAATAGCATTATATTTTTGGGGGTAATTGTGCATAAGTCTTCCAAAAAATAGCAAAATAGCAAAAACCAAACCCAATCCCTCTCCTTTGTAGCTTGAGATCGTTTGTAGCAAGTGTGGTTGGTTGCTCCGACTTGGATACGAATTAAACTGAATGTTTTTTGTTTGTTTTCTCTCTGTATTGCAGCAGTGTCGCAAAAGTAACCCATTTTAATTGAAAGTCCTACTACTACTACTACTACTACACTACCTATCCGTACAACTGCAAAGCAAAAGCTACTTTACACAACCCACAACAAGTACACCGCCGTCTTAACTGGTTTCGGTACGCTACGGTACGGTTCGGTTCGGTTTGGTTTCGGAGTCAGTGACAAAAACATATTCGTGTCTTAGGCAGCACGCACTTAGAACCACCTACTTACTTATACTAAACTTTATAAACACTATTTTTAAACCAAAAGGCTGACTTTGTGCCATCCACACACACACCACACCACATCACACACACACACAGCGGAAGGTACCCCAAATATGATTGGAATATTGGCTTCCGATTCGCACATCGATCCCCATACGATCAAATGTGTTTTTTTTTCTTCAAAAGTTAAGACCAATTTTGGTGATTTGGCAATCGCCTTGATGGAGTGGAGAAGTGTTCTCAATGTGGAAGAACAATGTATGTAGTTCTTCTGAGGTCACTTCCTGTTGTGTTTTTTTTAATGTATTACGAAATGAACAGATTGTGATTTGCTGCTACATTTATACATAGTACATACATATATATATACCAATATAAATACATACACATGTTTAGTTCTATCCGTGTATCATTTTGTGAGTCAAGACAAATAAATAATTCCTTGAACAAATTCCAGTCTCTTGTTGTTTTATTAAACATCCTTCTTGCCGCCTTGCCTTGCCTTGCTATCAATGCCCCTCGTTTCCCTTTAACATTTACTTCATTTCGATACCTTCCTAATATTTCTATAGTATGTCCGTTGAGTAAATATTTATGTATGTATTTATATATCAGATTGGAGAGAGATTGGGTGGGAGTAGAGATCTTTTAACATTTTAATAGCGGGGTTTCGGACTCTTTTCTTCACTTTGCTGTCACTAACTCTTAATCCTTTCTTTTATTTTTTCACTATGGTAATTGTTGTGTAAAGTATCCCTCCTCTTATGACACTTTTAACCCCAACGTGTAAGGGATATGGTTCTGTGTTTTGTTTAGCCAGCGGAAGATTATTACAGATAGAAACAGAATTTAAAAGCAAAAGCCAAAAGACTGCAAAAACTATTTATAATTTCAAACATCGATTAAAAATCGAACACAAGTAATAATAACTATTATAAAGGATCAGAAAGTTACAAATCCAATAAATCTACATTTTTTTGAAAGTTTTCCCACTGTGTGAATTTTATTTGCATATTTTAGCAATTTACCTGAATAGATTAGGTGGGAATATCTGCGAATGGGCGAATATTCTCACTGTGAAAAATCTCTTAAGTTGCACACTCCACCACTCCACCATTATCGTTCGCGGAAACAGATGATAAGTTTGAAACAGAATTTGTGTCCACCCTTTAAAATATATATGCTTTTGAGTTTGCCCTTTTGTGGAACATGAAACAGATGATAGAAAACATTTGGGACGATCACGAACTGAATGAGCTATGGGGGGCACATATACACACGTACATACATACATACATATATATATATATATATACATATAGTACGTATGCCACATAGGTACAGTGAACGTTCGTATGAAAGAATTAGCAGATTAGTAAGACAATGAATGACTTTAAATTGGAGCATTCACATTTACATTCACTTGAGTTTCCTGATTATACAGGAGGCTTGCAATGAGTTGGACTATTCGAACATGGAACCTCCACTATAGTTGTGGCCAGACGTGGCGTGGGCGACCCCCACAAACAGGCAGTAGTATGACAGCAATCACAATTAGCTATTAGGCGATGGGAAGCGATGGCGCGGCCAATGTGGGATTTGTTAGCGTAGATTTTGCGAACTGTTCTCCGATCGCTAGTGCTTGCTGCACGTTAGTTCTCTCCATTCGCGTGTCTTTTTGGGGGGACTTTATTTTTGGCTACACAATGTGCCCAGACGACTCTCGCGGACACTGACCGTGTGTAGGCCTCAGTGCCATTTGCATAACTGCGTGCGATCAGATTGTGTGCCAGATTGGGATTGCGACTGATCATGCATTCGCTACTTGCAGGAAACGACAGTGCCTCGGACAGCACCTCGTACTATGCGGAGTACGATCCATTCGACTTCCTGTACAGCGGCGATGGCGGCACCCAGTACTCGGATCCCATGTACGAGGCGGTCAACAGGTGGGACAAGAGCGCAGCAACCGCCAGTCCGAATGTTAGTCTCATTGGCTGGCGGCAAGATTATCTGGCACAGCCCTCAACATCGTCGGCGGCGGCGGCTGCGGCGTCGTGTCAGGTGGAGGCTCCCGTGGAAGAGCGCCTGCGTCTGTCCGAAAATGGATCGGGCAGTGTGTCGCCGCCTCCACCTCTGCCGCCGCGAAACCAGCAGCTGTACGAGTCGGCCCAGGTCCCGGCAGCGTTGACGGCGACCAAGCCGTCCCAATACCAGCCCACGGTCCTGACAGACAGCTACACATCCAGCATACCGGCCCGCGTGGTGCTCGACCGACGGAAAACATGCACTCGGCTGTACGAGCTGATCAGCGACCAGCGCACGCACGATCCCGAGATGCTGGAGTTCTATAACATGGTTAAGCAGCTGCGGTCGCGCTACCCCCACGACGATGCGCCCACAAACGTGGGGCATGTGGTGGCGGCAGAGTTCAACTACCACTACATGATGGACACCAGCATCAAGGTGATTGTGCATCCGGCACTGAACACACTCCAGCAGCATGCCCTGTCCACTTCGGCAGCCGGGGAGCAGGTCAAGGGCTATGGCACACCGGTGACGTTTACCTGCGACAGTAAGTTCCGTTCCTGCTGGCTCTCTCTGAAGAGATCTCTCTCACTCTCTAATCGTTCCTCGCTTTCGCTTTGCAGTTGACTCCGTGGTGGCGCAGGTTGTGGCCCAGGCGCTGGCCTCGCTGGAGGGTCAGGTGAAGGGCAGTGTTACCGACTATGTCGTCAAGGTGAGTGGCAGTGGCATTCAATCTGTACTGCTGTACTCTGGGTCCTACTCTGTAATCTGTAATCTTTCAGCCCATTGGTCTGCTGGAGTGGCTGGCGCCCACCTCGCGGCTGAGCCAACTGGAGAGTGTGCACAATAGCTTTCAGCTGGAGAAGGATGTCCACCTGGGTCTCTGCCTGAGCACGGCCTCCAACATGCAGGCCATAGCGCGTTCCGAGCGCGATGACATTAACGATGCGGACCTGCAGCCAGAGCAACTGTTTCCCAACGAGGTGGTGCCCATTGTCACCTACGACAACATGATGATACTCATCGAGACGCTCGAAATGGAGATCGACAAGCTGGAGTCGGCCGCCGACTCCCCCGCACCTGCTTCCGGGCGTAGTGTCGTGAGTTGCTCGGGCGTGGTGCAGGCGGTGAAAGCCATATGCGCCCTGCTCGGATCCATCGACACCATGGACATTGCCCGATGTGTGGCCGATCTGAAGCGCGTCTGCGAGGAGGCCCAGACAAAGTATGCGGCTGGTTCGGGTGCCAGCAATCCGGAGATTGTAAGCGACTACGGCGACTATGCCCAGGTGACAATGCGGCCGCGCTCGCTGCTCGAACAGATCAAGGTCAAGTGCAATGGCCTGCGCGATGCTGTGCAGGAGCTGGTCGAGCTCTATGCGAATGTCTTTCGTGTGGCGTTCTCCGTCAAGTCGCTGGACTATGCCACAAGTGAGTGTTCCCCTCAGTTGCTCAGCTGCTCTTAACTAAATCTGAATTCCTGAATGTGAATTCCAGCACCCATTCCCATTTCGTGCGTGTCAAAGCCAATTGTGGTGAGCATCAACTGTCTGCACAGGCCCCCACCCAACTGGAAGTTCGAGGATTACTCGCTGTGCGTGCAGCTGGTCTATGGAACGCGTCTGCTGTCCAAACCGAATGTCCTGAGCTGCTCGAACGACACCAGTGGGGGCCTGTTTCCGCGCCTCAACTTCAGCGCCTGGCTGACCTTCGAACAGCATCCCATATGCACGCTGCCGCGCGAGGCCCGCGTCACGTTTGTGCTCTATGGCAAGCAGGCGGCCAGCGATAATGAGCCCAATTCGGAGCCGAATGGCGAGCGGCGGCAGGTGACCACCGAACTGGGCTGGTGCTCCATACAGTTGTTCGACTTCAAGCGGGCAATGATCTGCGGCCCCTATCTGCTGTCCGTGTGGCCACCAACCACGGACAAAATGCTGGGCCCGGCCCCAGCACGCGGCTGTCATCCACATCCCGACTTTTGTCCAGTTCTAAGCATCGAGGTTCCGCCCTACGGAGGGCGCATCGAGTTCCCAGAGCATCAGGAGGTGCCCAAGCCTGCCCCACAGTGAGTACTCGAGCCACCTCGGCTAGAATGGTACAAAGTCTTCTAACACAGTCTCGGTCTTCTATCTACAGCTACGACTTTGCCTCGCTGGATGCCAACCTGCAGGAGGAGCTGCTGGACACGGCCGAGCTGGGCTACACCGGGGCCACTGAGCGACGCGAAGTATTCTGGGAGAAGCGTCTGTATCTGCAGAACTATCCCAATGCACTGCCCAAGGTCCTGCATGCGGCGCACAGCTGGGACTATGCGAATCTGATAGATCTGCACGCCCTGCTGCACTCGTGGTCGCCGCTGTCGCCGCTGCAGGCGCTCGAGCTGCTGCTGCCACGCTATCCGGATGCCAAGGTACGCGAGAAGGCCGTCGAATGGATCTCGAAAATGCCCAACGATCAGCTGGTGGACTTTCTGCCGCAGCTGGTTCAGTCCCTGAAGCATGACACCTACGAGGGCTCAGCCATGGCACGTTTCCTGCTGGCCAAGTGCCTGGAGTCGCCGCGATTCGCCCATCACATGTACTGGCTGCTGGTGCACAGCCTGCCGGACGATCCACACAACTCGATTGGGGCGGCCATGGTGGACCAGGAGTACGACGAGTGCCAGATAACCCAGGCGCGCTACTACCGCCGCAGCAAGATGATGCTGCGCGCCCTAATGGCCATCTGTGGCGAGAAGATGCTGCAGCGCTTTATGTACCAGCATCGCATGTGTCAGGTAGGTGTCTACCCCCACCTCCCTAGACATCCTTGTGACTCATTTTGCATTGATTTTGCTTCAATAGAAACTGACAACGATAGCGGAGTCTGTGAAGGAGTCCAAAGAGTCGATGCGGCAAAAGAGTCTGGCTGCTGGCATGGACGAGGTGCATCAGGATCTGCTGGAGAAGCCCACCTGTCTGCCGCTGGGACCAGAGCTGGAGGTGACGGGCGTCAGTGTGCGCAACTGCAGCTATTTCAACTCCAACACACTGCCGCTCAAGATCACCTTCGTGGGACCCGATGCCGAGTCGTTGCCAGCCATTTTTAAGGTACGAGGCAGACACAGGAGTCAGTCCATCAATCCCACGAGTGCTGAGTGTTTGACTTCTTTTTTCTAGTGTGGTGATGATCTGCAGCAGGATCAGCTTACCATTCAGCTGATTCGCATCATGGACAAAATGTGGCTGGCCGAGCGACTCGACCTGAAGATGGTCACGTTCAACTGTGTGCCGACGGGCTACAAGAGCGGCATGATCGAGCTCGTCTCCGAGGCCGAAACGTTGCGCAAAATCCAAGTGGAGTGCGGCTTGACGGGCTCGTTTAAGGATCGCCCCATAGCCGAATGGCTGGGCAAGCAGAATCCCAGTCCGCTGGAGTATCAGAGTGCTGTGCGCAATTTCACACTATCCTGCGCCGGCTACAGCGTCGCCACCTATGTGCTCGGCATCTGTGACAGGCACAACGACAACATTATGCTGAAAACCTCGGGACATCTGTTTCACATTGATTTTGGTAAATTCCTCGGCGATGCACAGATGTTTGGCAACTTCAAGAGGTAACGGGATGAAGGCCGCATAAAATTTGTATAGATTTATTGATTCTAATCTGGAAAAATTCCTGCTACAGAGATCGTACGCCGTTTGTGCTCACCTCGGACATGGCGTACGTGATAAATGGCGGGGACAAGCCCTCCACCGATTTCCACTACTTTGTGGATCTCTGCTGTCGCGCCTTTAATATTGTGCGCAAGAATGCGGATCTGCTGCTGCACACGCTGGCCCACATGGCCACCGCCGGCATGCCTGGTGTCAACTCCAATGCCGTTACCTATGTGCGGCGCGCCCTGCTGCCAACGCAATCGAATCCCGAGGCGGCTGCCACTTTCGCCAAGATGATCCAGTCCTCGCTGAAGAGCTGGTTCACCCAGTTCAATTTCTTTCTGCACAACCTCGCCCAGATGCGCTTCACTGCCGACGAGGGCACCGGCGAGCTGCTCTCCTTCGTGCCACGCAAATATACGTAAGTCTTGGCCGCTGCCAACTGGCATACGACTATATATTTATCGCTTATGTGTTTTTCGTTTGACGACAGCATGCAGCAGGATGGTCGCTTGAAGATTGTCAAGGTGGTGCGCTTCCAGAAGCACTACAGCATGGAGAAGTTCTACATGTACATACTGCAAGTGACGCGACACGGACAGCCGGATCCCACTCACTTGTTCCGCTCCTATCGCGAGTTCACCGAGTTCCATCAGAAGCTGTGCATGCACTTTCCACTGGTCAAACTTCACAGGTGAGTGAATCCTCTCAGACAGATGATTGCTGTATGTGTGTGTGTGTGCTGTGTGGGGGGAGGGGAGTGGGCGTGTGTGATACAAAGTTAAGGGACTCCTTGAATCATGTTAGATTTAATCCAGTTTAATTGTTTCGCTGCTATTACTTATTTCTTTGTCATCACGGATAACTACAGCAGCTGTTTAGAATGTCCCTCGTCATGCACACGACATGTGTTTTTTTTTTTTTTTGCATTCTCGGGCATTCTCCTTTGAAGAATGAATCTCGAAGCAATGGTGGCTCGAACAGGGAACAATATTTTCCATGGGAATAATTCGTCGGACAGTGACTGGGGCTTGGGTCTTGGGCCATATCTTGTTTTCTTCCTGGTTTTCTTTATTGATTTTTGTTCGCATATTATCTTTATGCTCTATCGAATAACGGACGTTCATCTATCAGACTCTTTATCTAGACATTGAGAAATTGATTCCAATTCGGCTTCAAAACATTTGCTTATCTTGTATAAATGCCCAGAGACGCTCTTTTGTCGTTTGTTGTTATCTGCCAAGGCTTTCCTGCTATACTCGTTGTGTTTATTATTATAATTATTATTCTAATATACGCGTGTAGTCAACATTATATGGCAACTTATCTTTGAAATGTATGTATGTACTCGTACTCGTAATTGGATCATAGCCAGTGCCAGTGCCAGAGCCAGTCAGTTACACATAAAATACTGTATTTTCTAAGGAAATTGAGGCACGGGCTGCACAAGCAACTAGAGATCGGGGGCGGGATCCTAGGCATCCGTATCGTTATGCATTGTGCGCAGTGCTGCTGTCATGGAGCGGTGCTGGCTGATGGCTCGGCCGAAGGCTTCATCATCGTCGCTGCTGTCGCCCTGCATTACCTGGGCACCGAACAGGCTGGGCACAATGTTGTGGCCCGCCTCTGGCTCGAATATGGTTGAGCGCAGCATGGGTCGAGGTGGCGGAGGAGGAGGGTTATCCTCCTCAGACTCTGCACTCGACGATGTGACCACATCGGCGGACTGGTAGTACTGCAAGTTATCCACATCGAAGCGGACCTTGCGCGTGCGTGGATTGCGCTGTGCAGGCTTCGGTGCCGAACGGGGGGCTTCATTCTGCGCCTCGCCATCGCTGGAACTGGAGCCGGGCAGCTCTTCGGGTTGGTAGAAAGCCAGGGGAGCCGCATCGCCACGTACATTGAGTGTGCTAGTCTTGGTAGAGCGCGGAGTAGGCTGAGGAGCTGGTCGCGGTGTCTCGGCCACAGCCATTTCCTGGCACAGATCCTCGAAATTGTCAATTCCATTTGTCGGCCCTGTGCCTGAGCCTCCGTTCGGTTCCAGTTCGGCATACAGATCCTCTATGCTGCTCACGACTTCGGTGTATTTGGGCAGGGTTTGGCTGGCCCGCGTGTTCTCCAGCTGCATCAGGGACTCGTAGTCAGGCAGATAGAGTGTGCCCGGGTCGTAGGGCGGGGGATCTGCACAGGGCAGAGCTGGTGGGGACTCCGCATGCCTTGTCGGAGCTGGTTCCATTGGCTCCAACTGATTGAATAGTCCCTCTGCCTGCTGCACGTTGTCCAGCGACAGAGTCGCTTCGCTCAGAGTAGTCTCCACTGGGGGCAGCTGCTCCACGTTGTGCAGCGACAGAGTGGCTTCGCTGAGTGTGGTCTCCACCGGGGGCAGCTGCTCCAGGGCGCTGGGATGCAACGCCCAGTTGGGCTCGGGCACTTCAGCGACGGCATCGAGGTTCATCCAGTTCTCCCAGTCCTCGTCGATGCTCTTGCCAAAGCCAGGCGGACTGCCTGCCGCTGGCAGCTGCCGCGGATCCAAGTCCAAGATGTCTGCCTCGTTCATCACAAAGGAGGAACGGATGCGCACAAACTCCGGATCCTGCTCGCCATTCGGCAATTCCAAATCGTCGAAAAGGCTACGTGCCATCGGGGCCTGCGGTGGGCTTGTCGTCTCCGGACTGCCTGCTATGACTGCCACAACGAATGCCGAGTCCACGGACTGATCGACGGCTCCCTGACTACTGGGCGCCACTTCTGATTCGTGCTCATCGTTGGATGGCGCCCCGCGGTGCACCACAGCAGTCACAGAGAGAGAGGAGGCGGCACCTTGCTCCTCGTCGGGGGTCAGCAGCTCTGGCACATCATCGACCGGCTCGAACTTGACATAGCGCCCACTGTCCTTGCTCCTCAGCTGCGTTGTGCTGGCCGCATCCGCCGTGGGCTGTACGCTAATGAGCGCGTATTTCTCCGCAAAGTGATCAAAGTTGGGCATTCCCAGTTCGCTAGGCGCCTCAGGAGCCACAGCGACTGCTAGATCTCTCGCTGGCATCGCGTCGGTGGCTGGTGGCAGCGCCTCTGTGGGTGGAGAAGGTGGCATGCGAGTGGGTGGCGCCGCATAGCAGTCAGAGTGGGCACTGTGCACCTCCTTGCGGCGACGACGCTGTGCTTGGGGCGGTGCGCGATACGACACATCGCCGGCCTCTCCCAAGCTGCGCTCCCGGGGCGTGACTGGGGAGTACATTCGAAGGTTCGGCACACTGCCCGTCAAGTAGCTGTTGCCTGCGGAAGAATGGAATGGCAGTCAGTGGGGGCAACAGTATAGAAAATCACACAATATCCCAGTCTTTACCCGCTGAAGCCGTCGTTGAAGGCCATGAGCTTTCGAATTCCTCGAGATTGCGCTGCCGGAACACGCCATGCACTGCATTGTCTGTGCCGTTTACCTGCAATCGAATCGTATTAGTTCTTTGGAGCACTGCATTGCCATTGCATTGGTCAGGGAACGTGTGTGTACCCAACTTCCAACAGCTGCATCAGCTGTGGCCTGTGGACTCAGCTGTTGGGGTGGCCCCTCGAATGCGTTACAACTGTAGTTGTACTGTGAATACGTTGGGCATTACACATGCCCAGAGAACAGCCAAAGCACAAGCACCAGCACACACACCCATGCAATGAGGCACGCTAAAACTTTTGTTTGGAAACCCCTTTGGAAACCTTTCAAAACTTTGCTACAACTGAGAATATATTCTTGAGCGTTGGCTCCCTTCACTTTTGATTCGTTTAATTCCTAATTTGAAGAGGAGTACCTGTAAAAGAAAGACGCCAACATTCTATCCACTCGATTGAGTGAAAGTTGACTCTTTTAATAACGATTTGCATGCCCCTCACGCGCCCATCTCTGTCCCTCGCATACAGACAGCGTTTACACCTGCAAATGAATAAATGTCGCCTCTGTTTGCTATTTGCTGTGCCTTATCAGCGGGCGTTCTGGTACTGTTACTGTTACTGGTACTGCTATCGTGGGGAGGGGAGGCATCACACATTGACCTTTACGTGCTTGTCGAGCAGTTCTCTGTGCAGATTCCGCCGGACTTTTGCCTACCTGTGACTCCTGGGCAGCATAGCGGGGCGGCGGCTGTTGTGGCTGTGCCGCGGATGATCTAGACGAGCCGGACGAACTGCGATCGAAGGTCAGGCGACGCCGAAAGCCCCAGATCTTGATGCCGAGCAGGGCGAAGAGTAGGCCCACGAGCAGCATGGCGGAGGCAAGCAGTGGCCCGACAGCGGCATGCTGACCTGTAGCAGGATAGAACTTATAGATGGATTTCTGATTAGGTCTGGCATAGAACTTACCTTGGCCCACATTCTCCAGTTGAGCCATGGCTTTGTCTTACGCTGCTGTGGCTGGTGGCATTTCAGCAGATTTCACGAATTTTGCACGAATTTCTGTCTCTGTTGTTGCTGCCGAATATATTGTATATATATACATAAATACGCTTACATATGTACATAAGTTCACCACGTCGCTAATCGAACGACCCAGCGACAGCGGACGGCTATCGGGGGCTCCAGCTCTTCAGATTTTTTTTTTTTTGGCGTTCCGTTCGTCTGAGCGCCCGCTCGCTCGTTAACTGATTGAGCGCTGACGTTTCCGCCGCTGCCGTCGCTGCGAATGTTGCTTATCGGTCCCCACGATTCGGGCCGATATCAAGCACCAACCCGACTCGATTCGACTCTCTCTCTCTCTTTGCCCACTTGGAGCGGGTGTGCTCTCCCTCGGTAGCGACACGACAGTGAAATCAGTTTGCCTCAGTCACCGATTTATCAGGCTATTAGCGGTGTAACCTCTCGTACTACCTACCTACCACACTGATAAGCAATCGGCAATATATATATATTTATTTTGATTTGTCAGCACTATCCGTGCACTAACTTAAGAAGCTTGTAATGTTTTTTGAAATGTTTGGTAATTAATTAATGCTTGCAAATGAAGATTATGTCAATCATGTCATAGAGTATCATTAATTCCCTTAAATACTAACATCTTTCAGTCAGTTTTATTCTATCAACTCTATCTTTAATATCTTGTCTTTACAGTCTACCGGCTGGCGTGCATGTGGGTCGCTCCAACATCAAGTCTGTGGCTGAAAAACGTCTACCTCTGATACAGCACTTTCTGAAATCGCTGTTCGATGCCGCCGAGGAAATTGCGCACTCTGATCTGGTGTACACGTTTTTCCATCCTCTGTTGCGTGATCAGCAGGAGGCCAAGCTGGAGATGCCCAAGATGAAGGGTAAGTTAGCAGCTAGCACATGTCACCTCCATTGAATCGATATTGAACATAATTATATTGTAGAGGACAAGCGAAAGCCGTCGCGTGATAACCCCAATGAGATTGGTCAAATCCGACTATCGCTGCAATATAACCGCGGCGTACTTACTGTGATGGTGGGTGGCTTATGAGCTATCTTATATAGCATATTATAGCTAATGGATCCTGTTTATTCTGTTAGATACACCACGCCAAAGGGCTGCCCTTGATACAGGGCGGTCAGGAGCCCAACACATATGTGAAATGCTACCTAAAACCGGACCCCAAAAAGGAGACCAAACGCAAGACCAAAGTTGTGCGCAAGACCTGTGTTCCCAGTTTCATGGAAACGGTAAGTTGAATAAATGAATACTATTTGTATTAAACATTCGAGTAAATTTTTCTCTCCCTATTATGCAGCTGGAGTACCGCATGCCACTCAATATTATTCAGGAGCGTCGACTGCAGGTCACTATCTGGACACATGATACGCTGCAGGAGAACGAACTGCTCGGCGGTTTCGAGTTGGATCTGTCCAAGCACGATCTGCGGCAGGAGCTGTGCGATTGGCACCGCCTGCGATCGGTGCCGAGAAATGGATGATAGAATGAGAATTAAGGATAAGAGGACAGCTCACCGCCTGCTTACCGACAATCTGGCCTAGGAATAAAGCAATACTAATTTACACGTTTTTGTCTTCTTTTGAACACAATAATACTTACACACATACTCGAAGTGATTGTACATTCCAACATTTATATTATATACAATTGAACTAAAGTCCAGTAGATTCTGTGTTATTTCTTTTTCTTTTTGTTCAAATTGTGCCTCACACTCGTATTTTTATTCCTCCCCACTCATACACAAACATTCTTTAAATCTTTAACTGATTCACTTTGGCTCCAGCTATTCTTTAATGAAATACTGTGTGGGAGAGAAGAGTAAGAGCAAGAGTATGTTAGGTCTCTAGGAATATCTCTGGATATCTGTTCAATTTTTATCTTTTCCATTAGTCAGCGGTTGGCCTGTTTGTTCAGAGTATTTGCAGTATTATACAGATGTATCCCAACAATTTGAGGGACTTTTAAAATATACAGAGGATTAGCATGAGAGATTTGACTCAAGGAGTCATTTAAAACAAACCCGTAACATCTAAGAAATGTCATGTTCTCCGGCTCTAGGTTCATTTGTACGAATTAGACGAATTTAATTTCTCTCCAGGGATTCTCTTTTTCGTTTCTGTACGACAAAAATTACTTTGTGTCTGTGGCAGCACCCGCTGTCAGTTATTTGGGGTAAACTCTCGACACTTAATACTTACAACAAATTTACAAGCAAAGCAAATAAATAGCGAATATTGGAACTGTCGTCGGAGAGACCAAGTACTAAAAGTGTCTTAACAAATTAAAAAGATTATTGTAAAATGTTTAGATGTATTTGTCTAGGAACTTACACAGTGAAATCGACAGATACTATTTTTATATCTATGGAAATTTAAAAACTACATCTACCTGCGTATTTTTAACGAAAATCAAAACTTATTAACGACATACATACATACATATTAATTGATAAGCGATCTGATCTGATGTTTGTGCATTTTATTAAAACAAAGTTGATGTAATGTAATTAATATCAAATTTCGGCACAAAATATACATATGTGAAAATACCAAATTAAAATACATACATATGTACATATATTCTCCTAAACACAAAAATCAGTTTTGTGGTTTTATTTGTACATATGTATGTATATACATTTTTATTGGAACCTCTCTCTCAACCTGTAATGTTTCTTATCCTTTGTCCGTGTGGCGCTACGCTTATAAATTTCCTTCAGTACGATCATTCGTTGTATATTGAGTGAACTTCACGCAGAATAATATCTAGAGCTTCAGGTATCAGCAAAGATCTGCTTAAACCGCCCTTCAGATTAAGTTGATGAACTGCTTGCTGGATAATTAACGAACGTTTAGGCTTAAAAGTACACACTAAATCGTCAAGAATAATGCTTCCAGCTAACTAGATTGTTTGGTTATTTATTTTTTAATTTCGAACTTAGCTAGCCTTGAGCCATTTGCTTTTCAAGTACGTGTATTTAGATACAACCTCTGTACTTGTATCTGTAATTGTAAAGGAGTTTGATTTGAGGAAAGCGGAAACTAAAATTTTGAATTAAATTAGACGAAACATGGCAGCCACAGCCACAGGCCAGCAGAAGGTGGAGTTGATAAGCCAAGTGAAGCAGCAGATCGCATTGGCGAATGCCCAGGAGATGCTGTCAAAGATGACCGAGAAGTGCTTCAAGAAGTGCATCCAGAAGCCGGGCAAGTCGCTGGATAACACCGAGCAGCGTTGCATTTCGCAGTGCATGGACCGCTTCATGGACGCCTGGAACCTGGTCTCGCGCACCTATGGCAACCGCCTGCAGCGCGAGCACTTCAAGGGCACCGTGGACATGGCCGACTGAACCCATGCCCACGCCCAAATCGTATCGTTGATCCTGTTACTCATGGAGTCAAATAAAGACCCATTATTGTTAACCACTGGTGGGGGTATGATGATCGAGACAGGTGTGCCCCCCATTGGATCGCTCATGGAGGGGCAAGTGATAACCGACTGATTATTGGCTTGCAATAACTGCAACTACTGGGCAGGGGACGCCTTGGAGGGTTGCAGGGGTGATGGGCTGAGGGTATATCCCCCCGCGGACATAGCTTTCTGCTTGATATGTGCACTTCTACTGATCGTTATCGTGTTTGGAATGGTCTCGTTAGCTAACGGATGAGCAACTGCTTGCGCGCATTGGCCAAATGCATTTCGCATCGGGATGGATTGTGGTTAACTCAAGCACAGCAAAGTGTAGTTTCGAGACCACTCTAATCCATTGCACCCCTTACACATTTATGCAAATTTTGTATTTATTTTTACTTCTGTCAAAGGGTTTGCGAACGGAATGGTTGATCAGATAATATGTGGCATTTTGTATTTTCAAAGGTATTTTCTAATCAAGAGGCGGTTTTTAAGTAAGCTGTAAAGCATTTAGTCAAATGTACGTTTAGATCAAATAAAATACATTGGATATTCTAGACCCCCAACGAAATTTAAAAAACCAATAAATTGAAGATATCAAATGATCGCATTTAACTATACAGAACTCCATCAAAAAGGTTACAAGGTCTGGTTTCTAGTGTAAATAATTTGTTCAGGAAAAAATAAGTATAAGGGCTTATTTAAAGCGTTAAAGAGAAGCAACATATCATATCCTCTGATTCTTCATTGTAATGAAGAAAGATTCTGGAAGAGTACTCTGTACTTATGGAATGGACTTTAACTCGATTTCTGTTCTAAAATAAGCGCCAAAACCTCTATGTGGATGGTGGTTAATGCCACTTAACCACTTAAATAAAAATTCCCATGGCACCATGCACTTTTGTTGGTTTTTTTGGAGCTAAACAAAGACCCCCAAAAGAGGCTATCACATTTCACTGATATGAGGACAGACACGGGCAATTACGCAATTTTTAGTGAGTGCAGGTGACCCCGTGCACTGGACAAGAAATGCTGCAAATAGTTTAAAATTACCAAAAAAAAAAAACAAGAAAAAAAAAATCAAAAAATAATAATAAAAAAATGCAAAAGATAAAATGCGATTTCGTGGCCGAACTTATTGGCTCGAATACCAGAGGTAACAAAATCCATTTTGGAATTTTCCTCAACTAGGTACATTCGAAGCCATACAAGTTACGATAAGAGTGCGGACCAAAACGCCTCCATATGGGACAGGGCGGCGCTTTCCGCCCCAAAAGCTCTTCCCGCAACTAAAAATAGTAGAAACTTCGCCCACCAGCTGCGGCAGCAGCAGCAGCAGCAACAACAAGTGCCCCAAGGCTTGAGTAATCATTGCAAGAAATACGATAAGTGTGCTGAGACGATGGCCCCCCTTATCTGGACAACTAATCGGAACAGTTCGTCTGGGCAGGGCCAGTGCGTTGAGGTGCAGGGCGATGGGGCACCTGAATCGGTAACCAAAAGTTACGGCAGACACTGGCGTCATCGCAAGGTGAGCGGAGATAAAGTCATGCTGACAGCCCTATTACGAGGCAGATTAGAAACATCCCCCCCTCCAGGAGGGAACTACATATGTACGCTTTATTTATCTCTTGTCATCTTTTCCGTATTGCAAACGATCTTAATTCAACTTCAATTATTCTCTCTACCCTGCTAGTGGGTCTAATTTTTGTATGAAGAAAATAATCAAATATTCCAGCCGTAACCAGCCAAAAAAAGGCCTGAAAGTGTAATACTATTTGCACTTAGATTGTAAAATTGATACCAATAGATTGATTGGAAGTTGCTTTGAAAGTTGAAATTGTAAAAATTAAATGTTATCCCTTACATATATGTACATCAAAATATTTAATTGAAATTTGGAATGTAAATTTAAATTAAATAATTTTATACTAAGATTAAATATATTTCCTAAAATTGTAATATATTTTATTAAGTTATAAGTGTTTTATATTTGGATTAAATATGGGCCGTATTCAATAACTTTGTCTTTGAATAAGAGTGAATTCTATTTAATTTCCCTATTTTTATATTTAAAATCCGAATATTTTATTTAAATATGGCTGTTTGTTTGTTCGGATTCAGAGTTCCGATACCTTCGCTTCGCCATCAGACTATTCCAGAACAGCTTCCGGCTACACAGATCCGTACAAGTGTAAATCACGCAGCACAACATTCTGTTGGTTATCCAACCACTTGGACAAAAATTTAATTTATTTAAACTAACTTTTCTGTTTTGGAGTGTAAACAATTAGTTCCTGCATATCGGCACTCTTGTCTAGCCACCACTTGAGAATGGCTTTCAGGGAATTGTTTTTGAGCGGAAGCTACAGGCGGCGGGCATATAAAAAGAACGTTTCTGTCTGGGCACGTTGCATTTCGTGGATGTACTTTGAAAATGCTAATAGGTAAGTAAGATGGGAATCTACCAAGGAATATATTACTAAATCCTGTTGTCTTTCAGTAAATATCCTGTGGTTCGGTCTCTGGATCGTTCCTCAGGCATTTGCCGCGGATTCTTGTGCAGGACAATCGTTTGGATATAGATCAGCGGACCCAACAGATCCTCACGCGTATTTTCTCTGCCTGGGCTTCCTCGGACAGATAAGAAACACCTGCCAAGACGGATTGCGGTTCAGCGTGCACGACCAAAGCTGCGTGCATGGAGGCAAGCCAAGTTCTGGCAGTTCACAAGCAGAAAAGGATACCACCATCCACCAAAACGTGTTCATTGACAGGCCGCTAATATTCAATTTCTTCGGTAACCTATGGGGCAGCTCTCCACGGCCGTCTCCTTCTCTGTCGCAACCGCAACCCCTGATCGCACCCGATCAGCATCAAGACCCGCTACCCAGCGGAAGTTTGTCAGCCTTAAGTGAAGTCATTTCTTCCCCCCATGAGAACAAGCCTGCCCCTGATGAGGCAGCATCTACCTCGTCAAGGGTTGAAGAGAGATGCCGCTTTTTACCAAATGGCGCCTTCATAAGGGACTCCAAGAAATGCGGAGTTTTTTACGTGTGTGCCAATGGGAACGCCATCATCCGATGCTGTCCAGAGGGTCTCTATTTCGACATCGAGAAAAGTTACTGCAATTTTCCAAGTATGGTCGACTGCTCGGAAGAACCACTAACTACTATACCACCCCCTCCTGAAAGTTCGACAAAGACAAATAGTCCAAGCTCTAAAGAACCATCATCCACGAAACCAACATCCACAGAACCTTCTGTGAAAAGTTCGACGGAACCAAATAGATCCAGTTCTGAAGAACCGTCATCCACGGAACCATCATCCACAGAACCTTCTTCGGAAAGTACGACGGAGCCAAATAGCTCCAGTTCTGAAGAACCATCATCCACGGAACCATCCTCCACAAAAGTTTCTCCGGAAAGTTCGACGGATCTAAATAGCTCCAGTTCTGAAGAACCATCATCCACGGAACCAACATCCACGGAACCTTCTTCGGAAAGTACGACGGAGCCAAATAGCTCCAGTTCCGAAGAACCATCATCTACAGAAGTTTCTCCGGAAAGTTCGACGGATCCAAATAGCTCCAGTTCTGAAGAACCATCATCCACGGAACCATCATCCACGGAACCAACATCCACGGAACCTTCTTCGGAAAGTACGGATCCAAATAGCTCCAGTTCTGAAGAACCATCATCAACGGAACCATCATCCACGGAACCATCATCCACAGAACCTTCTCGGAAAGTCACGGAGCTCCAGTTCTGAAGAACCATCATCCACGGAACCAACAACCACGGAACCATCATCCACAGAACCTTCTTCGGAAAGTTCGACGGATCCAAATAGCTCCAGTTCTGAAGAACCATCATCCACGGAACCAAGAACCAACATCCACAGAACTTTGGAAGTTCGCAGGATCCAAATATCTCCAGTTCTGAAGAACCATCATCCACGGAACCAACAACCACAGAAGCTTCTTCGGAAAGTACTACGGATCCAAATAGCTCCAGTTCTGAAGAACCATCATCTACGGAACCAACATCCACGGAACCTTCTTCGGAAAGTCCGGCGAAGCCAAATAGCTCCAGTTCTGAAGAACCATCATCCACGGAACCTTCTTCGGAAAGTACGACGGAGCCAAATAGCTCCAGTTCTGAAGAACCATCCTCCACGGAACCAACATCCACAGAAACTTCTTTGGCAAGTACGACGAAGCCAAATAGCTCCAGTTCTGAAGAACCATCATCCACGGAACCATCATCCACCCACATCCACAGAACCTTCTTCGGAAAGTTCGACGGATCCAAATAACTCCAGTTCTGAAGAACCATCATCAACGGAACCATCATCCACAGAACCTTCTTCGGAAAGTACGACGGAGCCAAATAGCTCCAGTTCTGAAGAACCATCATCCACGGAACCAACATCCACAGAAACTTCTTCGGCAAGTACGACGAAGCCAAATAGCTCCAGTTCTGAAGAGCCATCATCCACGGAACCATCATCCACAGAAACTTCTTCGGAAAGTTCGACGGATCCAAATAACTCCAGTTCTGAAGAACCATCATCAACGGAACCATCATCCACAGAACCTTCTTCGGAAAGTACGACGGAGCCAAATAGCTCAAGTTCTGAAGAACCATCATCCACGGAACCATCATCCACAGAAGCTTCTTCGGCAAGTACGACGGAGCCAAATAGCTCCAGTTCTGAAGAACCATCATCCACGGAACCAACATCCACAGAAACTTCTTCGGCAAGTTCGACGGAGCCAAATAGCTCCAGTTCTGAAGAGCCATCATCCACGGAACCATCATCCACAGAAACTTCTTCGGAAAGTTCGACGGATCCAAATAACTCCAGTTCTGAAGAACCATCATCAACGGAACCATCATCCACAGAACCTTCTTCGGAAAGTACGACGGAGCCAAATAGCTCCAGTTCTGAAGAACCATCATCCACGGAACCAACATCCACAGAACCTTCTTCGGAAAGTACGGCGAAGCCAAATAGCTCCAGTTCTGAAGAGCCATCATCCACAGAACCATCATCCACAGAACCTTCTTCGGAAAGTACGACGGATCCAAATAGCTCCAGTTCTGAAGAACCATCATCCACGGAACCATCATCCACAGAACCTTCTTCGGAAAGTACGACGGAGCCAAATAGCTCCAGTTCTGAAGAACCATCATCCACGGAACCAACAACCACAGAAGCTTCTTCGGAAAGTACTTTGGATCCAAATAGCTCCAGTTCTGAAGAACCATCATCCACGGAACCAACATCTACAGAACCTTCTTCGGAAAGTACGGCGGAGCCAAATAGCTCCAGTTCTGAAGAGCCATCATCCACGGAACCATCATCCACAGAACCTTCTTCGGAAAGTTCGACGGATCCAAATAGCTCCAGTTCTGAAGAACCATCATCAACGGAACCATCATCCACAGAACCTTCTTCGGAAAGTACGACGGATCCAAATAGCTCCAGTTCTAAAGAACCATCATCTACGGAACCAACATCTACGGAACCTTCTTCGGAAAGTACGGCGAAGCCAAATAGCTCCAGTTCTGAAGAGCCATCATCCACGGAACCATCATCCACAGAACCTTCTTCGGAAAGTTCGACGGATCCAAATAGCTCCAGTTCTGAAGAACCATCATCAACGGAACCATCATCCACGGAACCATCATCCACAGAACCTTCTTCGGAAAGTACGACGGAGCCAAATAGCTCCAGTTCTGAAGAACCATCATCCACGGAACCATCATCCACAGAAGCTTCTTCGGAAAGTTCGACGGATCCAAATAGCTCCAGTTCTAAAGAACCATCATCTACGGAACCAACATCTACGGAACCTTCTTCGGAAAGTACGGCGAAGCCAAATAGCTCCAGTTCTGAAGAGCCATCATCCACGGAACCATCATCCACAGAACCTTCTTCGGAAAGTTCGACGGATCCAAATAGCTCCAGTTCTGAAGAACCATCATCAACGGAACCATCATCCACGGAACCATCATCCACAGAAGTCTCTCCAGGAAGTTCGCAGGATCCAAATATCTCCAGTTCTGAAGAACCATCATCCACGGAACCATCATCCACAGAAGATTCTTCGGAAAGTTCGACGGATCCAAATAGCTCCAGTTCTAAAGAACCATCATCTACGGAACCAACATCTACGGAACCTTCTTCGGAAAGTACGGCGAAGCCAAATAGCTCCAGTTCTGAAGAGCCATCATCCACGGAACCATCATCCACAGAACCTTCTTCGGAAAGTTCGACGGATCCAAATAGCTCCAGTTCTGAAGAACCATCATCCACGGAACCAACATCCACAGAAGATTCTCCGGGAAGTTCGCAGGATCCAAATACTCCAGTTCTGAAGAACCATCATCCACGGAACCATCATCCACGGAACCTTCTTCGAAAAGTGGCGAATCCAAATAGCTCCAGTTCTGAAGAACCATCATCCACGGAACCATCATCCACAGAACCTTCTTCGGAAAGTACGACGGAGCCAAATAGCTCCAGTTCTGAAGAACCATCATCCACGGAACCATCATCCACGGAACCATCATCCACAGAACCTTCTTCGGCAAGTACGACGGAGCCAAATAGCTCCAGTTCTGAAGAACCATCATCAACGGAACCATCATCCACGGAACCAACATCCACGGAACCAACATCCACAGAAGCATCATCCACAGAAGTCTCTCCAGGAAGTTCGCAGGATCCAAATAGCTCCAGTTCTGAAGAACCATCATCCACGGAACCATCATCCACAGAAGCTTCTTCGGAAAGTACGACGAAGCCAAATAGCTCCAGTTCTGAAGAACCATCATCCACGGAACCATCATCCACAGAACCTTCTTCGGAAAGTACGACGGAGCCAAATAGCTCCAGTTCTGAAGAACCATCATCCACGGAACCATCATCCACAGAAGTTTCTCCGGAAAGTACGACGGAGCTAAATAGCTCCAGTTCTGAAGAACCATCATCCACAGAACCTTCTTCGGAAAGTACGACGGAGCCAAATAGCTCCAGTTCTAAAGAACCATCATCCACGGAACCATCATCCACAGAACCTTCTTCGGAAAGTACGACGGAGCCAAATAGCTCCAGTTCTGAAGAACCATCATCCACGGAACCATCATCCACAGAAGTTTCTCCGGAAAGTACGACGGAGCTAAATAGCTCCAGTTCTGAAGAACCATCATCCACAGAACCTTCTTCGGGGCCCCGTCTGAAGACCACATCCACGGAACCATCATCCACAGAACCTTCTTCGGAAAGTACGACGGAGCCAAATAGCTCCAGTTCTGAAGAACCATCATCCACAGAACCTTCTTCGGAAAGTACGACGGAGCCAAATAGCTCCAGTTCTAAAGAACCATCATCCACGGAACCATCATCCACAGAACCTTCTTCGGAAAGTACGACGGAGCCAAATAGCTCAAGTTCTGAAGAACCATCATCCACGGAACCATCATCCACAGAAGCTTCTTCGGAAAGTACGACGGAGCTAAATAGCTCCAGTTCTGAAGAACCATCATCCACGGAACCAACATCCACAGAACCTTCTTCGGCAAGTACGACGGAGCCAAATAGCGCCAGTTCTGACGAACCATCATCCACGGAACCATCATCCACAGAACCTTCTTCGGAAAGTTCAACGGATCCAAATAGCTCCAGTTCTGAAGAGCCATCATCCACAGAACCAACATCCACGGAACCAACATCCACAGAACCATCATCCACAGAAGTTTCTCCGGGAAGTTCGCCGGATACAAATACCTCAAGTTCTGCAGAACCATCATCAACAGAAGTTTCTGCGGAAAGTTCGCCGGATCCAAATAGCTCCAGTTCTGAAGAACCATCATCCACGGAACCAACATCCACAGAACCTTCTTCGGAAAGCACGACGGAGCCAACTAGCTCCAGTTCTATATCATCTACCGAAAAATCAGCTGAAAGTTCTCCCGTAATCGAAGTAGCTCCATCATTGCCCGTCCCTAGACCAATCGAACCAATTTCGCTCTCCAACCGTCCAGTTATTGATGGTTCCAAGACCGAGCCACTGAATTCGGGGGGAATCAAACAATCGCAGCATGATCGCTTACTGAGCACAACGTCAGGGGGTTCTTCGCAATTCCAAGAAAGGACAGACTGCACTTTCCTCCCAACGGGAGCATTCCTAAGGGACCCTACGTCGTGTAACAAGTTTTACGTGTGTTTAAATGGAAAGGCTATTCCCCGTCGCTGTCCCAGTATTCTCAACTTTGATATAAAGAAGAAAGTTTGTAATTTCCCCAGCCTCGTGGATTGCTCTATTGATGGCGTCCAAGTCTCCCTCCTCAAGACACTCACGGAGCACTCCAATAAGAAAGTGGAACAGAAAATGATCTTTGACTGCACATCGCTTCCAAATGGTGAAAATGTGCGAGATCTGAATTCGTGCAGCAAATTTTATGTCTGCGCCAACGGCCGCTCGATACCCCGTCAATGTCCGCAGGGTCTGAATTATGATATCACAAGGAAGGTGTGCGATGTACCCAGTCGTGTGGATTGCTCTATTGATGGTGTCCAAGGGTCCGTGCTCAAGACACTCTCTAAGCACTCCAATAAGAAAGTGGAACAGAACCCGATCTTTGAATGCACATCGCTTCCAAATGGTGAATTTGTGCGAGATCTGAATTCGTGCAGCAAATTTTATGTCTGCGCCAACGGCCGCTCGATACCCCGTCAATGTCCGAAGGGTCTGAATTTCGATATCACAAAGAAGGTCTGCGATTTCCCCAGTCGTGTGGATTGCTCGATAGTCGAGGCTTTAGCTCCAACGGCAAGAAAACTCAACATGAAAAACCAAAATCTGGCTGGTAAAGGATTACTAGTGAAGATGTCTCACAAATAGAGAGCTGATCTTTGATCTTTATATTTTACAGTACAATATTATTATAGGAACATGGTAAAAGGGTTTTAACATAGGGTTTAATAGGATATATTTGTATGGTTATTCTTATATTTTCTGAGTGGTTACTGATATATTTACATATATGCGTAATTTTAATTGATATGCACACTACTAATTCTACTTCCGACTATGATATATTCAACGAATAAAGGACCTACCAACGAAGCTTGACTTTCAGGAAGAGATCGTATTTAATTTGATCCAACAGACAAATAGATCCATTAACATGTGCCTCTAAAATTATTTCTAAGCAGAGTAGCAGAAGAGAGTATTCAAAATTTTCTCTGAGGAAAGATCTCCTTGAAAAGTAGTAATACTTTTTGTAAAAACACTGCGAAACGATTAAATGTCAAAGGCTCTGTCCATTATAATTAAAGTCAAGCCGCCGTCAGCTCTATCTTTGGGCGTTTGTCTCTTTGGCATGGCCCAGACGCTAATTTCTTTCTGTGGCGGAAATGTAGAGTGGGCACAAAGTTATCCCATTTAAATTTAATTACGAGATAAACGCATGTTTCTGATGTTTCTGACGTAGGCGCTTAGGCTCGAATGCGCCCACAAGTAGTCCTTGGGTGGTTGGGTGGGGGCTTCAGCCAGTAACTCGGCCTTCCTCGGGTTACGTTACCTTAAAGCCACCTCACTCTCGGCGCTATAATTAAATTGTCCAACCCGAAGGGCGGTCGGCAGACAGGCACTGACAAGCACTGTCGTGTGGCGGCGACAAATTACAGGACATGGCTCCGCTTGTGCTCCAAGCTCATCGATAGCCTGTCCGTGTGTGTCCGTGTGGGGTAGGCGGGTGACGTGAAATCGATTTGATTTCAAGGCAATTCCCAGACAGTCTCATCTATCAATCAGTTCTTGAAAGCAAATTTTTAAAGAGATTCTTTAACGACGCTAAATATAATTTAAGGCTGATGGTAATTTCTGTTGCTAATTCATTGAGATGCGATTACGTTACGTTTTGGGGCGCCAAATTTGAGTACAGTAAAATACGCCTATGGAACAACAGAGACAACTAAGAGAGTGAAGTGTATACTGAGAGAGAGAGAGAGAAAGAGTTCCCTGCCCAGAATGTCGCTCTATTGGTGGTTGATTGTGGGTCGGTCGAGTTGTACACGTTTTCTACCCCCGAAGGCGCCGGCAAGGGCTTCAGTTCTCTTTCAACTTCGCTCCGGGTCGAGTTCGAGTCCGTCAGGAGTACGCATAGTGCGGATTGAATATATTTTGAGTGTTGTGTGCCTAACATTCAGCCCAAACATCGCCAACTGTGACTAAAGGTGTTGGCAATTAAAGCCGAGTGTAGATTATACTGTACAAGTTCTAAAATTTACTCAGTTTTCTTGGGAAAGTGGCATCAAAGAGACATGTTGCCTGCCACCTTGCACCCACCACCCCACCCGCTGGAGCTCAGTAGAAAGTAGAGCTGTCCTGCTCGCACACAGCCCTCCTGCAATCGATAAGCTTAACAGAGGGCTGCCAACTCGTTGGCCACCGAAAAGCAGCGAGAAGAATTAGGTAAATGTTAGCACAGCGAGAAGCTAAAACAATTGTACTGGCGAGTGGTGGCTGTTAACTCGAATGTTGAATGTTAAATGAGGATTACATTTGCAGAACTTTTTTAGCCGTCGCGCCGTTCGTTTCGTTTGTTCCCGTTCCGTAAATATAAGTGAGAGGCAAAAAGTGTGAATCAATTGTGAGTTGTGAACACTTTTTGGATGTTCAAAAGTGCATAAGAGATCGAGTGCAGTACATTATCAGTGGCATAGTTCGTTTCGGCTCAAAGATCAATAAAAGCTTTGATAGGCGTCTCCGCACCCTGGAGCGTCGATTGTGTGAGTACAGAACGTACACGGAACAGTCCTGCCTGCATTCTCTTGGGGCTGGGTGATTTGATTTGATCGAGTCCAAAGATAGCGGCGAGGTCGGCTGCCTGGACAAACAACCGCGCGACAGCCGCCCCTCTGGACGACACACACATGAAATATCAGTGCGGCAGGAACAACAGAAACAACAACAGTTCGCATAATAAATACTGGCACGGGGGGCACGGTGTGTCGTAAAGTGAGGGGTGAAAAGGCAGCGAGTGAGAGGCATCGCAAAGGCGACACAGAAAGAAGGCAGCAGCAGCAGCAAGTGCGTCGGTGGCTCGACTGGGTTGCTCGGGGGTTGCTGCTGCTGCTGTTCTGTTCTGTTCCTGGCTGAGGTCATTTGCAGTCATTTGTCGCGACGAGCAGAGCACTATGCCTGCCAGGGGGTTGATTTTGGCCACACCGGTCCGGTACTTCGTGTGGCAGTGCCTCTGCATGTGTGCGTGTCGTTTGTCGTGTGCCACTGTAACGGTTAATCTCATTCATCAGAGCGAGCACTGAGAACCGTAGCCGTAGCCGGGAGCCTAGTCGGTTGTCAAGTTGCGTTTTACACATTTTTACGCCTGCGAGTACTACGAGCGAGTACGATAGAAAGCTGAAAATTACTCTTTCGCTTCTCTCTCTCTCTGCCGCTCTGTTTCTCTCGCAGCGAGAGCATTAGTTGCGCTGTTAAGTGTGTCGTCTCGCTTGCACTCCCCAGGCAAGGCGTAGTGTTCGATGCCGAAGGTCCTTCGCGTATCCACGCTTACGAGTGTGTACATACCAGGAGTACATACCATCGTGCGAGTGTGTAAAAGTAGTGTCACGCATTATACATATACATACAGACAGACCCATGCATATATGTACATTTGAGTGTACATACACACATATGTACCTGTGTATGTATTTGTATGTATGCTCGCACCGAAATGGAATATGTGGCCTTCTCTGTAGCCAGGGTCAGGAAGTGTGGCAATGGAGTATTTCGTTACTTCCATTCCTCCCGCCCCCAGCCATTGCCCAGGACCTCCGCGTCCGTTTAGAATTTTCTAATTTCTATATATTTCCCACCACATCATCGTACGAGTACTCCCTCCTCGTAGATGTTTCAAAAAACACACAGAGCATCTCTCCTCGGCAGGTGATTTATTTTTGTCCGCACTCCATTAGCTCCCTCTCTCCCACCACCCAAATGCGAGTACATCTCTGCGACTGGACACGCCAATCGGAGGTTCTGGGTGCCAGGTTGCAAGGCTGCCAGGAGTTGGGGGGTGGGGTGGTCGGCCTGCCAGGCGTATTAATCATTAGCATGACCTCGACCCTTTCGTGCGTCCAGTCCGGCGCCCAGTTCACAGGCTCTCAGCTCCCAGCTCCCAATCTAGATATAAAATACAACTTGACGGTTCTGTCGGCTTATGTGCTGCGCTGGGCACAAATGAGGAAACTGCCAACAGCAAAAAAAATCATAAAAATAAATAAATAAATTTGATTGGGATTTCGGTTGCGGTTTGGCTGTCTACCGAAACTTGTCTTGGTTTTGGTTTTGGTCCCAGAGTGGGTTTGGTCTCTCGCCCCGCCTATTAATCTGCCACAAGGATTTGCCCAAAAGGCAAATCGACAACGACGGGATTTGATTTTTGCTTATTTTTCGCCCTACGATTTGCTACGAGTCATCGTTGCAGCAGCTCTCCTGGGGCCGACTCAGCTGTCAGTCGTTAGGTTTTCTTGTCAACACTAGCACTTAAAGCCCCATCCTCATCCAGCCCTATTTTCCCGTTCTGTCATCGCAATCCTATCTTCGAGGAATCCCATGAATTGGCATTTTCCGAGGGTGCTTAAGGAAATAGAAATTCCATGTGGGAATAGTACCGTAACTACAAGAACATTCCATATGAGAATGGTCTTAAAATGGTTGAATCTGCAGAGTTTCTGGATTAAATGCTACCCGATAATCATAAATGAATATAATTGTTTGTTTTATTGTTGATTTTTTTAATACTTTCCATGCAAAAAATACAACAACTTCTGTGTCCTGTGTCATTTATTTTATTTGAATTAATTTATTTAATGTTTAAGCTAGGAGAAATTTTAATTTCTTATTTAAATAAATAAATAAATTAATTATTATTAATCATCATATTCAGACACATAAACAGATAAAAGTACTCCAATTAGGCATACATCCACAACCCATCCCTTTCCCGAAAAAAGAATGGAAAATGTTCCTGAATCAATAAACTGACACCTCATCGAAGAAGGAAAACCGGAGTAAATGCAGCGGAAAATGGCTTAAAAATACAAACACCCGCAGCCGCCCCGTACTCTCACCGAGAAATAACTCATTCGCCCGGAGAAAACAGAGAAGTGCATTCAAGCCACCCAGCCAACCACCCATCCGGCAATCCACCCACAAAACCACATACACACACACACACACACACAACAACATACTCGCACTCCTGTCCTTGTCCTGGCCGTGGGGCGAGGTGCTGTTGTGGCTGTTGGCAGCTCAGTTCCGTTCAGTACTCGGCAGACAAATGGACGTGCCCAGTGCAGACGTGAGTCAGACGCGAGTGCGGACACGGACACGGACACGGACACGATGGACGGACAGCAACACCAACCATATGGGGAACAGGCAGGCAAATCCGAAAGTGGGAAAAATCCCCTCTGCACAACACTCTGCAGGCATAACGTAATTTCTTTTGTTTTTAACGTCCTGCAGTTAATACATTTGCATTGTGCACGCAAAGGCACGCACACCTCACCGCCAGACCCCCGACAACCAGACATGTGGGTGCTTTTGGAATGCTCCCCCAGACAGCGACAGGAACAACAAAGAGCTTCCCGCCCGCACAGCACACCTTCGTAGTCCTTGGAGTAGTCCTCCGGTAGTTCCCCCGTCTGCCACCATCTGCCATTGTTGCCGCACTGCCATTACGGAAAGCCAAAGCGAACGTTTCTCGAGCTTTTAACGCGCCACCAAAAAGAGTTTCCATGTGCAGATACTCGTAGTACAAAATGCAGGACAATCAGTATAGAATATACGGGTACATAAATATTTATTGTGCACCCCGTGTGCATACGTGTACATACTCGTATGCTTATGCGGTGTCCCTTACATTTCACAAACCTGGTGTCGTGTCCATTGGAGAGGGTTCGAGTTGGCTGACAGTGAGATATAGGGTTTGATTCATTAGCGAAATGGCTATAGAAAGAAATCGATAATCAGTGCTTTATGTGGTTAATACACTGGCGTTTCCATACAAGCATAGAAAGTTATCCAAGTTTCTGGGCTGTGATGTGCCGTGCCTTGATGACATTTATTAGCCATTAGCAAGGGCTAAAGGGTTGACTCAAACATTACAGAAAACAACTAAAACCATTATTTGTGCTAGCAGCTGATTGTTCGTCTGTTCGTAGTCTATCTGATCAGGCGAAAGCCATCACAATGCTATCCCTGCTGCCATCTAAAAAGTCACTGGCAATGCGGGTCTGCCTGCTTTCATCACTAATGTGTCTCCACTGTCTGCAGGGATGCCCCTTTTGTTTTGTCCGGACAATGTGATCGCGACAAAAGGCAAATCAAGCCAGAACACAAATCCACACGAGTGTCGGCCCCAGGGCCTCCACCCCTCAAAAGCTGTACGACGATGAAACCCCACAGAGCCATTAATTGTAAGTCGTCTAGTTTTTTTTCGCCACTTCGGACACACTATCGCTCGCTCCCTGCCATTCCCCAATACCTTCCTCACTCCTTCGTGGCTGTGCTCCCTTGGCTGCTCTATTACTTTTAGTTGTGTTTGTAATTTATGCGGCTTCCTCCTCGCCTCGGCGCCTCCGGTTCGTTGCACACAAAACGCATGCCCCCTCGCCTAACCAACTCCACTCCACTCCATTCGGTTTCGTTTCGTTTCTCATTAGAGTTACGAAAAAAGGCGCATAGCGAGAGCCGTATTTCATCCGCCTTCCAGCTGAAATTATTCTTCCAGATTTGAGTTCCCCAAATTGTGAAATTAGAGAGCAATCAGGGAGTAAAGTTTACTTGTTCTTTCCTGGTAAAGGCAGCGCCTGGGACTGGGGCTGGGCCGAATGGCGAGAAAAATATTCTCTAATGTCCTTTCACGAGCGATTTTCTCGGACTGCCCGGAAAAATCGGGTTGCCATGGCGTTAGGGACAATAACAAAAACAAAACAAAAATAACAGCCATGGAAATGCACAACAGGCTTTGGGGGATATACAGACAAGTACACACATATGTATGTATACTAGTAAGTATGTATGTTTATGCTCCTACTATATGTGTGAATATTACGTCGGCTCCCCGCGGGAAATCGCATGTCAATGACCACCAGTTTCCACATCTTCTGGGAACGTACAAAATCTTTTTACTTGCTTGCCCACAAAGGCTTCCTAAAATCTGTTTGTTGAGGGAGTGGACTGCTTTTCATGTCCAACATTTTGCAAGTTGTCGTTAGTTATTGAAAAGTCCCTTTCTCAGATCAAAAACATCCTTGCAGGAGTCGAGAAAATGGTTTGTAAGAGCAACCAGACCAGCAATAAAATTATTCTATATGGAATAGTGGTTATATGATTTATCGGAAAGCTTCAATCAATCTATTTTATAGAAATCCTTCTCGCAATGGTCTCAAATACTTAAGATCAACCTAATACTCGGTATTTCTCTGTTAGCTGCATCTTTAACATAATTATAGAGGGTTTGTCTTTAAAGAACTAAAAGAAAGTTTACCCACCCTGACACATAAATTTATATACATAGTATATATATCCATGTATGTGTGTGTGTATTTCTATATATGTACATATGTACGTATGTGAAAAAAACATGGCCCATGGGGAAATGCCAAGCGCAGAGAATAAGTGGAGTACAAAGAGGACAAAGTGAAAAGCTATAATCAGATTTAATTAAACACGAAATTGGAGCACTGCGCTCTGCCTCTGTTCCGCTCCTTGCCTGGGAGGCACAGCGAGTGTGTGTGACACGGTCACTGGCCGTGTCCCGTTTCGATGGCGTTTCTTATGCCCTCGGGCTACCTCCCAGTTCGGGCAGGACTCGTGCTTGGTGCATGTGTGGCTCGGCTTGCATGTTGCATTTTTTTTCAAGCTGCCTCTGATTTCTCATTATTATGTCGCAGCGGCATGAAGCATAGAGAATATGAAGGATGTGCCTATAACTTGTTTAACTCCTGCAGCGCAGCTTCTGGTGAATATTTACTGGGGCTCTAAACTGGGGCTGCGCAGCTCCTTATTGGACGCTCGGACATGCAGTTTTTGCTCATTATTAACAAGCGACCACACACACACACACACACACGTGCAGGAGCGAAAATGTATTCATGGCTGCGCTTCAAGTGTTAAAATGCACAGCGGGTCGTATGCGTAATATTTCATTTTGTATATTTCTTCCTGGGAGAGACTAAATTTATGCATCGATTTCCTAGAAAAATGCTGCATGGGACTGCAGTCACTGCACATATCAGTTGGAACCATCAGTGAATGTGAATTTCTTACTTTTAGATGGAATATTCAATAGAAAGTATTCCCTTAGTTTCTTTCTTAGAGAAAAATATGATCTTAAACCTACTACTCAAGCGATAAGAAATATTTATAGCCATACCAGCGCCCTGCTACAACTATAAAGTGCTCTCCTCAATTCACTTGCTATCGTTTTACACTTAAATAAATTAAAGTAAAGAAAAACTTAAAAATATATAACTTTATCGCAGCAGCGGCGTAATCGACCATAAACTGTCATCGCTCACTGTTTGCCAGCGGCAAGCTGCTGCCAAATGTTTTCTCTGTCTCTCTTTCTCTCTCTCTCTCTCGTTTTTCTCTCTTTGAATTCAATTTTGTCTAATTCCTCTTTTTGTTTGCAGTGTGAAATTGGAACGAGGCAAAATCCGTTAATGTACATCGCGGGTGAAATGAGGAGACAGCAACAGCAGCAGCTCCAACGAAGAGGAGGAAATTCATAAATGAAAGCTTACTAATTGCCGAAGAATGACGGACTAAGCGAACGAAAACAAAGCAAACTTTTCGGCCACTAACATCAGCAGCGGCAGCGGCATCGGCATCGGGGAAACCACGAAAATTGTGCCACCGCAGAGGAAGCGATGCTGTTGATGCCCACATCGTGTGGGCCGGGGCCACCCGTGGGCCCCAATGGCGCGGGAGCTGATGTCGGCGGGCCAGTGGAGGTTGCCCAACGAACAACGACAACGACGGCGGTGGCGTCAGGCATTCCCAAATGGCTGCTAATGCTACTGATGCTCTTTGCCATACTCGCCAGGACGCCGCATGGCCAGGTGTCGGCTGAGAAGAGCAAACACTGTGAGTAATACCGACAGAAAATATATAACAGAAAATATACCCACAAAACATACCGTCTGATTAGAGAAACTTTGAACTGAATCGCTAGATCGGAATTGCAGTCCGTGAGCCTGTCTCCCCAGGGTAAAGATACCAGAACTACAGATTCTGAAATGTTTTGCCAGTGCCAAAATAAAAGTGGAATGCTCCAAAAATGGGGACACAGTTATTTACTCTTAGGCTATGTTAAATATTTGACAGAAAAAAACAACAAAACATTTTACATTTAATTTAAATAAAATGTTTGCCGCCTCGTACACGTATCCACCACAAGCTGAGAATGTTTTTAGATATTGTTTGTATGTGATCGAAAAGCCTGCATTTGTCGCCCCCTCCTAATGTCGATGTCGCCCTTGGGTCGACGTAAGGAGTCATCTCGCACAATAAAATCTGTCAGCAGCTCAGTTTTATGTGTGGTTTTTTTTTTGCTCTCGAGAGTTTTTCCGATTTTTCTTCGCTTGGGCCATAAACATTTGTTTTGTGGCGTCGAAGGTAATAAAAGTGCATAAAAAGATGGGAATAAAAAATGGAAAATGGACGAACGGACGAACTACGCGTGGAATAAACCGTCACGTATCTGTGTGTGGTGTGTGTGTGTGTGTTAGGGGATTCGCGTGTGGCACATTGTGTGTCGAGGCTCTGGCTCTGGTAATTCATTCACTTGCCCCCCAAATACTCGTATATACGAGTGGGCATGATTTTATCTACATATGGACATAGTTTGTTTTGCAAATAAAGAACAAATAAATACAGTTTTACGAAGCAATGTCAACTTGTGGGCCCACATACAATACATATTTATCCTGCTCGTACAAACGGGCATACGCATATGTACATATGCATTTGGAATATATATCGATGCGTGTTTAAACGTACTTATACTTATAGGGACAAAGGTCATAAGAAATAAAATCAGATAACATCATAATCAAACTAAAAACCAGAAAATAAAATCTAAAGCTCAAAAATATTACTTATTATTTGTGTTTGCTGAAATGCATTCAATTCAATCAAACATCAGTCAAGCGCAAACACGAATATGTTGAGTACATTTTTGTAGATTAATCCTATTATTTTCCATACGGAAATCGCAAAGAATTTTTTTGACTTGAGCCCCAGAACCTTTGCTGAACGTTTGCTCAGAAAAGTAATACCAAACGAGTGGGAGCCGGAGCAGGAGTACTTGTACTCATAGCAGCCTAATGTCGGAAATAGTCCGATTATAGACCGGCTGAGGGAGCATAAAGTATCGTATGTACTCGTATGTATATGGTTTCCCCCGGATGAGGCAAGTAGCAGCCGCAATTGCCGACCCATGAAATGGAATTACTCAGGCGGCGCACGTTGCGTCTCTCCCTGCAAACCCTGCGCGAAAGTTGTTGCCGCAAATTATTATTTCCGTATTTCAGCATTAAATCATAATTAAAATTTGAAGTAAAACAACTTACATGCCAGCCATCCCCATCAGGCGGGCGGGGAGTAGGGTAGCCCTATCCTGGCCTGGCCTGCGAAAGTTTTCTTGTCGAGGGCGCAGAAAAAGTTCATTGCATACTTATTTGGGCATGTTTCCGGTTGCCGCCGAAGCGTCTGCATCTGCCACCGCCTGCGTTGCGGCCTAATTGCAGCCTACGCCCCAAAAGCACAGCACAGTCGGAGGACGTATCTTAATGCTGAGGGGGGATCGGGATTGGCCCCAGAACTAACAGTGTCTAAATTATGGATAGTTTCTGATGAATTTTCATTGCCATTGCAATGGGCTAGAATGTCCCGCGGATGTCTATTCTTTTAGCTCTTTGTAAGCATTTAGCCAAGAAAAGTATTCGTTCGCCTGGCATTCAGAAGTATCGACCCCACTGTTCCGTGGGCCCGGGTTTCGTTTCTTTTTGCTAATTTCCGGGCGACAAGAACGGACACGCTTAGTTGCACTCTCGCTGTCGCTGTTCTCCTCTGCTCTGCTCTGCTGATGCTGCTCTTTGCGTTGCGCTGTTTGCTGTGGCAACACACACACACTCGCATACATATATGTATATATACATATGAGGCAGACACAGATACCGCTGGTAGCCAGAGTAGGCGCTGCTCTCCCCTTGTAGCGTCGTCGCCTGTCCTCGGCAGACTTGTGGCCCACGTGGCGTGTACTTAATTTCCCATGCCCCATGCCGAGGCACGTTAACTTTTTTACCGGCCACATACTTAGTACGTGTTTCCCCTGCTACTGCTCCTACTGATGCTACTGCTGCCCCTCCCATCGGCCAGGCAGCATTGAAGAAGACTTTTCAACTCCTTCAACAAAATTTTGCACAAAAGTTTCATAATTAATTTCATGTTAAGTGGCAATGCAAAGGAGGACGGGGCGTGGTCTGCCTGCCACACTGTTCCCACTCCTTATCTGATTTACTCTTCACTCCGTCCTTCAGTCCTTCGTCCTTCCACCCTTCACTACTCCCACTCCTAGGGGCTGGGGGTTTGGTGTCTTTAATTTGAATTGTCATTTCCTTTCTCTCAACACTCAGTTCCCGCCGCAGAAGCACCGGTGTCGTCTGCCTGCCATCCGGTTGGCAGCCACAGCCACGCCCCCCTACTACTACATACATACAAACTCGTACGAGTATGTGGCAGCAACAGCCATGCCCCACCGCAGCGCACGTTCAACTTGATTAGCGTAACTTATAATGACTCGCAGGAGCAGCGACTCGTGTGGAAAACTTGTTGGTTGTTCTCCTTGGGCCCACTCCCCTTCCCGCCACTTCGAACTGTGTGTTGCCCAAACACTTGCAAACAGTTACTTATAAAAGTAAATACACACACACGCACACAGAGAGAGAGAGAGAGAGAGAGAGAGAGAGATGTAAGTGTGGGGAGGGTGGGGGAAACATTTGCAAGTGGTTTTCATAATTACTTTGTGTGAGCACTTCATACGTGAATATACACACACACGAGTACGAATATCTGAAGCACATCCATCTGAGACTGTCTCTGAGACAGTCTCCAAGGCGACACACACAGAGGCTGTCTGCTTGGGAAATCATGTGCGCGTACTTATGTGGGTGCCTGTATGCCTGTAACCCAATTTGAGTTTGCTTAAATCAAACATTTCCACATTTACTGCATCACATTTCCCCTCACCATTGACATTGATGGAATGTAGCCTGCTCATCGATAGTTACCGCAAATGGGATATGGGATATGTTCGTTCTGTATGGGTGTATATACTCGTACAGTCGTACACAGACACACACATTCGAACTTCGAATGCCTTAGATATTTATTTCATTGAACGGGAATTTTATTATAATGACAGCAGTGCGTATGTTTTGATAAGGGATCCTCCAATATCCTGACAGCACGCACACTCACACGCCCATGCCCTTACCATCCCATCCCCTCCCCTCTGCTCGCATTGTGCGATTCCTTTGCAATATTGCAAACATTATACGCTTTTTATAAAATATGTCACGTTGCCTGGTCTCTGGTCGCTGGTCGCTGGTCTCTGGTCCCTTTTCCCTATCCCCTAACCTGTGTCCTCAAAACAACCCACACAACCATCCGATTCCTCTCCAGCTCAAGCCGAAGCGACGCTGATGGCCAATAAAATTGTGAGAAAAACAACTGTCGACGTCGAAGAAGTGGCATAATACTTTTGCTCTTTGTGTGGCATAAATATGAATGAATGGATTTGGTCCGCTGCTACGGCTTACGGGGGTTGTGGTATGGGGGAGTGGAATGGCAGTGGTACCAACTGGTCCACTGCGGCACATGCCGCATTTAGATATGTTCCGGCTCCTTCTCCTCTCCCGTCAACGAATTCGGTGCCAAATAGAATCTAGCGGGATGAGATGAGATGATGAAAAGGAGGCAAAGGCTTTCCAGGGGCAATAAATTTTAATTTTCTTAAAATCCAGCCGCATACGAAATGAGATTTGTGTAACAAGCCGCAGCCACCAGTTCTGGCTTTGCGCTTTCTTTTCCATTGTTTTCTGAATATTTCACAAAGACAGATAAGGGAGAAGGGTAGGCAGGAAATATAAGGAGTGAGTATCGTTGAGTATCGTGACCAGTGTACACTGTACAGTGTATGCTCAATAATTAATAATATACTCCGACAATTCACTTGATTGTTCATTATTTATTCTTTTGTATCTTTCCTTTAGACGTTATTGATTTTTTCTGATCCGTTGGTCTACTCGTCCCGTAGAATGGCAAAAATGAAGAGGCATGGGGGGATCGCAATGTAGAGTAGAAAGGACCTTCCTTCACCCTAATAAATCCTGCTTGAGCGACAATGATTCAGCTGCTTAGCGATCCTTGGCTGGCAGGGCAGGTCACAGTCAAATGCGCAGATAAATGTTTATGGAAGATAAATTGCTGCAACGGGAGGACAGAAATCGGGCGACGCATAATAAATTCCATTTGTAGTTTGTTCGGAACTGTGGCCAAAATAGCATTGCAGGGGTGTGAGGAGTGTGGTGAATGCGGGGGAACAAATAGGGAGCCAAATCGACTATTGATGCGTTGGCATCTCGCGGCTGGGGGTGGCAAGCCCCGTGCCAGCAGCCGCGCCACGCTGCGAGTACAGGACATTGGTTTTTGTTGGCTGGGTGGCTGGGTGGCTGGGTGGGTGGAGATCATTTATCAACATTTGGGGGCTGCTGCTGCTGCTGCTGGTGGGCAAGTAATCACTTGCTATAGCAAATCCTATGTCCCATTATCGCTAACATAAGAATTCATTTGACAAAGCCCACATACTCGCCCATCCAAGCTGAAGTCTGTTATGCGCGGATCCCGGGCAGAGATAAATCTCAAACTGGTTTGGCTTCAGCATGCGCTTCGATTTAATGCTACAACTCGTAGCACTTGAAATTCTTCTCAGTAGAGTAGAAAATTCTCAGGTCTGTAGAGACATTTTTCTCAATGATCTTGGGCAGTATCCTGCTGTTAGGGTTAGCTGAGCAGCATAAGTAATGGATCTCTGCATGTTTCTCTACTCAAAGCCAACGATCAACGAGAGCCCTTCTCACAGACCCCGGCCTGAGATTGCCCATCAGTGTACAGGCACCACTGTCCAGTTTACACCACATAAATATCTCTACCAATCACTAATCCAACTTATTCCTTCTGTAATTTAACAAGCCCCTCGAATCCGAGTACATAGACTGGCAGGCATGTTGCCCTAAATAATCCAGCAAGACTTTCCCTTATTTATTTTCGGGCAACGCTGAGTTATCCACTGATGGACACAGTAGAAATCCTGCGGGGGAACGCGTAGGTCCAATGGGCCACAAAAGGACATACAATACATAAACTGAGAGGGAAGAAAACTCCAACCCCACCGCATTGTGCCGCCGGTTAAGCACACGAATCCCTTTTGTAATCAAATGCACAGAAAATTGTATTCCATTCAACGAAAATCCGAGTCGTCCCAAACCTCTTTCGTGTTTTCTCCGGATGGGCTTTGTATCGAAGGCGCGCTGTGGCTGTGGGTGGGTGCGTGAATCCACTTGGGCGGTGCGGAGGGAACTCGCGCGCCCGCAAAACAAAGCCGTAGAATTATCTGCCGAGCCGAGCTTCGGAATGGTAAGGGTAGAGGCAGGGCAATGAGATGAGCAGGGCAGAGCAGGGCAGTACAAGGCGTTGGAGGCGGGTTCCATGAAGCTGAAAGAAAAATATTACAAGAAGAAGCTCCCTGCATAGACAATAGTAGCAGCAGCAGCAGCAGCAGCAGCACCGAAGAAATGCTCGTAAGTAAGCAACAAAAAATAATGAAAAACAACAGCAACAACAACAAGAACAATGGCATAATAAACTAACGGCAAAGCTAAACTCGGGCTCCCTCCAGAACTATGCAAAAAGTTTTCTCTTTGTTTTTTCACAAGCGAAAGCAAAGCCCAAGAAAGAAATTCGCAAAAAGAAAGATTTCGCCGTGGCTGCAAAAATGGAATTAATAATAAAATAATAAAAAAAATAAAAAAAGCAAACAAATAATTTTCGAAAAATAGTTAAGCCAGAGCCAGATGGGCCGGGGCGGGGCGGGCCAGTGCAGAAATTTAATTAACAATTTATGAAAGGCAAATAAACAAAAGCGCGAGCACGCGACCATCCGATATCCAGGGCGGCCTTAGCTTCCCTTCCCCACCCCATCCCATCACAGAGGGCGGACTTTTTACCTCCAACAATGATCTGCTACCCGGATTGAGTGTCCAGCCGGGCAGGAGCCGGGGCCAGGGAATAGCCTGGCCTACAAGTTGAGAGCTATTTGACAAGTTCTTAGTACAAAGTTGAGACTGGCATAATTAAACTGCCCTTTGGCCCCATGCCCCATGCCCCATGCCCTTTGCCACGTTTGCCAATCGCAACTGCCAAAGTTTGTTCAATCATAAAATGGGAAAAAGGAAAAAGAAGAAAAACTCAATTCAATCAGGGTGAAGTGAAGAGGAGGCCCGGCCCGGCCCGGCCCCCTAGTAGGAATTTACTCTCCTGCCTGGCAGTCCTTCATCTTTATGGGCTACTTTTTTGGAATTGGAGTACTATAACCATTATACATACATATTTTTCTAGAGAAAAACAAATCTCAACTTGCCCCAACTTTAGACTATTCAAACATTATGACAGGCGACAATTCGCTTGATTATTGCCCATGGAATGGAATGGAAGGGAATGGAACGGAAGACGACGACAAACTTCAATGAATCTTATCATCTGTCCCCATTTTGGGCTGCCTGGCCCCCATATCTCCTTTGCCTGACGCTTATTTCACAGTTCTTTCATTAGTTTGGCACTTCATCTTCGTTGCACGCTCGAATGACTCTGGTTGAGGTTGCTGCACAGCCTCCCATGCTCCATGCTTCATGCTGCAACTCCTGACAAAAGTTTAATGATGCGTTTAAGTTGCACGTGGCACGCCCTTTGGCAAACTGCTACCGCTGTTGCTTCCACTGCTTCTGAGATCTACACGCATTGCAATGTTTGTCTGTCTGTCTGTCCCCTCAGCGTAGAGAAATTGCAGCCATCAGGCTTTTCTTTTTCCTTTATTGATTTTTCAAGAACGTAAATCGGGGACAAATGCCACGGAGCGGATAGGGTATTCCCAGCCGTGAAAATACTTCGCTTCCTGCCTAGACAATCCCAAAGAGTTTGTTCACATTGTACATTGAAGAACTAATTTTTTTTACTTTGAAAAAGTGCGCAGAAAATGTGTAGAAAAATGAGATTTTTGTGGTATTATTCACAGTCCCACCTCCTCCACTTTGGAGTCCTCCAGCTGCTTGAACTGTATCAAAATGACGAGATATGTTGTGACGGCCGAGAAGATTTTGAAAAGCGTCGAGTTGTCAATGGAGAAGAAGCCGTAGGCGGTAAACTGAACCTCCTGCTTGATGCTTTTGGTGAGGAACTTGTCGATAATGTTCTGGAACTCCTTGCTCTTGCCATAGACGCGGGCCAGGATCTGGGACGTGGTATTGGCCTCCGAGGCCAGACAATCGCAGGAGCTGCATATGACGGCCATGGTGACAGTCTCGGCCAGAACCCAGGCACAGGACAGGCCCATGGTGTCGACAATGTCCGCCGACTGTTCGTCGGATGATGACGACCTGGCGGTCAGCGTGGAGAAGGCCAGGTAGCTCTGATTGGTGACCGTGTAGAAGGAGAAGCCAAAGTAGAAGAGCAGACCCACTCCGGCCACGGAGTTCATGTTCTCCGTGATGTAGCGGAATTTGCAGAGCACCTCAATCAGATTGCTCAGCTCCCGCCAGTTCTCGCGGTCGGTCCGTTCTCTGCTCCTCTCCTGCCGCGTGAACTCGTCCAGCCGCCGGTTGAGGAACTCGATGCGCAGGGCCAGATTCTTGAGGATGGTGCGCAGGTAGACGGCGAACACACCCGAGTAGAGCATCTGCAGGCTGTAGACCAGCATGAGGACACACTGCCGCCTGGCCCCGATGCCGCTCAGAAAGTGCACGTAATAGAAGGCCACCAGCACCACGCTCGTCGAGCTGACAGCCACCAGGGCACCCAGCAGGCGACAGCTGTAGCTCTCCCTGAAGCCGTTCACCTCCAGATACTCGTCGATCCGCGCTATGTCCCGCAGGGTGCTCCAGTGCTTGGTCGCGTTGTGCACGCTGGAGAGCACCATCATCGTGTAGCTGCAGATGCAGAAGAGCGTCTCGATGGTGCGATTGATCTCCTCCGTGTCGCCCAGCGAGCTGCCCACCAACTTGTACTCCTGCGACGCGAACAGCACATCCTGGCACAGCAGCCCGGAGCTGACCAGCAGCAGGGCAGCGATCAGGCGGCCATACCAACGGCCCCATCTGCCCAATCGAAAGTTCTCCTCATTCTCCCCACCGAAGAAGGGCAGCAGAGCGCACACTTGAGTGGGTAAGACCATCGCCCTGATGTCCTGCAGGATTTTCATTCTGTCCGCACGTCTGTTGCTTCACCGCCGAGCACTACACAAAATATGTGTGTCCCCGGACTCAGGCGGTTCTGGGCGTATGCTTTCGGGTTTATTCAGCCATTAGCTGAAATTGACAGGCACTTAACGAAGCTCTGGGCTAATTATGGCAATAATGGAAATGCTCGAGTGTGCATTTCCATAATTGAATTTGATCAGCTCCCTCAAAAAAATATTAGTTTCTCCGTGGATTAAAAAAGATCTTCCAAGGAATATCTGTACCCGATTGCTCTTTCCGTGGGGATGTTTCATCTGGGATTTGCCTTCTTGTCCTAATACATAAATGCAATTTCCAATAAAAACTTCTCTCAGTTTTGTAGTTTGTGGAAATTCATTGCGTAATTACGCGGCACTGCGACCCATCATAATTGAGCGTGGAGCCTGAAAGTGTGCCCAAATGCCGCCCGCAAATTGGCCAATTACTTTGACAAACCGCCGACGACGATGACGATGACGATGTCCCTCGACTGTATGTAGTTCCGCTAGTGGTTTGACGGACAGCCCGGGGGCAGTGTCAAATGCGGCAATCGGCGGCCCAGGCGTGTCCGTGCAGGGATTATGCTCATTATGCAAAGCGCCGGGAAGTGCGGCGGCAACGCCATGGAAGAACGAACAAGCTGGATGAAAATGTAGAGAATCGCTGGGGCGAAAGGCATTTACTTCAATTATTTCATTAGGCCAGGCAGCAAGGGGCTGCGGCACAAGCAAAAGCAAAAGCCCGGAGGCGTCATCTGCCCCAATCCAATCCGTAGCCGGGGCCCAAGTCCACAAAAGATGGCATCGAATTTTGGTCGCGCTAATGGAGCGTGTGAGCCCGGCACCAGCTGTCGCTGTCGGTGCCAGCTCCAGCTCCAGCTTAGTCAACCGAGAGCGAGAGGGTCTTGGACATTGCCAGTGGATGGAGTCGATGAGTGGATGAGTGGGATGTTGGCTGGTGGACACTGAACGGTGATGACAGCACACAAACGCCCTCGGGGCCAAGTAAAATTCAATATTGGAGCACAGGAAATTCATTGTTTAACCTTTGTTGCTTAAATTGCTCAAATTCCTGCCATTAGTTTGACAAACGAGCCAGCGAAATTATTTTGTTGCAACCAACTTGCCCCGGCACATCCGGACGAGTAGAGGGAGGACCGGAACCATGACCTGAAGCGAGGGGGGGGGCAGATGATCGAAAACCAAGCAGATTTCGAGGCAAAGTTTTTGCCACAGCACTGCACAGCAGCAGCAAACCCCCCAACTTTCCCCCTGCCTCCGAGCCTTTTGGGACACGCACTGAGCTGGGCCCTGGCTCCGGCTCCGGCTCCTGCTGCGGTTTCGGTACGTTCCATTGTTGCCGTTGCCGTTGCTGCTGCTGCTGCTGCTCCTTGTGGCATCTACGGCAGCATCCTCGAATGCTGCCGGGGCTTCGACTGGCGGCTCCACTGCTGCAGATTTATTTGCGGTTTTGCATAATCACTGAAAATTAGTTTAAAACATTTACATTAAATTTGCATTTCAATGTCGGTGGTCTGGTCAGGTCAGGGCGGGTCAGGTCAGTTCAGTTCAGGGTATGGGATTTGAGTTGCACGAACGGAACGGATGAGCATAAGCTGCCCCAAATCCAAATGGGGCATAAGCCGGTGCCGGTCTGTTAATGGATTCAAGGAACACAATCAGTTATTAGAGACTCGAACTACTGCGTTAATGCGTTGCCCGATTTGCTATATAGATACAGATTGCAACAGCTGCATAAATGGAGAAATAGCTGCACAGATAGACGGCTACAGATATTAAGTATACAGATAATGCTGCTATCCTGGGTGCCACTTAATTAAATTGAAGCCCCCGAAAACAACACAACTCAATAGGCCATAAAGTTATCTTCTTGCGTGCTTGTAAAGCTTTCCTCAAACTGGGCAGGCCAGCGAAATATTTGCCAAAGCATAACTGACTGCAGAAATCGTTTCTAATCAAGAAACATTCATCAGACGATGCCTCAAAATTATCCTTTGCACTGCAATTTAGGTACACATTGATGTTTGCCCTACCGCCCCCCGGCCCTTGTCAGCGCATTGGGGGGTCCGGCCGTGGGCCCCCGGCCTCCGTGGGGGGGTGGGTGGGGTCGGTGGGGAATTAAAGACCACCAAGCACATCCGGACAGCCCATAGTGCCGTGCCCGTCCCCGGTCGGAAGCATTAAGCTGGGAAATACTCGCAGCTCTGGAGTTAGCCGGAGCCCGGGGCTCCTGCGAGGGCCATTACCAGTGCGATTCCGGATCCCGCGAGCTATGAGGAGGTTACTCCTCTGCGGGTGAGAGAGGGTTAGTGGTGTTTTTGCTGTGGCTTGGGATAGCCTCGAGCTATGGCGTTAAGTTTGATGGGTCTCAGGGTTATCTAGGGCCACGGAACGCTGCTCCTACAGTCTTTGGGGGGGGACACAAAGATTGGGCGGGGCGGGGCATTATTAGTCGATTAATAACGCGGGGGCAGAGCGCGAGTGGAAAATCCCAGAAATTAATTATGCTAATTTTAATCCTTTTGGCAGTGCTTTAATGTGAACAAATGAGATATTCCGACCGAATAATCCCCCATTATTAACCCAGCCAACAGATGAGGCTGCTGCCAGGAGAGAGCTTTCCTATCCGTCAATCGGATTGGAATGGGACACATTTTGAGTAGTAATATTCGGTAGATATTTTAGCATTCGTACTCCATCTTCCGTTTGATGTGGGACACACATTCTCCCATTAAGCCAGGGCATTATCCCCAATTTCGGAAATGACATTTTTTGCCTGCTCTTTTTGCCATGCCATCTGCCATCCGCCATCCAATGCCACACCCAATGCTAAGTCCTGCGCCCCTCCCCGTCCCATGCCAGATGCTCGTACTCTCGAGTGCATAAACAAATTGGAGATAAACACACTTCTGCACATTTGTGAGTGTGTCTGAAGCTGAACTTGAGGCATGTTGCAATTCCATCTGGCAGATCCGCGACTCCTTTCCTCTCCACCTCCAACCCAGTGGCAAATGGAATTGTTTTCCCTTTGCTCCCCCGACATTTGTGACAGAAATGCCTTAATTTATAGAAAATGTATCTGCCGTCGCTCCGGCCTGGACTCCCGCTGGCTCCTGCTGGGGGTGTCGTGTCGGGCTATGTCACATGGGTTTCAGCGCTCCGCGCGGCTTTCGTTTGTCTTTCGCTCCCGACACAGCACCGACAGCCGACAGCTCGAGGCAGCTGTCCTCCGTCCGTCTGCCTGTCTCTCTCTCTCTCTCTCTCTCGGTTCGTCTTGGTCCCTGCGGGGATCAGGGAAGAGTTCAGTTCAGTTCAACACAGCTGCACGATAATCCCGGTACACCCATAGACACATGCATGCGGCTCTAGGCCGCTCCTGGCCAGAAATGATTGAAGGATTCCCTCATTCCCCTTTGCCGTGGAGTGCCCAGAAGCCAATGATACCCGTACTTGTAGCGGAAATAGCATCCGAGCACTCTGCTCCGTATATTTCCACTCCACAGCGTAATTGATATTTTGCAAGTGTCTCCATCCATCTATCTCATCCACCTCTCTCGCCCCACCCATCAGTATGACTGTGGCAAATTGTGCAGAAATACTATTTCTCACTTTTCATCAATCCATTCGCATTGCCGGCTATATAACCATGCCCATGCCCATGCCATTCCCATTCCACATGGGATGCTGATGCAACTGTCGCTGTCGCTGTAGATGCACAGTTTACTCTCCCATTTTTGACGGGGCACACACTCTACTCTACGTATGAAATACATGTCTAAAACAGTGACACATTTGAGTATCTAAAGGAGACACTCTTGAACTTTGACACTTACAAGAGTTTCCCCCTGTAATCAACATCCGATCTGGCCAATGGAGGTGTGCTTAAAGCTGAAAAATAAATAATTATCACACCAGAAGAGAAATTAACTGATCAAAAACAAATATCCCACAAAGAACAGGGAGGGAAAGAAAGAAATATGTACGAGAAAATATATAAATATAGAAAAATATAACTTTGGAAAATATAAATATACAATATATAAATTAAATACTTAGAAAATACGAAACAGGAAAAACAGTAAAAACAGAGAGCGTAAATCACAAACCTGTTGTAGATCAAGGCCTCTCCTCTCTCGCTGTTAGCTCACTGCTAGATTAACATGCATCTGTAAAAGGCTGCAACGATAACATTCCGTGACGTCACATGATTTCCTTTGATCTCAGCCACACGTCACACAAAAATAAAGATTAAAAAACAGTAAAAAGGAAAAATTATAAAAAATATATATTTAAAAAAAAAATATACAAAAGAAATAAGGTTTATCTTGGTATACATTCTTTCCGAGACTCAAACGGTATATTTGGCAGCTGCTAGCTGCTAGCAGTTTGTACCTGAAGCTCAAAGAGCTTCCAACATTTTGCACTTCGGGAAAGCCCACTGAAAATTACTCAGCAAATGGCTTGCGGCCAATTTGTGCAGGTAGCACAGAAGGCAAGAGCCTAGAAGCTCCCCTCTCCACACCCACACTCCACTAAAGCCAAAGGCCCATTTCTTTGCCTTCCTCTGCTATTTACTTTGGCGGAGATCAAAGAGAAATTGTAACTAAATTGCCAATTACATATAGAGCAGCGGAAAGCCATAGGGCGGGGTCTGCACCTGACAGGGAGAGGGGAGGTGAAACAAAGGGCTGGCGGCTGTTGGCTGCTGGCTGCTGGCTATCCCTGTCTCTGTCAGCCATTCACAATCCAATTGTGAATTCAATTTTGAAGTTGGCAACGCGGCGACAACAACATTTGTGACCGAAAAATAAGGCACTTACAATGTGGGAGAAAGAGAGGGAGGAGCCACACATGGTGGGGCCTTTATTTCGGAGGTCCCTTTGCAAGGGACTTTCTCAGATAAGGTGAGTCCCATTCTCTACCACTACTTTTGCAACTACTACTTATGGTGAGAGGACTGCTCACCTCATATTAAAGCGACTTTGCCATCTCCACTCTCTTTTCGATTCTGCTGCGGAGCGAGTGTGTGTGGGTGTGTGTGTGTGTGCAGGGCGTAAAACGAATTTGTAGTAAATTCCTTGGGCGTTCTTTCTCTCCACTCTCCTCCCTCTTTGCCCCATACTTTCGCCTCTCACACCCCCACCAACGCCAGCGCTGATGCGTCGTCATCTTGTGCGTTTTATTGGAGAGAAATTGAGTTAGTGCGACGGCGGCGACGGAGGCGGCAGCAGCGGGAACGGAAGCGGTTTGCTAAGCAGGAAATTGCCTGAAATCAGGCGCACATAAGTCCCCCCCCCCCCCACCCCGTGCTGTACTGCTACACACTCCCTCCCCAACCCCCAGCTTAGTGGGTTCCATTAACTGGAGTCATCGTCCTGCTCCCGGCACGCGTTGGCTTTATGTGCCGGACTGTCGGACTGCCGGTCGCCCCGCCCCGCTGGCGGCTTCATTTGCATGGCGCCGCGCCGCAGCCGCGCCGTGGCCGGCCATCAGTAGCGCCTGGAAATGGCCCCTCGTTCCATGTTAATGCATTTCGCACTTAAGCGCTATAGTTTTCGCCATCAAACTAATTAAAAGTTGCTTAAATAATAGCCAACTACTTGGCAGCAGCAGACGGCTTCCACGAGTAGACGAGTATAGTGACTGACGCTGCTGGTCATTAGCTGATTTCGATTGACCCTTAAGGCGTAACACTGAAAGTGCCGCCGCAACTGTCCCTGTGGTTTTAGTAGCTTAGTATGCGAAATTTAAATGCATTTTCCATACATTAATTGGAATTTGCTTATTGGCAGCTGAAAGAATGCAGTAAATGTATCGAATATATCTTTATATTCCTCTTCTAAAATTGTCCTTTTAATGCATTAAATCAGTTCCGTAGAACCAAAGTCAAAATAATAGTAATAGGAAGTCAAATTTGAATGGTAGACGATTTTCCTTGGTCTTTGGTAGAACGAAAGAAGTTTTCTTGGTGATGAATATTTGATGAAATGTATGTACATTTAGCACACCATCTTAAATACATACATACATATATGTAGTTACTGAAGTGCAGTCGGCGGGTTGGGGCTCAGGGGTAAACGCAACTGGTGCGCACGGGACGTGCACATGTGTGGGGCAAGTGGCAGGCGAAACGAAGCGTAAATGAATTTTTCATCCCTCCATTAAAACGTAAGTGCACATTTTCCGGCGCAGCGCACGAGACGCCCCGCCATTAAGGCAAAGGAAGTGGCCCCACAAAGCCAACCCGGAGATTATGGGTGGGAGAGCGTCTGACGTTTGGTTTCGTTTTTTAGTGTTTGTTGCCACTGAAACGCTGCGCTTTTCAATATCCGATTGATGGAATAATCAATAACCGATGCTCTTTCTCTTCCGCAGATTACATGCAGTCGCTGTGCAAAAATCACTTTCTGCAGCAGCTATACAGGAAGATCGACGGCGCCGTTCTCTGGTCGCAGAACGAGCGCAATTTGGACTGCATCATCACGTTCCAGACGCACTCGGTGCTGCAGCGCTTCATGCTACGCTTCGACATGCTCCAACTGGACTGCAACGACCACCTGCTGGTCTTCGACGGCGCCCATGCCGTCTCCACGCCCAAGGTGAGTCCAGCCATGCCAGCCATCTTCCTTCAGCATAATTGCTTCGGTGGCTCAACAGAATCCCGGTAGAGCACGTCTCCGAGATTGTTCTTGGGAGGAGGCACAGGGACGCGGCTACGTGTCGCCCATTTTTATTAGCGAAAACGCTAATTTGCATATGCAAATCGAAAAGGTAGCGAAGCCATCTACCATCTAAACCCACATACATACATATACTGGTATACTCGAACATATTTGCATAGGTGGGGATCCACACAGCCTTATTGATTTGCTCGGCAATAGCTTCTCCACGGTGGGAGTGGGAGTGGAAGCGAAACAACTTTGAGCGAACAATTAGATTGTGCTACAAATTTGCATACCGTGTCCAGCAAAAGTCTACGTACGCTATGGATACTAAAATTGACTGCTTACAGCTGCTAGCAAATATTAAAATGATCAGCGAAATTTCTAAAGCTTTAAGCCGTACTCAAAAAAGAGTTAAGGGGTACATATATTAGATTTGTGGTAAAAGTGGATGTCTGTAACGCAGAGAAGGAAAATTTTCCGATCCCATAAGGTATATATATTCTTGATCAGCATCAATAGCCGCGTCGATATAGCCATGTCTGTCTGTCCGTCCATCCGTCCGTCCGTCCGTCTGTCCGTCTTTTTGAGCGCCTGGATCTCAGAGACTATAAGAGTTAGGCTAACCAAATTTGGTTTCAGACTCATGTGTATCACCTGTACAAGTGTATTCAATTCGCCCCGCCCCCTCCGCCCCCACAAAGAACGAAAATTGTGGCAGGCACAATTTAAAGTACGATAAAACTAAAACGCATTATCGTAGAGTCCCATATCTACCAGATTGCAATCTGAACTAGATCGGATCATAATTATAGCCAGAATGAAGAAATTAATTTCGTTCCCCCTGCCCCCCTTCCAATGACAACGCAACTCATTTTCCTCTCGCTCGCACACTCGCCGCGTTCAGTGCGCGAGCAACCCCTAGCGGGGAGATGTAGAATATGAATGGACATGTATTATACATGTTAGTGTATAATATACATAGTATATGTAGATGTAGATAACAGATCTAGCAAATAAATGTAAAATGTAAATTTTTTTTTTTTTTTTTTTTAATTCTAAATAGATATATGCTCAAAAATGTATATGCTGACTGAGTACGGGTATAAGTAGAGTCGCGTCCCCAGAAGCGACTCAAACGTTCCTTCTCGTTTTTTTAGGAAAAATGTAACTTGTACGTAGAGTTTTTGCCCTAACTGTGCATAGTGCATTGGTAATCACAGCGCATCCAAACCCATCGATGTGAGCATACTGCGAGTATGCAAATCCTTGCACATGTGAGCTGGCTGCTCTCTGCTGGCTTCCATTTCCATGCCATGGAGCAGTAGTAATTGTGTACAGTAATTGGGTTGGGTTGGCTTGACTTGAGTGTCTGTGTGTTTGCGTATAGTAGATTGAATTATTAGGAGCTGAACTGTAAAACAGACAACTCAAATTGGCATTAAGCATGCATACATACATATGTATGCACATAGGTGCATATGTATGTATGTTTGAACAGGTGCCCGCATGTCTGCACCTTGCAGACTTGCTTAAATTACTCCTGGGGGAGGCAGCAGTGTATTTATTTGATGTATCAAAACTTTCGCTATAAAAAGCACTCAAGTATAAATGTTTATTCGAATGCTAACACGTCACAGCCATGGCTGGCCAGCAGATACATTCACAGGGAATTTTATTAAGTTAATTTTAATTCGTTTCACTTGAGTTTCACAGATAGAAATACATGTGAAGATAATCCCTGCACAGCCAAACTATGCAAGCTGAAGTAACTTCTTGTTGTATGCATTCGAAATTGAAATTGGGCAAACCAGAACATGATGGAGTAGCAGTAGGAGCAACCGGTGCCCAGCATTCCGCACATCGATTAAGTGGGAGACTTCCCTGGAGGCAGCGGCAGCTCCCCATTAAGTAATGCTCAAGGAATTGAGAGATGATATGCCAACACCAGCATCTACACACATCTGCAATCTAGATATATGCATGTACATTGTACATACACATGTACATGATTTGAGAAAGTGCATCACATGCCGATAGTTAAGGCCAATCATTGCTTAGTTTGCCACAGCCGAAGGCAGGGCAGGGGCGTAGGCAAGCACCACAATTTGCTGGCCAACTGTGAATTCTAGTGCCGCACCATCAGTGCCCACCCACATTCACATTCGCATTCACATCCAGGCAGGCAACCAGGCAACCAGCCAAACAGCCACCCAACCACAGCTACCGCATTATCCAGATCACGTTGATGCTTCTGACATTTTAGGTTCAATCCCTGTGGGGCTTCCGCTATGCTCCACATACTCCACACACACACAAAGGCATAATTTTGTCGCTGCAACATTTGCAATGATGACAGCCAGCAAAGAGTGTGGGGAGGCGGCTGCGGTTCCAAGGCTCCACTGCGGCTGCACTGCGGCGAAGGCTGCAAGCTGCCAACGCTCCGCCTGCTCCACCTCCTGCTTCTGCTTCTGCTGATGGCTCTGTGATTTTATCAGCAACAATTTCCATTTTTCATTCGTTCCCCCACACGATCCCCACACGATCCCCACACTGCACTATTTAATGCGGGGGAGAGGCTGTGGTGGGGTGGGCTGTGTCCTGTGTTGTGTGTGGGTGTGTGGGCTGTGCAGCGTGAGGCAAGTAGGAAAGTGGCCACAAATAGAGCGCGCATAAGCCAAATCCTTTATTTGCCAAAAGGAAGCAGCACAGCGATGGCGACGGCGCCACTAAAAAATATGTATAAAAATATTCAGCTAGAAAATTAGAAAAATGCAGCCAGAATCCTGAGCTGCTGCACTTTCCCCAGTTTCCCCTCTCTAGAGGAAACCTTGAAATTTATGGAAAACTGAAGAAATTCCGCTGCGGAATGCCGGCTCCTGCCGCTGTCATTTTTTTTGTCGCCTCTCTCTCGGGTACGACCTCATTTCGGAGTGGCGCCTGCACTGGGCCACTGCCAACGCTCTCTCGCTCTCGCTCTCTCTCTGCCACCTGCCCAGGCATTAAAATTTGGGGTATCGAGGGGTGTCACGACCCGCAGCCAGAGAATAGGTTTTGGGGATAGGATATTAGAGTGCAGCTCCACTTTTATACAATGAGGAACTTTGAGGGGTCTTAGACATCCGAAGGATCGGAACGATGGACGATTTCGGCCTTTAATAAAGACTTGAACAAACAATTCAGGACGTAAAGCAATTCCCATAAATTGTGCCAGTGTGGGTCACGGATCAAAACTTGATCGAACCGCTGAAGTGAATCAGCCTTTAACTTGGGGCTGCTGTAAACGAAGCGCTGTCCCCCCTTGGACGTAAAGCATTCTTAACGAGAACATCAATATCGATGGCAACTGAATTAACTTTAATTATGAAAGGTGCAGAGAGGAGCCGGGCAGAAGTCAGCAGTGATTTGAGGCGCTGCTGCCCTTTTGACAAAACCCAAATAACGAAAGCTCATCGTAAATAAGTTAGGAGGCGAAGAGCCCCATAAAAGCGAAAGTATCATAAAAGCAGCCCAGCCAATTCGAGTGTGGGTAAGCAACGGGTGGAGGGGTCGGGCAAGGCACAACAAGAGAAGTTCAACAGGCATCGTTGCTTAATGGGCATTTTACGGGCACCAACGTCAAAGGATGGGTGGAGCTGGGAGGGTCTTAAATTCAGACAAGGCCCGCATGCCCGTTCGACTTTATTGGCGGAGCAACCAGCCAGGCCATCGCCAGAACAGAACCATTAGATGGATGCATTGCCGACTGTCGAGCTAAACTCATTGATGAGTTAGCTATCAGGTCTCTGAACTGGTAATAAGGATAAGAGGAACCGAATGAATCTGACCACATGGATATAGCGAGGGGTATGTATATGTATATTCGGGATAATAATGGAGCTAGTTTGTTCAGCTCGGTATTAAATACTGATTTCTGTGCATGATTCCCTCTACTAAAGGACCGCGTTTCCCTTAGATATATCACACAATTTTGTACCTATCTACTAGCGTTACCTTCTGCCCATATTTAAGTTTAGTTCTGGCTAAGAAATACCCCAAAATCTGCAATAAATAAAGCATCGCATTCCCACTACTTATTAGCCTCCGTTTGCATGCGTCTCTTCCTTTTTCCCGACTGCCATTCAAATCCATTCAATAAGCATCCAAAAGGGGGATATACATATATACGTACATATATAGATGCATAGGTATATGTACTTACAATATTTGTCAAGTGACTTGTTTTGCACTGCCAGTTCCCCATCCCCATATTCACCTTTAAGTGTCCCCCCCGTCTCTGTGCATATCTGAAGGATGCTAAAGTTAAGAAGCAGTCGACCTGCGGCACTTTCCACCTAAGCAGCTTTCGTAAGTTACCCCCTGGGACTGCCCTGTCGCTGCCTGGGACTGTCTGGGCGAATGGGCAGGATTTATGAATTCGACTGCCACTTGAGCCACTCCTCGCCAGAGCCGGCAAAGTGGCGAAAGTATGCAAATGCACTCCATGCCGGCCACAGCAAAGGCAGGAGGTCCAGAGAGTGGCGCCGAGGACCGACCAAACCGAATACTATTTTTCGAACATGTAAATAGTTTTCGACAAAAGGAGTTGTCACTGCCTCAGTGGGGGGAAGCCGCAAAAATCCAAAATTAAAATGTTCCAGCACACACACACACACATGGCAGGCAGAAGGCAGTAGGCAGGAGGCGACATGACACAAAGCGAAACGCTGCACAAAAAACCGAAGAAAAGTTTTGCATTTTCGGGGCTGCAACAAAATTAAAATATGGCACAAAGCGCGCAACGTCGAAGATGCAGGCAGCCACACCCCCTGGACACACAGACACACACACGAACCAGAGAATCAGTAACAGGACCAGGACCAGGGCCAGGACCAAGACCAGAATCAGGACCACAACCAGAACGTTGTGTCAAGAAAAGCAGCCACAGCAAAGCCTACAAACGTCTCCTGCGGTGGTTCGGGGAGGCAGCTGATGAACCCTTGGCGGAACTTTTATGAGGCAAAAACCAACAACATTACAAATTTACACAGCAACGCAGCAACGGAAAAGGGTGCGGGGTGCGGGGTGTGGGCGACGTGACGCATATACACGTGCCACAGTAGCAGAGGGTGGGGCGAGGAGTAGTGGGAGGTGGAGACGTCATCATCATTTTGCACTTTGTGGCGTCGACTCGACGATGAGGAGGACGGCGATGGCGATGGGGATGGGGATGACGATAACGTGACCGAAACCAACAGACGACCGACAGTGGGAAAAGTTGCACATTTTCCAAAAAATAATAAAAAAAACCAGCATGATTTAATTTAAATATAAAGAAAGTATTTCCCCTTAGCACTTGATTGGATGTATCAGGAATATATCCATATATGTATACCTGTGATTATGTTTCGTATTTGGTTTTCCTTTTTGCAGATTGACATCTCGTGTCGCAACACAAAGAACACCGTCAATGCACTGCTGACGCGCACAAACTTTGTGACCCTGAAGTACGTGACCGATGGCTGGGGCACAGATGCGAACGGTTTCAAGCTGGTGATTACATCGGTCAAGGATCCCAGTAAGTACTAGAGAGAGAGAGTAGGGAGTGCTCTGCACCCTGCTAGACAATATCAATTAACTTTCTTTGTGTCTCTTTCAGAGCACACCTGCAAGGACTTTACCTGCGCCACGCGGGAGTTCTGCATACATCCCGATCTGCTGTGCGATGGCGTCAATCACTGCGGCGACAACTCCGATGAATCAGTGCAGAATCTGTGCCAGAGTAAGTCTGCCCCCACCCTACTACTACTCGCAGTCGTTACACCATAAGTTCGCTCTTTGCAGGCGAGGCTAGCAGCACTGTGTTTGGCATGGACATGACCTGGTTCGTTCTAATCGTTGTCGGCGTTCTGCTCGTCCTGAGTGCGCTTATCGTGGCCGTGGCTATCTGCGTGTGTCGGCGCCAGGACGAGAATGCCTCCAACCAGAACACAGCACTCCAGCGTAAGGCGAAGCAACTAAATCAAAAATGAAATGCCCGCGGGCCACTAATCCAATCCAATCGAATCGAATCGAATCTTTGAAATCTTTGCAGTTCATCATAATGCCGACACAAATGGGTCGTCGAAACATCTGCACTACCATGGCATTAGTGTCGGCGGCACGCTGACGCGGGAGCACACACAACTGCCACAACAGTCGGGAAACTGGCATCACCCTGCGGGACCATCCGGGTACCACCGCATTCCACACAACTACTTGAAGATGGCCACCAAAGTCCGTCCCATTTGGTGCTTGGCAAATTCCGTCAATTAGGTCAAGATCTTTCACAAAACTCTGCCGGCCTCAGCCAGACGAACATTGCCGGCTCCGGCAATCATCAGAATGCCAATGCCGCCAATGTTGGTGCTGCCCAAAAAGACGAATGGTTCGTCTAGAAGGGGGCATCAACGTGTGGCACATGTGGCATGAGGAAGGAATGTGAAGGAATGGAACCAATTGACTTGAGCACAATAATCTGTACTTGAATAAGTAAAATTATGGATATTTGCAGAGCATTAAATGAAGTGAGTTCCAAAAAATATTGTTAGATCCGCAACTGACACTGATAGTTAATTTCGTTTCGCCTTGCAGGACTGTATGACTATATTTAACAACAAAAATAATGTGGACATCACCGCGCAGGGTGTATTATTAAGAGATCTCTCCGCGTACCCGAGCAGAATCTCGAAAGCGTTGGGCAGTTGGTCCAGAGTATCTGTACTCTGCTCCATTCTGTCGGATAACCAATGCAATTGTACATACTTTATAAATACAAATATAATTTAATGGATTAATATTACAAGCTGGCTAACAAAAAGGAAACCACAAAACAAAACAGAACAGAACAGAAGAGAAGAGAAGAGAAGAGAAGAAAACAGAACCTCCCTCCCCATGTATCCCTAAAAACGTAAAAGAAATAATAACTAGGGAAGTCCTCGTCTTAATTTGTTGGCATTTATTTACTAGAATAATTACGAGGTGTACGAATAGAAAACCCAATTAGACTTCAATTCAATTGCTCTTTGATTATCGTCTTGTTTGGCATTGTTGGCGGGTGTTTGCTGCGTTTAATGTACAAAAGAACAAAAGTTCTTCAATTTATTGTCAGAATCGAGGAGTAGAGGAGAAGTCATCTAACATGTGAAAGATGAACAACAATCGTAAGCATTTAAACAGAACAAAACCGGAAAAAGTATTAAAGATCAACGAAAACACTGTCATTAGAAAGAATAAAACTTCCGCATATACTTTGCATGTGCTCTGTATGTATGAGAAACCCTAATATTTATGGGGTTTTTTTTACAAAAAAATCAAGCTGAATTGTTAATGCAAAATGGACACAAGAAGGACTCAACCAAAACAAGGGATGTACATAAGTAGTCGACAATATACATACATACATACATACATACATACTCGTAATTACAGAAAAGATACAAAGATGCAAAAACAGGAAGTTAACTCCAACTGCATATCCCACTTCCATTTGTCCACTTGGGGGAGGCCACAGAGACTCCGAAGACCATTCACGAATCATCCAAAAACAAAAAAACCAACCAATGCTAACGGATATATTCTCTGAGACATTAAGGACAATACAGTGAATACTTTTTGCTTTTGATACAACTAAATTGAGAACATAATCGATGGACATGGGAATGCATTTGTAACCTACAGATACATAGATATCTACTCGAACTCGCATGTATGTCCGCATTGAATAACAATTTTCTACAATCAACCAGAGGAATTCTACACTAAATTAAACAAAACGTACATAAACCGAAGGGAGTTGAACATTTTGCTACAAAATCGAATGATAACGATGATCATATACTTATACATATTGACGATGAATGGATATAAATGGAATAAAGATCGAGTAAAACCAAAAACTAAAATGCTTCAAAATGATTGTAGTACTTCCCGCCGTTAATATTTTTTTAAATATATCATACATACTAAAAACTCAAACAACAATGGAAACACCTAATACAAATCTAAATAATAATAATAATAATAATACTAATCCTAAGAGCCGTACGTAAGAACGAACCCTTTTTGCGCTGCTAGAATTTGTCTTTCAAGAAATATGTACTTCCATAGGCCAAGTTAGCAAGCCCCCTCCACTACCCGTTTTATGGTTCTTTAATTCAATCATTTTATCTGAAACAAAAACAAAAAACAATCAAATTTGTTCGTTTGCTAATAGAGAAAATTCAACTAGAAATATCCGAAAGTAAATGCAAATTCTACGAGTACCGCAACTAGTCGAAAGGGATACGAGAATAAATGCGATTATGTCAAATTAAATTAGTTTTGTACTTAGCAGTAATGAAAACCTCCCCCCAAAACTAAATTGAATACTCACCTAGGCATAATTTCCGCTGAATGTATCAGTAAGCAGTAATCAATATCTCAGTATGAGTATCAGTTGACTTATCCCTCGTTTTTTGCCCGTGCGTCTTATAAATCGTATAAAATCTATAATCATAAATTATAGCAAAATGGTAATTATGATAAATTGAATTTTTAACCAAAATTATAAGCAAATTGTATTAGGCGTCAAATTTTAGAAACGAATAAAACCGAAAACGAAAAACGAACAAGTTACATGTTAAATATGATGTGCATGAGATAGGAGACTACTTTCATATGCGGGGAAACAAATAAATCCAAATAAAGAGACGGATATGGAGACAGATAATAAACGATGATAAACTACATTATAACTGATTAATCACAAAAGAAATGCTAATTTATGCAATACAGGAAATATTGAATACAAATACTGAAAAATTATGCGTCAAGTCAAGTAAAATGTTTAGGCAAACGACAAATTGTAATTGTATTGTAATATCGTAATAGTAATCGTAATCGTAATAGTAATCGTAATTGTAATCTTAATCGCATGCCTACTTCTCCCTGGTGAAAATCGGCCTAGATCATATCGTTATCGTTACGTTACAGTACGGTGTCGTATATGAAAGTGTAGTTAAAATATACATACAATACTATTATATGCAGCATATAAATACAATTCAATCGGATCGGAATAGTTTTTAATTGGATCCTGATCGATCGATACCACACAGATCCACCACACCCCACCCCAACCCCTTCGATTTTGTGTATATTTACATGATGGGCATGGGTTAGGATAGGGGAGCAGCCCAGTGGGTGGTGAGAAGAGCTTTCGTTTCCCAATGTAAATGTTAAAATGTGTTAAAATTAAAATTTTTACTGTCTACACTCTCTAAACACTCTCGAAAAGACTTTGCCGCAAAATAGTCTTAACTTAAATTACTATTTATTGTATGTATGTACCGGGTGCACGTGTGTCTGTACACATTAGGCATTAACGACAGTATATTCCCCTCAAGAAATTAAACCAAATTATCCAGCATTACACACACACACACACACCCACGCACACAACCATCCATGAAGATCACACTAATACATATTTATGATTCAACCAGTTCCGTTCCCTCACGCTTTTAAGTTCGATTGTAACTTGCTTGGATTCTCGCAGAGTATTAAATAGAATAAATAACTACATAGGTTCACAAGCCCATACAGATTAGGCCTCGGGTAGTGCAAATGTTAGCCGGATGGACATATGGATAGAGGCGACACTCCACTAGGGAGTTTTTAGTTTCGTTATTGCACGCATCACCAGAAAACCGAATGAATGTCCGAATTATTTGAGTGTACGAGTGAGTATGCAGTTAGTTGAAATAAAGTTAATACGAGTACAGCGACAACAGTGCGGTGCGAGGGAAGGGCGTTGGGGAGGAGACCCAGCCATACTAGTACCATAGTATTCCGAAACGAATGAATTACTTGAGAGGCCGCGTAAGGTAATGCTTAGCTTTGTGTTAAATTGCTGTTGAATATAAATGTACTTGTACAATGATAATAATTATGATATGATGGCATTAAACATACTGAAAACACACACACACAGCAACAAGCCACAAGCAACAAAAGCAACCACACCCCCAAATCACACAACAATACAATAACAGCAAATGAAACCCAAATCCAAAATGAAACTAATTATAATGAAATAAAGAATATAAAACGTTAAAATTAAACGAGTTTCTATTTCTATTCAACTGAAAGGAAGGACATCCATTTATGGATCCATGTAAAAATCCATGTCCGAAACTGCAACAGCTTTCGTCCCAAGAAATATGGGCACAAATGGTATGGATGGAGCCCAGGAATATAACATCAAAGACTATACAATTACCAAGATTTCAATTCTCTCTTCACCTTAGGCATCTAAGTCAATCCCGATAATCCAAAAATTAAATTAAATTTTGTTCCATGAAACTGGACTCTCTCGTTATTTAATTTTATTTATATTATTTTATTACATAGATAATCAAAATCGGTTATGCTCGGCAGCTCGAAAAGTTAATCTTCTAGACGAGGGTTTTGTGAGATGCTCCCTCCTCTTGGTCAGAGTACAAAATGAGTTCAATGTTTCGCATGTGGCGCTGCTTCTCCTGCCGCCGCTTGAGATGGATTTGTGCGAGTGCATTGAGCGTGGCAACGACAAAGTAGGCGACCATGACAACGGCACAGAGCTCAAAGGCATGCATCACGAAGCTAAGGCTGGGGCTGGTGGCGGAGGAGTCATGGCCCTCGCCCTGCCCGTTGCTTTTTCTGTGCATATGCTGCTTTGTGGACATCAAGAAGTCTTTGAAGAGCGTCTGTAGGTGGGTGCCAAGCCAGGGCAGCCTGCCCAAGCCGTTGGCCAGACCATTGACTAGATGGTCGCTGAATGATACTATAACGCATACTTGCTGAATGGTTGCCTTTATGAGCACCTTGCCGATCATAGTGGCAACAAAGAACTTCCAGAAGGGCACCAGAAAGTGGCCGCATGTTATGCCAGCCAGATCGAACAGGGGATTGGGCACGCTGGCACAGAGAAGGATGCCCAGGAAGCCCACACGACGAACCATGCGCTCCATGCACAGTTTTGCACCGTCCAAAACATTGAAATGTTCCATACTCGTATTCCTATGCCGTTTAGTCTTTTGCAATTCCAGCTCCTGAGGCTGCTCCACCTCCGCACCGTCCAACTCATTGCTGGATAGGCGGGCACTCCGGGCCATAAAGTATGGTGGCAGCTCGCCTATGGCCGTGCCAATGCCCCACAGCAAGGCCTCCGGTCGAACCTTTGACAAAATGCTCCAAATATCTGGAACCTCTCGCGTATACGGCTCTTTGGGGCAGACCTTTTCGTCCGGGTACGGCGGCTCTGGGAACTTCAGCGTCTGGCACTCGTAGGCCGCCAATGTTACGGCGGCAATGTGTGGCCCCAAGTATAGCAGGAACGTGTGCAGTCCCGTGCCAAAGCCCACTGACGAAAGTACGCCCAGCAGCAGCCAGTACAAGGCGAATCCCAAATTCTGGAGGCCGAGGCTCACGAAACTCTCATGTGGTCCCGGCAGTATGCAGACTATACCCAGAGCCAGCAGACTGCCCAGCAGCCATTTGTTCAGCAGCCGGTTAGCGAAGGAGAGAAGCAGTTCTACGGCCTCCATGGTTCCATACTTCAAAGTCTGCAAGGGCTGGCGCCATAGAACTAGAGATCTTCTCTCCAGTCGCTCCTCCGCACGTTCAGTCGACAGGTCCTGCTCCTGCTCTGTGAGCAACATGCCCGATGCGTCAGTGGAATCTGTGGTAGTTGGATCCATTTTCAGTCTCATAATCTTATTTCTGAAATCGAATTTACGGATATACTTCTATATCAAGGCGATGTTGATGCGATTGCTAGAGTTCGGGCTAGGCTTTCTTATCCAAAAACATCCAGAGTCTAAGGTTTTCCAAGTCCAGAGTCTATTCCGCCTTTCTATGTACAAAACGAGAAGGAACGTGTGAGTCGTTTCTGGGGACACGACTCTACTTATACCCGTACTCAGTCAGTATATACATACATTTTTGAGCTTATGAATTTAAAAATGTACATTTACATTTTTTTACTACATCTGCTATCTACATCTACATATACAATGTCTATTCTACATCTAACATGTAGATTGTACATGTTCCATTCATATTCTACATCTCCTCCGCTAGGGGTTGCTCGCGCACTGAACGCGGCAGAGTCTGCGAGCGAGAAGGAAAATGAGTTGCGTTGTCATTGGAAGGAGGGGGCAGGGGAAGCAACTGAAAATTAATTTCTTCATTCTGGCTATAATTATGATCCGATCTGATTCAGATTCGGCATTCTGGTAGATATGGTCATTCTCTACGATACTGCGTTTTTAGTTTTATCGTATCTTTAAAAATGTGCCTGCCACAGATTTTCGTCCTTTGTGTGGGCGGAAGGGGGCGGGGCGAAATTTTGAAATACACTTGTAGCAGTGTGATATCACATAAGTCTGGAAACCAAATTTGGTTGCCCTAGCTCTTATAGTCTCTGAGATCTAGGCGCTCAACAAGACGGACAGACAGACAGACAGACAGACGGACAGACAGACAAGGCTATATCGACTCGGCTATTGATGCTGATCAAGAATATATATACTTTATGGGGTCGGAAACGTTTCCTTCTCTGCGTTACACACATCCACTTTTACCACAAATCTAATATACCCCTTAATTACCCCATTTCAAAGCCTTCTTTGACCATAAAATTGGATTTTGATTATTTCTATGAACAAGTTAACGTACCCGATCCCATTGAACTCTTATATGAGTTATAAACAATCTATGGCTTCCCCATATGATATCAAAAATAATCTTTGGTTTGTATAAACAAACATACATATATACACACATACATATATGTAATCAGTTTTCGGCCACCGAAGATCGCTCACAAACTCTTGCGCCGCAGCTGAAGCCTAGCTTTCTGCAGACGCTGCAATTTGGAATTTCACAATTCCCCATGTTTATAGAAGCTTCTCTTCATGAAACTAAATCAATTATAGTTAAGTCAGTTGATATCTCGCAGCAGAATCGGAGAGTTCAATCAAATCGTAAGTCGCGTCGAAGTAAAAAAAACTTAGCACTCAGTCTCTGTTCACAAACAACTTCTACCGCAGAAAATTATTATGTTCCATGAGTCATCGGTTAATTTTGTTGATCTGAGCAAAGACTCTATAGAGTCTTTGATCTGAGTACCGCTCGGCGTACGCCAGCCAATATATTTTGCATGCCAGTATTTGAAATTAAGACCACTGGCATAGAGTGTGAGGTCACTCTTTGCAAATTTTCACTAAAGTTTCAATTTTTGAATGATTCCATCACCTATTTTGCCACTGGGCCTCATTTCTGGGCATTGGACCAGACCACTCTTGAAAACAGCAACGAAGCTATAATTAAAATGTTAAGTTTGCTGTTGGATTTACATGGTAATCAAACCCAAGTCCACGACGCTATATTTTTAGCTACGAGTTCATCGACACCTGCTCCTGAATCTGCTATCGAAATTTTTCTTGAGGTGCGTATAACCTATTCCTAAATGAATTTTACTTCCTTGCTAAACAATTTAAATATTTTAAGGTTCTTAAACATTTAATTTCTGAGACCGACAATCCCGAACGCCTGGCCTTCGTGTACAACAAGCTAATGCATTTTAAGCAAACGGACAGTGTGGACCTTGCTGAACTTATGGCCTTATTTGGCCTAAACGTACCAGATAATCATTGATAATGTGAGAATACACTATTATACAAAACGAAAGTAAACACTGACTTTAAGATGTTAATCAACCCAAACGGGAACCAAAATTATTCATACCTTTGTATGGATACTATTCAGAAGCGTTTAAGAGATCAAAATCATCCATGGCCTTGCATTGCCATAAGGTCATGGGACCAGGCGGCACTGACATCAGTTTTCCCTCAAAATCTGCACTAATTGATGCCTCCGCGTGCTCATCCTCGCAGCGATATTTGAACGCACTGATCTGATTTATGAAACTGTCGATTTCTGCTCTCTCCTTGGGCCCAGCTGCCGCTTCTTTTAAGCTGCAAATCGAGCGAGCGCTGTAAAGAAATTAACGATCCATTTAGTTTAAAATATCATTTGGAAAATCTTCTGGACCTACATTTTCTGGAAATGCGCTTCTTTCAGACGCATATTGGCCACAATCAGTTGCAGATGCTGCAGCGGCAGCAAGCGATTCCCTTGGACATTGGCTGCCTCCAATCTTACAGTGCCCATTTTTTTAATCAAGAGATTCAGCGAACCATTGAAAACAGTCCAACGCAGAAGCCAAGCGTCTACGGCGGAGGCATGGCCCTCAATAAGCCGCAGATGGGCATTCAGCGTAGCGGCCATCCGTTTATTGACATTGGCTTCGTTGCCGAAGCGCAGCTGGATTACCGACAGACAGTGGACATAGCAGAGAATGCGGTGCTCTATCAGAACGCCGACTAGTAAATCAAGCTCTGGCCGAAGGACTTGCGAGGCAGTTCCCACCACATTGTACTGCAACAGAGCTTTCCAAATTCGGTTGTTGGGCAACGCGACCTGATCGCAAGCGAGCATTTGACGAAACAGCAAGTGCTTCTCTTGAATATAACTCTGGGTGAGCTGATCGCAACTTGGCTGCGATCCCGACGGAGTGACTGTCAGACTCATAAGGAGTGCGTCGTATGTTGGAGCGTCTAGAGGAAAACTATTCCTCAAGCCAATGTGCAGGATGACAACGGAGCAGAACATAAACTTGGTTCGCTGAAAGCTCTCCTGTGTGGGGTTCGAGAGCTCATAAACGCAGAAGTCACGTAACTGCTGGGCCAGGCCGATCACATCCTTGTGCTCCTTGTGCATCATGATGAGCATGAAGGCCAAGCTTTCGGAGCCAAAGATACCTACAAAACAGTCTGTGATTAACACGGCACTTCTAGAATATGACTCGCTTACTCAGGTTGTCGTTCTGCTGTGGTCTTTCCAGCAGATTGACTACTAAGCAGTCCACCATTTCAGCCAGACGGTCCCCGCTTAGCTTGTTGGCCCTAAGAAGGGCGTGCAAGCGACGCAGGCACTGGGCATAGGCTTCCAGCAGTTCCTTCCTCTGTGCAGCCCCCAGGTCACTGGCACTCATCTGAGCCTGCAGCTGAGCGTGCTGATATTGCACAGACCCTGCGGCGGTTATGTGTGTCTGTCTGTTGCCAGTTGCCTCCACGGAGCGGGATAGATTTGTGTAGAGGCCGCTGAATTCCGAATCGCTTAGCGTTTCATCGTGTAGAAACTTATCCAGGCAGAATGTCTCCAGTGTCAGCAACAGCTATGCAATGTACAATAATATATGTATTTATGTAGTTGGTCTTCAGCAATATTTTTTAGAGTTCCTAGGGCACAAACCTCGAAATTATTTGAAGCCACAGCCATAAAATCTACGGCGCTGTAGACACTGTAGAGCACAGGTCGGGTGACACTTTGGTGGGTTGACGACGAAATGAGATACGGCCAAGTACGCAGAAGTTCGTGCACCTCTTTACGAGCTTCCTCCGAGGTGGAATATTCAAGCCAATAGAGGTCAAAGAGCACGCATACGGATTGTGCGGCTATGACGCTCAGTTCGATGCGCACTTGCTGGGAAGTGAGCACAAACGTGTAGACCTCGAACCGCCGCACTGCTGGAAAATGCTCCATTATCGTCTTTAGGTAGCGTGTCAGTTGGGCCCTGAACTGCGCAAAGCTGGGATTTCGGCGAGGGCTGTACTGACACTTGACGTACGTCTCCAAGATGTGCATAACTATTTCCCTCTCATTGTACAGGCGCTGGGCCAATTCCACGTAGAGCTTCGCTGCCATGGACCAAACCATGGTCAAAGCTTGTGGCAGGCGAAGCAACAGCTCCAGGATAATTTCGTGGAACCTCGTTGGAAACCGTTCGGCACTGACAATGTGTCTGGAAAACCATCGGGACGGATCGGTTAATGAATGAGAAATCAGCTTTTACGGCTATTACGCCTCTGCAGCTTACCGCTGAAGCGTCCGTATGTACAGGAGCGTGGCCATAAGCAGGGCTTTGGATTTACTCGACTTCAAAACCTCAAAGTGTAGGGCCAGAAACCTATCAGTGATCAGCTCATTGGTAAACAGACGTAGATACAGATTGCCACTTCGATCACGCTGCTGGTCCTGGGAAAACTGCTTGAGCATACTTTCCAGGAACTCGTAGGTCATGATGTAGCTATCTTCGTCCTCCATCTAAAATTACGATTTCATTCACGAATGATTGCTGTGACTGATTGGTTCAGGGCTTACCACAACAGCCAGAGCACAGTAGACAAAGTCTAGCGCAGAGTTCTCCACGCTGCAGAATGTCCCAAAGTGCTCCCGAAACATGTCCAGCATGGGTTTTAGTATATGTTGACTAGTCGCCTGGTAGCTGCAAATCACACAAGGGTATTTTTTTATCACAATCGGGACGCGTCTCTGTGCTCACTCACAATAGCCCATAGCGTGCGTCAATGGTGAGCGTGAGGCAAATATGCTTGAAGCCTCCAAACTCGTCGTTGTATGTGGGCAGCAGCTTGGACAGCCCGCAGAGTATGCTGAATGCTACGGTAGATAATTTTTCAATTAGTTAGCACTTATTCGGGGTTCGGGGATGGCGAGAAGCACTTACACATTCTGGCCACTGGCTCGCAGAGGTACTTATCACCTGCGCAGGGGTTCATCTGCATTGAGGTGCATATGTAATGCACCACTTTCGTCCATGTAAGCACCACTTTTAGGTAGCAGGAAACTGGGTCAGTCAGCTCGTCGAAGCGCTTGGCAGCAGGTGTCTTCGACTTGCTCCTATCCGGCTCCAAACTCTTCGCATGGCGGGCCAGTAGAGTGGGCAGCTTCTCCAGAAAAGATTCCACGGCAGTCATCACAAAGGGCTAAGCATCGAATATGTAGTTGGGGTTGTCGTTGCGATACGGATGATCCTGCGTTTTGCGGAACTCCTTCACACTCACGTTGAACTTCAGTCCCAGCACGTGGAAGCACTGGCCCACAAACTGATGCGACACCTTCGCATGCCAGTTGTGGGGATCCGCGAAGATGGCTCCCATAAAGGCAGTGGCGTATTCCCGCACTACATACTATACTCGGAAAATGGTTTGGTAATCTTCTGGAGGGGATATTACTGCACGATGCCTGCACTCACCTCAACACTGCCACCCGTGGAAATGACAGTAACAAAATCCATTGTTTCAACAATTTTGGGATCAGTGCGTCCCGTTAGACCGCTACAGTTGCAAAATTTTAAATTATCGGCGTCTCCCAGAGTCGCAAAGTTGCATTGGGTCATATTAGTGTGACCAGACTTCAGGCCGACAGATATGCAATAGTGTCATCTCTAAAACGTATTTGTATGTATTCAATTTTTCAGTTTAATTTGAAATTAATAGAAGTGGTTTATTCTTCAAGTCCAAATTATACTGCAAGATAAACAACACAACTATGCTACATTGAATTCCGACGGGTGAAACTATAGCATCGATATATACAGATCGGTTTACACAATCTAATTTGAAACAAGGCGGGACAATTGCTTTTTACTCAGCTTCTTTGCAGAATCTTCGTTGGAGTCAATTGGAATGTGTCAGAAAGTACGATTTTGGCCAATGAGATTTCCAACAAACAGTTTATTCAATAAAATTAGCATGTATGTACACACATACATATGTACATCTTAAAAGGATCATGAAAAGCATAACGCATATTACTAAATGCATATATTTACAACGAACCTGTGTGTGTACGTGTATGTAATACGATCGATAAAGTCTACACATGTTGCACAGAACAAATGCACGTCTAATACAAGTTCACATTATTCATATTTTGGCTAACTATATAATTAGTAATATTAGGCTTAGTTTAATGTAAATAGTGTGGTCGCCGAAGGGCAACTGGTTTCACCACGGCCAGGCGCTCTTATGGCAGAGAAAAATCAGTGTGATATGGGAGGAAATTTGTTAAAAATGCAAATACTTGAATGGGACAACGACTGAAATTCTTTCTGGTTTTCACTTTTATCGAAGGCAATCTGCATGAGAACGTAGAACTATTGTTGGCTATTATATAGCCAGCAGCATGAAACAGACAGGCACTTTAGTGACCACTTCAATTGAACTATGAGCTTAAAGGTAGGTCCAGGTCCAGACAGTTTTCTTAACCTAACTCTTCTACGGGGGCAAAAGATCTTTTTGGTTTGAATGCTAGAATACATCTTGTACTTGGATTTCGTTCGACGTGCCACTTGTCGCATCAGTATTTCTTGAGTTGTTCGTACGTTATAAAGAATATGATGTTCCAGGGCCCCATCCTAACCCACGTGGGTATGAAGCCCTTGTAGAGGGCCAGTGGTCCCTCGTTTCGAATTGTCTGCACTGCACAGTCGAGGCTCCCGCTGTACAGTTTTGGTGTGGCTGCCGCCGTGGCCAAGCCATTCATTGTCATGCTGACGGGCCTCTGATTCATCAGGCGTGTCTACGACAAAAGATTTCCTCCTATTAGATGATGAAAATGTTGTATTAAATTTCACTCTACTCACCCGGATGACATCAATGGGTGTCGAGGCGATGGCGCTTCCCAAGCTGGCAATGAAACTCGAGCTGTAATAAAATCAGAATTAGTTCCTGAACAATGAAATGCAGACACCAAGCCGGGGAATAGGACTTACATGAAATGATTCGCTACATGATCGCCAAAGGCATTCATAAGCTGCAGCTTGCAAAAGTCATAGACCGGCAGCTCGACTGATGCGATCACCACTGCCCGCTGAGCTGTCGGGCCTACACCACGCCAGAGACCGCGCACGCCCTCGTACTTGTATATTTCGCTGAAGCAGCCAATCAGTCCCTGATGATGGCCCCTGCCATGCACCTGCATACGCACTTTCAGCACATCGGTGGGATTGGCAATGGCCGATGAGATGGCCCCAGCCGCTGCAGCGCACAGTATGTTGCTCCAGACCCGCTCGCTGCCGTCTTCGTTTGTCAGGTAGCCGCGCTCGTTGGCCAGCTTCTTGAGGGTGTAGTAGGTGCCGAATTTGATGGTGCCGTAGGTGGCCTGACGCAGCACTGCCGGCCAAATGCTGCAATGAATATACGATGATATCAGAAACAAAGTCTAAGGGGTTGCTGGCACATTATCGGGCCGGGCAAAGTTTGCAGACCAAACGTTGTATTTTCGGCTAGCAATTGACGGTAAGCTGCCTTATCAATCTACTTGTATTCACACATTGTGCTCTTTGCTGGGAGGCAACTGAACATGTGACTGGCACGTTTTGCCTGATAAGAACGAACGCAAAGCTCAAGTCTCATGCTGTGACAACGTGCTTACCCAGAATACAAGGCTCGCAGTCCTTCCTCTTTGGAGATCTTCACAAATGCATCTGTCATGCCGCGGTACCGCAGCTGCATGAATGTTTGATCAATTTTCTGACCTTGGACTTGAAGGCGCGTCTTTGTTGTGTCGATTGGAAAAGTGCCTGCAATATAAATAAATAAGCCAGACGTTTGTTTACAAAGATTCAGTTGGGCGATAAGGTTTAGATTTCAAAGCCGATTCTAACAGCACCACCACCTGCCGTCACGCTTGTTTTCGCCACGGGGGGCTGCCGTCACCATCACCTGTTTTGCATAATTACCAAATTCAGCAGTTATGGATGCAACGCCGCCATAAACAAAAGGCCGCCAGTCCTTGACTTCAGCCGCCATGACCGCCACCAGCACCTGTTGATGATGCTCAAAAACGTATCAGATTTCGCGATGGCCCTTCAACGACGAGTCCAAATGCAATTGCACACCTCCGTTGCAATTTCGTGGTATAGTTAATGTCGTTTGCACATTTAATTGCAGGAAATTCGCATTAAAAATATTACACAAATCACGCAACCAGCGTGACCCGACGATAACGATAAGAAATACCATCCGAACAAAAAATAAATACCATTAAATACCATTTAAGTTTCGATAAATACCGTTTAAATACCATAAAATACCACGCAACCAATGTGGTGTGGAACGCGGATTATATTGTGGTATATTACAGTATATTTCAATAACAGGCTTCAAAATGTACTTTCAACCCAATTTAGACATCAAAAGTGTATAAATATACCTCAAACAGTTATGCTGTTACACAAATTAAACCAGTAATGATGTTCTCGGGCCAAGTACTGCTGTTGAAATTGCCGGGTGGCCAGCTAATAAAAAAATACCATAGTTAGTGCTGCAAAACGTCGAGAAAACGTCTGCATTGCTTTTCCGTTGAAAAAAAATTAATTTGAATTTAAATTTAAAGTTTATAAATCATATTTGTTCTACTGCAAGTGAAGAAACTTGAGTAATTTCATTCTGGCATGTCTTGGGGGCTCACTTCAGCTCTAACTAATTTTCCAGTTCGGTTTGTTAGAAGGAGAACGAATATTTTCCAAGGGTATATTTATCTTCGACGCCCGTAACTGTCCCTTTTTCTTGATTTGTTTGTTTGAATAGCAGGCAACATCAAAACAACTGTTTAAAAGTCAACAAGAAAGTAGATCAAAACACTCCAACGACCAGCGGATCCCAAATGAATATTTTAATCGCAAGCCGATAACGAGTTGAGTCAAAAACAAAAAAACAGCAATCTGGGAATTCCTATTCACCTACTCGTACGCTTAGCCCTGGCCCCGTCCGTGGTCCATCTGGGTACTGGAAGTGGCAGTGGAAGTGGCAGTTGAGGCAGTGGCAGGTTCTCCAGCGTCGACCTTTGCTGGTATTTTGCGTTTTGTTGTTTTGTTTTCGCCTGTCTCTCTGCAGTGCTCTGCGCCGTCTTGTTTTGTTTTGTTTTGTTGGCAAATTCGCATAATTAAAGTTTGTTTTGTGGCTTACTACGATTTGTCTCTGTGCTTAATTCACGTCACTCATTTCAAATTCAAGCGCAGACCGGATCGTGAAAGTCGGCGGCGTCACATCGGCGACCGGCTGTCGCGTCGCCCGGCCGGGCTTGGACCAGTTCGACCGTTGCCTTTTTGGGGGAAAAAAAAATACTTCAATGGGTTTAACCCCCGAACATGGCCTGGCTTCGTCTACGAGCATGGCTAAGACCGGCGGAGAAACAAAAGAATTTGGCAAATTAATTTAATCGCTGCATCCTATTGTCGATCCAATCCGATCCCAGCTGAAAATGTAATTTAATCGCCTTACAGTTTATTTCACTTCATTTCGCATTCCCGCCGTCCACTGGTTTCGCTGTCTGCTAAGTGATTTTTGGCAGTGGAGCGTCTGCGGCGTGGGCATTCGAGTAAATTGAGCGTTTCAGCTATTTGCTACTGTGCTCAAAACAAATTAGCAAATTCAATCAAGCGCTATGTGAAATGCGTTCATGCTTAGATATGTTAATTATTCGGAAATAGATCCACATTTTGATCCCCATACATGTTAACATTAATGGATAAAGTTCTACCTGTATCCTGGTGGTTTTTTCACTTTCCCTCCCCATTTTGAGTATATCCATGTACCATGTACCGCTGGCATCTAGGCTCCGAATTAATTGTCAAATATTCACCACACAAAAAGCTGAATCTTAAACAGCTGAACGCGTGCCAGTCACAGACCTGGCATAGATATCTAGATATTTCGGGTTATGCACACAGATATCCATATGTACATATGTAGACAAAGCCGATGTCTGCTTATTATGGATCGATCAGGGGTAGGCTTGTTAGTCACTTGATTGGCATGCGGAAATTCCCCGAAATAAATAAGCCATTGCCATATCTGAATTTATTTGTTCAACCAAATATCTTTGGCCCTTATGCTTTCCCCTGAGTGCTTTCGTCTCGCAGCAAGGGAACACGTGCAAAAGTCTAAAAATATTTCAAGTGCAAATACGGGTACTATTTATAATGTAATTTAAAATTACAAAAAATCTCGCCAAGAGTCGCTGCTTCATGGCTTTAATTTATTCTCTATTGAATGGGGGATGCTATAAAAAAGGAGCCACTTTTCAAAGTCAATTGCTCTTCACTCTCGACTCGAGTTCGTGAACTGTCCAAGTCAATTATAGACGTAGATTTTTCCATTTGCTCCAAGGAACATCTTGGCTAAAGATGTTATCTAAGGGCCACTAATAGTAGCTTTGTTTTTTCCCGTTCCAAATTGATTCCCAAAACAATCAAACAACAAGTAGCTGGCTGGTTCAGGTATTCCCCAGAAAAAGGAAAAGAAATTTCTGCACTCCACATGCTGTCTCTCTCTCTCTCTCTCTGTCGCTCTCGCTCAGATCCAATAAATTAAATTGAGTCGAATTTGCATATTTAACACGTTGCCTTTTGTTTACCGTTTTGAGAGTGAAAAACCCCAAGCCACCAAATCCGCATACCGAGTAGAGGCTAATGCTAAATGCGGGTCGGGTCTGGTCTGGTCTGGTCTGGCGCCAAAGAAATTACCAACTATCCATCAAGCGTTTGTGGCCAAAACTCTTTACTAGCCAGCATCCGCTCGTCCCGTCCTGTCCCGTCCCGTCCCGTCCCTCTACATGTGCTAATCATAGACGGGGAGCGGGGACTGTTGTGGCGTGGAGTGGAGTGGCGTGAAGATTTTATTACATTTTGCTGTCGCTACTGTCCCGACCGGTCTGGGTCCCGTCCCTAGCCAAATCTCTACGAGTAGTATTTCCCGCTCTGCTCCAATCGCAGTCGAAAATGAAGTCGAAGCGTGGACCTGCCTGTGGTAATTATGCAGGAATTTCTTGATGCGACGACTGTCGCGTCTCCAAGTCGCCACAGTAAATTCTGCGAATCTGACAGTTTTTATTGTATGACAAACTAGTATAATTTCATTCAAATTCGTTTACAGCCGGTCTGCGTTACCACAAAAATAAGACCATATGCAAAGGAGACCAGACCATCCCAAGACCCAACGCCACGAATAATTTTGAAGATTTTTGGAAGCAAATAAAAAGGGGCCAAACTCTGTATTCGAACAGATAAATTCTTTTTGAAAAGTCAAATACAGCAGTAAAAATTCTTTATTTCCTATACATTTTTGCCAATATATTTAATATTTTTGTATAAGCTGCCATCTCGAAAAGCCAAAACACGATATAAGTATCCTGAACTCTTTTTATGAGCCAATTTCGTACACTTTTGAATGGTTTAAAGTTTGGTAATTTAAGTGCCATAAGGAAAGTCATAGCTCGGTGTAATATACAAACTACTCCAAACAAAAAGGCAATCAAAGGGGGAGATGTACTTGAGTGCAACGGACAATTGTACACATTCACCTATGAGGAGGATCTGTTATCCAATAAATTAGTTTGGGCTCAGACTTGTAGGAGATCTAAAGGCTATGAATAATAAACTCACTCCCCCATTAAATGGAATATTCCTACAAGTACTCTTAGAGCCCTACATTTTCCATGTGCCACTCGCAAGGTCCAGTCAAAGTGAATGTCCCATGCGATGATCAGATATATGTATGTACTCGGCTCATGCATAATGCAACACACACCAGAACAGCAATTAATCAGCAATTAATATTTCATAAATTGATCGTTTATTGACTGAAGGCAGGGAATTACATGTATGGCTACCCGGCTACCGTATGGGCTGCTGGGACCACTTGGACCGGGCCGGGCCGGACCGGACCGGCTCCGATGGCTTCGATATCGGAGAATAAAAGATATACAATATTAATTGCTAATTATGCGCCGTGTCAAAACAACAAAACTAAGGCACATACATACATAATAAATTATCAATTTGTCTACGGCTTTAATCACGGGCCATAACCAGAATATCCAGAGACACAAACATATACCCATAGGATAGGACATACAGACAGTGGGGTTGGGGATGGGGGATGGGCGATGGGCGATGGCGATGGCGATGGAGATGGCACGTAGACCAAAAGCAAAAAGCAAAATGCGACTCGTAATACTCGTAAAATACTGAAAGCGAATAAACAATAAATCAGCCACAAATCGGTTTGCTGCGAGTGGAATTTTTAGCATAGTTCATCGCTTTCGACCTTAACACGGTGGGGTGTGCGGTGTGGAGCGACTTGTGAGCCCTGTGCCAAACAGAACAGAACAGAACAGAATGGAATCGAAGAGCCCGGGCATAATTAATAAATTCCAGCGTGCGCCGCAGCATCCAGCAAACAAACAACAAATTGACGTCACACACAGACGGACGGGGCCCTGGCCTGTTGCCTGTCGCGGTTGCGGCTGCGGCTGGGGCTGCGGCTGGGGCTCTGGCTGCGATGGCATTCGGCCTTCCCTGGCAAGTGTGACATGGTAGAAACGGAAACGGGTTAAACGGGTACGAGCAGCGTTCCCCTTCAAACATCAGCAACTCAGCAGCAACAACGACAGCTCTGGCTCTGGCTCTGACTCTGGCTATACTGGGCCTTAATCAAAGGTGTTCTCTGCTCGCATCTGTACAGCAGAAGGCACAAACTTATTTCCCTGGCATGCAATAAGATCAAAATGGACACAACCAACATTGTATGCCACTGCACCGACCCGACCAGTTTTCATCAAGCGTTACGCCTCCTGGCGACCGGCGACCGGCGACCGGCGACATCTTGGCGTCAGCCAAATGCTATAATGAGCAATTGCAGCTTCGCACTTAAATTCAGGTTCGACGACCTTCTGGGTTGGGTATGCACATTCCCACACCACCCACAAAATCAGCGTGCGTGATCTGTAATACGAGGCATACGAGCAGTATCAGATCTATCAGAGAACTAAGGCACAGAAATCGAGGTTTCACTGTGCATTTTCCACAGATTCCCATCGACGATCCGATCCTCTCTTTTCGTTGAGGGTGTTGCGATTGTTTGCGAATCAGTAAAAATACTTAGGCGGCAGTGCATCCAAATTTGGCTCGAGCTTTCAGCGGCATTTAGCACTGATGATTCGCTTGGCCAGCAGGCCAATGGAGCGATGAGTCGCTCGAGTGAGGCTCGTCTCGACTGGCATGGCCTGGGATGGGATGGAATGGTATTTGATGGCCATTTATGAAGCTGCTGGGTAAACGCGTGTGGGCGTTCACTTGCGTTCCCACGCCGACTAGGCCTGGGCACACCCAGGGCACACTGAAATGGGAAAACCATTTGAAGGGGCCGGATAATTAATTACGCAAAGCTGCAAAAATAATGCAGAACAATGGCCGATGGAGCGATGTAGCGATTTAGCGATTTAGCGATGATGAGGGGTAAAAGCATTTCGCCGGATAGCGCTCCAAATACTTAACCGCAGAGAAGGGGGGCAGAGGCGGAGGCCGAGAGATTTATGGCGTTCGTCCAACTTCGGAATATCCCAAGCACACAAAAAAAAGTCGAAGAATTGTGACCAAAGGCCGGAGCGAAAAGAAAACATGTGCTTCGCGAGAGCCGAAGCGAAGCGAAGCGCCAGGTTGGAGCAACGCTGGAGAGCAGCACCACACGGACCGATCTCTCTCTTGCTCTCTCGCTTTCTGCCAGTCTGCGTCGGACCATAAATATGAGTCGTTCTGGCCAGGTAGCCTCAGTTCGTGTCTGAATATCACAGCCCCCGTGCACACACAGCCTCTGAAAAAGCCTCTGAAAACAAAAAACGCGTAAAGCAATCAGTAAACCAGTGAACGCCAAACGAGAGTGGAGCCAAGCAAAATAAATTCAATCCAAAAACTTTGATTAAAAACCCAATTCCAAAATGCATTCGGAAAAAGTTTGTGTCGCCTTCGCGCTGCTCGCCTGCCTCGCCCTCGCTGAAGCGGCCGTCTACAGCCAGCCCGCCATCTTTCATCCTGGTTAGTATTCGTGAAGGGTCCCGCCCCCCAAGGGGGTCTCAATATAGTAGGAAAAACACCACAGAGCCTGTGGAAAAGCGCAGACCATTTTAGAGCCGTTGTTTTTGAGTCAAGTTTTTGTTTTCGTTCGTAAATGATGCAAACTTATCTGACAGATGTGAAAAATTCCATTAGTTTTATGCTCAGCCCGGCTCGGCGTATCTTGTTTATGGAGTTTTCTAATTAAGTTTTCAATCAATTCTTACCCATAAACGACCTTTGCCAGCGTTGAGAAACAATAAAAAAACAAAAACAAAAACAAATCATTGATAGGAGTTGTCAGGCGGGAATTTGTGATTGATTTACGACATTAACGATGATACGATACAGACGAGGCCTTACATTGCCGACGCACTTGGAGGTTTCAGTGTCCTCCAGGCAGGTGGCTGCAAAAGATCTAATCCCATGCTGATGGCCCCCGCCAGAACTACTTTCGTTGGCATCTGGCAAAAATTTGACGTCAGGTCAGTTGTCAGATGGAATTTTGACTATTATTACGTTTGGTCGGACATGTGATTTATGGCAAGTGACACAATCCGATACGAGCATTTGGTTGTTTTCGCTGACGTCAACGTTTGGGGTATAAACAAAAGAAAACGATCGATCGATCGATCGACCGATTGATCGTTTCAAACAACGCAAAAGGCGGACAAAAACAAAAGCAGAAATCACACGAAATTTGTCATATTGCTTGGCCCCCTTTTCGGCTACAGATACAGATACATTAATAGATACAGATACAGATACATCGATAGGTATAGATATAGTTAGATACGCAGATATGGTTTTGGGTTTTGTGGGTTTTTCGCATTTGCCAAAAATTAGCATAAGAAATGTGCTGAAGTTGGATTATTATTCAAAGAGATGCGGGGCTCATTTGCATCGCTATGCGGATTTAAGTTAGAAAAATTATCGCCTATCCCATGGCTAGGCATCCAGTCAGACAGTCAGCCAGTCAGCCAGTCAGCCAGTCAGATATGTATTTTCCTTTAGTACTCCACCTCCCCTGTACGGCTGAGTTATTCATTCGTGAAGGTCGTGCGGCGGGAATTTCTGGCATTCTGGTCCACAATCCACACAATTCACGGATGCACGAGAAATTAGCGCCAGTCCAGTTTAAAAATAGGCGATGAGTTCACGCGAGCCTCTCGATTAATTGCACAATTGGGAATGAGGAGAAGAAGGAGGAGTAGAAGGAGGGCAAATGGTAAATTAATGGCGAGTGTCATTAATCAAACTTACCTTTCTATTTGGCAATTTGCGAGAGTATTTTCGAACCCAACAACTCAACAATTTCAGCCGTACCCAGCGGCTATTCGTTATAAATAAAAGTACGAGTACGAGTACGCTCCTCCATCGCCGTCTGTCAGGCAGGGGCAGGGGCAGTGGCAGGGGCAGGGGCAGTGGCAGTGGCAGGGGCAGCGGTGCTGAGAGACTTAAAAATAAGTATGCTCCAATCACGAGTTGCCTGCGGCTCGTATTTCTGATGTATTTATAACCAGACCTGGGCTTGGGCTCCCCCTTCAGACTCCAACTTGGCCAACTTGGCTTGGCTGTGCTTCGAGTCCACTTCATTGTGCCAATTTTCTTGTCGAATGACTGTCAAGTTTGTGTCTTGAGTCTTTCGTTTCGGTCACGGAGCAACCCATAGATAGGCACAGACTCCCTCCTACACATTGTGGCACTGGGAAGTGGCCAGCCAGCGGCTACATCTAAATTGCATTTTCATGGATGGTCTGGTGGACGGCGGGGTGGGGGAGGGATTTGTTGCACACGTTCGAACAGTATTTAAATTTTTAACCGGCATACACAGCGATTTATAGCCACTTCCTCATAAACCGTAACTGCGACAGGCGCATAAATATTGTAAAATACAACAAAGAAGACTTTTTTGTAACCACTTCCGCTTTAAGTTTTGCTTTTGCTTTTGCTAACCTTCCGCTCTCCATTGCAGCACATCCCGGCAAGTGCTTCGACAAGTTCACCAGGCGAGCGATGCTGCCCGACAAGGAGTACAAGCCGAAGGGCATCTGCGCCAGCATGACGTGCAGCCTCGAGGCGCGGGAGATCAGTATCGAGACCTGTCCCTATGTCGAGGCACCCGGCTGCGAGGAGCTGCCCGCCGACGTCAACTGGAGCTTCCCCAAGTGCTGTCCGCAGTTCAAGTGCGTTGACTTCAAGACCGGCAAGGAGTTTGTCGTCTCGCTGTAGATGCCGCATCCAATGCAGCATCATGTCCAGCTGCTGCCCCACCCACCCTGTCAGTTGAAACTGAAACGTGATTTTACATGAAATGTATTCGTAGATTCGTAGTCTCTGTGTGTGCCTGATTTTTGAGTGAGCGCGAGCGAGCGAGCCCGAGTGAATGATTCATCTAACTTCTTAATTTATTTATTGTAATTTGTACATAACACTCACTCCCAATCCCAATCCCGCATAAGCATTAAAACCTCCCACCCCCCCTTGTCGGCATTGTCTTCATGTTTCATGTGTGAACAGAATTTTAGTTTGTTTTGATTTATTCAAAAGTCCCCTGTATGCGATATTTGCAATTATGACTAACTTTAAACATAAATTGTTTAGTTTTTAAGTTTTAAATCAAATAAAACACATAAATACATATGTATATGTATGTACATATGTTTGCTCTTTTGTGATCCAGGGATCAGCGTCATGTCCAAATTTGAGCATTTATCTCCACCGCTTACGAGTTTGTTTGCGGTCTGTCCACACGACAACCAGCGCCGTATTACGCGGACATCTGTTTTTGGACTTTGTCAACAAGAGCCGCCAGAGCGACTCTACTGACTCATCTGCGGGGCGCTTTCGTTGGTAAACATGGCACATCACATTCCGGCTCTTGAAACGCTCCAGAGGCGAGCACCAAATACGAGCAAAGGTTTATTGCTCGGGCTGTCCAACGGTTGCTGACTCTGTGCCGCGCCTGATTCGCATATTAAATTTTATTTTCATGTTTATAGTCCTAAGCGGAAATGCCAAATGCGTTTGTACATTCAGTCATCATTGCTTGATTGGAGCTAAAATCATTTTGAATAGGCTTTAATTTGGCGCCTTACTAGCACTTATTCCATCATTATTCAACACAGAAAAAATGATGCATTTTATTCACGGTATCGCAAAAAAATAAAAGAAAAACATATATCGATATATCGATATTTCAATATATATTTAACATTCCATCCCTATTGGGCGTTGCTACTTGTTGGAAATTATTGTTATTTTGGAATATCTGCAATTTAATAAATAAAGTGGCGGTTAAATACCTTTAAAACAGAATACAATGCACGCACACACGACTCTTGTTGCACTGCTGCTAGTAGCAGCATTCATTCGCGAAGGTAATGAATAACATGGACCACAAGTCGAGCTCAGAGTTGATCTAATAATGTGTTGTTTGTTGACGACAGGTGATGCCATTTGGTGCTACCGCTGCACCTCTGCCACGCCCGGCTGTGCCGAAAAGTTCAACTGGCGGGGAATTGGCTTCCTCGGCGAGCAATGCCCGGAGCCCAACGATATCTGCGTTAAGGTGACGGAACGCCGCGGCTGTAAGTGGTTCTAAGTCTCGACAGAAGCTGCATAATCATGTGGCTTTTCTTCGATTTCAGCCAAGGAAACGATAACGCGTGACTGCCTCAGTGCTCTCAGCTTCCGAACAGACATTCCCGCTGACAAATACGAAGGCTGCCGTACGGCGGCAAAGGACGTGCGATTGGCCCACTACGTCAACCACACGATCAAGGAGCATGATGTCAAGCGGGACTATTTCCCAGATACAACGTTCTGCTTCTGCTTTCTCGACCATCGCTGCAACGGCGCCAGTGGACTGCAGAAGTCTGCCGTCCTGGGCCTACTGGCCATGGCCGTAACGCTTCTGCTCGGCCGCTAGGGCCTCGACTGGGCTACTTAGTTGGTACCAAAGTGCCTTAAATCCAATCAACGATAGTTCAAGTAGAGCTCGAATCTCGTCTAGCCACATTCCGTCCCCACTTTTTGTACAACTTTTGTATTACTCACATTTTTGTGTAGTCTTGTGTTTACTCAACTAATTAAATACATTTTACAATATTATAAACAGGCGTGAAATCGTTGTCTCAGAAGGGACTTGCAGCTTCTGGATTCTTTGGCCCTCTGTAGTCGTAGCCTTCCACTTCGGGATGTTCTTTTATGTACTCGGCGTAGGCATCGGCTAGGCGCAAGCACTGGGGCACGGACAGCTCGAAGGAACGCAGTGTATCTCGGACATCGGCTCGCTGGAAGAGCGTTTGTGTGGCCTCCTCGCGTCCATCGGGCGGAAGCAGAGTTCCGTAGCCACGGCGACAGTATTTCTGGCGCATGCTAAAGATGTGACGCACGACGCGCTCCACGAGGGCAAATGGCAGCTGGGTCTTGGGCTGCTTCAGTGACATGAGCTTGACCACGCCAACGTCCACCTGTGGCTTGGGAACGAACGCCTTGCCTGGTATTATAAACTTCATCACCGGCTCCGTCCAAATTTGGGACATTACCGAGAGCCGACAACGCTGCTCACTCCCCACCGGGGCGCAGATCCGTTCGGCCACCTCCTTCTGAAAGGTGAGCGTCATGCAGGTGTCGTTGCGACGGAAGGCGCCTCGTCGCGCCGCCAAGTCCGCGTACCAGTTAATTAGCAGGCGCGTGGAAATGGCAAACGGAAGGTTACCGATCAGATGGATGCGCTGCGTGGTGTCCGGAATATGTTGTTCGATGTTGAAGCGTAGAATGTCGTCGTAGTAGATGTCCACCTGCATGTCGAGCGGGCTGGCACATTCGCGCAGCAACTGCAGGGTTTCGCCAAATCGTTCATCTTTCTCAACCAGCATCAGCCGTTGGGGCTGGCGACGCAGTATGGAGCGAGTGATGCCGCCAGGCCCGGGTCCGACCTCCAGCACAATGTCGCGCGGATCAATGCGTCCCGCCGACTTCACGATCTTGTCAGTGAGTCGCTCGTCCATAAGAAAGTTCTGACTGAGCTGCTTCATGGCCTGCAGCTTGTATAGCTTCACCAGCTCTCGAATGGTAGGCAGCGGGGGCAGCCGCATGCCGCTTTTCAACACGCGTGCCGTGACCTGAGACATCTTCAAGAGGAAACATATTATTTGGATACTGATCGCACAGTGCCTGGCGTGATGTATGCTACTTACATTGTTGTGCAACGATTTAAGGGCTTCCCTCTGTGTGTATGTGTGTGTAAAATGAAACAAAACGCTTACGGACTAAATAATTAACAATAACTGAAGGCGACTTTTAGTTGGTGTTGACCTTCTTGGGCTCCTCAAAGTCGTCCAGGAATTTCTCCTGCTGCACCGAGAATATGGAGTAGCCGTAGATTGCAAAAACGGAAATTCCCAGGCCGGCAGCAGTCAATAAATTGTTGCGGCGCACACGCTTCAACTTCTGCACGCGGTCCAGGTTCTGCTCCTCGATCAGTTTCATGAACTGCAGCTGCGCCCTGTCCAATTTGGGTGCGTTTTCTCCGTACTTGATCTTAGGTCCTTGCTCCGATGCCGACATTATTTACGTTTCAAAGTGAATACAAATTTCTCTGCACTTTTTGCCTGCTAGAAAATTATGACATCTGTTATAGCACTATCGATGAGTGTGTGATAAAAAACATCGATAATTCTAAACAAAAATTGCAGTCCGAATTTTGATGGCTAAAAATTCCACTACACTAGACTTGAAAAGCTGTTTGTGAGGATGATCCCACACTTATCGATGATCAGGTGCTTCCGCGCCAAATTCAGGCTTGGCTTCTGGGCTTGTGAAGAAGAAAATCGTGTTAAATAAGAGTACGACTCATTATTCTATTGAAGAAGGTCGAGATAGTCCCAAAATGTCGTGTTTTAAAAATGACAGATACTACGCTCTCATATCGTGTCCCACCGGAGAGCTCAAGATATTGAAATGCTTATCACCGATTGATGTTTGCAGTGCTACGAAAAAAATTGGTAAATAAGGCATATCAAATGCTCTACCACCAGAAACTACATTTTGCACTTTATCCAACCTACAGCCAATTACTATGGCATATTCGGCGACTACTTGTTCAGTGCTCAAGACAATGCATTGATCGCAGACAATGCAGCCCTATTATATTCGCTGGAAAGAAACCAACCATCATAGTGTCGGAATCTAAGTACCTACGCAAGGGAAAAGAGGACTCCACCGAAACAGCCACTAAAGATACAAGTACGGACTTGGACTTGGAGTTCACCGGTACAGAGAGGAAAGCGTTCAAGGCGTTCGTAAAAGCGGTCGTGAAGGCGCTAGGCGAGGAGGCCGCACCAACTGAACAACCAATTCCAAACATTAAAATCGAATGAAATTCCCTTTAGTGAGTCAAATAAACTACTGTGGGCTAATTCCCGATATTAATAACAATAAAAGGGAAGCAACCAAAGTTCTCATATAATATTACATTTTGTTTTTATATATGTATGTATGTACAGCAGAATTACAAAACAGCTGACGGTGTCACACTCTGGTCACACTCTGGTCCCACTCTGTCACTATAAACAATCGCTTGAACTTTATCTAAAATGGTATATAATTTTTGATTATTAAATCTTATATACAGTCTGAGATGTATTTTCCATTTAAAATGGATGGCAGAGAACAATCCCAGCTAACTGTCAGGTAACAAGCCAGTTCCAGTGCTTTTCCCCCAACGAACTCTGACGATTTTCCTCACCGCGCAGCCGTTACAGCTACATACATACATATGTACATCGAGGCTGCTATTTAGTTTTCCTCGTATTTCGTGCAACGAGCTGCTAGCCAGTTCACTTTTGTTGGTGGGCTCGATTGCAACGCGAAACGTGCTGAGTTGTTCAAAACAATTTGTGGGGCAGGCAGAGACAGCAGACGCGTTCCAGGCCTTGTCATTTCTGTTGTGCAGAGTGCTATTATTTTACAAATAGCCAGCCAGTGGGGGCTGGGCTCCATCACTACTGCAGAGGCCTAGGCAATCTCAGATTGGAAGCAAACCAAAAGCAATTACGTGCTATTAACAGCAGTCGGGAGGTAATTGCGCCTCAAAGTGCGTACTGGCTGCGGGGAAGACTTCTTTTTCCCTCAACTAAAAGTATGTGTTCCATATTGTGATGTGTTTAAACTTAAAAAAAAAGGCTGCTTAAATGTGGATGGGCAAGCCGTGAAGTTGGATTTTAAAAATGCGGAAATGAAAGTAAAATGTGGTTGCGTGTTTTGAAATTACTCTGAAAATCTCATACCATACCCAATAACAACAAAGCAAAGGCAAAACAAACGCGTAATAATTGCAGAAATCAGCTGTGTACCCACGGACGGAGACAGAGATAGCAACAGCAAAACACACTCCACTTGAGCGCCCAACAGCCCCACTCTCGCCCCCCTCCGTCAATGACAAGACCCAACAGCTGGTCGCGTTCTCTCGCTCTCTTGCTCTCTTTGCCTTTATTTGGTGTGCCTTTTTCACCCGTTTGTTCTGTTCTGTTTTGTTTTGATTTTTTTTGTTTTATTACACGCTTTGTGCGAGAGAGACTGGAAGGTGTGAGAACCTTTTTGATACCCTGCAGAAACTATAATATTTTATTCAATATTCCATGGGCTATTCATCAAATTGTGAAATTTAACTTTGCAGCAAACTAAAACGCGTTTCGTTAACCGCCGTCCGCTTAAACAATACAATACAAATCTACACACAGGCGCATACATAAGCAGCAAAGCAGTAAAGTAATAAAGCAGCTATAGCTATAGCTTTTCCAGCCCAGTCCAGTAATTAGTGCAGCTATCAAATCAACAAAGAAACTCCGAATCCCAGCCAGCCAGCCAGCAGACATGGCGTTCATTTCGAAAGACTTCCGATCACCTGGAGAGGCCTGGGTGAAGACAGACGAGGGCTGGGAGCGCCTAAAGGTGCTCGAGTGCGGCGGCAAACGCAAGCGGTAAGTTCATCCAGATTTTGACAATGGATTTGATGGCTGTTGACATTCCACTTATGAAACAGACGGCCACACACAATCGACAATTTGCATTTGTAAACGTTTCATTATTATCGCTTGATAATGGAGCAATACCTTATCTCGTGTATCAATTCACTGTAAATAAATAAGTGTGTGAATTAATACCTTATATGAATGTACAGAAATCTGTTTTGATGGGTACGGTAGTACGATTAGAAAGTTGTTAAAAAGATAGAAGAGACAGCTTATCTATTAAGTGCAAGGTCGAGGAACCAGCAATACCCTTGACTAACTTTCGACGACATATTGTTTTGGGTGAACTTTCCGCAGTGCATGCAAATAAACAAAGTAAAAACTTTTAAATAAGGTCCTGGTCGTAGCAATGTCCCACTTTAGAATATTTACATATCTTATCGGTGAAAATTGCCAATGCCTTTGGATAAAGTATTACCTTGAACCAATTGTGGTACAAGGCCTAAAACAGTCAACGTACATACATACATATGTATGTATTTAATGTTTTTGCATGTCTTTCCGCATTCCCTTCCAACCTAATTTCTCTGTTTCATTGTATTCTGCTGTTCAAATTGTGAAATTTGTAGCATTGTTTGAGCTGCTATTCAATAACGAAATATTTAAATCATTCGGTTTAATGGACCCGTGTCCATTGATTGGGTCCATTGCCCAGTCGCGCCATTGGAAGCAGTTGCCCAAAGCATAGCCACGGATAATTGTTGCGGCCCAAAAACAATGCAAATCACTTCCCCCTTAGCTGTAGCCATGGGAGAAGCAATCGAAGCCTCAAATAAATGCCCATGAAAATTGTGAAATCTGCAGGTTATGCCAATACAACGATATCTCTGTGATTCCTATGATACGAGTAGTGGATCTTGATTTCTTCAGACCCTTAAGTGCGTACTCGTGCCCACTTCATGACTTGAGATATAGTTCATTGGCTGAGTCACAGCCAGATGACTGTGAAAGCAACCAATGCCGGCTACTGCTAGATGCAGCTGATATCTCCAGCGAGGTCTGGGAGGTATAGTAATCTCTGCCGCCATTGATCGATTGCTCATTTGATTGATTGGCACTGTTTGTGCTCTGTGGGCAATGGGAAATGGCAAGTGGGGCATAGTACATCCTGCTGTTGGCTGTTCAACAATATTTTCTCCTAATGCGTATTCTTTTTTGTTATTTTAAAAACCCATTTAAGCAACGATGAATCGATTAGGGGGCTGGTGGAAGTGGCAGTGGAAGCGGAAAGAGCGAGGCAGAGCCTTGAGCTTTTGGGTGGCACTCCCGCTCTCGCTTTAGCCTAAACTTGACCGACTTTTACGCCTACCCTACCCACAGTTTGCTGTACTCGTGCATGTGCAGGGGGGGTTTCATTCGGGGATTGGAGTTTCCAAGGCTGGTTGCTGTCCTGCGTCGTTGTAAGTATATAAAATGTATGTAGATATATTTACTACCCATACTCCTGTGCAGTTCGAATGGAACATTTAACGGGAAAAGACGGCCTCTTTGTTTTCCACCTTTTGTTCTGCTTCTAATTTTGGAAGTCATTTGAGTTTCTTGAAATACATATTTATGCCCCTAGAAGAACTTGGAGTGGCGCTGCTGCTTTCGCATTTTCCCCCCCTATTCAGAGCACACACACACACACACGGTCGAGAGTGCCAAAAATAGTTTCACCCACCTCCGCCTTTGGGTTCGATGCGTTCTTTATGACTTGTCAAAACTGCACTCCAATCTCTGACATTTTCCGCATGTGCGTGAGTTCCAAGGGGCTGTATTGTGGTTCTGGTTCTGTCTTATTTTCTCACGTCCGTCCGGACGCTTATCTCAACGGACAGTGCCCCCCGCCTGACGCAACATTCGGGAGGGAGGTCAAATCCATTTTGGGGTTTCACAAAGCTCTAATCAGCGTGTGCTCTTTCTACGTGGATGCTGCTTGAGCACGAGGCGAGGCTGGTGCGCAACAGGCCGCTGGTCTCGGGCTCTCACACTGATTGAGTTGTGGAACGCATTGAGTCCGTGCTGGATTCCGTTTGCTCATCGATATTGCGGTATGGTATTGCCTTGTGGCATGTGGGAAGTGGAGCATGGCTCCACACGTAAGACGGCAGGCAATTGCGTTTTCTCCAAGCTTATACCATTTTACCATTCCACTCATATTGCATAGGGAAAGAGATCTCAACTTTTGTGAGCGTTTCATAACCGTTTAAGCACTCGTCTCGGGCATTACTCAACGCCTTTCTTTCTTTCTTTCTTTTTGGGCAATTATAAATGCAATGCCCGGGACTGGCACTGGGACTGGCACTGAGCTGAACCCATTAGATAATGCCTCAAAATATAATAATTAGAAATTCCAAATTGCCTGTAAAAGCAAATCCAAAGTGCATTCGCGGACGTGCCAACGACTCGGACGCGGACGCCAATTCGGATACTCTCGGACCCACTTTCACTGCACTCTTCGTTGCACATCTGCGGACAGACGATCGAAACGGATCGGATCGCTATGATCTTGTTCGCCTTTCGATCGGCTTTGCTTTACTTTTTTTGTTTTCTGTTATTTTTTCCAACTTTTTCAAGACTCGTGAGGGTGATCAGATCAACTTAAGGCATCATTGGTCTTAGGTACATAGATATATACTCTTATTTATTACTAGAGTATATATAAATACATAATTGATGGACTTGAACTTGAGTGGAAATAGTTTTCCACAATTTTCGAAATGCCACAGAACTTTAATTTCGATTACTGCAATTCTTTAGACTATTAAAGATGCAGGAAAAACCACATCTACATCTCCATTGAGAGTTCCACAGAATTCTAATCTAATTTTGCAACCAAAAGTTTTCATTCCATTCCCAATGGGAACGGAACCATGCATCTACATGCACATAGCTCTCTGTGATCTGTGATCTCTCCGAATTCTTCTAAATTTAGACAAAAGTTGAGGTGCTCTCTGGGCTCTCCTTCCTCTTCTGGCTGCTGTTCAGCTCCATTCCCAATTATTTATGTCGAAAAAGGTCACAAACTTAAAAATAGAAAATAAAGCGATTTGCCTGTCAGGGCCCTCTGGTGCTGCTGCTGCTGCTTATGCTTCTGCTGTTGCACTTCTTTTCATTTGTTTAATTCGCTTGGAGAAAGGTAAACGAACGCTCGATGGTGACGTCGTTGAGTGATTTATATGAATCACGTGGTCGATGGCCCCAGCCGGCGCGGCATGGTCTGATGCCTTTGAGGACTGTTGTATGTATGTACCCCGTGGGCTGGTCCGGAGTCAGGGGCAGCGGTTGGAGTCACTGGCTGGCTGCACAGCTCCAATACCAGACCAGACCAGCAATTTCATTGTTTTTCGCCTGCTATTTTTATACTTATTCACAGATAATTGCGCGTTTATCTAAACACTGCGACTGCGACTTCCAGTCCCGAACGAAGCTAAAAATAATCACAACAAAAAAACACACCCAAACTGATTGCAATAATACTCGTAAAATGCAGGTCTAGGGGTGCCATTTCTTTGTGTGCGAATGCGAAGCCAATCATCACTTTCCATTTGAGTATTTCTGGTGTCATATCTTGAGGAATCCCCAAACGAAGTGAATGGTATCCAATTTAGATTGGTTCCTGTTTCAAATTTAATAGAATATTCTCTTTGGCGAGACAATCCCTATGTGGAAATATAAATCTATAAAGATTCTGTTAAGTTTCGAAAGTAATGAGCAAAGAAACAAAAATATGCAACCCAAGAGTAAGTTCAAAACACAATACATTCCTCAGATAAATACTATATGTACATATGTACGTACTCGTATGTGAGTGATTTGGCCAATAAAAGCGTTGACCTAGTTCCTACCCTAGGTCCAGGGCTGTCAGGCACTCGACTCCCTCGGCGGGGGCCAAAAGCTTTCGCCAGTTTCGTTCTACTTTCGTCTACTTTTCTTTGACTGTGTTGTGTCCCGTCCCCCCTTTTCTCCTTTTCCACTTTTCCACTTTCCCACACTTTGCGCATCTACGGGTGCGCTTTGCTTTGCCTTTGTGGTCCCCGTCCAGGGGGACTTACTTTCGAGTGGATTACAACTGATTACGCAGCGAACCTTATTCCAGCTGCAGTCCACAGCTGATGCAGAATTTAATTTACGCTCCCAACAAGGACACCACAGGCACCGATTCGAGCGGTGGATCGATGTGCCTTGACCATCTATGGTGCCACTGTCCGCCGAGGACGTGTCGTGGCCTGTCATGTCCTGTCCTTGTTAGCCACAAAATTGTTTTTGATTTTCCTCCAAACTGGGTCAGGATTTGTGCTGGTCCCACTGCAGCTGCACTCTGTCTAATTGAAGCTCTGAAGCAACCCCTACCGCCTCGATAATTGCCTGGTAATTACATATTTACGTTCTTATCACATGTTTTCTTTTTTGGCAAAACTTGAAAATGTCGCAAAATGGTTGAGTTTCAAGGCCGTTGTTCTTGGGCTTCAACCCATTCGAAATGGTTATTTTTTGGGGTGTGAATCGAATTCGAAATGATTGCAGACATTCACAGTAAAGTTCATTCGATGCAGGTCTCTCCCTTAGACTTTTATTGTGCCCAAAATAAAGTTCTATTCAGTTATAGAAATCTTCAGTTAGAGAATGGTTGCCAAGCCAATCCCCAACCCACCAAAAACTCTTTCATTTCCTTCTGCAATATACATAATTATCTCCCAAATCGAATGTACAAATCCACACAAATTATGCGACCCGAGCACTTGTAAAGATCGTTAAAAACTTGACACACGGCTGGGGGTTTCGTTTCCTCTTGCCGAACCGCTGCTGTACAAATTTAATAACCGGGCCGGCTAAGTGATTCGCACACAGATGCTGGGAAACCTCGCCAGCTTCCGCCTCTTGAAAGCGGTTCACAAGCGCCTTACACCTGTAAAGCACCAAAAGAAAAACAGAGAAACAGAAACAGCAAAACCAAATCCAAGTCCCAGACTGCGACGGCTACTGGCCAAACAGGTTGTCCTCGGACAGAGACATGGCACTCGGACAGAGACACACTTCCGAAATGTTGCATTGACAATGAACAATGGACAATTATCTTGTTGCAGGCACAACTCGGAGGGGAGCAGCTACCAGATGCTGGACAGCGACAGCCAGGAGGAGGAGGAGGGTGCCATCATGCCACCCCACTATCACATCACGATCCGTTGCACCCGGGAGATCGCCGGCTTCAACGGACTGAGCGAGGCGGTGAAGCGCCTGGACTTCCGGCGATCGGTGCGCGATCGGAAGCGCTTCCACTACATCTGTGCGTTCCTGCTGCTTGTCTCCAACAAGGGCATCGCCAGTCTGCCGGGCAGTGCGCAGCGGCAGCTGCTCCAGATGGTCGAGGAGGTGGCCTCGCATGGTGAGCCCTCGGCATGGCCCGATCCGTGGACGATCCTTCTTAATCTTCGCTCCTCTCCTTCGCAGTCAATGATAGTCAGCAGCATCCGAATGTGCTGCGTGGGCTAGCGCTGAAGCTTGAACAGATCGTCAACCAGGAGAACCAGAAGTGCTGGGGCAAGCCGCTGGGCAGCACCTGCCTCTGGAAGGAGCACGTGGCCACGATCAAGCGCATCCAGCGCGTGGCCAGCCAGATCGAGATTCGAGAGGTGAGAGCCAGCGACGATCCTCCCAATGCCAACTATTATTGTTTAACTTGTAATCATTGCAGCCCGATCCAAAGGCCAAGCCCAAGCTGCACGAGCTGCCGGAGGAGTGCGTGCGCGAGATCATTTTGTGCATTGCCGATCATCGCGATCTGGAGTCGGCCGCCAAGGCCTGGGACACCATGGCCAAGCTGGTGTCGGAGCAGCGCATCTGGCGAGAGCTGACTCGCTTTCACTTCAACCAGCGGCAGATCCACACCATCCTGGACCTGGACAAGTTCAAGCAGATGGGCGAGATCAAAGACTGGAAGCAGATCTACCACCAGCTGCGACGCACGTATGGGGTCAACGATGACTACCAGTTCGCCGAGGTGCTGGCCCTGTGCCGCTCCTGCTGCTGCCTCTTCTGGCCCTCCGACGGACATCCCTGCATTGTCGACCAGAGCCCAGACTACAAGCAGCGCCTGGAGGAGGCGGGCGGTCAGTTGGCGCTGGCCCAGCCAGTGCCTCCGGCCCAGTTTTTAAAGTATTTCTCATTGTAAGCGACATTCTAAGGGGGGTATATGCGGTGCAGTTAGGGTGCGGTGGAACACTGACCAAGGGAGAGAGAGTAAGAGATAGCTTGAGATATTTTTATGGAGTGAGGGGAAGGCCCGGCACGGCCCGGCCCGGCCGTAGGGATCGATAATTGTAATTGGAACCCCACAGATGAGTTGTTGTTGGCTGCGTATGAAAGTTTTTATGTGCGTGTTAAAGTTTTAACCCTGGAAAGAGCAGCAGGAGCAGAAGGAGGATGTGGATGTGGATGCGGATGCGAAGGCGGAGGCGGAAAGAAAGCAAAGTGATACAGAAAATCCCTAATCTAGAACTACTTGGAATATTCATCCCTTCAGCTTCGTTTCGATTGGCAGCAGGTTCAGTTCTTCAGCGAATCTCCAACCCATCAGTCGTTATCATGGAGGGAGTGTGTCCCAGTGTGTCCCAGGATCGCGGAGTGCTATATGGTAGAACTTTTTATGACACGCCAAATTAACTGCCACAAACGCGAGATTATATTTTCCAAAAAAGAAGCAAAACGAAGCCAAGCCAAGCCAAGAAGCGAGTACTAATATTGAGAGACTATTTTTTAAATACCAATACGCCAGCGTGCAATACGAGTATAATAATTGCGAAAATCTGTTCATTTTAAGCCAGCGAAATATGTACACATTTTCGTATGAATTTTGATCGATCTACTTTAGGGTTTATTGTAAGTGTATGTAGTTTCTTTTAACAGCTGCTTTTTGGTGCTAAATCTTGTTATAAGTTCCAATCAATCAAATCAAATCAAATCAACCAACCAAACAATCAAATCAGCCTAGATTCCCCAAAACCAATTCGTTACCGATTTGTAGTTGCCGCGCGTTGAATTAGGAGGAATTAGAGATGAGGGAAAATCATGTGATGTTGCAAGGAAGCAAAGCTAGAAACGAATACACCTACCTAAACGATAAAAAACAAAACAAAACAAATCTCCAAGCGATATGCCGTCAGCAATGCTATACGTACATACATATACATATACATATACATAATATATATACATAAATATTAGAGATCCTCGCCAGTTAGATGTAAGCAGAAGCAATTTGTTACCCCATCGACACACCACTCTGCTGCTAACGATAATGTTGAATGTGTACACTGTACAGGTATACTCGTAGGATATAGCAGCCCCAACCCAGGCAGGCCTCATGACTTCCCTCTGTACAATATCTGAGCGTGTGTGTGTGTGTGGTGTGTGCGTGTGTTGTTCCGGTCCCCTCCCCCCATTGACTATTATTACTATTACTACTGTAAGTACCAAAGTTTTAGCATTCTAATGCTTTTGTTTGCCACCATTTCTATGGGCATCAAATCTCTTATTTTACGTTTAAAATAAAGTCTAAAATATCTGTGGATCAATGCAAATTGTTTGTGTTTCTATAGCTAATGGAAGAGTCTTTAAAAATGGTTCCTTGAATGTCTCCATTTCCTGCAGAAGTTCTTCGGGTAAAACTCTACTGTTCGAAATGTTTGGAAATTACTGAAAATTCTTCGTTCTTTTAATCCAAAATGCTGCATAAAACAAACACACAACTGAAACCATCTTGGCTATGCACAAAAGCAGTTGTCCCAAGGCTCTGGCTCTATCGATCAAACAATCCGTTGCGTTGCCATGAATCCCATCAGCTATTATCTGTTATTGAACCGACCAGGCAAAGGTCCCAGGGTCCATTTGTCCATCCGAAACGTTTGCTTAAAAATGGATTTTATTTTCAAAAAGGAACGCCGCTCCTTTGGGGCACGCGTACACTTTGAGGACAAGGATGAGGTGGTGTTCAGCGAGAACTCCAATGCGGAGCTGGTGAAGAGCTTCATACTGAAGAATCCGGTGGACAGGGTTACACAATATGCGGGCCAGACATCGCTGAGCGTGGCCAATACGGAGAGGGCCACGTACAAGAGCACGGGGATAACACACAATGAGGGCGGCTGGCCGAAGGACATCAACATGCACGATCCGGAGCAGACGGTGCGCTACAAGCGCAAGATCGAGAAGGACGAGAACTACATCACGCAGGTGATGAACCTGACCAAGCCCATGGAGCACTACATACACCAGAACAACGCCGTCAACATATACGAGAATTACTTTGAGAACCTGGACCCCGCCCCGCTGCCAGAGCCGTGCAAGTCGCGCACGGTTAATGTCTACCGCGACCCGAACCCCATCAAGGTGCCGGTGAAGCATCTGTCCTGGTCCCCGGATGGCGGCATTAAGATGGCTGTCAGCCACTGCGACATGAAGTTCCAGGGCGACAAGACCGGACAGAGGTGCAACTCGTACATTTGGGAGGTGGAAAATCCAAACGAGCCCTTCCTGACGCTGGAGCCAAAGGTGCCCTGCGTGTGTCTCGAGTACAACCAGAAGGATCCCACCAGCCTGGTCAGTGGCATGTACAATGGCCAGGTGGCGGCCTGGGATACGCGCCACGGCAAGCTTCCGGTCATGATTAGCGAGCGTGAGGTGTGCCACCGCGATCCGGTCAACTCGGTGTTGTGGAACAATTCGAAGAGCGGAACCGAATTCTTCTCCGGCGGCTCCGACGGCCAGGTGTTGTGGTGGGATACGCGTAAGCTCAGCGAACCCCTCGACCGACTGCTCATGGATCCAGTCAAGAGCGACGAACAGGATCTGTCGCGGTCCTACGGCATCTCGGTGTTAGAGTACGAGACCACCATACCCACGAGATTCATGGCGGGCACCGAAATGGGCATGTTGTTCTCGTGCAATCGCAAGGGCAAAACGCCCACAGAGAAGATCCAAATACGGGTAAGTTCGAGCAGACTCGCCTCTCTGTTCCCCTCCAAGTAGTCTCACTCGCACTGCAGATGATGTGCCACTTGGGTCCCGTGTATGCCATCACCCGGAATCCGGCGTTTGTAAAGAACTTCCTCACGGTGGGCGACTGGTGTGCGCGCATCTGGTCCGAGGACTGCCGCGAGAGTTCGATTATCTGGACCACGAGCAGCAGCTCCATGCTCACCGATGGTGCCTGGAGCCAAACAAAGTGAGTACCAGCCCAGCCCCAGCGTCCCGTACTTATTCTCCATGCCATTCCAGGGTATCGCAGTTCTTCATTACGCGCATGGACGGCGTGCTGGACACGTGGGACCTGCTCCAGCAGCAAAACGAACCAATTCTGACTGTGAAGGTGTGCGATGAGCCGCTTTACTGCGTGCGCACCAACGAGAATGGAAAATTCGTGAGCTGTGGCAGCAAGCTGGGCGCCACCTTCCTTATCGAGGTCTCCGACAACATGGTGATGTCGGCCAAGAATGACAAGCCCCTATTGACAGCGGTAGGATCTAGCTGCCACCCATCTAGCTACAAACAAATTGTAATTATTTACCTGTCCTGCAGATGTTCGAGCGGGAGAACCGTCGCGAGAAGATCCTGGAGGCAAAGTCACGGGAGAGCAAGCTGAAGGTGAAGGCCAGCCATGGCCAGGATCAGGCAGACCTAACCATGCTCAATGGAAAGGTCAACATGGCGCCATTTGCCAGCGCCTGCGAGCAAGCGGCCAGTGAATACTTTGCTGCTGTGGAACAGGAACGCTTGCGACGGCTGCCCGGTGGCAAGCGTAGGTGAACAAAGCAGCTTCGCCCGCTCCATGGCTTTCGAATTGTCACTAATTTATGTTTAATTTTCTTTACTTTTCAGAGGATGCGGAGGAGGCTGATGTGTCGGAAGCGGAGAGCTCGAAGCTATAGATGTAAAACATTTTAGATGCAATATATCCCAATGGAACACATAAGTTTGTTTGAATTATTTAAATCGTATCGGCAAAATGGCAGGAAATAAGTGTTGGGCAAGAGCGTCTGAAGACCGTTTCGCTCACGAGATAAATGAAGTTCAGTGCCGAAATTTTATAAAACAATTCAAAACAAGTACAAAGTGGTAAAAAATAAATTTCTTGTTAGGAGTTTGCTCCACAATTTATTTATTAATTTTCTAGAATTTGAAATTCTACTTTTTTTCCCAAACGATATATCGATGCAACTGTTCCAAAACCATCGATACGGTCGATAGTGTGTCATCGATGTTTGAACTTGGGGTCTTTTGTACTTTCCCACGCGGTTTGGTTTTGTTGAAAAATTAGTAAATAGTTAAAGTTTTTACGTCATAATTGTAAGGTCCGTGTGGTCTTTGAAACCAGCCAAGTAAAGGTAAACAAAAAATTCAAAAATAAACTGTGCAAAGTTCAAGGGGGAAAACGTGCCAAAATCACACTCGACAACACAACACATAAACACAACTAACAGCTGTGCGGAAATATTTCATAATCCGCAGCCCGCTTCTTATCACCTAGTAGCAACAAATAAGAGTAAGTGGCCAGGGCAAATTAGAATGTCATCCACCATTTCGTCCCATTTTCACCGATGCAAACCAAATTAATTGACCCGACAGAGTGTAGTGGAGACACCAACCCTGCAACCGTGCCTTGTTGCACACTGTGTGTGTGGCCTACGTGACTCAGAAACAGTTATCAATGGCGCAACGTGCGAGTATACGAAAGTTCAGTGACCAATTTCTATGCAGCAGCAGCAGCAGGCAGCGCAACCCCCGAACTCAGACAGCAGCACTTCGCGCGGCATTGAAGTTGGCACTCGTTTGAAATCTCTCATTGCTTGATAGTCAGTCAGTCTGTTCCTGTTAAATAACCAGTGAATGAATTAAATAAATATAAACACTCGCACGCGACCATATTATAAACATAATAGTGAGATCTCGTATACCTTTTGTTCGCATTGGCTACAGGGTATTTACAACAAAATAGCAGCCAATCGTAAATGCAACGAACCTTGGCGCGGCTCTGATTTGAAAGTTGCTGCACAAAGTGATTCTAAAGGTAAGGTTGTGCCTGAGTCATTCGCTTTGCCTTGTTTTGTCGTGTGCTAATTATAAGAATTCGGGTTTTTGTTCCGGTTGCAATCTTGGGCTCGGCAGTTGGGAGGGGGCCTGTCCTTCCATTCCATTCGCGTCCGCAGTCACGTACGCCCGTCGAATCACATCGACATCTTGCTTTTTCTGCTGTCTGTTTGTTTGCTGAATTTGATTTAACGCATTTCAAGTCTAAATATTTGCTTAGCTTATCGCAGACCTCAGACCGCAAACACTCATTTGCTTTCAATTTTCTCGTTTCTGCAGCACCATGTTGGACCTGATCCAACCAGGCAGCGAGGTGCTCAGCACCAACACCAGCAATATCAGTAACAACAACAATAGCAGCGATGTGGTTGTGGTGCGAGCCAAGCCCAAGAAGGTGTTCAAGCCAAAGGCTCGCATCAATCGCATACCCCAGGAGCTGCTCGATGACCCCGTGCTGCAGCAGGCCATCGGCCGCCTGCCCTCGAACTATAACTTTGAGCTGCACAAGACCATTTGGCGGATACGCGAGATGAAGGCGAAGCGCGTGGCCCTGCAGCTGCCGGAGGGTCTGCTGATGTACGCGATGGTCATTAGCGACATCATCGAACGCTTCACCAGCGCCGACACCGTCATCATGGGCGACGTCACCTATGGTGCCTGCTGCGTGGATGACTACACTGCCAAGGCACTGGGCGCGGAGCTGCTGGTGCACTATGGCCACAGCTGCCTGATACCCGTGGACCAGACCTGCGGCATCAAAGTACTCTACATATTCGTGGACATCAAGATCGATCCACTGCACTTCCTCGACTCTGTCAAGCTTAACTTCAAACCAGAAGTGGGTCAAATAGCTCTGGTCAGCACGATACAGTTTGTGACCACACTGCAGGCCGCCTCAACGGAGCTGAAGGCGGCCGGCTACGATGTGATAGTGCCCCAGGCCAAGCCCCTCAGTCCGGGCGAAATACTGGGATGCACCTCCCCGCAGCTGCCGGAAACGACGCAAATGATTATCTATCTGGGCGACGGGCGCTTCCATCTCGAGTCTGCCATGATTGCCAATCCGCTGCTTAAGGTATGTTTGCTCGCCCAGCCACTGTGCTCTCCCGACTTGAAAGAGTACTACAATTTTTCTTTTCTTGTTACGCACAGGCCTACAAGTACGATCCGTATGAGAAAAAGTTCACCTTCGAGCAGTATGACCATGTGGCCATGCAGGATCTGCGTCTCGGTGCCGTGCAGCGCGCTAAGAAGGCACGACGGATCGGCATTATTCTAGGAACGCTGGGCCGGCAGGGCAGCTCAAGAGTACACCGATTTCTGGAGAAGCGACTGCAGGCGAAGGGAATCGAGACCACAACCATATTGCTGTCGGAGATCTTCCCCCAGAAGCTCGCCTTGTTTGCGGACATCGATGCTTTTGTGCAGATAGCATGTCCCCGTCTCTCAATCGATTGGGGCTCGGCCTTTAGCCAGCCTCTTCTGAATCCCTACGAGCTTTCCGTGGTGCTGGGCGACGTGGAGTGGACGCCCCACAATTCCTCACCGCGCAATAGTGCATATCCAATGGACTTCTATGCCAGCGGCAGCCTAGGCCCCTGGACACCCAACTTCAAGCCGCCCGCCCTAGGAGAGTGCGAGAACAAGCCATCCGCCGACTGCTGCGGCCGCTGCACGCGCGCCGAACTGGAGAAGGACGACACCGGCAAGGCGGCAGCATTGGCCGATTTGCTGGACTTTAAAAAGGGATAAGCAAGCGCTGTGCTAACTCTGCCCCTGCCTAGCAGCCACACAGAGCCCTCCATCTCATGCGACCTACTGCTAAGTTATTTAGATGATAAGGTCGTCTGTCCAAATATAATGCTTACCTACTAATTTAGTTAGTACAAATTTGGTTTTTAAGGCTTATATTTTAGATTATTCATGTGTTCAGATCAAATTTACATATGTATGCAATTTTAGTATGTTCTCAATAGCATCTCTCTTAAGTTCTAGCAATTTAGTTGAATTTCCCATAGCGATGCAATTGTTACAATAACAGCAACAATTTACAATATCTTTTAACATTAAAATAATGTTTAAAACAAGGACAAATGTTGAAAAACTTTTTTTGAAGAAAGCAAACAATGCGAGGATCATCTTTGTGTATAATTTTCATTACTTTCATCCCAATAATAATTAGATCCTTACTTCAAGTTGTGATAACTGATATTCTAAGCCACATATTAGCTTCGATTTCAGAGAATATTTTGGATGGAACACTCAAGAAGAGAACGTATGTATGTATGTATATTTGGTTTTGATAAATTTAATTTTATTGCAGAAATAGTATCACGTATATTTAAAATATACACAAACAGATATGCTAAATAAATTTGAGCTAAACAATTGGCTAGTTGTATGTATGTACAATTGAACTAAAATTGATTAGATTGGCTAGAATATTGATTGGATAAGTCTATATACAATTGAACTATGAAGTTGACTACAATTTACAATTATTTAATTTTGGCTAGTTGGCTGACACCGCAAGCGCCAAGTGATTTGAAGTTCTGGAGATGTTGATTCCAGGATGTCTTGGATAGTCCTAGTCCTCGTCATCTGCACCTCAGGTTCTGCAGAGTTTCGGCGTGGGATATTGCCGGGAGCTGACATCGCGTCGGTCCAGGATGGATGTTGACGGTTAGAACTCATCGTTTGCAGTGCAGGTCGATTGCAGGCCGTACATGCGCTTTTATACATTTGTACTCGTATATCCGCAGGTAGAGATAAATATTAAAAAGGATATTGCCTTTCTAATGACTTTGACCTTGGGTAAATTGCCATTGCCGCACCGCAATTCCATGGAAAAGATAGCAGAACTGGTAATTTTCAAGAAACCCAAGTCTGTTGATAGTAAGGGAAACATAAGGGAAGTAGGTAGGCGATAAAGAATTTCCAATGAATTTTTTGTTTGTTTATGGTCCTTAAAAATATTATCTTTTACATAGTTTTGCAAGGAAAATGTCTTAAATCTATTCAAAATTATAATATTACGCTGAATTTCAAAAATATAATAATTAACAACTAACTTATTAGCTGTCAGGAAAACATTCGAGGAATCATCCTTTTAAAAATGAATATATGATACGAGCAGTAACTCTTGATACACTAGTTAATCCTTTTTTTTTTTTAATATTTATGAGTCATTTCTTAAATTTAGTTTTGTACATGTAGTCAGTCGAGTTTTCCCTTTGACTTAGCAGTTCGTACTGCTCTGTTATAAGATTATTTATATTATAATTATCATATATTTAACTCATTCCTATACGTGCTGGAGCTAGTCGGCTCATTCCTTCCGCAGCATACGGTTTCCGCGAATAGTTTCCTTAAGATTTTGAATTACATCGAGTAGCTTCTTGCGTTCGTCTTTGAGAAAGAACACCTCACGCCTCAGGGAGGTCCTAAAAATTGGCAAGATAGTATTATATTGTGGCTATAATCAAGTATATAGCGTCTTACACTTCATGCTCCAAATGCCTTACATAGGTGGCTTCTTCTGCATCGATTATCTCCACATCGTCCATGGAGTTTGTGCTTGTATCAACTATTTCTAGTTTGTAATGTATTTGGTCTTCCAGACCGTCTGGTTCTTCAGTTGTCTCACATTTGATGAGCTCGTCCTCTGCATTTTCCACACCCAGGTTTGATGTCAGGGTGGCCGAGATCTCATCCCGATCTTCCATATCGGAGGTAAAACCACACGGCTCGACTTCTATGATCTCTTTGACACCTTCAAATGGGGACAATGGGAGTCCACTGAAACTCTTGGCGTATTCTTGCTGTTCATAGCTGTTTTCCTTTTTGGTTCTGCCTCGCCTCTTTTTCTTGGATGACTGTACCTTTGGCAACGTTTGGGGGCCTTTAACTGTGGGATATGAGCCGGGCTTTAGTTTAGTTGGATTCTTTCGACTGAACCCAAACTCGTATTGCATATTCCTTTCGAAATCGTCCGACTTGAAGTGCTCGTTGCAAATGCAGGCTGTTTAAAAAGTTTCAATGATTATTTTTTTTTCCCCTGTGGAGCATAAGGAATAGTACCTGTTGAGGTGTTTAGTGCATCCCGCTCGCAAAACTCGATCCATTTTTGAAGCTGAGGGTTATCTTTCGGAAAGTGAAAGTATCGCCACTTTTTTCTGTTTTCATTGCTGTTATTATTTCCACAATTTCGTACAGCACACCGCATTTTTTATTGAATTGGACAGTCGATTTGCAAGTACAATTTTTATATACTTTCCAACCAGCTGATTGACGTGTCACGACTACGACGACGGTTCGAGACTTGACTACAGGTCGTATTCTAAGACCAATCTAGTCTGCATGAAAGAGATGGCATAATCTGGAAAATTTTAATTCTTAAATACTTATATTTTATATGCAGTTTTATTCAATTTATAATGGCATTAATATTGATGGAATTTTTGTATTTTAACTTACTTGAATGAAAATATAAACTATCGTAATGCACGGAACTACGGCGCTTTACAACACGTTATAGTCAGCTGTTTCACATTCATTGTTTTGTTTTGTTTATCCTGGATTTATTATTTTTTGAAATATGTTAAAAAGCAGCAACATCAATAGGTAATGCATTGGTTTTAGCAAGGTTTTAGTATTAAATACTATTCCGTAACAGCGTCATCAATGAGCAGCTCGCTGCCGATCAGACAGCCAGCGACCAAAGAAACCGCTTCAATGCCAATAGGAATGCAACATCCGACAATTCCACCTGTTGGTCTGCCAACAATCAGGATGCTTTGGGTGCCAGTCTTGCCGCAGTGCAACTGTCTGCTGGTGTGCTCCAAATAGCAGAGCCACCGCTGCACCGTGTGCGCAGTCAGCTGAGGGAACTGATGTAAGTAGTGTCATTTCGGAGTCCGAGTTCCACTAATGATGAATGTGTCTGGTTTTTCGTGTCAGTGGCAAACAAAACAAGATCTACATTGACTTGTCCAAGGAAAAGTACAAGCTAGACTGCTGTGAAGTAGCAAAACTAAATGATATGGTGAGTCGGTGAGCAAGAATTCAAGCCATCTGCCTATTCATGTATTCCTGCACATACTTGTAATGCAGAAACATTTTCCATTCTGAACATTCTTGTGTATTGATTTTACTTTATATTTAATTATTTACTAATCAAAAATCAGTCTATCAGTTGCTAAGCCACAATAGTATAGCATTCTGCAATTGGGCTTTAAGCATTAGGCTGTTCGGCCAATTGAGCTAAACGAAATCTTATCACTGGCCATAAGCAAATGGGGGGGAGGGCACAATCTTATCTACAGGAACTCTACGAAACACAGTAATAGCATTCGTTAACAAGGTTTATTTATGAGCCCTTACTTTGTATTTAACAGATGAGCGACGTGAAGCGCTACAAGGAAAAGCTGACGCGGGTCAAGCGGGAGATGCAGGGTATCTACCAGCGTACCAAAGAATTAAAGGTAAGAAATAAACTTTATAAGTGCATAAAAACGCAAAATGAGAAACAAAAACACATGCAAGATCTCCACTTTAACGTTTATTATCTTTGAATTTTCGATTACAGAAACGCGCCGCGAACGTGGCGGCATGCAAGCAGCGTGATTACCAGCGCAAGCTCGAGCGGCAGCAGCACGAAGAGTCGCTCATTGGCAGCCAGAAGACGCAGTAGAACAACGATCGCTTGGCAGCTTAAAATAATATTTGGATTTCCCCACATTAACAAACTAAATAAGTACTAAATACACAAACAACAGTAGAACAAAAGTTGGACCATTTGGAGAAACAATATTAATAATTAAGTGTAGGTATGTATATGTTATGCAGTGTGTATCTACTACAATACGATACGTTGGAAAATATTAAATTGTTGACTGTAATTTAGGTGTATAAATTAAGTAAATACTTTGGAGATTTCGGAAAAACGAAGCCACATGCATGCAGAGCCAGGCCGGAGCAAGAAGGCAATCGAATACATTTAGCTACAAATATTAAATAATATAATCATATGTTTAACATTAAGATTAAGTGTGTGAGAAGCAATATTTAAACATTCACAGCGCCAAAAGCAGCGTCTTAGTATTTATACTTAAATTCATAGTAAATTGATCAAAACTATGTTAAGACATGCATCCGCCTGCTGCACTTGTAATTCTACAATTAATTAAGAATTTTTCACACTGAATCGAAGGGTTATATTAAATGAGGGGAGTGTGTTTTTGTGAGTACGCAGCATGCACGCAGGGAGATTTCACATTTGTGTAACTACTAAATTAAAGCACGTATACAATACAATCAATCATCAAACAGCATCAATATCTATTCAACATGCAGCGTCAAAGTTGGAAAGATGTCGTTGTGGAGTGGAGTAGCATTCAGCGGAAGAGGTGTGCCCCTTTATCGGCTCTTGGTGGATTGTAGGTGGTGGAGTTGGTGGTTGGTTATGCGATCTTCTTAGCTAACTCTACTATATTCCTGATCATTCAGCATGTGCATTGCATCTGTCGGTGCGAGATATTTGACAGTGCCTAAAAGTATCAGAATTTTTATTAGTTAGGTAATCGAATAGACACGAAAAATATTAATTTAATAATCAAAAGTGAGATTCGATTCGATGGGTAATCAAATTGTTATTTTTTTTTATATTGGTTTTTTTTTATTGAGAAACAATATCAAATGGCCATTTATTTAAAATTAAAAGATCATCTCGCTGATCGTGTAAATTCATTTTGAGCAATATCATTTTACGCTTCTTGTCTGCACCTGAGAGAGACAGAGCGTCTATATGTAGTCTAGTAAATGGCAAATCTGGCGGTTTTCAAGTGAATATAAATACGTTAATTAGCTGCATTCAAGTCGTTAAAAATGTTAAGCACATTTGCCACATTTTCGGTAGCGTCTATCTTCTATGGCCATACTTTATATAGCGCATGCTTAATACTTCTATAAATTCATAGATGATAGCTCATCTAAGGATCGCCGCTTGAGCTGTGCATCAGCTCAGATCGACATCGCTGAACCCGTCATTGTCTTTCTTAATTGTGCGTGCTTCGGTGTCTTTTGGCTTAGCTGCCTCCGAGGATGTTGATGCGGAAGCGGAAGCGGAAGAGACCCTACCCTTACCGTTTTCATCTATACTGCCATTGCGCTGCAGGAACATCTGAATGGAGACATGGACCACGAATATGATGAAGGCGGCAATGCCGAAGATCTCGAAAGTGGTTCGCGGATCGCTATTGAATAGTATGCCACCAATCAGGCTTCCCATGGAGACGCCAACGCCCTCGAATATAGCACCCACAAGACTCTGCGGAACGATAGGCAGTGTTAGAAGCATTTCAGACCAAAATGAACGATGGTACGTACCTGCATGGTTGCCTCAGTGCCGGGTGGCGCCACAATGCTGGCATAGGAGGCCATTGTAGCGTAGAACAGGCCAAAGGTGACGCCATTTAGCAGCTCTATTGGCAGTATGTACCAGGGATTCTGCAGCATTGAGTACAAAATGAAGCGTACCCCGAAGCCAAAGAGAACCATGCTCATGGCATTCACATGTCCGATCCGCTTCAGTATCCAGCCCGACAGGAAGAAGAACGGCAGCTCGCCGCCAAAGCATTGGATGGCCATAACCAGGCCCTCCAGTGTTTTGATGGAGCTGTCGCAGCCCATGTACTGCTTGTCCAGCATCTCCAGATACAGGAACAGAAAGTTCCAGATCAGCGCCGTGCCAAAGCCAATGGCAACGCACCACAGAAAGAAGATCACACAGCGCAGGGAGAGAAACATCTGGCCAACATCCTTCAGTATGTTGGAAGACAAGTGTGTTTGGGTGACCTGCAATAGAGGATAAATGATCGTTGGAAACAGTACAGAAGGAACAGTATGGGAGGAGCTACAACCCACCTTCAGCTTGGAGGAGGCAAGGACGTCGAAGCCCATTATCACTAGGGCCATCCAGAACACAACCGTGTAGTTCTTGTTCGCATTGCCGACCGACATGTGGTCCACGAGAACGCCGGCAAGTAGCGCAAAGATACCCCATCCAAGCGAGCCGCACAGCCGCTGCTTCCCATACAGATGATGGCGATCGCCGAGGATGCCAAAGCAAATGGCATCGCCAATGCTCACCACCACTGCCATGCCGATCCAGCTGATGATCAGCATGCCGAAGAAGAACCAGAACTGGGGCTGGCCCATGGCGTCAAGCGTGTTAATCACGGGGCTCTCAGAGAGCTGCTCCTTAAGGTACTGGTCGTGGCAGTCCATGCGGCAGCTGGCGTTGAAGTATTGCTTTTCCGCCGGACAAAAGAGCGGTACGGTTTGGCCTGCCACCTCGCCACGATCTTGGGGAACCATGAAGAACAGGCAGTTTTCTTCCTCGAGAATGTCCTTCATGTTGATGCTGATGCCAAAGTCGAGCTGCGGATTTGTGCGGTTCGCCGCACAGTTTTCTGTTTGATTTTTCAGCCAGTTCTCGCACACAATGTCCCACATGTAGGGCTCGGCGTCGCACTGCAAGTCGCAGGCGAGTGTCTGATTCCCGTAGAAGGATTCCATATTCTTCTCCACGCACTCACCATGCTCGGAGCAGTGCCTAATGTTCGAGACGCCTGCATGGCAGTGGAACTGCACTTGGGGCAGAGGCTTGTCTATGCCCGGCACAAACATAATCATAAAGAACGCAATGCCAGTGATGACTTGTCCACTGAGGAATAGCACTCGATGGCGATGGTAGCTGCAAATGGTTCGGAAATTGTGAGAGACCGAGCCATCGAAAGGAAAGGTTTCTCTATTTACCGATCTGCAAGGTAGCCAAAGAGCGGCTTTGCCAACATTCCAATTATGGGCAATATCATGTACATTGTCCCCACCACCACCGAGGAATAGCCCAGCTGCTGGGCCAGTGTCGGCATGAAGGGTACAACGGGTGCGGTGCCTGGAAACGAGAAAAACAAAACAGAACGAAACAGAAGCGATAATGAGAACAGAGCCAAATGTAGTGTCTGATTAGCGATTGGAGGAGAGCTGATAAGTAACTACTAATATACATATTTATGCAGCTAAGCCTGGGCATGTAGGGCGGCCAAAAACGGGGTGTTTACTCGCATGTCTGATAAGAAAAGGGCACAGGCGTCTGCCGTTTGTCAAAGTGGAATTAAAAGTTAATTGAATTAAAAAAAAAAAAGTAAAAGCGAAACTTTAATTGCTGAAAGTGGTTCGGCTGTCGACGGGTCTTAACTTTTGATGGGACATAGTTTGGGGATGGGCACACACGACAGCGACAGTGGCTGTCCCATGGCCCTACCTCGATGAACATTTGACACAAGTTGCGTTTCTCGTGTGGCCCCTGGCCTGGCATATACCTTAGACATAGTAGACAGTATTGCGCTGTTTATTCCCCATTTGGGAGCACGTTATCACCAGTCTGTGTTTACCCCACAAGAGAGTATAATAATTTTAGTACATACACTTTTATCTTCACACGTACAGAATAACCATAAAAGATAAACATCAAGATGGTTTCCACTGCAAAGAGTTTTGTTTACAAGATTGCTTCCCCATCATGTGCCCCACTCACATATTCAATGAAATCGACTACCAATTAGTCACGTTAATTGCTTCGATCAGTGGAGAATTTCTTTCCACAGCTTTTTCATTTTGTGTCTGTCCCCAAAGTACGCAAACAGTTCGACTTATACTCAATTTGATTTGTGTGATTTGTGATTTCAATCGAAACGCTCTCACTTTCGTTTTATTCTTTTGATACAAATCAACCAATATGCATTTAGCTTATCGTTGGAGTGTACCCATTGTTTAGTGGACAATATGTTCGCTTTGACAAGTGCGCTATCGCGTTGCTTGGCCGCCTGCTTTTCTGAACTTTGGCCGCGAGGTTCAATGTGATTTTTACCCTTCCAAAATCTGAATTCCGAATCACATGCGGGTTGGTATGCGCGGGAACACCTGTCGCATGGCAGTAAACTACTTAAATTAATAACTTTTGATGGGCAAAGATAAAGGGTTTTATGAGGATGGTATCGACACTCACCGGCATTGAATAGAAAGTAGTGCGCCTTCATCGGCAGCAGCTCCTTATCAATGTTCGTCTTCATTTTGGCCTTAATTATACTCGAGGAACGAGCCGCTATCGAAGATTAATACTAATTGCGCGTTATGCTATGGAAATCGTCGATTTGATTGATTGGAAGTCGGGTTCTCGTTTCTAGCGCTATGGGAATAGAATTACCCGTGCATAAACATTTACTTATGTACGTCTGTACATACGATTATATAGTTGAATTCCACCTATGTATGTGCTGGTGTGGGTAAGCGCGATCACGTTTCTCGAACTCCAATTGGATTTCGGTGCATCAGCACTTAATTTCTGATGGAACTGCAGTCACTTATCACACACAGTCCGTCCGTTAGAATTTTCCCGACCGCTTTTGGAATACTTTGGAAACCTCTCACATTTCCCACGAGTGTCAGCGTCAGTCGCGTCCGGCAAGAAAAATACAAGTGACCGGAGTTTCAGCGGCTGGCGGGCTGGCTTGCTTTGTATATCGACATTTATTTCCACGGACCCGTGTAAATGTGCATAGTAATTCTCGTCTGTCCGCTTATCTGCGGCACGTTATTTGTTGTAAGCTGGATAAATACGCCCACCACCGAGCATGACCAGGGCTGGTTAGCTTTATTTGCAGAGAATCAAAATAAATTTTAAAAATAAATCATAATAGCAAACAGCTGATTGGGGATGGGAGCCAAACTATTTTTCGCACGTGTGAGGTTCTAGTCGTTGCGATACCTATCGGTCTTTGAAAAATGATGTTCTTTTGTTGAAAAGCCTCTCCTTTGGGGGGAAACATTCTAAGCTTTCTTTGCTTAAACCAAATGAAAGAGGTACAAATTATTTAGGTCAATCACTGCGTTAAAGCAGGCAAAAATCTTGCTAGCAAGGTATATGTATATTTCATGAATTTACAAACATATTAAGGGTTCTTTCAAATTATGGTGACGATTTCTAAACCAAATTTGATGATTTTGTACCATTTTTGTGTGGAACTATTGGACTTAGAGCTACAATGACACTATGCATAATGTTTAGGGGCAGATAGGGGGGGGGAAAGTGCTGCAGGGGCACTTAGTCGTAAATGTGACTGTAGTGCTGTTGGTAGACGTGTATATAGTTCTCCTTCTCCTGCGGCGTCATTTGGGCTATCAGCTTGTCATCCAGCTGATCCAGGGGATGGGGCCTTCCGGCAACCAGCACAGTAGGTACATCGTCGGCTTCCTCCTCAGACTCCGAGTTGCTGTAGTTTTCGAAATCGAGATCGGCTGCAAGCAAGATTTATCAATGAGATCGAAATTTTGATCTGAATCGAAGCACTTACGTATCTTGGCGTTATCAATGTCCTTCTCGTCGTCACTGGAATCGCTCGAATTGGCATTCGATGAGTTAACGCGCATACCCTTCATGTGGGGCTCCTTCTGGCCGGGTTGCTTTTCATGCTGCAGCAGCACCGACATAATATCCTCGTTTTCCTTCCGGTTCCGGTGTCCGGACGTGCTCGACGTTGGGGCAACATCCTGCAGAGCGCCTTCCGCCGCATCCGCATCGGTTATCACAGTGCTCTCCGTCATCCAAATGGGCCGCGACTTGCGCTCAACCACACTGTCGGACGTATCATCACCGCCAATGGTCACATCGACACGAGTCTCCTCAACGGCAAAGCCTTGGTTCCTCGTCGCTTCGCCCGACCACTGCAGGCTGTCGGGCCGCAGGGCATTCGGTTTCGTGATGCCTCGTATCGTGTCAATGTCCACCGGCTCTGGCTCGAGGACTTCCGGTGCCAGCTTGATGCCCTCCACCTCACGCAGCAGATCGTACAGCGGCTGCAGTTGCTCGTTGAAGTGGGCCAGCATCAGGCGCGAGTCCTTTTTCGGCATGGCCGCACTGTCCTCCTCCACCGAGCTGCCGCAGTACGTACACCGAAACTCCAGCGTGGCCATGTCGAACAGCTGGTCCGCCTCGAGATCCGTGAACGTCTTTGAGCACATCGAGCACTTGAAGCTGGCCCGGCTGGTCGCATCCCGTTCCTCCGTCTCCATACGCTTGCGCATCAGGTCCAGCTTGTACTTGACAACGTTCACAAATGTCTTGTAGTTGATAAAGTAATAGTTGACCTTCTGCGCCTTGCCGTCCGGCCCCGTTTCCATTTTTAGCCTGATCTGGATGAATTTGTCGGTGCGCAGCGTGGTGATACGCGCTCGTAGCTGCTTCTTCTCGAACCGCAGCAGCTCGCCAATGTCATCCTCCTTCATGCAGGGGTTCCGCACCAGCATGTCAATGATGAGGGCATCCTCTAGCGAGTAGAATCCCCGCACCACCAGTCGCGCCAGTTGCTTGAGGCTGCTGGGCACCTCGGTGACATAGCGCACTTCTTTGGCCGGTGCTGCGTTTGATGCTGCAGCTGATGTCGAGGACATCTCGTGAATATACCAACGCCTGTGGTGCCACCAAAAAGCATCCACGCGCTTCGTCCAGTTTTCCTCTCAACCGCAGGAGGAGGCGTCGATGTCGTTACAGGCAGCGTGCAGTATACCTACGGATCTTCATTTGTTAAACGTTTTGAAGCCGTCCTGGTAGCTATTTACCTTGTTTATTTAAAATTTCAATCTCTGCACTTTCAATGCCGAGTTTTGATTGTAGTAAATATATCAATATATCGATATGTATTTTTTGTTGATATTTTTCCTTGACAAACTATCAATGTCGGTATATTTGTGCGATATGCGCAAGCTATCGGAGTTTTATTTTGAAATTAACAACATTATTTATTTTATTTATTTAGGTCTTTTATGATGAGTAATTTTTTACATTATTTAAAGGAAAAAGGGTTTAGATAGATATGTTTTTGATGACATTTTTTGTACCTTCTTTGTTTGAACCTTAGACCATTCAATGGGATCAAATTATATGTTTAGTGCTGAGAGTCCCACCTAGCTTGAAATATTAAATTGAAATATCAAAATTGTGTAATTTGATTATCATTATTTTATTTATGGAAAATTACAGGGTATATTTTGGTATGTTTCTGAGGGTCTGGTATATTTTATAGTTAAGCCCGCGGTCACACTGGCGCTAACATTCTCGGGTTTTCCGCTCAACGACAATTTTCAACGCCGCCCACTAGAGCTGTCAAAAAATTGTATTTTGAAAAAACAATCGATACTATCGTGATAGTATCGGGCTCAAATAATTATTAATTATTTTTTTGTTAATATTTACTGGTTACTAACCTGATTAAAAAGAGCGGGCTTAAGCCATTTTTTTTTTCTCGGTTTCTGACAGTCACACTCGACAAAACAAATCAAGTGAACTATTTATTTTTCCATAAGATATATACATTTTAAAATGACCGCCAAACTCATTTAGCGCACAAAAAATACTGACATTTTTTGCTCTCAATTCGTGTTTGTTTTTCAAAATTTTCTCCCTTTTCAGAGGTGAAGAGAGCGTTTTCGTGGTGACTTTTCGTGGTGTGAGAAACATGTATCTTACGGGAACAACAATGATTCTCGCTCCCCATATGTTTACAGAAAATTTTGAACGATTTGATTGGCTGAAAGCGTAAGGTGAACCGTTACTTTTGTAACGGATTTTATATCGAAAAGTATTTTTTGGGTACAAAAAGAAAATATTTATTATTGATGATAGGCCGTGGCTAAGTGTAGGCCCAAGGGGGTCTGGCGTGGATTTATATGGCGGACTCCCAAGTTAAATATAAATGTACGATCCCACTTGAATACCTAACTTTCTCTGATCAAAAAAATAAATTCTTTTTAAAAACAGGAACGCTAGAATGGGCTCATTTTTTAACCAAACAATTGTTTATCAAATACATGTAAAACCTAAGCAAGCTTAGTAGCTTAATAATAAAAATAGTCCGTGGAGTCAGGAAATTCTCCGAATCTCTCCAGATTGTAGCTGTTGACATTCTCCAGGCTAAAAGGCATCCTATCTAGGGCCAATTTTTGGCGCACGCACGTATGAAAGAAAATAAATTCCCTTTTACTAAAATATACTGAACTGTACCAAAATTTCAACCATTTTTCATTGGTTGGTGCTGATTTTTGGGACATTCTGCTCTTTTGGAAATTTATATTCAAAATGTTGCTAGGACATTTTTATGTTGCTCGGCCACATGCTGGTAGAAATCAAGTGTTTTGAAGACAGTCCGGGAAAAATACGGCGAGTCTGATACAAATTATTATCGTCGAAATTTAAAAATGATTATTATTTAAAATTACGGGTTTTATTTGGAATGAAGATTCACTGTTGCGTCATTTCTACGCTTTCCCGTAAGATACATTTGATTTGTATGGGAAAACATTCAGCAACATGTGGAAATGAAGAGGCAGCATTGTTGTGCAACTTTGGCATGGGACGAGCAATAATCTGCATACCTTGGGAAAATGGATATTATGGACTTGAGATATTGTTTGTAATTTCAGGCTCCAATTAATGCAGAAACTATTCAGTCTCTGTTTTGAAAGATATTAACGAAATTTTGCAGCTCACGGGTTCCAATAATAGGTATCAGAACCGGGATAAATGTATTTATAAAAACACAAAAATGTGCATATATATTTAGGTAACATGTCAATCTAGGATACAAATAAATAATGTTTCAATGGAGCTTGGAACAAAATATTTAACATCAATTAAAAGAAATAAGGTATGCAAAAGTACACATTTGTTTGAACCTTAATATGTAAATAATTCAATAAAAATGACTTCTAAAAACTTGCCAATCTTGTAGAAAATTTATGTATCTATCGGATAAAATTATTTGTTTAGGGCTGAGAGTCCCAGCTAGCTAGTAATATTAAACCGAATATCAAAATGGAGGAATATCAACTTTGAATATTTTGAAAAATAATCGATAAAAAACCATTGAAACCTTTTAGGATCTTGTTAATTGTAAAAATTAGATGCCACCTGTCGATTTGGTTACAAATTTGTCTTCGTATTTTATAGCAGCAAATCCAAACATATCAAAAGCGCAACGACTGTAGCTCGATACTATCATGATAGTCGCAAAACCGTCGATAGTAGAGGCTAGCAGTAAAATATCGATACTATCGATAGTGCCATCGATGGTTTGACACCTCTACCGCCCACAGCACCAACAAGAAGAGCGAGCCAACTGTTTTTGTTTTGAGACTCTTTTCGCTTCGTGCCGTTCGGTCTTTTCCTCGGTGGGAAATTCGGTTTTCCGTCCGTTGTTTGTTGCTGTTCATCCATCGGTCGACGCGGAGTGCGAATACGGAATACGGAAAGCGAGTACGAAGCGGATTCGAAAGAAAAACAGCAAGCGCGAAGAGGAAGCAAGAAACGCGGCGTCAAATTGATTTTTATCGTGCGAGGGACGGACGGGGAAAAAGTGAAAAGAGTTCAAAAATTACATAAAGAAGGAGACAAAGAGAAGGTTCGTTTCGTCCTGCCAGACCCCGCCACATACTCGCCGAAAGCACATAAATTGAGATTAAATTTTCATAAAATTACTGCTGCAAAACTCATATTTTCGGGCCGTCGCACGTGATTTGTTTTTTTTTTCGCTTTCCCCCATTTTCACCATCCACCAAAACTTCGGTCGGTTGTTGGTCCCACCCCTGTCCAGGCAGAGCCGGTCCCAACCACCCTCACCCACCCGCGGTGGATTGCCGCCCGCGCCCGCTCGTCTGTGATGTCATTCAACGGACCAGCGCCATCTAAATATATTGTATTATATGTAGTATGTCCTCGTGCATACATAATAATAGTAATGGTCTTAGACATCCTGGCGCGTCCTACCCATGCGAGCTGTTTCCGTATAGTTTTTTGCATAACCCACGAGCAGCCATGTGTACATAGATGGGAATGCACATGCACTATGTGCTGTATATAATATTGTACATTATATGCACTACACGGGCAACTCTACAAATCAGGTCAAAGTTGCATAGTCTGACCCAGATCCGAGCACTGACTGACGTACAGCATGGCTTATGGGCCACCGATTGCGACTTGAATGGGAATGGTGATTGTAGGATAGTGGAGGAAAAGAATATGATGAGGCGGAAGATTTTAGCTCAGGGGAATCGGTTCTCCTGTTTCCTGTATACTGGGAATCACAAGTAGCTCTACTATCCAACAGAATCTTTGGTTTTTCATCAGGAAATCTCTTTATAGTAGGTCTTTCTACTCAGGCTGCGGCTAACCTGTTCCAGGATCTCTTAAAGATATCGCTGATAGTTTCCAACTCAGATTCAATGTTTATTATTATTGTTGTCCTTGCTAGTAAATTTTCAATGGAATGGATGTGTTTACCAAATGATAACATACCATATTGCCTGTGCATAAAGATTCTACTTGATCTTAGCATGTTCCTCTTCTTGTAAGCAACTTTTGTTGAAGTTTTACTTATAAAAAAATAATAAAATTTCATGCTAAGAATATCAGCAATCCTCGGAACCCCTTGTACTATGTTTGTTAAGGAATATACCAAGCTTTAGGTATTCCCATCTTTACATTTAATGCCGATGAACAAAGGATTTCACGGCTGGTCGCAGAAATAGCCTAGCCACTGGATTGTTGTCCCGTCGTTAGGTATCCCAAGGTGTTTACTGTTCGAGTGTGTCCAAAGCTTGTTTGCATTGCATGTGTTTTGTTCGCCTCGTTCCGACTCCTGACCCCACTCCAGCTGTCGAAAGCGTAGAGGCAGTCAACACTGAACTTGGTGGAAAGAAAGCCCTGGCCAAAAGGCAATCCCACAGCTGGGAAAACCAGGGAAAAATATCGACGTTCCATCCGGGAGGGGGTTGGGGGTGCGTTACTGCTGCGAGCATTTCTCCTTTGTTTTGGGCGAGTGTTCGCTGCTCGGATCAGAGCCAAAATGGGCTTGAAACAACGGGGACGAAAATCGATAATGCTACCCCTGGCAGCACGCACGGGCACGGGCATGGGCACGGGCATGGGCACGGACTCCCGGGTTGCGATGCCAAAGAATGAGAATGGGAATGGAGTGGAATGTGGAGCAGCAGGCCCTGACACAGAGCCTGCGATTTAAAGCGTGTGGTAGTTACCGTTACCGTTGCCGAGTGCCAGTGAGAGTGTGCGTGCGGGTGGGTGGGTTGGTGTGGCTCACAACCCAAGCAGGAGCCCAGCTACGAAAATAGACACAGAGCTATAGCTACTGCTGCTGCTGCTGCTGCTGGAAAAGCGCCCCACAGTTGAGGCCCATTTTTGTTGGGGCCTGACTTGGCTGCCTGCTGCGCTGCGGAATAACCTGCAGACAGAGAAATAGAGAGAGAGAGAGAGAGAGCGAGAAAGAGAGGAAGTTTGCTTGAACTTTATGTTGCACGTTGCAATAGAGGTCTGGCAGTGGAAGCACTTTCCGGTGGCTTAATCAAATTATTTACTTGCTTAGTTTGTAATTAAAATTTTAGGGTAGCGCCAAGTGGTTCGTTGCGCGACTGAAACGTCTTAGAATTTAAAGGGAACTGACTATACATACGTACCAGCGGCAGTTTAATAGACATAATAATAACCAATATATCTTGTCACGCACACGACGTGTAATTTGTTTTTGTAAAAAATAAATGTCGTAGCAATGGGAGCAATAGTTTGATAAATCAAAGAAATATTTCTTCAAAGGACACCTGATCTAGTTCTCTGCTTTGCTAACTTAATAAGCGCTACCAAATCAATTCAATTATCAGCCAGAGTGAGTTGTAATTTTGTACATTTGCCAGACGGTTCACACTCAAGCATTGAGATTGACTGCTCCACTGCTTCTGCTTCTGCTTCTGTTTCTGTCTCATGGAGGGAGCTTCTTCTTGTTTTCCCTTTGAATTTGGCAAAGTCAAGTAGACGGAGGAGGATTGTGTAACTTGTAGCCAGGGGGACGGGGGGAAAGCAGATTCACGGCTCCGCCCTGCTTGGATAATGCCAACTTTTGGCTGTCGTGGCACACAATTTGTACGAGTATTTGCATTTGTCGCACAATCAAATCTCGACAATAAAAAGCCTCGTCAACGGAAGGGATAAGTACGACAACCAGCAGCTCCGTCCCAGGCCGAATCCTGCATGCTCTCGGCGCCACATAGAGCAGCCTGTTGGATGGGTGCGGCGAGTGGCATTCGCTGAGAGTGTAGGGCGCACTCGGACACATCCCAGCGGATGTGACAGACAAAAGCCCAGCCAATGTCGCTGCTGGCACGCCCATGGGGCGGACAGATTACTGTGCGCCTTTGTCTGTGGCCAAGTCCCAGCGGAAAGCCGCTCCACTTGCTCCAAGATGATGCAGCGAAGCGAACCAACGATAAGCGCTCTGTCGAGGCTCACCTTGAGAGTTCCCTCCGGTCCAGGCAACTAAGCGAGGACGCAATTAAAATTCAGCTGACAGCAAGAGGAACAGTTTTAAGAGAGCAGATCCATCACCATTTATCTGGCTATAAATTTCCCGCATTAAATCCGTTGAATTAATGACCTGAGATACCCGATGCTGGAATTGCCAAAGCCTTTAAAGTTTTGGCATCGATACCAACGCAAAGTAAAGCTCCAAAAGATTATGATTTAAGAATTCCATAGCTAAAACTTACAGCTGCAAGTGCTGGCAGGAGGAGGAGCAGCCTAACGTTTGAAGGATTTACAACTTCCGTGTCTAAATCGCAAACCATAAGGCACAAGGCACATAGCTTTACCTTGGCTTAGTTCGGGGCTGCAGTTAGCAACATTTTGCGCTTTATCGTAGACGTTTTTTTTGCAGCCAAAACACAATCGCAATCGTCAATAGAGGCGTGGCATTGGCGACGAGGTCGGAGGTTATTGGTGGTTGCACGCTAACCCCACGAAAGTGTGCCATAAACCTGAGGGGAAAACCAGACAAAATAAATAAAAATCGTGTAGTTGTGGGACTGGTCAGGAAGTTTGGTTAGCATTGCTGCTGGTCCCCTTCTAGTGCCTCAGTGCACAAGAACTCAAAGCTGAAACATATACACAGGCAGCACTTAGCCATCAGACACCGAATGAAACACTTTTTAAGCTTTAGTTTTTCATCTTTTTCATTTCAGTTCGAGCCCCCAGCTAATTGCAGGTGCAAGAGGTCACGTGGAGGACTTGTTCCAGCATGCATGTCGTATACGTGATGTAAGAGAGAAGAAAGAAAAAAGTGATAGAACATTGAAACAGTAGAACGGAGGAGCGAGAGGGTGCAGCAGGGTAGGCAAGGTGAATCTCTTCCAGAGCACAATGTCATCGATCTCGGCCCAGGGCGTGGTCGAGCGCGCCTCTGCCGAACTATCGAAACGCATCAACGGTCTGGGACTCCGATCGAAGCACCACCACAGCAGCGGCAGTGGCAGTGCCAGTGGCGACGGCGCCTCCTCCAATTCCACGTCCAGCGCGACCGCGTCCAGTGGCAAGACCTCGGTGATGGAGCGCGTCACAAACGCCCTCTGTGGCGGTGGCAATTCCAATGCCAATGCCAACGCCAACTCCACTTCCAATAGCGCCAGCAACAGCTCCGCTGCGGCAGCAGCAGCCGCCACTGCCGCGAGTAATGCCAATGCCCCGCCCACACCCGACAAGCCATCGCGGGGCAGCCAGAGTCCCGGAACCGTCTCTCCACAGCAGCCGCCACCGCCGCTGGTGCCACCGTCGGCCAGTATCGTCCCGGCAACACTCAACCCATCCTCGACCACGGCGCTACTCATGCAACAGCAGCAGCAGCAGCAACACCATCAGCTGCAGGCCCAGATGGCCGGCTCCACGCTGATCAACTCGAATCACCACTTGGCCATGTCCCCCGGGGGACCGGGTCCGGCGCCACCATCGGGATTGCCGCTCGGAGCCCCACCAGCACCGACGGTCAAGTCGATTGCCAAGCAAATGAACATCACGATTCCGGGCGTCGGTGTCGGTGTCGGCGCTGGCGCGGGCTCCGGCTCGCCCACATTCAGCACCATGGGCATGGTGGCGGCCCAGAAGGCGGCCGCCGGTGGAGGGACCCCGCTGCAGATGCGCAAGCAGCTGCCCAATCCCCACCTGCACCATCCGTACGGCAACGTGGTCGTACCGGGTGTCGTCCCGGGCTCGGGCTCGGGTCCGGTGCAGGCCTCCCAGTTGGCCGCCGTCGCCGCCACCCAGTCCACGCTGATCCTCCACAAGCACCCGCACCCGCCTCTCATCCACAGCATCGATGCGCTGCTGCTCGACGACCGCTTCCTGAATCGCTTTTTCCAGTACTTTTCGCCGTACGAGCGGCGCGTGCTCGCCCAGGTGTGCATCAAGTGGCGGGACATACTGTACCGCAGCCCCCGCTACTGGTCCGGCCTGCTGCCCACGCTGCAGTGCCGCGAGCTGCGACAGATGCCCGGCTGCGATCGCGGCAAACTCTACAACTCGCTCATCCGTCGCGGCTTCCATGCGCTCGGCTTGGTGGGCGCCTCCGACGAGGATGCCCTGGACGTGGTGCACTCGTTCCCGCTCGCCTCCAAGCATGTCCACTCGCTCAGCCTGCGCTGCTCCTCGATCAGCGATCGCGGCCTGGAAACGCTGCTCGATCACCTACAGGTGAGAGTCTCCCACGTAAAGTTCGAATATTATTTGGCGGTTATCTATCCGATATAAGTATGACAGTTATTTAAGCCTCTTTCAGCTGTTGGTTTCCTTTTTATACCCGTACTCAAAAAGAGTTAAGGGGTATATTAGATGTGTGGTAAAAGTGGATGTGTGTAACGCAGAGAAGGAAACGGTTCCGACCCCATAAAGTATCTATATTCTTGATCAGCATCAATAGCCGAGTCGATGGAGCCATGTCTGTCTGTCCGTCCGTCTGCATTGTTTGACGTCTGGATCTCAGAGGCTATAAAAGCTAAAGGAACCAAATTTTGTTTCATGTGATATCACACTGCTACAAGTGTATTTCAACCCCTAGCGGAGGAGATGTAGAATCTAAATGGAACATGTACAATCTTCATGTTATATGTATAATATACATTGTAGGTGTAGATAATAGTGTAGCAAAAAAATGTAAACCTTTTTTAAATTCTAAAATTCGAAAAAATGAAATTAAAATGAAAAATATATATACTGACTGAGTACGGGTATAAGTAGAGTCGCGTCCCCAGAAGCGACTCGCACGTTCCTTCTCGTTTCAAGCGTAATTTTGCGATATTTCTATGAGGAAATCCAGCACAGACTTCCAAAAATGTTTCCGCTGAAAAGTTCGGTGTGTCTTGAGGTTCTTCCTTCCGCCATTCGCTTGAACAAGGGACTGTCAAGACACATTTTCTCGTGGGCGCCAAAACGAGACAGAAATGTGAGGAAATCTGCCACCCAAAGGACCTCTCAGAGAGCAGCTGCTACCCCATGCAAACGACTTTCATTTGGCCTAGCGTCTCGGTCGATGTATGTATCGCGGTGGGGGGGACACCTCATCGGCTGGGGCACTGAGCAGGCGGACGGGCGAAAAGTTGACAGTGGTCAGTCCCGTGTCGGATGAGATCTGAAATAAACCCGCAACATCTCGGCGCTGGTCAAGCAAAACTATTTTCATTTTATTTCGGGAACAAGAACTTGTGCCGAGCCGCGCGCCACACAGAAATAATGAAACGTGTCAGAGCTGAAAGTGTGTCATCGTCATGGCAGGGAGTGGGGCACAGGCGGCACACACGGCACATGCCAGCCACATGCCACATGCACCAGTCACAGTTTTCGGCACTTGTCGCATAATGAATTGATGCGATCAATTTCAGATGCAATCACATCAAAGAACCCTCGTAAATCTCATTTAATTTAGCCAAATATTTTGCTGCGCTAATTTGCTCATTCGTTGCCTCGAATTGAATTCATAATTTGAATGAATCTTTTATGAGGTGCGCTGCGGGCAACTGGAACTCGCAAATTCACTCGGTGTAAATGTAATTTGAGCATTTTCATTATTATATTTAATACATATAATAAACATATTCTGTAGCCATGTGTTTGGGTTCTCTATGGAAGAAGACTAAACTTTAATTGCAATAAACTAGACGAAAATGTAGCAATAAATAAAAAATACTCTAGAGATAGGTATAGTGATATTGTGATGAGGAGAAACCCTACAGAGATAACTTAAATGGGAGCTACTAAAAGGGGAAATTAAGGAAGAGAGAGCGAGAGAAGACAGAGATACAAATAAGTAGGGGAGAGGGAGAGAAGCGCAGGCAAACCAAAAGTGGGAGTCGCAAAGAACCTGCCGTCGCCACTTTACACACAGAGAGGGCGAGGTGAGAGAGTGACTTGTGTAACGTAAAGTCCCACGTAACGAAACGTAACTAGAGGTTACCCGCAGCAAGTTTCATATAGCGGCAATAGCTGCCACAAAAAGAACAGTTCGTTCGCAAGAGTATTTATATTTAAGTAGTTCGAATTCCGGAAATTATTCCCATTTAAACTTTAGTTAAAAATTCTCTACTCTTTATTGCGGCTATCCTGTACACTTTTAGCTTACAACTGGAGCTACGTTTTCCTTCACTGCTCCTGCCAATAAGAGTTTACGTTCCACTGGAATAGAGCAGAGTCCCCAATAAACAAAAACTTCATTTATGAAATAAACGAAACCTCTACTTTGCCCAAAAGGCAGACCGCAACAGGGGAACTGGGACGGGTAATGGGGAACGGGGAAACCAACCTCAATCAGATTTGCAGGACGAACAATTGGGCTTCGTCCTTAATTGGTGCTCAGCTGCGTAGGACGGAAGCAAATCCATTCGTTGTATGGTCCAATTCGAGGCCAACTGAGGGGCCTAATCCACCAGGGGCCCAGCAGGGTAGGAGAGCCGGAAAAGTGGATAATGCTGGAGCACTGTCTGTGGTCCGGCCAGCACAGTCCATCACACACTCAATGGGTTGACTGTTTTCATCTTCCTCTGGGGGTACGAGTGTGTGTCCCTTGCTGTCTGTCACTCCGGGGGCACTGAGACTGAAGCTGGAACTGGAACTGGGACTGGGACTGAGACTGCTGATGTCAGAATTAATCCAATGTGAATGCATGCCATGTTTATGGGCCCAGTTGTGGGTGCCTACTGGTTACCGCCCACAAATGGTTTGATTGCAAATTGCTGTCACTGAATGACAGTGCCACATGGGGGACACGGCTGAGTGGAGTGGAGTGGAGCGTTGATGATGGGAAAAGGATCAACTGGAGTGTGTGTGTGTGTGTGCGTGTGTGTGCGTGCGGCAGTTTGACCTTGGCGACTTGACGGAGTGCCTCCCTAAGTGCATGTCCTTTCCCTCCGGACATGCGCAGCAGCAGTAACACGGACATGCAATGCGAAACGAATGCTAGCGAGTGCGACGGAAATGCGACGACTTTCTACATACATTCCTGCTACATATTTAATGGCCAATGCGACTGGTGTACGGGTACGGGTACGGGTAGGGGTAGGGGTATGGTTATGGGTATGCCTGCGATTTCCGCATTGCCGCGGACGTGTATCCTCCAAAGTGGCCAGCAGCAAAGTGAAGTGCCAGCAGCACGTTGAACCCAACCCCATTGACCCATTAAACTACGCTGCTCTTCCACTCAGGAGAATTTGGGTTTGAAAAGGAAGCAAATTACCTGCGTATAAATAAATTGTAGCTGCGATTATATTTCCATGGACTGAATATATAAACGCTATATAAACGTTAGTTATGCGTTGAATGAGATGCGGGGAAGCCTTACTGCCACTTCATTGGATTTGTGTATTTTTGTGTGGTGCAAAAAGCGACATGAAAATACTGAGATTACATGCGAAATATCAACATATTCATCATTAATGCATTACATTGTTTTCTATAAAAAATGTTTGTTTTTACATGCAAATATCGCGTGTATGCAAATACTTGTTTTCTGGTTGCACTGCTTGTGTTCCGCGCTTCCTTTAAAGCAGTTGAATTCTGTTTTCGAAATATTGAATGAAAAGAATATGATGGAAAACCAAAACCAACCGCACACACACACAATGGATAGGCAGGTGGTCATTATTTTTAAGTATTTATACGCGTATCAATGCTCAATTTGATGCTTCCAAAAGAAAGCTCAGATAAATGCGAGCAACAGCAACAACAAACAACAAAGATACCCATCGAATAACGTCATTCTACATACATATTTAAGTGCATATATATACATATGTATGTATGTATGTATAAACATTCTATTCGTATTAGCATAACATTGTGTGTGTGGTTGGGTTGGTAACTTACGTTTTGCATGGCTGCTGACTTTTGGTATCGATTTTTGTTCGCTAGCAAAAACTTTCACAATTGTCCATAAAAACAGAATAGAAAAAGAAATAGTAGGAATACCAAACACACACAACGATGATAAATCCGTACAACAGCAAAGTACGTACAGCATTTGCGTACGTTCACCATTCATAATGAACTTGTGGCAAAGTTGGGCTGCGGGTCGACTCTCAGCCAGAGTTAACAATACTCGTATTAAGTAATACAAGTGTACGGAATCCAATTACTGCCATGCACAGTACATATCCAGTCAACACAGCCGTCATTAGACCATTTGAATCGTAAATGAGTTGGGACTTTTTGCTTATAATTAATGCAACATTACAGCAACCTGTAATTAAGCCAATCAATTACCATCCAGACAAATAAACGAAGAACGAAGTTAACACACAGCATGCATATCCTTCTGCCATTCAGTCATGGTCGCTCCCATCGCCTTCATGGCTGATTGAGTGTTCAAGCTCCGTGGAATAGCCATTTGTGATTCGTTTTCCATTTAATTCGCATCTTTTGCGGGTTATCTAATTCCACCGAATTGTTGTCCCAACCGTAACAACAATGGTTTTCCATTCCGCGAAGGGGGAGGCCAAAGTTCAGTGTGTTCAGATCCCGGCGTAGCATTTGGGTTGGGTAATGCATTTTTGTTCTCATGCGATTTCCAGTGCCGTGGGTTTCTATATTGTGCTTCCGGCTGCGTTTGTTGTTTATCGCTTTTGTGGGGCTTCAGCTTCCGCTGGGAATGGCCAGCAGCTTCAAGAGCAGACACAATCCCAGCCTGGACCTGCATAGTGGACCCGACACAATGTCTGGCCCTCGAATCGGGGCCATGTTTCTCACTGGCAAAGGTCAAAGTTGATCGAGTTGCATGCTGTTCAGATGCGATTTAAGGCCAGGAGAAACTTTTACCAGTTTGTTGACTGGTAAATCCACAACAGCACTTTAGACCACTGCAATTTAATTCAATTTCACGAGGAAGCCCTTCCCCGCTCCTCTAACTCGATTCGATTTGCCCTTCACCACCCCACCAACCAAAGCCAAAGGGATTATTGCTAATTGCCATTTTGTGTGTGTTTTGCGTGTACGGTGAACCACATGATATATCAAATGGTCAGGCCATGTCCGCCACACACTCGTACTGTAAATGCAAAATCAAGTGGAACTGTTGCAGAATTTGGCATTCCTGACCACAAAATATTAATTAATTTATAATTAATCTAGATTATTCTGCAGGTTCATTGTCTATTCCATTTCCATGCATATTGAAGTGCCCTTTGAGGAGAAATCAATGTCATAATCATTTGATGGTAATCTTCAAGCAGTCCTTGAGATTATTAAGGCAATCGGTTACATTTTATGGCCGTATCTTCAGCTCGTCATCGCTGAAAGCAATAATCAATTTTTGAAATTTCCTATTTCCAAAACTATGAAAACATTTTACTTTAACTTTCGAGGCGGCTCTCCATAATGATTCAATCGTTTCGCTAATCGTGTTAGTGATTCGACATTGGCTGAGTTTTCCAATAGATTTTTTATTTTTTATTTCTTATTATATATTTATTTTTATTTCCACATTCTAGAAATAATATTGTTTATGTGGCAGCTTTTTGTTTTAGATTTTTCCGCAACTGAAAGATTTTGTGGTTCAGTGATTCGAATGCGGGAATTTGTGGAATTTACTCTCTGCCCAAAATATTTACCTGAGATACCTATGTACATACATGCATATGTACATATAGATGTGTGAATGTATTTTTTTTCTTTTGCCTACTCGTATAAGTAAATACTTATGGGTATGAGTATATATGAATAGTAAATTCTTGCGCCTGTGATTGGACTTTATTTTCTGCTGGCCAAGTGTCAACAAGTAGTAGGAATGCCATCAAATGTCCAAAAGTATTTTAGAAATCATCACGACAGCAGATCATACAAATATTTTCGCTTGACGACCGAGCATTCACCTATCGAACGGAATGACACATATTTCTGTGGACTTATTATATCTGTGGCAAATGGTTTAATGACCGCAAGACACACGTTCTGAATAAGCCTTGAAAACTACGCAATAAATTCGACGTGTCCTCGCTCATGGATAAGCTTTTATTATGCTTTATTTTGATCCATTCCTTACATGGATATAACCGAAGCAACGTAAAAATCAAAATTTACATCTGAATATACGATGTGCCTTTGCCAAGTCTAACTATTAATCAAAGGTTGCCGCCACAAACTCATCGTAGCATACTGAAATAGTTTGAAAAAATATAAAATCAGTTGCAGAAAATATTAATATTTAATATTTCACTTACTTCCGTGCTTGGCGAGCGCGAAGATCTTCCTGCAATCCAGCGAAATGATCTTATCGCCACACTCTGAAGGGTTTGAGAAGAGTTTGAGAATGGGAAAATGAACTGTAAACTAACTACACTTACTTGGTCCATAGATCTTGATTTCTTCCGCGCAATGTTTACCTTGAATTACAAAAAACATGCAAAGAAAATAGAGAATTAATTGTTGGAAAACTCACTGGGTTCTTTTTTTGCGGCTGCCAAAGAGGAGAAGACTGCCAATATTACAAATACGAATAGAACTAAGGACTTCATGATGTGTTGACTTCTTGGTAGATTAAACGGAAAACTCGGTTATAGCTTGCTTTTATTATAGCTCTTATATAAGGTATGTAAGTGTGACCAATCGCGTGAAGTATGTGAGTGTCATGCTATGGATATAATATTATAAACCGATTAAAGTTTGTTTTTCAAACTAATTTTTCATAGCTGATCAATTATACATATGTACATAGTACAGTGTGCATGTCGGATCGTAAAATTTTGCTTTGGTACATTAATTCGCTACGAAATTATGCTCAGTGTATGCTGGCTGTTCGCCGTTATTTGGTTATCCGTTATTCCTGTCACTTGCCTATTGGCATTGCTGAGTGCGAGTGAGAGGGGAATTGTCTGCCCTTGAATTGCGTTGAGTAAACATTTGCCAAGGCAAGGGAAGACAGCATACCGACCTCCCACAAAGGCTGAGTAGTCTTATCTCTCGATATTCATTTCATTTACATGCGAGCTTTGCGCCTCACACGCAATACACACACACGCACACACACACCCACTCTCTTAGGCTTTGAGTGCAGTTGTTTTATCTCTTGATCTTTACTGCTCTCACGCAATAAATGCTCTCTCAATTGCTTTACTGCATTGACTGCTCTCTCTCTCTCTCAGCAGTTCCTTTTGGGAACTTTCGCTCGCAGTGTGCCGAGTGCAAGGGAGAGGTCAAGAAAGGGAAATAAATGTTTCAGAATATTCAATGGGAACCTGATATGTCCAATTTTATTATTATAATACGAATATATAACCAATACCATGAAAATGTTTTCCAAACTATGCATTAACCACTTTTACCGACTCGCTTTCGCAGAGTTTGTTCGAACTGGAGCTGGCTGGATGCAATGAAGTCACCGAGGCTGGACTGTGGGCGTGCCTGACGCCCCGTATCGTGTCCCTGTCGCTGGCGGATTGCATCAACATCGCGGACGAGGCTGTGGGGGCGGTGGCACAGCTGCTGCCCTCCCTGTACGAGTTCTCACTGCAGGCAAGTGCTGATCCAACTGGTAAAGACAGGGCGAATCAACCCCACCACTAACCCCAATCTTCTTTCCAACACACACACACACACACACACACAGGCCTACCACGTCACGGATGCGGCCCTTGGATACTTCTCGCCCAAACAAAGTCACAGTCTGAGCATACTACGCCTGCAGTCGTGCTGGGAGCTGACCAACCATGGCATTGTTAATATCGGTAAGTGGAGACTTCCAAGGGGATTCAGGACTCCCGCCTCCATTCTTGTGGAGCGCAATTTTCCGCTTCACAGTCGGAATTCTTAAGCGATGTCAAATGGCAATTACCTTGCGGGCTGCATGTCCATTTCCATCCATGGCTAATTCCCTCGGTTGGTGGTCGTCTCGCTCCAATTTAATGTTCAATTTGTAGAATGTTGCCGCTGACGACTGACACGGCCGCTGCAGCGGCGCTAATGGCGCTTCTTGTGGCAGTGCTGTTGGTGGTCCAAAAAAGCTGCATAGGATATCCGCCCGGAGTGTGTCTGCTGGAGCATGAGCTGTAGACGGACCTACAACGACAGCAGCAGCAAAAAATATACTCGTACGAGCGTACACACGAATATAATGAAATGTTTGTACAAAGTCCTATTCCTTACGGGTTTGCCCTGCTTCCGAAACGTGTCCTTTGTGCCCTCGTCACATCATCTGCAAACATTGCACTCAACTAATTGAAACTTTTTTGTGGGACACTTTTTGTGATGCTGCTTCCTGGGCAACGGCAACAAAGTAAACGGATGCTAAAACGGCTTCAACATCCTTTGACGTCCCTGACAGTCCGGACGTCCACAAACTGTACCCTTTTTCCCAGTTTGCAAATCGGAGCCACACCCCCACATCTGTGTCTGGGCACTGCCAAATCGAATTATATTCGGCGATATCGAACGTGGGTGACTGTCTCAATTGAAGATGCCTTAAAGATTGTTGGATTAAAAGCAGAAATGAGTGAGGAATACGTGTTAAAGTTAACTCATTTCCGTTTAGTGCATTTTTCAGCATAAACCATAAACCAGCACGTAAACCATTTTAATTGACGTATTTCCTGGCTGGCACAGAGCAGCAGAGAGCTTAAAGCATACTTATGGGGCAGCAAAAACCCCATTTGATATGCAATAAGCATAAACCTGCCATTCCCTTTCCCCCTTTCCTCTGCATGGGTACGCTACTTTGACCTTTGCCATGGCGACAGCTCAACGAGCCGCCCACTTCAGAGAGTCCCGGGCGTCTGGATCGACTCGGCCTGTGCAGCAGCGTCTGTGGCAATCAATTTGGTGGCACGTCATTTTCTTTTGCTCCGAGTACCTGTGCCCCGCCTCTCGCCTGCCCTGGCAATCAGAGACCCTGGCAACGCCTCCATCGCCTCCATCCACATCCTATTGGGCCGCAAATTAAGCTGCAGATTGCTGCAAGCAAAGCGTCCAGGATGTGGTTTTATCCCATGTTACACTATTACACGGTGGCTCCTACTGCCTCTGAAGTTACTCATCCAGATAGCAGCTAGGAACTGCGCACCGAAATCGAATTATCGCAGCTCAATGATCAAACTCGTTCCCGTTCAAGTGCTGGGCGGCAACTGAATCTGGAGTTGCGGCCAAACTGGGAATGCGATTCGATTCGTTCGCATAGACCCTTGGGCTAAAATGCTGCTGGTTCACCTGCACACAGATTTGATTGTCGTTGCTGTAACAATATTTCGCCAACAGTGGATTAAGCAGAGAGTACAGTTTTATATTCTCGCTAGTTAGACTCCCAACAAACAGCCCAATGGGGCCAAGAAATGGCAGTAGAGGCCAAAAGAGTTGCTGTTATCGAATGACTCATTCCTTAATAAAAACTCCAAGGTTCTCTTAGCAAATTCTGCAGCTTATTAAATCTGGAATATGTGTGTACAAGTATTTAAAACCTATTAAAGATTCCTTTTGTAGCTTGTTTACCGTCAATATTTGTGTGCAGCCCAGCTTGATGGATGAAGCAGCCCAAAAACGACCGAGCATATTACACATCCGCCCTGTACAACAGGGATGGGCTTCTGCCACTGTCTGTGTGTTTGTCCAGGGGAACAGGAAACGTGGAACAGGGGGGTGGTGTGCGGTGCGGTGCGGCATATTGTCTGTAGGGGTCTTAAGCAAATAGGCGCCACATTAAACGGCAGCATTTTGTGTAAATTGGGTGGCAATCATGAAAATAAAATACAAAATTTAACAAAGAGCGACAATGGGATACATACGAGTACATATGTATACATAAGCAGTATCTGTATACATCGAAAAACAGTAAATAAATCAGATAAAGCTCTCGTAATAAGAACAATGAAGTGAACGCTCTTCTCTTTGTTCTTGTGGTTATAATCTATCATTGATTTGTAGACTCTGTTTCCGGTTCAGGTCCGAGACGGGGTAACCTTCGGTTCAGCTTAGAAGTTCAGGACTTGCTGAGCTTTCAGCTGTCGCCACAATGTTGTAAGCCATTGTCAGAAGTTGTGCAATCCGTTCACAGGAGAAACTTTTAATAATAACAACTCGCAACCATTGCCCACTGGCAGTGGCAGTGGCAGTGGCGGTGGCACGGTATCCAGACTTATCACACCATCGAGAAGCCGTTTGGCTAATTGCATTTGTCATCTAATTGAATTGGGGCAAGTTTGACTCTGACTCTGCCCCTGGGAGGCGGCTCAGGTCGTTAGCGCTGGCCCAGTGCCAGTCGAGACCAGTGGACTCTTTTATTGCCTTGCCAGCTCTGACTTCAACACATCATTTGGCACGCAATCCGAGGCCCAGCCGGAAACGGAAATGTAAGAGCGGCTGACTGACACATTGAATGGCTGTCTCGACTCGTCTCGCCCCGTCCAAGCTAATTGGCAGAGCGTCGAGGTCGTTCAACTGGGCGTATGCGTGATTTATGAGTTCGCACGTGCGCGGCCACAGGCACGGGCACGGGCCACGGGTAGGCAGAGCGAGCGGAATCGGGTCGAAACAATGAACAAGTTAATCTCCCATTAATTAACAGTGTCAACAGGAATGCCGGATCCCATTTAGCAGAGATCCCCCCAACAGAATCGTGCTGCAGCAGCAGCAGCAGCAGCCCCCCCACTGCTCAGGCAGGGGGCATCTTGATTGCTGATTGTTGGTTGTGGTTCGTTTCGCGTCTGAACAATTGCATTTGTCGTCGCCGGCGACATGTCCATCAATTTAACCGCAAAGTGCAGTGGGACAGCCAGCCAAAAAGCTTTCCCACACCCTCCTTTGCCGTACAAGCTGTTAGCCAAATACACACAGTACACAGTGGGATGCATCTAGGGAATATCTGCTGAGGGTTATGCTTTCGGTATCCCAAATTAATTTCGAGAAATTCCTCAAATTGTGCAGGATATCTTAGCTGTAATGTAAATGTAAATGTAAATGGATATGTAAATCAGTCGTTAATCTTTTGGCACTGTGCGAGTGATTGTGTATTATGTTGAACCTGTGTATCATATCTGCTATATACATATGTAGTATATGGGAGCATGCTGCTTCGATGGCTGAAATTCCTGCACGCCGAGGCACCAAATTCATCTTCTTCAGCCGGTGCGGCACCATCATCAGCCCTGCGCCTGTCTGTTCGAGCGCCAAGCAATTGATAAATCTCCCTGGCAGTCTGCAGCTGCCATCCCTCACAGGAGGGGCAGGGGGAGCGCACGTTGGGTGTCGTGTTCATTAAATTACATTTACATATTTCAAGGTGCTCGCTCGATGCTGCTGCTCGGACTCTCGTCTCGGGTGGGGGCTCTGCTCTGCGGCCGTCGCACGCTTTTCGTTGGGAAATTCTTAATTAACTGTATTTTTAAAAAAGCTCTTTGGGGGTTCGATGCCACCCAATGTTTCCCCCGGCACGGCACGCACTGTACCCCTGCGAGCCGACTTCCCATTTGGCCAACTTGTCAATCAAGCGTCAGCTGGTCGCTGTTTTTGCGCACGGCGGCAGCAGCGATAGAGACGGAGACAGCGACAGCGACCCTGAACCTGAACTTGGCAGTGGCAAAGGCAAAGGCAAGGGGAGGGCGGGCGGACCACAAGAGTGTTTGAAGAGCGGCGAGTGTGCAACCGCATGGAAGTGCACTCGGATCGTAGCACTTTCTCACTGATTAGATCCTGGAACCTGGTCAACTTTCAGTGGAGTGCACAGCCACGTCCATAGGACGGACCCTAGTTTACGCTCAAGGCTGACAGGCTAGCGACATGATAAAATATATCTGGCTTCCGTAATACGATTGGAAATTCTTCGAGATGCATAAAGTGTTGCGTTGCATGGTGCCTGCTGCAAGTGGAGGAATGAAATTCCATTTTAATTGCATTCGAGGGCTGCCACGGAAATGGGGCAGGTGGCAGGAGCAGCACCGTCTCGCATGTGCCGAGCAGCTTAACGTCAATTAAGTTGCCGATGATGGTCGCAGCGCAGCATCAGCAGCAACCGCCAGACATCCACGTGCGGATGAGCAAAACTTCTCACCCACGCAGCGGGAGGGGGTAAGTGCCATCTGCTTTGCGTGGGCCTCTTGTGGACCGATGGAAAGTGGCATCCTGTTCTAGATGGACAGATAAAACGTATCCAGTAAAGGAAAGATTATATTTGACTGTGCAGTAGATTGTTACCAGAAGAAGACATAGAAGACGGTCCCGCAACTGGGTCAAAAGTTGCTGTCTCTTTAACCGCAAGGAAAAGTGCGAACGGAGGAGGATAACCCAGAGGGCAGCAGGAGTAGCAGCACACACGCAGGTTTAAGGCTCCACATATGGATGGACAGACACAGGCACACGACTTGTGGGGCCATCATACGACAATTTTGTCAAGCTGTTGATGCATTTTTAATCATGAAACGATAATCAGGACTTGGAGCTACTTTTATCTACTACTAGAATGCGGAACGGCTCTGCCAGAGTTTAACCCACCAGTGGCTGCTATATAGAAAATATCTACGAATTATCCCGAATGCCAGTCATCACAATTACCGATTTGACAGCCAGCAATGCCGAGAGCAGGGCAACAAATTAATTCTGATTGAAATTGTTCGCCCGGCACTGACTCGCTGCTGTCAGGCTGCCAAAAGAATGGGAAATTGTAATTGTATCTGAAATCTGTATCTGAAATCTGTATCCGTATCTCTCTCGCTCTCTCTCTCTCTTTGTTTTCATCACCCACAGCCGGCTGTCTCTATCGATGGCTTTTGGCAAATTTGCTTGCTGTCTTTTGCATAATTTAGTGGCATAACAATTCGTGGGGCACAAACACATAACCCATGAACGCTAGCATCTTGCGGTTTTTCGAATGAGTGGATGGGACAGTCCAAGCCTTCTCTACACTCTCCGCCTTGCATGCCCTTCCATGCCTAGTTTTAAAGGGAAGACTAGTCGTACTAGTCAACGACTGTCCCTACCCCGATCTGTAGCTAATCTTTCGTTGCGTAATCCAATCTGATTTCCTGCTAGTTATACTGGGTTCACGCCGCCCTCCGCTCTGCTGAAGGAAGCCTAATGAGGCTTCTGGGCCGTCTTGCCTGTGGCCCATTAACGCATTTGCTGTTTGGGCACCCCAAACTTTGCCGTTAATTGACAGGGCCACTTAAGACCCACAGAAGTGGCAGCCATGCGCCTCAGTGGGATTTGTTTTATCACTTTAGCGTCAGCTTTAATAAGTCTTTAGTTTAGTTGCGGGAACTTGAACCATAAGCAGCGAGTAGGGAACATTCCATTCCGTTTCCACGGCGCTTCCAGGATTCTGTGGCCGCTCAACAACCTTCCAATTTTCCATGGAACATTCCATTCCATTTTCAAACTGCTTTCAGGTAGCTGGGGCCGCTTTGCTTAATTAACTGCGGAATGTTTTTCACAAGAATCTCCGCCGCATTCCCGCCCCACTCCGTTTCTCTCTCTCTTGCCAGTAATTTGAGTAATGGGTCCCCTGCAATGCAACTTTAAGTCGCTTTCCTGGAATGAGCATTAATCAATTTTAAATCGCCTGAATAATGTGTTAATTGTTGTTGGTTTTACTTTCGATTGATGGGACTTAAACTTTAATGCAGGACACTTCAAGGGCTTGAGAGCACAAGGATAACCCTGAAAGAAACGATTTGTGATTATTGATTGCACGTTTATTGTATGGAAAATACTTACAGTAAATGCCATTGCGCTCTATTAGCCCACAATAAGGCAGTTTGGACCATCAGCAGCCATCAAAGCCGTAAAGAAAGTCATCAAGAAATGGCAAACATTGTGCGGAGCAAAAAATCAATACAAATCGCTGAAGGAGAGTGAAAGTAGAAGCCATAATGAGGCTCGACGATTGTCGGATTTTGTCCAGGACTTACTGACACTTGCGTACAGAATTTTGGGGGGCAGAAGTAGTGACATGGATGTCCTTTAATAATGTATGGATTTCAGCCAAAAATATAAATAATAACCAAGGCAACGTGTGCTATCAGTAGGAGATGTCCAGAACGGAGATAATTCCTAACGCTTCCCGACAGGATAATGGGAGGGAAAAGCGGGTCCTTGGGAACAGAATTTTGGGGGCACAAAAGCAGAACATAGAATACAGAATACAAAACGAGCCACGCACAAATGTCGCTGGTTGTTATGGGGAAATGTAAATGTATCTGCTAGACACACAACGTATCTGACATGTTTATGTATCCTCCCGACCCGTGTCGGTGCGTGTATTTAGGATGAATGGTTGGGGGGTGGTGGGTAAGGGCCCTCTGTTCGTTTCATGTTTTTGGGCCACTATTTGTGACACTGCCGCTGCCCCGCCGATGCTCCTGTCAGTTGAAAAATTTCCATTTACAATACATATCAAGCAGGCAGCCACCCACACAGGTTCCTGGAAAACAAACCCAATTTATTCAGCGACTTGTAATTTGTTATTTCCCAACCAAACAGCCCGACAATAAACATGAAGGAAATAATGAGCAGGATGTTATTTTGGAATTCGGAAATGGAATCATCTACTTCGACAGCTGACTGACTGACTGACTGGCTGAACTTACAATAGGCAGCTATCAGTTTCTTCCATCAAAGAGAATGTGCAAATAGTCGTAGCCGATTATACCGACCGATGTGTGTGAAATCATCAACCAGAAATTCCATTTGCTGTAACATTTTGCCTGTTCTTGATATTTGCGACATCCGTAAATACTCTCAATGCTCGTTCCTGTGACATTTCCACACAGTATCAATCTGAGCACACACACACACACATCGGCGGATCGCTGATTAGTTAATCAGTCTGCGCTCTCACCTTCGTCGGGTGCAAACCTTTTGCAGTTTGAAATTCACTCGATCGCGCAACACCGAATATGTGGCTATACTTGATTCGACAGTTCTCATTCGGTCTGTTTTCCCTTAATCACATCACTTTTCACACTGTTTCTCCGCGCACGCACGAACGCACACACACACACACACACACACACACATTTTATTCGCTGCTCTTTGCTGCAATTTCAGTATTGTGATCGCCAAAACGAGTAGGGTCCTGCGGCCAGCCATTACATTACCCGTTAGTGTCGGTCACAAAATGAAACTGCAGCACCAATGCCAGGGGAACGGGGAACTGCCACCACACGGACCACGGACTCGGTCTGGGTACGAACAGTCGCAGGAATCACGGGTAGGGGATCGGGGATCGTTGCGCGCCGATGGAGCGCTGATAACGAAATGAATTTCAGCGGCGATCACGAGCGCGATAAATACGCGCAAATCGGGGCCAATGCACAGATCTAGCTCAGAGTGTAATTCAATCGATGATCATTATCCGCCTCGATTCCACTCTCTCTCTCTCACTCTCTCTCTGTCTGTCTCTCTGGGCATATCCCTTTCGCCCTCCCATCTAATGTGGTCTGGCTCGGCTTCTGTCGCCGCCGCGGCGGCCTGCTAATCACAGTTTCCAATAAGAGAACACAACGGTGCAGGGCAGGGCATCGTAGATGTATCTGTATCCCCATTCAGTCTATGTCTATGACTATTTGAATATGCACACACAGTTATTCGATGGCATAGAGGCGCCTTTGTCTTCGTCATTGGATGTTTTTGCGGTTATTGAATCTCTCTGCCAGCCCCAGCAGTTGCAGCAACAGCAGCAGCAGCTCCCACTTGATAGATACAATTACTGTTAGCCTCCTTGAGCAGGCAGCCTCAGCCTCTCAGCCCCGCTCTGCTCCGCCACCTCCTGCCCGTCTTCAGCGTTACGGTTATTGTCACTGTTGGGGCTTCCCATCAGAATATGTATTGGCAAATAGATTCAGAGTTCCGTTTTAGGTAAGGGACTTGAGCAGCTCCCCCCCCCCCCCAATAATGGAGTAACTGCAGAATTGCCGGCGCAGTGCTGTCTGAACGGGGGGAAATTCACAGATTTCTGGATTTACCCCCAAGCATTTCAGTGATTAGAAGGAGTCCAGAATGTACCTGATCGGTTGATCTGTCAGTTGGATGCCTCTCGTGGTCCTTTGATTGGGTTTCCTGTAGTTGCTCCTCCTTTTGTGGGGCAGCCTTAAACCCTACACAAAACTTAAAGTTAGCTATCCACAGACATTCGCTCTGCAAATAGCATAAAGGCTTTCGCTTCAGTCCAGCCCAATCCGGAGTCAGGCAGAGAGCACAGAGCTGCGACTCGTTTCATAAATTTTCCATAGGCTTTCCCATTTAGTCCGTTAGTTTTCCCCATTCAGTATCTGAGCATCTGAGAGATCTCTATCCATGTGTGTGTGTTTGTGTGTGTGTGCACATTTTGTAATTCAAATCGGTTTTTTTTCTATGCCTCTTGCGGTTTTTTTGGTCAGAAGCCAAACAAGGGGTGCCCGTGCCCCCTCCTGCGCTCCCCACTCCGCCTCCCCGCGCACTGTCAAAGTGGGTCGCACACAGTGGGTGTTGCCTGTACGGTCGCACCAAAGCGGCTTACCCCGTGCACTTTTCGACTTCTTCTCACCCCTTGGCGGTGAGGTGGGGTGGGGAGGGGAGGGCAGGGAGTGGCATTAGGAGCAGGCAACCTCCTTCCCTTCGTCTCCTTTGGAGTTTGCTTTCTTCCGCGCCTCTTATCTGTGTTTCCGCAGCCGCAGCCGCAGCCGCCCAGGCACCCTTTCCCATTGGCAAAGTCTAAGCGGCTTACGAACGGTAATTTTAGCCATGTGCCGCCGCGTCACTCTGTCGCTATCCGCCATTCGCTATCCGTTTTATCCAGTATCAGCGCAGGTTCAGGCAACACACTGCCCTCCACCCTGCCCCGTGGCATGATTCCCTATGCTTGGGGCAAAAGTTGCTGCAGACTGCAGGAAACGAAACGTTTGCTACGTGAGCTGAATATGCACTCAGTCGTTGAAACCTAATCCTTTGACTCCTTTTGGACTCTACTTGCAGTGCACTCGCTGCCGCATCTGACGGTGCTGAGCCTCTCCGGCTGCAGCAAGCTGACAGACGATGGTGTCGAGCTGATTGCCGAGAATCTGCAGAAGCTGCGCGCCCTTGACCTGTCCTGGTGTCCCCGCATTACGGACGCCTCGCTCGAGTATATCGCCTGTGATCTGAATCAGCTGGAGGAGCTGACGCTGGACAGGTAAGTGCCCCCGAGCCAGCGACAGGTTCCCACATTCACCCTGTACTCTCACATTTTTAGATGCGTGCACATCACGGATATTGGCGTCGGATATGTGTCCACGATGCTCTCGCTCACCGCACTCTTCCTGCGCTGGTGCTCCCAGGTGCGGGACTTTGGGCTGCAGCATCTCTGCTCGATGCGCAACCTCCAGGTGCTGTCGCTGGCCGGATGTCCGCTGCTGACCTCGTCGGGGCTGTCCAGCCTCATCCAGCTGCGTCATCTGCAGGAGCTGGAGCTGACAAACTGTCCGGGGGCATCGCACGAGCTATTTGATTACTTGAAGGAGCACTTGCCGCGCTGCTTGATAATCGAATAATCGATTGAGAAACACTCTGAACACTCAACACTGAACTTTACTTTACTTTCCCTCTGCCCCAGCTCTGGAAACTGATTTTAGTTACGAACTATTTATGAGTATGCTAATTTGTACATTTATCTTTAGTCGGCAAGTTCCTACAACTACAACTTTCCGTCTTGCCCCTTACCCTTACCCGTGTCCCCACTTACTCGCGTTTAGTTTTAGAATTTTGTTTGTATGATTTCTGCTGTGATTTGGAATGGAAACTAAGTTAAGTTGATCTGTTTAAGACGAAGTACCACAAAAGACCCAAAGATGATATTTATTTACATGCAATATAAATATAATATGTCGAATATACAAATACAAAAATAAAAAAGATATATTTATAAATATACATACTTAAACATACATACATAAATTATTTATATTATGGTAGTTTTAACGGACCTTTTATCTATTATTCTCGCTGCAACTAAACAAACAGATACGGATGCAGATGCAGTTACAGATACAGTCATAGTCTACTTGTAAATTACAAAAAACACAAATGTCTGTCGTGTCTGTCAAGCAACCAAACAAATCGAAACGAAACGAAACATTGCGCCCAAAATAAAACCAAAATGCTAAAAGAATCAAAATATGCAATTAATCCACACTAGTTCAAAGAAACCAAACTAAGTAAATTTCATTAGAAATGATATGAAAATATTTACCAGTATAGAAGATGCAGATGAAGATGCAGAGGCAGAGGCATGGGCATGACTTGCAAGAAGTTGCTGGACAGCTTTTTAGATGGAATCAAAGTCCAAACACTCCCCTCCCCCTCCACCACCCTCACAAAACCGAAGCCCGACCAGGGATAACACCCCTTCCCCACAAAATTTGATTGTAATTCTGTAATTAACATACATATGACGGCTAAAAGTATTTTAAGCAGAGAACCCTACATACATAAATGCAGTGTGCACGCTACAAATAAAATGGAATCCCCAACACCCACACACACCGCACACATACATGTACATGTGTATGTGGAACAGCATACAATGTACTAGTAGTAGTATCATCTAGCCTACATTTTAGAGCCCTCCTTGTCTGTTGTTTTTACCAAGTGACACACACGCCTCTACTGTAAATGCTATATATATATTTTTTTTAATTATTAAATTGTGAGCTCGTTTCATCATGAACACTGAACAAATGCGGATTGCAACTGGCAATCTAAAACCAATAGCAAAAACCATCTACAAGTACATGATAACATAAATAAATGCAAAACTGAATTTAAATTTGGGGTTTATCTTCTTTAATTTTATCGGAACCGGAGCCGCAGAAACGAGAATCCTTCTGGTTGGAAAATTCGAATGTATATTGAGACTGAGACGAATGAATGCTGCGAACCCCCCAAAATTACTGAATTAGGTCAGAGATGACTACAGTGTTAAGTCTACACTAACTTGAGGTTTAAATAATAGATACACATTGATTGTATGTACATATATCCATTAAGCCATTCCATTGAATGTCCTTCGTTACCAATGGTGCAGTGTATAAAAGAGCTAATCTTGATGCACATTTCCTCACAACTTTTTTCAAATGGCTATCAACGGCTGCTCATTTTCGAATGATGATATATTCCAATGATACTGAAGAGAGATAATTCAAGCATTCTACGATACATACTCTATTTTTCAGAGCACTCTAATGAATTTGTTAGAAACAAGTAAGTTTTACTTTCCTTTCGATCATATCCATCTATGTAAATATGTATTTTTTATGTACGTTTTTGCACGCTCATAAAGGTGTCACACACTCTGATCATCAACGAGTGCTTGTGCTTAAAACGACATTCAAGATTACTCCGATTAAAATGCGCCAATACGAAGTCCTATCTACTTGTAGTTCTGGTATCGAAATTACCCTTGATGTGAGTGCATGTATAATGTGCGAATAAATACATGTTTTATTCCACCTTTTAAATAGCTTTAAATAAAGCAATCATTAGTCTCGATTTCGATTCAACAAGGTGAACTATAAAATCGCACAAGATATTTACAATGTCCAAGCATTTTCGTTATAGTTTTCTGCGTCTTTAATTTGCACAATTAAAGAGCTGTTGCAGCTGGACGCGTCTTTATTTCAGGTTGCATGGTGCCATGGTGTATAGTCAGGAAGGGTCATTCTTCGCACGCACCCTCGCCATCCTCATCATTGTCGTATTCCGTATTATCCTCGTCTTCTTGGTCGTCCTCTTTGCCTTGCTGATCCCACCAGGAGAGTACGCCCAGGCCCGACTCGTTGATGGCACCCTAAAAAACAGAGCAAGAATTAAATACATGAACAGACTATACGTAGGAACGGCACTGGCTGGCTTACAATAATCTTGTACGGAGTCTTGATCTCCTGCGCAGCTGTAGCCGCAGCTGTCGATGTGCTGGCTCCCTGCGAGTTTTGGGCGTCTGCTTTTGGCGGCCCAACTGGCGAAGTCTCCTCGAAGATTTCGCGCGACACTCGGAATTTGATGGGTTCGCCAACGTCCATAAAGAGATCGTGCTTGGCGCCGTCCTCCAGGGGATACTCCCAGACCCAGGCCTGCTCGGCCTCGTCAAAGCGGGAGGGATGCTGCAAGGCTGCGTGTGGTATGAGAATGTCATCGAAGAAGCCCAGCGTCACGTGGACTCCTTCACGGCTGCAGTTGCGTATTTTGCCAGTTATTACGGTGCCGACCATGGGCCGGAAAACAATGTAGCGAAAGAGCACTTCGGTGTGGGAGGCACCGTCGCCTGGCAGAATAATGGAGTCCTGCAGCGATACGATTTCCTTGAGCGCTATGCACAACCCAACATTAAGGAGCACCTGCACACATAGGATGACGCAAATGCAAGCGGAAATTATATTTAAGGCAATGAAAACAAAACAATTCACCCACAACACACCTTGTTGGCCAGTTTGCGGTCGATTTCGTCGCGTACAGCATCCACCAACTTTAAGTTAAACTGGTCCGGCGCAATGCGCACGGTATCCTTCAGCTCGGCCAGCACAAACATTGTGCCATATATGCATAGATTTATTTATATTTAAATTTATTTAAAATGCACGCACGCTGGTCCCTCCAGTGTTGCAAAATACCAGATTGTTGCGCGGCACAACAGCTGAAAATACCAAAACAATGTTATCGGCAGCTCTAACACGTGCACGAGTTTAACAAATTGGCGAAATTATTCCTAAAATTTCAAATCTGTCGCAACAGTTTTTGCGTTATAAATACACTGGTTTGTGCGGTGGACTGTCACTGCCACTGTTCGATACTCGCGAGGATGAGCGACGACACACACAAGTACAGCGACGCCGAAGAGGATGAGGGGGAGCTGGAAAACGTAAGCAGAGCCATCAGGTGTCACATCAAAATGAAAAAACTTATATTTTGCAGTCGGAATGGGTGCAAGACTTCAAATCGCTAACCGTGAAACATGAAACGAAACGCAGCGAAGAGCTGGTCCAACAAGAGGGAGAAGTGGATCTGGATTACGACTATGATGAAGAGGACGACGACTACGAGCTGGGCGATGAGTACGATGCGTATGAGGAGGCCTACTGCGGCTTCAGCAAGATAAACACACAGCCACAGATGACAACGGCTGGTTCAGCTGCTGGTGGAGGTGGAGCGGGAAGCGGTGGAGGCGCTGCGCCACGTGTGAGCAGCTACCAGCCCAACGAAAAGCTGTTGCGGCGCTACTCTGCGCGTATCAATGTGGAGAAATATGATCCCACACCGAACATGAGCGCCCAGGCGGCCAACCGGCTGGTGAACTTTGATCGCCGACAGGACACGGAGCGAGTGCGCGTGAGGGATAAGCACGATCGAGCGACGGCAGAGCAGGTGATGGATCCGCGCACACGCATGATACTCTTCAAGCTGCTCAATCGCGGCCTGATCCAAGAGATAAACGGATGCATATCGACGGGAAAGGAGGCGAATGTCTACCATGCAGTCTCCAAAGAGGGCGCCGACGAGTATGCCATCAAAATTTACAAGACCTCCATACTGGTGTTCAAGGACCGCGACAAGTACGTGTCCGGCGAGTTCCGGTTCCGGCACGGCTACTGCAAGCACAATCCCCGCAAGATGGTCCGCACGTGGGCCGAGAAGGAGATGCGCAACTATCTGCGAATGCGAAACGCTGGCGTGCCCGTACCAGAGCCGATTCTGCTCCGATCCCATGTGCTGGTCATGCGCTTCTGCGGCCGTGATGGCTGGCCGGCGCCCAAGCTGAAGGATGTCGAGCTGAGCACGTCCAAGGCGCGCGAGCTGTACCGGGACTGTGTGGTGATCATGTGGCGGATATACAATCAGTGCCGCCTCGTCCACGCCGATCTCTCAGAGTTCAATATTCTGATGCAGGACGGCCAACTGGTGATCATCGATGTCAGCCAGTCAGTCGAGCACGACCATCCACATGCGTTTGACTTTCTGCGCAAGGACTGCACCAATATATCGGAATTCTTCCGCAAGAAGTCGGTGGCCACCATGACCGTCAAGGAGCTGTTCGACTTCATTACCGACCAAACGATAACAGAGGAGAACATGGAGCAGTGCCTGGAGAGCATCTCGGAGAACATCAAGGACCGCGACTTTGATGCCATAACGGCACAGGAGAGGATCGATGAGGCCGTCTGGCAAAACACCTACATTCCGAAGCGCTTGGACGAGGTAGGCCAACGACAGTTTCTCTTTTAACGCTTCTATGAACCACAAATCTCCTCCCCAGGTGCGTCACTTCGAGCGTGATGTGGCCAAGGCAAAGCAGGGGGTGCAGCAGAATCTAATCTATGGCAAAATCACTGGCCTCACATCCGACCTGGATGTGCAAAAGCAGCCAGACGTTCTGCAGCCCACAGACGAGCCGGAGGAAGTGGGAAGCGACGACCAAATAAGCGAGAGTGAAGATGAAGATGATTCCCAGGACAACGATGATGGCTCCAAGTTCAAGAACTCGGCCCGTCCACGTGACGAATCGCTGGAGAGTAAAAAGGCGCGCAAGAAAGCTGTGAAGGACGCCAAAGCGGAACAGCGAAAGGTCAAGGTGAAAAAGCACGTCAAGAAACGCAAGGAGAAACTTGGCACTATGAAAAAATAGCACGGCCACGGCCACCCACCGATTTAAATGAAATGCGTGCAATTGTCGTTGAAGGCTACCGACAGATCGGTAGATCTCCGTAGTGGATGGAGTCAATTTGTGTGTGGGGGGAACTACACTCTTACATTTTTATGTGTAAATATCATTGATAGGCGAATGTATGATGCCTCATTTATAAAGTTGCACTTCAGATCCAAGTCGGATCCATTATATTTTATTTGTAAAATTCGAATTTAAATCACTTTTACCACAAACAAATTGTATAAACTGTGCAGACGCCTTGCAGCTGTATTCTTTGTCCAGCCACAAACTGTAAGGTGCAAGACGAGGCTTTAATCCTAAGTGCTTAGAGCTACATCAACTTATGTCTAAAATTGGTCTTGTCAAGGGTCAAAATACTCGCACCGCACCGCAATTTGCACTGGAGACGGAGTCGAAGTACATGCCCGTCCGTACATAATATATACATAATATACATGGAAGCATTCATAAATCGAACAATCACAGCGTTGACATTGGCTACAACTACAAAAGGGAATAAGATTCATCGGTGCCCGTGGCTGGGGCTGTGCTCAGGCGTAGCAGCGCTTGCGCAGGCTGATGTACATGAGGATGCGGAAGAAGAGCATCAGCATGGTCAGTATGCCGAACTGGGAAACTAGGGAAACCTTCTCCACGTCGAGAAACTTGAGCAGCACGCGCGGATCGCTGAAATGGCAATAGATATCGTCGCAGTCGAGGTCCTCGCGCTGAAACCCGAACACGGCCAGGATCATGGCCACCACTCCGACGCGCACATAGCTGAACTTCATCAGCAGATTCATGGCGCCCGTGATTTGGGGCGCAAAGTCAAACCCGTAGACGGCCAGCCCCATAAACGGGGCAATCATCATCGGACCCACGACGCTGCCGTTCTGCGGGGAGAGACATGGGGAGGTTGAATTAGGTCGTGCCCCTGTTTGCTTTCGCTTAGAAGTACTTACTGTTATGCTGAAGGTGGCACCAATGGCCAGGCCCATGCCCTCGGCCACCAGGGAGATCATGAGGCCGACTGCGACGAAGATGGCGAATCGCCAGATCTGATCCGGCAGCCCGGACATCCAGTACGTTACCATCATAAAGGCGATGTTCAGCAGCACCTGCAGCGGCAGGCGCGAGATGGTCAGGGCCATATAGTAAGGAGTCAGCGTGTACCAGCGATTGAAGGTCTCCTTCTTGACCACCTTTACCTCGGCGGGATCTGCGAATGGGTTGAAGGTCAATGGGTATGCTCAAAGTGGGCCTTCTGACGGGCGACTCACAGCTGAGGATCGGCACCATCACCTGCGTGTAGACAATCATGAGGACGGCGCCAATGCAGAACTTGAGATGGTCGAACATGCGCGCCCCCTGGTTGCCCAGCTGAAAGAAGATCATCCCGAAGAAGAGGCCGCATAGCAGATGGTGGAACAGCTGGATGGTGAGGGCCAGGCGGGCGCGCATTATACGAAGCATCATGACCCGGATCAGAACCACGAACTGACGCACCCCCGAGACCTCACTACGTCCGTTGTGCATGCGTTGCGAGAACGCCTTCATCTGCTCCAGCAATGCACGGGCCCCGCTCATCAGAGTGCCGTCCGTGGAGGGCGCGCTGCCGGCGAAGATTGTGGGCAGGAGTGGACGCTTCGGCTGCTCCACGAACAGCGTGGTGACGGCCTGCTGCGACTCCAGCTGCGGATTCACAATGTCCGCCTGGCTGGCCACGTAGATGAGCTTCCCGTTCTCGGTGAGCTCGCTGAGTGCCGGCACCAGGTGCCCGTCCTCTACGTCGACCAGTTCGATGACTGTGGGGGTACGGAATAGAGCATAACGGAGCAGTTCTTAATATAGAGGAATGGACAACTTACTGTAGTCAGAGGGGCTGTAGTGGCGCGGGCAGTCCAGCTGGGCCATACGCAGAAAGGGTATGGTGGCCCGGGGACTGCCCTGATAGACGCAGTGTCCCTTGGCCAGCACGTAGATGCTGTCGAAGCAGTTGTATATCGTGGCCGAGGGCTGGTGGATGGTGCAGACGATGGTGCGTCCCTCGCGGGCCATGCCACGCAGCAGGCGGATGCACTGAGCCGCCGTCACCTCGTCCAGCCCGCTTGTGGGTTCGTCCAGGAAGAATATGTTCGGATTGTCCACCAGCTCGAGGGCAATTGAGAGCCGCTTACGCTCCCCGCCGCTCAGCTTCTCCGCCGTCACGTTGCGGCGGTGGTTTAGGTTGAGATTCTCGAGGATCTCCGTCGTAACCTCGGCCTTCCTGTGGCGCTGCTTTAGCTTGAGGTCGCACGAGAGGCTCATCAGCTCCTCGACGGTCAGCAGGGTCTGGTGGTGATCATCCTGTGTGATGTAGCAGGCATTATCCCTTTTCATTTGGATGCTCCCCGTCACACCGTCGCGCCTGCAATAGATGGAGAGTAATTTTATGCCTTCCAGGTAAATATATAACGGTTACGATCTAACCCTTTTCTGTCTGTCAATAAATCATATATAGATGAGCGATACATCTCTAGAGGTAAAGGTAAAGGGCAGGAGAGACTCAGAGAGAGATCTGACTGAATCACTGGCTGAATAGCTGAACGTTTTCCCGCTGCTGACTGAGTACTCGTATTTATTTTTGAACTTGAAATGTTTTGGACCCATTTTTTTTGTTATTTTTTGTGCGCGATACGACATCACATGCACAGCATTTATTTGGAGGCTTCTGGAGATGTGCCTGCTTGTTCGTTTGGGAAGATTGCTACATTTTTGTTTTTGTTTTGCGACGTACATCCTACAGATCGCAGTTCACATTTCGAGTTTTGGGCTTACGCTTTTCAAATCAGAAACCAATCACAACTTAATCTCTGTCGGTAAAGCGTAGAACCGGTTGAGTACGATCCACCCATATTGTGTTACACTCGAGCTGTCATCCGTCCGGAATCAGGTCTCGTTTGCTTTATAGTTCTCACCTGAAACCCGAAATCGCATTCAGCAAACTGCTTTTTCCAGCTCCCGAGGGTCCCATGATGGCCGACAATTGGCCATTTCGAAAACTTCCGCTGACGCCGTTTAAAATTTGCCGCTGCCCCGTTACGCGCACTGAAAATAGATAAAGACATTGAATGGGGCGGAATCTTATGCGTACATTTATAGCTTCCATTAATTTGACTAGAAGAAGTGAAGAGTGAAACTGTTTGTGAGTCATGAGTCGTTTCGACTTGGAACTCAGCGTGACGTATCCACGATAGTGCCTCAATCTGGTCGTTCCACTCTGAGTTGCTAATGAAGCAGAATGGTGGCTGTTAATCAAGTTCCATAATGTTTATGAACTAGACATATCATTTCGCTTTCACCTATTGGAAGACACATATGTATTTCGATACGCCTAGCCAAGAACAACAGACACAGGTCGAGCAGTTGACAATGGGCATGACTGTGTTTTACTGTGTGTACAAAGTCGAGTCATTATAATAATCGTCTGTCATGCCTTGACAGCGGAAAGATTTCGTCGAAGCCAAATTGATGGGCTTCAAAGATTCGGGCTAGACTGGAGATTTGTTCTGAAGCCATGACTGGTCAAACCGAAAACAGCTTCCGCCATGATCGACGTTTGATCGCCGAATTCTATTCAGTCATTTTTAGCCATGCCCTCACTCAACGCGGGGCGTAATTAATTCTAGTAAGCAGAGCCACCCACTAGATGCTGCTGGGGCACAAAGCAAGTCTACTGATCCACACATGTATATATTAAATCCATGCTACATATATTTTGCAGATGCAATCGCGACTCGAACCTGACCTGCATTGTACGCTCAGTCAGTCGGTCAGTCTCTGCGCCAGTATGGCTTAATATATGTCAATGACAGAGTCGTTCTTATTGATGATAATGGTGCTGTGCAGCTGCCACAGCCACTATAGCAGAGGCTCGTAAATACAGATCGGCGTGAATGCATCAACTCAATGACATTAGTATGTATATTAAAAGCAATATTTTCCAAAAACTATAAAGCTGCCATAACAGCGATTCGGTTCGATTGATGACTCGTCTGGAAAAATTATTCATAATATTGTTTATAAGTGCTACAGATGGGAATGGAATGGGTGTGTGGTGTACTTTGCCCAGAATATTCATTGCAGGAAGTAGCAAGATTGTAACTATTGTCGGTGCGCGGGTGGGGTTATCGGTGAAGGCATTGTACGGCTGCTCCCGCTTTTCGCTTTTCAATGTCAATGTCACTCTGGGAAAGCAGAGATTAGTAGTTCGTTTAGAAGGAGAATCTTTCCTGTGATGCCAGTACAGACTTCGATGGATCAGCTGCATCTGGCTACTAGTAGAGAAGCACACAGCAGCAAGCAGCTCTACTAACACAGTTCTTGCCGCCCAATTAACATTCGTGGCGCAAGCGATTTGCCGTTCGAGTACGAATTTTAGGAAGGTCAGTGACAAGTCGTAGTCCGCTGTCGCCCAGCGTATTATCAGCTCGTGTTTTGCTCAGCGGTGGAGCATACATATCAATTAGCCCCCACTTTTGTGGCTGCTGCGTGGCAATTTCCGAGTTCTGGGCACGCGCAGCCGGCAAATGTGTTTTTTCAGCACAATAATCACCAATCGTTGTCTTCTCTTTGATCACCCTTCACCATTCCAGAGATTCAATGTGCAAACGCTTGTACTTTGGTTAGAATCTCGCTCTGAAGCTGGGTCACCTTCAGCCTTTCGGCCTTGGTTTTAATTTCTGATTTATACTGCGAAAGTAATAATTTAATTGCCAGAACAGATCTTCGACTCTCGCGACATTTGCCACTTCCAGATTGAATGCTGGTCGGATCCGCTAATTGATGCAGTAATTAACACAATTTCATTAAAACGACAAACGCGTTTGTCTGACAGATGAACTGAAAGTGGTCTTGGACTTGGCATGCAGCACACATACCCAATAGATAGGATCCGTCTGTCTCAATTGGCGGTTGTTCCCTGAAATCTGCGATCTGCGATGTGATGTGGGTCCCTACTCTATGCTGAATCAGCCACTCATATGGAGGACTTCAAGGTTAGGCGTCAACTCATTTCAGACAACCCTTTGCACAATGTAAAGGGAATCTACTGAGTTTCGATTCAAGCTGCTGCCTCGCCCACCCGTCAGTGGCCTGTTGTTTGCCTGTGACAAGCGCTATTTAACATTAGCCATCCATAGCAGTCACATAACCATCGGTACACTAATTAGTATACTCAGCAGTTGATTCATGGGAACTCGCCCTAAATGGGGGGGCGGTGGTACCTGAGCTTTGACCACAATAAAAATGTGCACAGACAGAGCACAGAATGGGAGCAAAAACTGATATCTATAGCCCCTTAAACTAGTATTTATCCATTCAAAGTCGTTCTATTCAAGTTTCAAGTTCAGTAATATGGGTTCAAACAACTATAGTACCCCCTATACTTGTATGCGTTTGAT